TCAACGTAGTAGTCATTGACCAGGGATCTACCATATTTAAGCAAGCTAGATGCCCTGTAATAAAGAAGCTCTTTGCTTTCGTTTTAGATACAGTTGACAACTGATTATTATCATCGACTTATTATTACGAATTCATCACAAATCATGATTAGCTTGCTGGAGTTTTCTTTTAGCATGATTAGACATTAGTTGATCTGAGTTGACTTATTTGTCAATCTAATTAATAGAACGTTTATCCATTGTTATAGTATATAAGAAGGATCATCTACCTGGCCAGTACAGATACTTCAGTTTACTTTAAACCTGTCAATTTGATAATAAAACATACCTTTATCAAGTTGACTTTATTACTGTTTTTTTTTTATTCTTTTTTTTCCGTGAATTTTAGTCTATAAAGCCTCAAATTCCACAAATTGTTTGTTATTTATATAATATTATTACAGTTTAATGTTTACATGTGTATAACGTTTGTATTGATACAGGCATACATGGATTAATCTTTTATATTATGTTAATAGGGCTCTCAGATGTGAGACACATCTGCTGTATTTCAGCATCGAAATTGACGCCAAAAGCGCTTAAGGCATAAAGTTTGCATTCCAGAAAATGTAGTTTCTATAGATTGTTAAATACAATTCTGGTTTACCTGATACAGCCTCACATTCTTCAGTAACAGGCCAAGCTAGACACAAATGTTGCAGTCTTCTAACACCTATATCTCCTAATACAAGTCTTTTTGAGAGCTTGGAATAGCACCACACACCTCCTCTTGGCCACGCTTTACTTCTTGATGCTTTATCTCAATTTTTTTTTGGGTTGTTGCAAATTCATGAAAATCATCGTTTTTCCATGAGTATTAGCAAGGGAAACTTCTTGAAAATCAAACGATCGCGTTTTTCACGTCAAAAGTGAAGACTTTTCTTATGATACATATTAGATCAAATTGATCGTAAAGATGAAATGCAACATTGGAAACTCTTTCTATAAGACTTTTATATGCTAAATTTTGACATATTCACAGAAAACCTGTTTTCATATTTTTGTAAATTGCTCATTATTTTTGGTCTGAAAGCTGAGAGTACTTAGCACCATTCGATGCGGCTTCTTTAGTTCTTTAGAGACGTATTAGAAAGTTGGGTGTGATAACGACAGTTTTCATAGTCAAATTTAGCAAAAACGTTTAAAGGATGTGAGATCAAGTCAAGTTTGAACACGAAAATACCACTGCATAATTTCAAATTAAACTACCGCAATTACGGCTGCTACGGTACAAGACTGAGACTAAATCTACTGGTCGTGACGTCGGATAGGTTACTCTCTCATTTTTCCCTGCCCCCATTTTTACCCTTTTTGCAAAACGCGTTTTGGTATCAAACCATGGTGGTTTTGGACACCGTTTGACTGATAATAACACTCTAGCTTCCGATAACTTTGTCTTGTACTGTTGGAAGAACTTGATACTGCTTCATTAAAGAGGAATATATTAAGTATCATTCAATAACGGGCACTGGAAGGCGTAGTATTAACACTAATTGAGTTTATTAGGTTTTAATGATTTTTTGCTTGTTTGAGTGAGTGCTGCTGCCATTACTTCTCTGGTATCTCTGCTGTCTGCGTCTTTGGTTTATCATGTCTGGCGGTTGCTTCTTTGGTCTTTGTCTGGTCTCTGCTGGTGGTGTTCGTACTTTGGTTTATCTATGATGCTGGTGCTGGTGCTGCTGCTGGTGCTGCTGCTGGTGCTAATATGGTTTTTCCTGCTCTACTGTGTTTGGTGCATGCTCGTTCTCTGGTGTCGCTCGTTTTTTTTTTGGTTTGTCTATGGTGCTGGTGCTACTGCTGCTGCTGCTAATATGGTCTTTCTTGGTCTACTGTCTTTGGTACATGCTCGTTCTCTGGTTTATATTAAGTGATTGCGTATCCTCTTCTGGTTTATTATCGACGGTGGTGATAAGTGGTAAGTATCTTCTTTCTTCTGGTCGCAATGATATAAACTTCTTTGAACGTTTGTATTGTTGCTTCCTTTCTCATGATAATGCATTCATGATGTTTACTTTTTTGCGTTTTTCTTCTTCTTTTGTTGGTTGTGTTGCTTTACATCCGACTATTACCATGCATGTTGCTCATGTATGGATTTTTGTTGCAACAACAATGAGCTGTTCTGAACGTCTCTGATGTTGTATTTGTTACACTTTTCTTTGACTCACTTTGTGTGAGTATCCCTTTTTTGCCTACGTACTACTATACTCCTATTGTAGTATGTTTCTTTTATTACTATTATGTTTCTTTGAAGCATATCTTTCTTACGTTGTGTGGATGTGCCTATCCCTGAAGCTCAACAAGACTCTGTCCGAGGCTAGGAGGTAGATAGGCTGCCTCCACTTGGTTATCGCTACTTACTTTAGTGATGATTGAGGGTCTCAATGCCAGTATTTAAAGCTAGGTGGTGTAAGTAAGGCATGCTCTAGCACCTGAGGGAAGTTTGATGATAGCAGTGGCTATATTGCTATTATAGCGGCGCTTAAAATTTTGCCTCACATCAAAACAGGGGGAAACCCTCGCAATTTTTTTTAGGTCAGCGGAGTTTTCAAGCAATCTGATTGGCTCAGAGGTTCAGGGATCGAAGGATTCTAGTTAGTTGATTTTTTATTAAGATGTCATTTATAATGAGTTTATGTTTGTAATAAAAGGGTAGCAAAATGGATACAATCTAAAGTCATTAGGATATTTTTGATGGCTGTCCACAGTAGAGGTATCTTATCCAGCCGTAAAACTTAACATAAAGCTTATCCATTGTACTGGAGACTCACCATTAAGAAAAATGGCTAGTGCTGGAAACGCTGAATCTGTATCAGCACTCTGGAGGGTTGGGGAGGAGACAAAAAGCGAAATCTTTTATGAAAGTCGAGCAAATGGAGATTCATGATGCCTTCTACAAATTCTGTGATGCAAGAGCCGGCATCAACAGGTGGTAGTGAAGTCGGACATAGTGGTTTTACCACGGAGCTACACTACCGAAAAGACCAGCTCAAGCCAAGGTATCCAAGATCATTCACTTAAAAGTTACCTTCTGCTACAGTAGTGGCGTTATTGTTTAGGATATAGATCATATCTGAGTGGCAAATGTTTTATTCGTTGTATGATACACTGTAAGGATTGGGCATAAACAGAGATGCGTAAAATATTAAGGCTTCTTTAGTTAGACGCTGCAAAGGGACATGAGTAATAGCATCAAATGGTTAATTTATATCCTGATTCCTGTGCTGTGGTAATAATCTAGATCTTTTGTTCCTGAAAGTGGTGGGCTTCTTCAATTCTGGCAAACGTTCTTTCGTCAAATCTATTACGAAGAGCATTCTTCAATCTTGAATCTTCATCGTTGACCGTACCTGACTGGTGGCCCATCAGCTTTCGGCAGCAAGCATTCGTTAACTGCTTCAAAACTTATACAATTCTCCCTCATTCAAGATTAAGATTCTATTGCTGCTGCGGCACTGCCAAATAGGTATGAGTATATCATCGAAATTTACACTTGTTTTAGTCCTCATTCAATCTTGGAATAACATGATAAATATATTCAGTTCTAATTGTATTTCCTATGTCTATACTTCGTTATTCTGAACACTGTAAACTCCGGTTTTGAGACTGAAAATTTGATTTCAGTAAGAAATCACCGTAGGTGACCAAACGAGGTCTCATTTTGTAGAGCAAACACAGGAGGGGAACAAAAATCAATGAATGGAAAAGTCAGATTGGGTTGACAGTTTATCAAGGAATATCGTTTTAACACTGGTTTTTCTTTAAATAAACGGTGGCGCTCATATGTTTAGCAGCCTTGCAGAATGTGCATACAATGGTCCAGATATAAAGGCTCTAGCATCACCATAAAGCCTTGAATAGTTGTTCTCGCTTTTTCGTAAATTGCGCAGCAAACCTTTGACCCTTTGCTAAACCATAACGAAGCAAGTTATAATCAAGCGGTTTTAAATACGTCGTTTCCCAACAACACCTCATTTAAATATCTGTTAGTCGTATTTAATCGTAATTAACAGGTTGTATTTGAACAAGGAAGCATGTTTAGCAACTAACAAAAGCCGCGCTCGTCTCAAAAAGAAAATAGCCTCAGACTTCATATTGGCTCACAAACAGATTATTTTGAGTCTTGAAGCCATTCATCTTTAAATTTGACAATCTTTCTTTGAGACTATTTCGTGTACAAATACAAAAAAGCTGCATGCAACTAGGGATCCAAGTGAGGATGACACTTCGATTGCTTTTATAACTGGAAACAACTATACTTTGTATTCAGGCTGATGGCTGATATTTTTAAAAGAGCCCGATGTGGCCCTTGAGACGCAGTCGAAAGCTAGAGATGCAATTGATCGCTGCGGTAGTTATTTTCTTGTTTATTCGTGCACTAAAGTGATGATGGTTGTGTCTACAAACCTTTTCAAGCTCATACTACAAAAAAAAAAAAGTAAATGCAAATGCATGCTTTTATGCTTCTCTTAAAAGCTTGATGGCAATGAAGTATGATTGATCGATCACCTCTTGAATCTAGACCTGAATAATCTCCAATGCAAATCTAGCTCATGCTGAATCGAATATCTGTGTGATTGGAGTAATGTTTGCTTCTTTGAAATTCATGCTGGGGAGCAAGACTCTTAGTAATGAAGATGAGTGGTTCTGACCAAATACGCAACAATATCAAACGCACTTTGATAAAGTAGGCCTTTGTCATCTTCAATTTTTGCATGAAGCTTCAAATCATTGTAAATACAAATGATCGCAACTATTTTCAACAATTTTTTTCTATATATGCAAGCTTTGTGTGGATTAAGATGGAACCATTTTGAATGACGTATCCTGGGACAAATGTATCTATAGTTCCCTCAACTTAGTAGTAATATCAATGCAAATGGATAACTTTTTTTTTCTCCTTCAAGCAATGTTAAGATTAGAGCATAAGATGAAAAAGTAAAATAGCAATGAATTTATTTCATTCAAGCAGTTCTTAAAATCAAATGTACACCACTATCAGTCCAAACAGGCTTACTCAATTCACCTACTTGAAGCGCAAAGGTAGCATCTTCAAAAGGCTTTTGCATTTGACCCCTTTCAAAGTAGCCCAAATCACCGCCACGTTTGGCACTTGAGCAATCAGAAAAGTGAGTAGCTAAAGCAGATAATGTCTCTTGACCAGCCTCAATCTTCTTTTGGTATTCTGTCAGAATTTCCAAAGCTTCCTCCTTGGTGCGAGTGATGTTTTCCTCTCTCCATGAACTAGGTCTTCTCGATTCTCTGCTTTTGACTAGTAGATGACTAGCTCTCACTCGATCAATTTCTCCTGCTACTGTAGGAGCATCCCAACGCGATTCCTTTGAAACTGTGTTGAAGTAATAATCCTTGTTGTAGGTACGAGAGTGACGCACAACCCAATTCTCTGGTAAATCCTACAGTATCATATCAATATGGTGCTTTGTTACATGTTTATGTCGCCGCTCTTGAATGTATGTTGATACGCGACTGTAAAATTGACCTACCATTTTATTCTATATACTAATGTGTGTTGCATGTCAGTTCACTGTTTAATTGATTTTATAATTGAGCTCACTTACATTCAAATTAAGTTTATCAGATATCCAGATGTGTAATATCAAATGTTTAATTTGGAAAATAAAGAGTCCAGTGTAAAGAAATGTTTCTGTTGACGATGCAACTCCTTAATTTACGTCGCTTCTTGAAGATGGATGTCGGCATTCCTCCAACTGGTCTCCAGCCAATAAACGCATTTCCTTAATGATGGATCAAGGGCAGTGCAGTCTATAACTCATTGCTCTTTTGGCTGCTACAAACGTGGATATCTGTAAAGAACATCCATTTATAATTACAGTAATAAATTAGAGTGTTTGTATATTTGATTATTGCAGGTAAAACGTGGTTACGGAGACATAAATTTGGCATGCTAATCTGCAACGTTGCAGGTTGCAAAATTTGCAAAACCATACTACACTATGAAATGTACTATCATAACATAATGAATTTATAGTCTATAGACACGTTTGCGGCACTATTATAAAAGCTGAGTTGTCAGGCGTTTGTCAAGTATGGCTCATATATGATTAGAGATTTTATATTAAATTGCTATCAATCAACAACAATCAAGTTTCTTCTAACACTTTAGCTATTACTAATTTTGCAATATTGGACAAAGACCCGTGGCAGCGCGAGCCACCTGAACGCAGTTTGGCTTCCATCAAAGTAAAGTGTATGTCAGGAAACCACCCGAAGAGTCAAAAGGCTCATTGCAACATAATCAATTTATGGTCTCTAGACACTTTTAACGCCTCAAAAAGAAACGAAGTTAATCTAACAAGTATTTTGATAGACTGGCATTATTGAATACAGAATGCAATAAAATAGCATATCTGACGATAGTGCTATGCAATTTGCCACCTACTTTCCATGCGCTTCAAAAGCATCTATTACTGTATTGCCTTCATGGTGGAAAGGGTATTGAGTTTGCCAGCCGGCCCCACCAGCCAAAATTAATTTAAATTCAGACTCTTAGTCTACTCTAGATTGGCCAGATTTTGATTATTTTTCGACTTGATTGAACTATTTTGCCAGAGTCGCCTATAAAAAATATAATAATCATCCCGAGCTTCTTTAAGCTTTCTTGGAGTGCTTCTCAAGGCGCATCCAATGGTGCCAAGTAAGATGGATGTTTTGAATAAGCTTATTGAGCAATTTGTGAAAATATGAAAAGAGGTTTCTGGCCAAAATGTTGAAATTTTACATATCAAAGTCCCACAAAGATGATTTCAGGGTTTACGTTGGATCGATAGAAACACTTTGAATTAATATATACCATAGCAAAAGTCTTCATTATCGAGGTCAAAAACGCGGTCGTTTGATTTTTGATGAAAAGCATGAGGGGTACCTCATGCTTTTTGGTCGAATTTTGACAATGTTTTTTTGGTCCCCAAAAAGTTGAGCAAAGGTGTCTGAAAGTAACTGCCAGATGAGAGCAATTGTTTGGTGCTATTCTTACGATCTAAAACGGCCTTGAACACGAGAAAACACGACTTAAATGCACTCAGATTTCGCTGTATCAGGGACACTAGGAGTTATAAAGGGGAAATACCAGCATGCTGCTTGCCCGTATATGGAGTAGCTACGCGTATATGGATGTAGAGCATCACACAAGAATCAGATCCGCAGATAATATGAAGGGGTTTCATATGTAAGTGGTAGGTTGATAAGATACGCAAGGGCAATCGGTAGCGCGGGCTGCCGCTACGCAGGTTGGTTCTCACCGAAACAAAGCGAAGGTAGAGAGCCATCCGAAGCATAAACACTCGTAATATTAACAAAAAAAAATCGAATATTCATACTACTACAAGCATATCAAGAAGCAGAACGTAATGCAGTATATGTAATACACATCTTCTTCGTCCAGCTTTTCCGAATGCAATGATATGATGAATGGCATGCATTCGAGCTAGCCAACTATTGTTTTAAAGGCTCTCAACGATTAAAATGCTTACTGCATTGCATGGAACATGCTAGGTAGTGTACATTTTATTGACTACTATGGGATCAATCGTCAAAAAATGGATCTAGGTCCACATTATCCAGGGTGCCTCGAGTAGACGCACGAGATCGGTTGGGTGTTCTCTCTGAAGTAGGTGTCAATCGGCGTCTATCAACATCATCTTTGTCTGTAATTTCCACTGCATCATCTTGGTCATCTAAATCAAGCATTAAACTCACATCAGTAGAAAGACGTTCTGCATCCACACGATCATTGTCATCCAATACAGGTATATTCTTGATTTGCTCTTGCGGTGTGGATGTGCCTGATTGCTTTGGTGTTGGTTCACTTTTATCTGGATCCTCAAATAGTGTCAGCTTGGAATGAGGTACAATGGGGGGCCCTCCGGGACTGTCAGGCGAAGCGTCGTGGTCAGCATGTGTGCCTGTTTCTGCAGAGTTACGATGCATGATATTCAAGAGTGTGCGACGCAATGCTGATTCAGTGTTGGTGTGATCTGGGGCTGTGTCATTCATGGGCGGAGACACGAATAATACAGTCGAAGACGCATTGTCGGCTACAATGGCAGATCGAGAAGCACTGGATTTTTGAGCACGATTGACAGCTTTGGTGAAGATGGTATCATAGCAGGTCAATAGATCACGTACAAGTCTCTTAGGATGGCGGTCATGCATATTTATTGAAGACGTTGTTCTTGGTCGTATCAAGATGTAGGCAAACATGGATGTCAGCTGATTGAGCAAGTCTTCGTCGTTGGTTTGTTTCAACAATCTATATATATGTTGTTTAATGGCTATTACACAAGTGTATAAGCTAAAAAAAGTAGTACTTACTTGAATAGATGATGTGATAAAGCCTTCAGTGTATGGTAATTGGGGGACGGTAGAGTGGCTAGCAGTTTACTGACAGACATCAGTCGACTCTCGGTGCCTTGTGGAGTAGCATAAAGAATTTTGACGGGGTCGTACAAGTCAAATGTTAACAAACACTCAGGCAGTTCCAACAGATAGACTCGAATGATGTTGGCGAGTTCATTCAGGTTGAATGTCTCTAGTATCTGCTTCAGTTTAGAGCCTGCTAAACTATCAATTTCATCACACAGTTTGTTCAATTCCTTCATTGGTATCATATTGGACCATATATCCTTGGTAAGCTTAATAAGTTCGTCTTTTTTCTTTAGCGCAAGACCTATTTTAATCAGTTTAAGTCACCTCTTTGTTCACCATTTGACTTGCTTACCTGCATCAATGATTTTGAGGCCCTTGTTGACAATGGGAGGCACGTACGAGCCATAGATTTGAGCTACTTCTTCCAATGGCACACCAAAGATCTGATCAATAGCAGCTCCGTGATAATAGTTTTCATACACCATGGGTCGAGGGCAGTATTCGCCTGTCTTGAACTGTTCTACAATATAATGAATATCTTGCTCGGGTTTCAACGGCTCCTGAAAGAGTGTAATTCGGCTGTAGGCCTCTTTAAACATGGACAGTGTGCCAGTCAATGTAGTTGCCATAGTTATGAAAGCTAAAATAAGCATGAGCACATGTTGCATCAGAAGTCAAAATCAAAATGTTACCGTGCTTGATCGCATTGATTCTATCCATTTCCAGTTGCTGCATTTCATCAAAATGAGTGGCCTATATCATATTATTAATAACTTTGATTAGTTTCAACATATATTTACAGTACATACCAGGCTTTCCTCGAGTGATTTCCTCATTTGATTTACTGCCTTGATTTTCTTTTTGTAAGCATCATCCGCCTCCACCATTTCTGTATGCGCTTTGGTAGTGAGGTCTACAGCAGACTTCTTTCGAGATGAAAAACGGCCAAAGAATCCACTGATAGCATTGGATGTCGCATTGCCGTTTGATGGAGAACGAGACGAAGAGGGCACTTCCAATGTCATGCTCACCTCACCTTCATGTGCTGGTTCCGGCTGGCCATTATCCACACTGCGTCGAATACGGGTCTTGCGCAGATAACGCTCTACCACATTCTGCTGCACTTCGTAGTACTGATCCTGGTTAAATCCACTCTTTTCCTTGGGCACACAGCGCAAGAATTTCAGTGCCACCAGATGTTTGCATATTTCCTGTGATTCCGTGTCCAGCGTCACTTCCTGTTGCTGCGAGGTGTGCGGTGGGGTAGCACAATAGTCTCGAATCCATTCAAAGATGTGCTTTCCTAGGTATTTCTGAGGTGCTGTTGGGCCGGCTTTGGTGCCTTCAATCATCTTTTGCATTCTGTTGACAGCTCTTGCGACATCTCTGTAGGGCAGCACTGTGCATTTGCCTAATCGAACGCCTCCACGATCCACATTGAGTTCTGACGTTACAGAACTGGATCGCTGCCTTCCACCTACAAACTGAGCATCCTTGACATCATCCTCATCACCTTCATTCAGGTCATCATTCTCCTCGTCATCGTCTTCTTGGAATCCAAAAGGGACGGGTGGTCTGAAATCTGGACATGCCAATTCAAGCGCTCGGCATCGAGACCAGTACACGGACCTTGTGAGTAATGCAGATTGAGCAGCATGCTCAAATTCCAAGATATCCTCTTCCAATCTCGACCTTTTGCTCTGCAATTGGTCCTTGAATAAGCGAGAAAAGCTGGCCAATGGTTCCAGAACATCCTGCGCTAACACGTTTGCTCGCATTCGATGGCAACGGGCAGTTTCTGTACTCTCGTGACATACCATGTCAAAGGAGCTCTTCAAGCTAGCGTTCATGGTCGACTCTACAGAGGCAGAGGCAGATGCCATGGCAGATGAGAGGTCAGATAGCATCAAGTCGGCGCACGCGTTCTCCGTATCAATGCGCTTTTGCAAGTAGGTGGTAATGGTATCATTCTCAAGCGCAGATGTGGATAGTTTGTCATGAAGCGCATGTAATCCAATAGTGTAGTTGGGTATTGGCTCTGTGGCGGCTACAGGGGACCAGAAAGCATCTCTAAAGTTGTCTTGCATGATAGTGTAATGGAAAGACGGAAGAAATACTAGCCTCTATTTTTTTTACACTTCCGAGACACAGAAGACGGTTATTTGAATGGCCCCATTTGCATATAGAGAGAACAATAAGCGCCCTTACTGCTTTTTCCCTCTTTTGCTGGTCTAACAACTGCTGTTGCTGTGGTACAAATCACCTTTGCATGACCTGACTTAGCCGTCATATCAACTTGTTCCCAATTACTCGTGACACATAACACACATTCTCTTTTCTTATTTACCATTTCTCACTGAATGTCTGTTGAAGAAAAACGGCCTGCCAAGAGGCGCAGAATACAACATGAACAGGCCATCCAACGACTGGATCTCCAGCGTTTTACACAGTATTTCACGCCAGATGCGGCCATCATCATTGGAAGGTATGTAGATAGTTATCGCCATCTACACGCCGTATATTTTGACTGATTTGTCTGTCCGAACAGCTATGTCAGGGTGATTCTCCATTTTGTAGGTATAGCCATTATTTTATACGTATTGTATCGAACTCTGGAATCATTCACAGTCGAAATTCAAGCACGGTATCACTACGAGATGGATGGTATGGAACAGGTTGACGGATCAAATCATGAGCGAGATTGCTTACATAATACCCTACAGAGTTGGCAGAAAAAGCACGCATTTGCCATCGGAATTATGTGAATCACAATTGTGGACCTCACTTGAAGGGTGCTGTGTGGCAGAGCTTTTGCGATGAATGGGACAGATATCCTTTTTATAATAACTTGATCTGATGTAAACGCTTGTTGGTATTACACTTGATATGGTGCCTTCACTCTTGGATTACATGTAGGCAATTCCAAGCACATACTGTAGGGAAAACAAAGATTGCCGCGCAGGTGTTTGGGGAAGTGACGAATGGATTTGTCGAACCACTGACGTTAAAAGCGATGGTAAGTATGCTGTGCTAGATGCAGAGGAAGGGAGGCTATCTAACTGATGCCATAAGTTGATCATTTGCTTGCTTTTGTTTGGGCTTTTTATTGTGTCAAGCTTGATTGTGGTGTAGCATGAATACTCTATCAGCATGGTATTCCATTCTAGTAGCAGATGTATGTGGTGTCGCTGATGAAATCATCTGTTTATGAATAGCCTAAAGGCTGGTCTCTTCTGAATTGTACAAAACTGTCTCTCTCTTCTTTTCATGTCTGCCTTGAAAGTACTCTTATTTGGTATTGTTTCTCCAACGCTCTTGGTAAATGCTGATCTTGTATGTATGTGCAATGGCTAAACTGATTTTCAAATAAAGATTTCTTCAATGCAATGGGTCATGTCTCTCGTTGCGCTACTTTTACTTCAACACATGTATCAGCTGCTGTGCAATGCCATTCAACATTGGATTTCCAAGGTCCCTACCAAAGATTAAGCAAGTGGTTGTCATGCATGTGCAGTCTTCATCATAGACTGAGACTGCGCTCACAGTTGCTTACAAACGCTAGTTGAAAAATTACACACCTGCCTTCATCTTTTTGCTCATGTCCCTTATTCCTGCTACTCGAAATAAAAGACTCATCAGACCAGAGCAAGATACTTTACAATGGAATCTAACTCAAGGCCATTCTAAAAGACATTGCAGCCTGGCCCTCCATGAAAGACATCAGTCCAATCATTCGATAACAACAAAAGAGATAGCTAGCAAGTTTGTACAGTTTTTATATAATACCAAAGAGGTGTGATTTTGATCATGATAGTGAAAAAAAAAAAAGAAGAGATTACTCACCTATACAATGTTATAGGCAGATATAAAGCTAGCTCAGTTTGCAAAAGACATTACATTTATGTGTCAGAATGTATCATTCTCATCGGTACAGTTCAACCAGATTGTAAGCGAGCAAGCTGTCAATACTGTTCGACTGCTTGAATACTACTACAAGCTCTACATTCGCCTCGAAATACTTGCTTTAAGTCTGCCATCTATTCTTCAACACGTAGAGAACTTGGACGAAACATTGCTTGATTTGATCAGTCAAAATGAAGATGTTGCTAAAGGTAATATTTATGCTTGTGCGCCACAGGAGAGCTTGACACTCACATTGGCGCAGCCTACATACCACACCTGTCCGAAGAACTACTAGACCAATTCTTTGAGAAAGACGGCAGACAACTGACAAGCTGGACAGCCTTGATGACACCCCACACTGCGCAACGACTGCACTTGATACTGGAATACTATGCTGATTGCATGCCGTTTAATCAGCTCAAAGCCATTTTGATCCGCCTAATGAGCTTCCACAAGGTTCGCCCTAAAAATGATGATGAGAACCCCAATATATGCTTTTATCGACAATTGAGACATGTCAAGCAATCTTTGTTCAGCTCGACAATACAGAGACAAACTAAAGCGTACGACTCCTTTCTTGCCAAGAAGTCCATCTACCTGCTGATATCGCAGTGGTTTTTTGAATTCAATGTGGCATCTGAGAACAGCTTAACACAGTTTATAGCTCATATTGCATCCACGGGTTCCAGTCTTGAGAGGGTGGGTATCTTTCGTGAATCACTAGTGTGTATATGATGCTGACGGATGGCTGCTCGACTAGGGATCTGAAGTGATGGACATGTCCGTATTACTCTACTCGTATTTCACGGCTTGCAAAGACTTGAATGCTTCAGGAGGCGATGTGTTACGTATCTTTGATATCATTGAAGCTGTCAATACTGCTGTGAGGCAATCGCTTGAACGAGACGAGTCGAGTGAGTTGGGTGTCATCTTGACATTGACTCAGATCGCATTGGAACACATGCACGCGTCTGTTGGCTACACGTATGCTAGTTGGTTTGAGGTATATTACTGTAATGCTAGATACATACATCAGCTCACCACACGTAAAATGTAGGCAACATTTGTATCAAGTAGCAGTATACTAGACAAACGAACCAGCACAGTATTTATCAAGATTTTGCTTCAAATGACGCTGTATGAACTACCCAGCGTCCTTCAGATACACGGAAAAGCATTGTCCAATTGTTCAACCATTCCAAACTCGCAAGTGTATGTATCTGCTGTGCGTAAACGGCTGTTGGAGTTGGGAGTAAGTGTGCTATACGAACTGGCCTCGGGATACGCTTACCGATTCATTTTGCGTGTAGTTGAATCAACATTTGAAAAATTACCCTACTTCGATAATGACTCCTTTGCGAGCAGAAAGCATCACCGAAACACTGAACATACCCGATGAAGTAGAGGAAGTGCTGCAACAATTCACACAAAAGAACAACACTGTACCAAAAACACTACTACAGGCCTCTGTGTTCCATAGACAATGGTTCGTTTTCACATTTCTACCGAAACTATTCGCTTGGCAGGGCAGACACATGGAGACTCGCAACAATCTCATCATGGCCCTCAAAAAGCTAAACAAGATACCCGATAGTCTGTACAAACCCTTCATGCAACAGCAGCAGCAGAAAATCAAGCGCAAATAAGCAGCATGTATATACTATCCGTTTATTCTACTATCGCCTACAACTCTCGCTTGACATACTTCATAGTCTCGATATCTACAACAATCTTATCACCTTCATTCACAAATTCAGGCACCTGTAATTTAGCGCCGTTGGTTAAATTAGCAGTTTTGTAAACAGTGCCCTTTGCAGCTTGACCAGCACGATCTACAACGGATTGCACTGTGTAAGTGTAGTTGGATGGTAGTTTGAATGTACAGGGTTGTCTGCCCTGTTCTGGTGTAGTCAAGAAACTGACGGCGATAGGCATAGAGTCTAATACAGAGGAGATAATGAGTCATCATGAATGTCAAGCAAAAAGCACAACGTTTTTACATACCTTCCAGCATAGCAACAGATCTGTCGCCACCCTCGCATTTAGAAGCTGTCATTTCGATTTCCTCGAATGTCTCCAAGTTTAATAAATGAATTTGATCACCTTCAGAGTACAAGTATTGATAGGCCTCATCAGCTAAATTCAAGACTGGAAGAAAGCATCTTATTTAGTCAATACGATGCAATAAATTCGAGGCTCTCTTACTCACTTTCCAACGAATCTCCAGACTTGAAACGTTCATTGATCTTGGCAGGCGACAAGATGTCCTGCAATTCCATCTTGACCACAGCACCACCTCTTCCAGTAGACACATGGTCTCTGGTCAACACTCTCCATGGCTTGTCCTTGAATTGAACAATCTGGCCCTTCTTGATGGAGCCTACACTCAACTTATAGAACCGCTTGGCAGACCAACATGTAGCGCGAGGTGCATCATGTGTCCATTGATGAGAGGCTTGCTTTGCTAATCTTGCTAGTGTGTATGACATTGGATGAGTCAAAAAAGAGGCACAGCAGTAAAAAGAAACAAGCGCATTAATTCCAGGCAAGGGGCAAATCAAGTTTAAGCCACTAAAATGTGCCATTCAGCTCCTACTGAATCCCGAGATATAAAAAAAACTGTTACTCATCCATTCATTCAGTGGCAAGACATCTCTTTTCTCTTACTAACAACCAATGGCTGATTTGAGCAAAGACATTCAAGACCTGAAGCTGGAAGGTACAGCTATCAAAGTAGCTCCCGCTGGCGCTGCTGACAATGCTCAACAAAATGTCACACCTTGGGATGTGGAAGGCGCTGTCGTAGATGGTGTTCAACAAGCTATCGATTACAACAAACTCATTGACCAGTTCGGTACAAGGCCTATTGACGATGCTCTGTTGGAACGTTTCGAAAAGTTGACTGGCCGTAAGCCTCACATTTTCTTGAGAAGAGGTACCTTTTTCTCTCACAGGTAAACTCAATGTCTAGTTTGCAATCGAACGGTAGACTGATAAAGTATACGCGAAATCCACTATAGAGAGTTCAACTTGATTCTTGATCGTTACGAACAAAAGAAGCCCTTCTTTTTGTACACGGGCCGTGGTCCTTCCAGTGCATCGATGCATTTGGGACATATGGTCCCTTTTGTCTTCTGTCAGTAAGTAGTGTAGAGGATTGTGAATTATGGAGTGTCTAACATGCGCATGTCAAGATGGTTGCAAGATGTCTTTGATGTCCCTATTGTCATTCAATTGACTGACGATGAAAAGTTCTTGTTCAAGTCTAACTTGACCGTTGAAATGTGTCGTCAATTCGCCATTGATAATGCTACTGATATCATTGCTTGTGGTTTCAACCCTGAAAAGACATTCATCTTCTCCAACTTTGATTTCGTTGGGTAAGTAAGCAACACACCAGAGGAGGGACTATGCAGTGATATTGACACATCTGTTCAGCCAAGAGTTCTATCACAATGTCGTTCGCATTGCTCGCTGCATCACATTGTCCCAATCCAAGGCCACTTTTGGTTTCAATGATAGGTAAGTAACTGGGATTATGTCAGATAGTGCAAGTCTGCTCACATGGGTGTTATGTAACCAGCGATAACATTGGCAAGGCTCACTTTGTCTCTGTCCAAGCTGCCCCTTCCTTCTCCAACTCGTTCCCTCACATCTTTGGCGGCAAGAAGGATATCCCCTGTTTGATTCCCTGTGCTATCGATCAAGACCCTTATTTCCGCTTGACCCGTGATGTGGCAAAGAGATTAAAGTACCCCAAGCCAGCTCTCATTCATGCTAAATTCTTCCCAGCCCTTCAAGGCCCTCAAACCAAGATGAGTGCCTCTGTGGATACATCCGCCATCTTCATGACAGACACTGCCAAGCAAATCAAGAACAAGATCAACAAGCACGCCTTCTCTGGTGGAGGAGCTACTCTTGAGGAACATCAGGCCAACGGTGGTAATCCCGACGTGGATGTAGCCTACCAATACCTCTCCTTCTTCTTGGAGGATGATGAAGAACTGAAAAAGATCCACGATTCTTACAAGTCGGGTGAATTGATGACTGGCGAGCTCAAGAAGATTTGCATCGAGTTGTTGCAAAAGTTTGTTGGTGATTTCCAAGAGAGAAAGAGCAAGATTACACCCGAAACCATTGCCTATTTCATGGACTCTACTAGAAAGATTGATGCCTCTTTGAAATAAATTTTTTTGAGTGTGTACCTGTGTAACCTGCATTTTGATTTGAAGGGGGTGTTTAATAGTTGCGAGGGGTGATGGAGTAGCGTGTGTTTGTTTTACTTGTTTCTTTCCATTCCTCTGCACAAACAGTATGTCTACCAAACGATCAGGCTCAAGGATCCCTTCAGCCGCTTCTCATCGCAACGACACTGCCTCTACATTCTCCACAAACGAATCAACCACTGGCAGCAGACAGCGTCAATCCAAGCGAGATGAGGTAAAGTAGCAGATGTACGCGGAAATTTCAGTTGGCTCATTCGTAACTGGATGTTGCATGTAGGCCATTCGAAAGAAGCTGGAGTCAGAGCTGTCCAAAAAGAAGACTGGATCAAAGCGAGTGCGTCAAACTCGTAAGATTGCAGGCACCGTTTCAGCACTTCGACCTGCTCAAGCACTTACTGTAAAGGAAAACATGTTGGTCATTGAGGCATCTCAACTGATGGCCGCAAAGAGAAGTGATTGTGTGTTGGTGGTAGACGAAGACGACCATCTCAGTGGTATTTTCACTGCCAAAGATCTTGCCTACCGAGTCGTTGCCGAGTCGTTGGATGCAAGGTAAAAGTGACGATGATAGATGTAGGGTCTATGCTAAATGTACCAATTACAGAGATACCACAGTAGCCAAAATTATGACCAAGGGCCCCATGTGTGTCACTTCTGATACATCTGCAACTGATGCCTTGAATCTGATGGTGTCCCGTGGCTTCCGTCACTTGGTAAGTCTACAAGTGCTACTACTGCAGACAAAGGCTCACTCATACTACTTTTATAGCCTGTCTGTAACGAGGAGGGCGACATCTTTGGATTGTTGGATATCACCAAATGCTTGTACGAAGCATTGGACAAGATGGAAAGAGCGTTTGGCTCTTCTCGCAAGTTATACGACGCTTTGGAGGGTGTCGAAAAGGAGTGGTCCAACTCGCCCATTCAGTTGGTGCAATACATGGAGGCTTTGCGTGACAAGATGGAGTGTCCCGACTTGAATTCAGTGCTGGACGGTTTAGCGCCTGCCGAAGTCAGCGTAAAGACCAATGTTCGTGATGTTGCACGTATGATGAAAGAGTATCACACGACTGCTGTCCTGGTTACAGATAGAGATGGTTTAGCTGGTATCTTTACAACAAAGGATGTTGTGCTACGTGTAATTGCTGCTGGCTTGCATCCAGAGAACTGCTCAGTTGTTCGAGTCATGACGCCCCACCCGGATACAGCGTCGCCTCAAATGTCAATTATGGACGCTTTAAGAAAGATGCATGGCAAGTAGTAGAGTAGATGATGTCTCACTGGTAGCCTTGTCTAACCTTGCTTTGATAGATGGCCATTACCTCAACCTCCCAGTCATTGAGGACGGTGATGTGATCGGTATTGTGGATGTCCTGAAGTTGACTTACGCTACGATGGAGCAAATCAACAGTATTCAGGGCAACGACGGCGAAGGTCCCATGTGGGGCCGCTTTTGGGACAGCTTTGGAGCTGCAGATCAGCATGAATCAGAATCACAGCTATCAGATCCCCTTTCCTCACAACTCCTCTCAGCGCATTCACAGAATAGCAATACCAATGGCAATGGCGGCATCGCTCGTGCCATCTCACCAGAGCCATCTGCCTCCTTCTCTCAACTGCAAGGATTCTCTGAAATCACGCCCAACGAATCAGCCAGCATGGTCGCCAATAACGAGGAAAACCGTTCCACCATGTCAGAAGATACCAGAGCCATGGGCAAAGGGGAGGATGTGTTCTCTTTCAAGTTCACCAGTGATGGCGGAAAGACACATCGATTTGCATCTGTGTACAATAGCTATGCGGCACTTTTAGAAGCAGTGCGTCAAAAAGTGATTGGAGAGCATTTGGCTCATCTCGGTGCTAGCCCTGATGATGTGCCTGTTGAATCCTGGTTGAGCATCTCTTACTTGGATGATGAGGAGGATCAAGTGTTGATTACATCAGATGCCGATGTCTTGGATGCTGTCAAATTAGCTCGCAAAATGGGTCAAGACCGTGTCAAATTGTTTGTGCATGATGCCACTGAAAAGGAGGAGGAGATAGTCGTGGCTGAGGAACCCGCAGTGATGGAGCCTCCCGTTGCTGTGGTAGAGGAAAAAGTGTTGGAGTCAGTTGCACCTCCTGCTGTCACTCCTGCTCCACCTACCATCGAAGTAACTGAGCCTCGCCATGAAAAGAAGAGCAAGAGACGCAGCGTCAGAAAGGAAGTCGAGACATCTGATTCAGAAGAGGAGGACACACATGGCAGCAGCAGAGGCCGCAATAAGCAGGAAGGTGCTACAGTGGCAGGCATTCCTCAAGAACTGGTGTTGCCTGCAGCCATCGCCTTTCTGGGTGTTGTCATTGTGGGCGTGTTTGCCTTCTCCAGAGTAAGCTCAAATCACCGTTAAATCATACCGAGACCCATATTAGTAGATCCAAATCACAAGCATGCCCCCATTACTATATCAATATATTTATGTATTTAAGAATAAACAGAACCCTTTTATTTGTAATTACAACGTGATAAAGCATCAGCAGATCAACAATTTATGGTTAAACTGAGGAAGGGGTAAAAACTGATCTGAAAAAGTTTATTTGGCAGCAGCAGACTCTGTACCCTTCTTTTTGGGTGGAGGCGGTATCTTCTTCTTTTTCTTCATGGCTAATGGGTTCACACCTTTCACCTTTCTCTTCTTGGGATATGGCTTGTGCGCATCCGCCTTCTTTTCCTCTTCTTCGTTCGAGAACAAAGCTCTTTTGATTCTCAAGGTATCTTTGTCTAATGGCTTGACTTTTTCCATTTCATGCAACTTCATCACTTGTTTCGACTTGTCCGTCATTGGTTCAAGACCGAGACCTTGCTGTTTAACATTAACATAAATGATGGGCACGCCGGGAATCTTTCTCATACGGTCCTTGAGCTTGGGGTTTTGAGTAGCAACACAAAAATGCTGCTTATTCTCGGTGCCAACGAGGTCTCGAATACATTGATAGCTGGAAACAGGTGTCTCCTTGTGTGGACAACGTCTTGCTTCTGATTTCTTGGCTAGAATGTAGGCACTGGTGAAGTCATGGCCTCTGGATTTGATGTCTTTCAAGATACATTCGGTTACCACTACGTGGATCAGTCAGTACGGCATATACATAGATTATGCCTGTGATTTGCCTACCTAGACGAGTAACATCGCCCATTAAGAGAGGAAGCGCATCTTTGATGTACACCTGCTTTTCTAGAGCCGCTTTACAAAAGTCACCATCCACTAATTCAAAACTGTCAATTATCTCAAAATAACAATGGCATGTTGAGCAATCGTAGGTTACTTACTTAAGATTTGATATGGAGGTCGAAAGCCGAACCCCACTGAATAAGCGTGCACAGTCTTCTTGTTTGATCTTGATGCTTTTGTCATGTTATGTGATTGCTTAAATGTTGAACAGAAAGAGAAAGATCTCCTTACACTATAGAAAATCTTTTTCATTTCACCATGGATGTGACTATTTGGAACAACCGCCTTGACACAAGAGAGAGAGAGGATTGCTGCTGGGGATCAAAAAAAGAAGGTCTGGTTTGTGGAAGGGAGGAGCTTCTTTTCTGTCAAGGGGCCTGTAACTAAAAAACATCTCTCTCCCTCTTTTTTTTTTTGTCCTTCACTTCTTCATATGTCTAACTTATTGAAGCTGGCCCGTATTTTGCCTGCCAATGCGGCTACTCGTGTTGTCAGTCGTCAAATGGCTCCCTCCATGATGAGTGTCACTGCCAAAAGATTTGCCAGCAACTACCACCAACATCAACACCAACAACAACAACAAGATGACATTCTTCAGTACAGAGAAAAGCCCGAATCATTATCTTACTTTACTGGCAACTTCAAGTACAACGATCTCTTGATTGAACTCGATGCACTTTACAAAAAGTTCGAGGGTTGGAAGCCTACAGATCATATTGAAGCCAATGTGCCATCTGACCTTGTTCAAATCACGGATGACAAGGCTTATTCCTGGAAGTTGCGTGACAAAATGTCAGAATTGCTCAGTATCCCTCTCACTACTTCGCAATGGAGAAAAATCACAGCTCATCTCAGCACTCTTGCTTCTCTTCCCAAGCCATTACCTCCATCTGTAGAGAAGATTTTAGAGCCCTATCAAAGATTCGATGCCGCTCATCAAAACAGTGGTGAAGTCAAGTCTCGCACCTTGGATGAAATGGGCCGTGCTTATGCTGTGGGTCGCAGAAAGGAGTCCAGTGCTAGATGCTATCTTGTTGAAGGCGAGGGTAAGGTGCTTGTCAATGGCTTAGAGCTGGAGCAATACTTTCAAAGATCTGTCGACAGAAATGAAGTGACTTTACCATTGGATGTGACAGAACTGAAAGATAAATTCAATGCTTGGATCGTTGTGAAGGGTGGTGGAAGCACAGGTAAATTGAAGCATAGTGAATGCGTCTCGAGTTGATAATTGATTCTCTTGTTGGGTGTCTTCAGGTCAAGCACAAGCTATCAAACTGGGTCTCGGTAAGGCCTTGTTGATCCATAACGGTGAATTAAAGCCTGCTTTGCGTAAAGGTAAGTTGCCATGAAGCATGCAATGCGGCCAGATATTAACTTGCGTCATTCTTATAGCTGGTTGTATTACTCGTGATCCCAGAGTTGTTGAACGTAAGAAGGAAGGTCAAAGAAAGGCTCGTGCAAAGTATACCTGGGTCAAGCGTTAAAGAAGTCTCTGTCTTTTCTACTATGTTGCTGTATATTTGTTTTATATTATAAAAAAGGATAATAAAAAAGAAGCCCTATCATTATTTAGAATTCAACATTGACATCTGCCTCTACATTTATATGGTTTTTTTTTTTTTTTTTTTTTTACCTTGGCTCTCCATTTATCGCTATGGGCTGTGTCGCACATTCCACAAATATAAACCTTTTCGCTTTCCACTATCCAGCGAGGACCCCCGATAAGTGTGAATGTGAGTTTCCTCAAGTGCTCTATGTCTGTGTCAATGGAAGCAACTCGTATACAAATAGGCAACATACATCTATGACCTCCCACCGCTCAAGAATATGCAAATCACAGCAAAATTTGGGTGCATTTGAGCCGTGATTTCTCGTGTTAAAAGCCGGTTTGGATCGCCAGAATAGCACCAAACTAATGCTCTCGTCTCGCACGACCTTTCTGACACCTTTGTTCAACTTTTTCCAGATCGTCGAAAATCGAACAAAAACCATGAGGTATCCCTCATGGTTTCTATCGAAAATCAAACGATCGCTTTTTTGACAGCAAAAATGAAAACTTTTACTAATATACATATCAGATCAAAATGTTTCATTCGATCCAAAGTAACTCTTGAAACTTTGTTTATGAGGTTTTCATATGCAAAATCTCTACATTTTGGCCAAAAACCATATTTTATACTTTCTAATATTTCTCAATAATTCTGTTCAAAACTCTTGACAAGATTAGCACCATCGGATGCGCCTTGAAAAGCACTTGTAGGAAGCTTAAGAGAGCATGGCATGACCACCTCAATTCTCATAGTCGAAATTGATAAAATAATTCAAACAAGTCGAAAATCGTTTGGAATTTCCCGTTTCGAATGGGAAATGTGATGGTCGGACATTTAAATAGATTTGGCTTGCAAAAGGCATTCTCATGAAGGCTATCGATGATTCTGAAGCTAATGTCCCCTATAGTACGATCGCTTTGGTTTGTTGTGTTTATTCTAATTCTGCTTAAGCAACTCAATATATGATATCTCAAGTGAAAAAAGGGATACATCCTACATTTTAGGTGCTTAGTACTTATTGATGAATGAGGACAACATATTCACTCTAGGTAAAGCAATGTCATCTTCACAACCAAGATTAGCGCTACAAAATCTCTTCTCATATTGTTTGTATGGTATACCTGCTGTGGGAGCACTAGTACTGGTCTCTCGGGATGCATACATTGCCCATCAAAATGATAGATCGTGGCAATACTCTATTGACACTCAGATACGTAGATGGATACAAATACTCGAGTCAAGTTTCACTGAGTGTCTTTTCGTATTTCAACATTAAACATGCTATTACAATACCAAAAATTCCAAGACTTGTACGACGCGGTAGCTGAACTACTTGCAGACGAAGCCAACAGGAACGGTAAGATGGTCAAATAAATAGGTACAACCGAAACTCAAAAACAAAACACGCAGATCTCAAAGCCTGTGGACAGTCCGTTTGTTATTTGTTTGAATCGATACTGGAGCAAACATCCACAAGCACATCATTCGAGCAATTGCTGATCAAGGCTAAATCATTAGCAGACTTCTCCAATGAGGCTGTGCTGTTGTACCATTTTAAGGATGTACCTGTTCATTGGCGTCGTATGATGATGGACGCGGGTTTGTTAAAGGTGATGATACAGTTGAAATCTATTTTGGAGTATCAGCAGCAACACCACCAGCAGAAAACTGATTTTAAAGCATTGGAACCACAAGTGCAATCCATTATCAGTGATTTAGATATATGCTCCGTTGTGAGTGGAAGTCCAGGCCCTGACCGTCGCTTCTTGGCCAACATTATATTGGAAGAATTACAAAATTGGCTCACAAATGGACGCTCTGATGATCAACCCACATTCAAAAAGACCAGAATATTAAAGGAACCTATAAATACACATCCAAGACCACAAATTAGTAACCCAATCAAACGATTTACCGAGCCACCTAGCTTCGAGTGGTTCCTGGAACACTGCAACCAAGCTGTACCTACTCCTTTTATCATATCTAAAGGGGTAATCGACCACTGGCCAGCCTTCAACGAACGCCCTTGGTCCTCCATGGAGTATCTCAAGTCTGTCGCAGCAGATAGGGTCGTGCCAGTAGAGATTGGAAGTCAATATACAGACGCAAATTGGAGCCAAAAGATGATGCGATTTTCCGACTTTATCAATCAGCATATTCTTCAGCAAGAGGGAGCACCCGCTTATTTAGCACAGCATGATGTTTTCTACCAGATACGTCGACTAGAGAAGGATATAATCATACCAGACTATTGTTACATTGAGCCTAAATTAAACGAACTGTATACATCTCACGCACACGATGTAATCAAGAATGCATGGTTTGGACCTAAAGGAACTGTATCACCACTTCATCAAGATCCATACCATAATCTTTTATGTCAGGTTGTTGGTAGTAAATATTTGCGACTTATATCACCGTTACAAAGCGATTTAGTGTATCCTCGAGAAGGACTCATGACCAACACAAGCCAGGTATGTCGTACTCGTCTCTGTAAAATGTAATAGACTTGACATATAAACCATTTATTAGGTTGATATTGACCATATTGACTCAAACCAATTTCCTCGGTTTAAAGAAGCTAATTACGTTGATTGCATTCTGGAAGAGGGCCAAGTGCTGTATATACCCGTAAGTGACATACATTAATAGTATATGGCCCTATTAATAAGTATCCCGTTTGATAAACAGCCAAAGTGGTGGCATTATGTTAAATCATTGGAAACAAGTTTTAGTGTAAGCTTGTGGTTCTAAATAGGAAGTGATTTCACATGTAGGCATAGTCATATCGGGCCATCAAGTTGATTAGGATGTTTCCTGTAAAAGGCATTTTGTGTTTAATTGAAATTAATTTACAGTGGTGTAACTAAAGCATGTACTGTTTTACTATAGTAAAGAAACTTTATTGAAAAGACTAGTAGAATATATTGAAATATGGTATGAAAAAAAGAAGAATATTACAAATATACAAACAGATCAAGAAAAACGTCGTGTGATGCTGATTTTTCATTGATCCATGTGTATAACAAAATGGATATGTTCGGAGTTGACTATGTAAAAGGTAGAAGGTATTTGCAAATGGGTATTTTAAACATCAAGAGCTAAACTCTCCATGACAAGTTGAACAGCTTCCTGAGCACGATCATTGAATTCATTTAGTAAATTGATCTCTACAGATGATAATTGACCATAAAGCCATTCAGACTCAGATGTCACATCTTGTTGTTGTTGTTGTTCTTCTTGACGGATAACATTGATTTGGAAGGGTTGACGAAGCTTCCATTCAACAGTAACCACGGTGGGCTTCTCGATTTCAACCTGCTTTGTAATCTGTGTGGTGGCTTGACGCATCAAGATGCTGGATGATTGCTCAGCATTGACAATCAAGCCAAGTTGATGGCTGATCTTTTTGTTCAACGTCATGATGGAGCCAAGTAAGTTTGCCTCAATTTCATCTTGGTTGGTGCGTTCTTGAGTATTATCAATTTGTTGGACAGCGCCTAAGCCTTCGATTAGAGGGATATCAGTAGAGACGAGAGGGTTCACAGATGCTAGTAGACTTGCACGCATAAAGTTAAGATTACGGTTCATTGATTTTTGAGCCAAATGACGAGCTACATGTACAAAAAGGAAATGTCAATCATTTGGCCGATATCAAGCTTAGAGATGAACCTACCTTCAACGTTGCCATGGCTAATAGATTGTGGCAAATAAGTCAGGACATCCTCAGAGACATCCAGCATGACTTGATCTACGATGTTTTCATAGTATTCTGATAAGCTCTCGGTCAAAAGAAAGCCAGCTTCAGAAATGTATGATTTGGATGATGATGGTGATGATGGTGATGGAATAACAGGAGCTGCATTTACAACAGACAGGACAATACAGGAGATTGTGATGATGGAACGAGCAAAAAGCATTTTAGAGTGAGAAACAAAAGAGAGAAAAGAGTGGAAGAGTGTTTATTGATAAAGGAATGAATGGACAGTGTTTATGGTTAAAAAACAACACAAAAAAATTAGCAGAAATGATAAATGAGGGGAAAACATAGCAAAGAAAGCAGATATTTATATTCATTTCAAAAAGAAGGAGTCTGTATTCAATATGGCCTCTGTACAACAAACTAGATTTCTAAGCTTTCCATATAACACATTCGAAGTTTTCAACTGCTTTTTTCTAGTAATTTGATTAAATCATCTCCCTATTCAGAGCATTTTTTTTTTTCCTCTCCTCTTGATTTGTATAGCAAAAAAGCACTCCTCTTGTCTGTTGATAAAAAGTGCAGATTTGAAATCTCCTTCTTTTGCGTGTGTTTTGTTTTAATTGTCTTTTCCTTTTATGCTTTTCCGGTTCTACAATGTTACATCAAGCTCCAGAGCTTGCAAAGATTAAGGTTTTGGTTAAAGGCCAGTTTAAAGGGATTTAATTTATTTGGTGTCTGAGAAAATGAGATGATCGACTTGGGTTACTCGTACTTTTGAGTTTTCAAACGTTTCACATCATTGATCAGAGACTTTTCCTTCCAGAGCCTAATAACCGAGTTAAGATGGCATTTTCGTAGTGACAATGAGCGCCGACTTACATGACGATGGAGACCAGGATAAAGCATACGCCTCCCACTGTGATATGTAGGCCCTTTTCCTTGAGCGTGTACCATCCAAAGTTGTTTTTGGACCAATGGGTCACAAACCAGGCCAAGACAAAAGAAGCAAGCGTTGCAACATGTGGGCTCCATTGACGCACAGAGAGCGTAACATGTTCCCCAAAGTATTTACGAATAAAATGCCAGCTATAACTGATGCGAATTGCAAGATTTACCATATTCGCCAATATCAATCCAGTGGCACCCAGTTTTAAGAGATGCATGAATACAAACCCGGAGGTCATAAAGCACACCGAGAACAAGAGCATGAAATAACTCAATCTGGTCAAATCTTTCTTGCTAGCAACTGCTTGCACGAAACCTTCGGTGATGCCATTGATGCCCATAAAGGGAATATAGATGCAGTACATGGCAAGTACTCCCGGGGCATCACCTTCGCCTACTGACCATTTCTTGCCTACCAGTAAGTCAATCAATGTGGATGTGTAGTTGGTAGCAAAGCAGATGAAAATCAGGCCTAGAAGCACATGGAACTTGATCAGTATCAAGAGGACATTGGCAGCAGTTTGCTCGTTTGCTTGTTTCTTCTTTTCGTCCGTGGTCTCATCTGATGATAATAGTAGCTTCGAAAAGAAAGTTCTGCCAGTCTCTTCTAACGGCTGGAACAAGATTCGAACGATCAGAGAGCCTGTTATCATAACGTATCATTAATCGTCGTCTCTGATAAGGAACACTCGGCTTACCATAGTTTACTACAAACGCATAAATGCCTCTGTCTTGCATTGAGCTTAGCACTGAAATCAGCATCTTGTCTCCCTCTGTCAATACATGTTTCAAAAAAGATTGCTTGGTCATGGTGATACCCAAGTTCAATAGAGTTTTGTCAAACCAATATGAACTAAAAGGCCAAGACGGGGTTATGATACACACAGTGCGCATCCTGCACAATATCTACCTTTTCTTTTCGTCGTCTGTGATCTTCTGCGGTAGCAACTTTTGAATAGATTTCTCCTTGTACATGAAGAATCCCAGGTAGCCCAACATCATGGCCAATCCAAACACAAACTGTGCAATTGCGAAAGCCAAGATACTCAGTTTCTCGTTTCCAGCAAAGTAGAGTGTCAATCCAAATGTAATCAAGCATCTCAAAATGACAGCTACTCCCTCCACAGTGACTCGAAGCTGGAAATACAACTGATTCAATGCCAACACAAACAATGGCTCCACTGCCAATTCCAAAAATGATGCTGCACCGTACAGCATGACAGCCATGCGGTAATAAGGAAACTGTGTCGATTGCTCTTCGGTGATGGTTGACAGGTAGTAAGCGCAGGTAATCAATGTGGTCACCAACCCAAACAGCGTTGGGATGTAGGCCAAGTTGAGGATGGATTGCTGGTTTTTACTGGACCGAATGAGAGCTGAACGGAAGCCTTCTCGAGAGATGAACAGAATGGTGGATGACAAGAGTTCGAGATTGACTGATGCTATACCGAATGTCTCTTTGGATATGTATCTTAGCACGATTTGATTTAGTGAAAATGTCAGCATACGCGATAGAAACTGCAGCAAGATCAAATAGGATGCCCCCTTGGCTGTTGCTGCCAGTAGATTCTCATTTTTTGGTGTAGTTGCAGCTGCTGATTCAGCTTGTTTTTTGTCCATGGATGAAGCGTTGTTGACGAAAAAGGGCGAATGATGTCCTTTTGATATAGGTTATTTATATCAAGAAGAGCTTTGTGTCATTGTTTTGTTGGACAGACGTAATGATTTTTGCAGACCTGATTACAGTGGAGATTTAATTTAGTCGTACCTTCTGCACTGCAGAAGGACAAGCAGCCTTCTGATTGCTTCTATTTACAACATGGACGTTGTCATGTCGAGCATGCGCTTGCTGTCGTCTCTTATTGAAAAAGCTAAAGAAATATGGTGTAGAGAGAATCCGGGTAATCTTGATTTATGCGTGATCATCTTCTGATGCTTTGATTGTGTCAATAACGCACCATCATCTTGAAAATGGGATGCTCTCTGATCAGTTCTGCCCCTGATTCCACATCTTCATTTGTGATGCACAAGACACACTCTCGGAAACAGCTGATCTTATCAATAAAGGGAGTCTCCTACTCTCAAGATCATCACAAACGTGTTGTTGTGGCGTACAAATCTGAAAATGTATTCATGTCATTTTACAAACTATTTCGCATGGTTTTGGCTGATCGTTCCATTCTATTAGGAGACAACAGCACAGTTACTCCCTCATACTCATACACAGTGCAATGTTTATACAAAGTCTTTTACTGATTTATGTATACATGGACGCTTGCAAATCAACCAAATTTCTTTTCAGCAGATGCACTACGTCCAATCGTGAATAGCAATACACACCCAATTACCAGCAATGATCCCACACCCTTAAATGCAGTAAAGCCTAGTTGACAAACGCTTTTGAGTGATCAGGTATCCAAGCATATGTCATCTACTTACACTGAGCAGAGTCTGATTCACAATACCAAGCATCGCTGATAATGTAAATCAACACAGCTCTCAAGCCTTGCAATATACCAGTAGCAACCTACGCAACGGTTAATAAAGCCACAATCAGTTAATGTATCAATATTTACGCTTCCTGTTCTATCAATGAGCTCATAATAGTTCCATGAATGAGAAGCATTAGCTACAACGACAAGTAAGTATATAAACCAAACTGAATCCATGGTGGTTCCTTCCTTGAGGTGGATCAGCTGGTCGAATCGAGGTAGTGTGTACAAACTAATCCAAACGAGTGAGATAATCGATGTATAAATACCAGAGTAGAAGCAAATTCTAGCAGGCAGTGGTGGCGGCTTTTGCTGGCTCATGATATAATCCGAATAAACGTAGACGCAAGCTACATTTGAATGTCCATCTATTAGCGACGAGATATATGCATGTTGCAGATTGCACTTACAGTAAAAGAATGTGCCTCCCAATGTCATCAATGTGCCAAACATGAGTATGGTTGTCTTTGCTGCTGATTGTGCATCTACCTCTGCTGAGGAGGTAAAGTTGTCCATAGAACTAATGGCTAATCCAGCGCTTGTACCGAAAATAGCAATCCATTGCATTGTGGACAGTGTTCGTTTCATGAATAGCCACGTCAAAAGAGCACACCAAATAACCACACTGCTATAGATAACCTGGTACATCTGTATAGACCGCATGCGTTAGTATATGGCGACACATCTTTGATGCCAACCTTACGCCACTGCCAACGATGGCAAATCCAACTGTCACGCAAAAGTTGGCAAATACATCGAGCACAGCTAATTTGATGACTGATTTGTGTGGAATAGGACCTTCTTCGTATTGGGATATAGCTGTAGTGGGTATATGTTCATCTTGGGTAGGATGATTGAGTTGTACCTGAAATTGGCAATAGAGTTTAGTTCCTTCGCATCGGTCAGGCTATACATCTGACTTGCCATATCAATGTCGTGGTCATGCTCCTCTTGATTGATTATGCTGTATTTCTTTTGCTTATTTCTAAGCAGAACTGGGATGATGAGGCCGACCAACACCATGCCAAGATATTGCGCTAATTGAGCTAGATAACTATCGCCGGCTATCGTCCATTAAGTAGATAAATCATGGTTGAAAACAAGCATCCGACTTACTCGCAGCGCCATGATAGAACAGCCACTGGGTTCCTAACGTAGTGCAAAGGCCTGTAATCAAGAACATGACTTGATGAAAGCCAATATACAATGTTTCTCCACTGATGCTCATGGTATAGCTTGAATGATGATTATGGAGAAGACGAAAAGGGCAAATATATACGGGGTTTGGAATCCGTGGAAAGAGGCTCTCCATCAGTTTGATCGAATCGCTTGTCATTGGGCTGTTTCTCTGGTGCTGTAGATCAGTGCTTCGATACAGGCCAATGTCCTTCGAGCAACCCGCAGAGAAAGGCTTTGTAAAGCACATTTAGCTGCCCAAATTCAAGCAGACATGTCAAAAGCGTGAAATTTCATTTGCATAAACATGGCTATTCCAGTTTTCCATCATCCCATTTCGAAATATGGTACGATGTAATTGGCCGTAGCAACCTTAAATGTGACTATTTGACAATGTCTCGTCGTCAAAAGAAACCCTCTCTTTTGGCAAGCTGCCCTGTGTCAATAATTACGGGGTTGTATTGCGAAAAAATAAATTTTTATCTTGTTCTCCATTACAATAGAATATACAGCAATGAATAGAGGTCTAAAGCAAATCATTCCAGCATCTCGCAATCTGTTACGCAGCCAAACCCGTCGCACATCTGCCTGTTTGATCAGCTTGACATCATTGCCGAAAGCACCCAATGCTGCTGCTGTGCAAAAGAGATTTTTGACACAATCTGTGGCTCGCCCTATATCCTTCAAGGGTATCTTTGGTGCCAAGAATGAAGAGCCTGAGAAAAAGCTCGTTTTGGAGCAGGACAACCTCTTTCATGTGCTATCGCAATCGCCATTGCCTGAAATGAAAGACAGAGCTGCCATTGTCAACAAGTATGGTGTTTGTCCAGTTTGTGATACACATCATGAGGAGCATGAAGCCAAGAAGAAGCCCACCTATGACTGCCCTGACTGTGGCTATCCCACGCATTGTAGTGAGGAACACTACCATGAAGGATATCAAGCTCATCATGCTGAGACCTGCGCTATTTTGCGTGAAATCAATGAGGATGATCATGATTTGCGTTCTGGTAGACCCATGCGTGAATTTGAATTTCCAAGTAAGTCGACAAACTCCATAGATGAAGCTATTCTGGGATGTTAAATGGATGAATGTATAGGTGCACAGGGTTTCGATGAAGCTGTCAACATGGCCAATTGGGATGTTTTCTTTTATACCCGTAGTTTTCCATCCATGGATTCTGACAGATCAATGCGTCATGTATCCAAGTTGTTAACTTATCCCATGTCAATTGCGGCTGTGTTGCATCAGTCCAGTCCTTACAAGTATGGCGAACAAGTGACAGCCGAGGGCATGAGATCCATTGCAGGTAAATTGTGCTTGCAAGTCTTGCTTCGATGGGATGACTAATACACACAATGTTAGCTTTGAGAACCATCCTTTATCCTCACAATCAAATCAGCAACGATGCCCAAACACAAATCCGCACTGACACTATCAATGTCTACCTTGTCGGTGCTCGTGCAGAGGCTACTTTACCTTCTCACATTTGGCTGCAATTGGCTTACCTGTTCCCTGCCACTCCATTCCACATTCATTTCATTGGACCCGATGCATTAGCACCCAATCAAGAACCCCACACCAAGTCTGTCAATGAGCGTCTCCTATTCACCTACGACAATGCCATGTATCATGATTACCATGAGACCATTGAAAAGTTTGATCCTTACACTGATTTGTTCTTCTTGTTCTCTCCCGGTATTGGTCATGGTGATGCTCGTGAAGGTTGGAAGACATCCATTGAGAAGGCATTGGAAACCAAGTGCCCTATCTTTGTCACAGGCTATGATGAAGCAGACATGAAGAACGACGTTGAAGCTGTCGAGCAAGATTATAACGGTGAATTCGACTGGGTCTTGAAGCCAACCGTCAACGAATTTAGAAGCTTAAAACGTGATGTCAATCTGATGGATTTGAGACAGAGTATCTTTGCAAATTATGGTATCTGGGGTATCCGTGGTAAACGTTATGATGTTACTCATGATCCTGAGAGCAACGAGTAGATGTCTTTTCTTGATGATTCATTTTTCTATGTACATATATTAAAAAAGCTATATTTTCTCAAAATGTTTGCACCCCTTTCTCTTTGTTTCTCTTTACCCTCTTTTCCTCTTTCCATTTGCGAATTAGACTTAATATTATCACTAATAGACAAAAATAAAATACGAAAATATCTACTGATGAATTATCTGTGAATGTTAACTCTGCCGTGATCTCCCATGTCTTGTTGAATGTAAACAATTTACATGCGGACACATAGCATACTTGCATTGCCTCCTGATGCTCAAAAGTATGCAAAAGACAGCGAAATTTGGGTGCATTCAACCCGTGTTTTCTCGTGTTGTAGGCTGTTTTGGACGTTTGGAATAGCGCCAAACAACTGCTCTTGCCCAGCACTAACTTGCTGATACCTTTGCTCAACTTTTTTGAGATCACCAAAAATCCACCAAAAGCCATGAGAGGTACCTCATGGTTTTCATCAAAAATCAAACGATCGCGTTTTTGACCTTGATAATGATGATTTTTACTATGGTATATATTAATTCAAAATGTTCCTATCAATCTAACGTAGCCCCTGAAATCATCTTTGTGGCATCTTAATATGTACAATTTCGACTTTTGGCCAGAAACCTGTTTTCATATTTTTTTAGGATTACTCGATAAGTTGTTTGAAAACATGTCTTATGATTAATGCTATTAGATTCGCCTTGAAGAGTACTTTAAGCAAGCTTAAGGGAGTAAGAGAAAATCAGCACAATTTATATAGTCAAATTCTCCAGAATAGGTCTTTTTTTTTTTTAAATTTTGTTTATTGATTGAGCCGCGTACACTAGGAGTACTGGGTCGAAGTGAAGAGGCGGGTGCAATTAAAAAAGAGATAATAAAAAGAAGGTGAAATATTAACTAAACTAAACTAAGCAGAACTATCGAAACTATCAAAACTACAAGAGGGAATGGATTTGATCCTCATCCACTGTCTGGCGAACAGTGGAGCGGACATTCACCAGAATCGCCTCAGGGACAAGGATGATGTTGTCAAAAACAAAGCGCATATGGGCTAGCCATATTTGAGACAGGGTGATAAGTAGGATTCTGTAAGGATGGATGCCTTTGACTTGGGAGTACCAGATATCCGAAAAGTCCAGGGACAGAAGAGCCTCTTTGATGTCAGTGATGGACGTCGTGGGCCATAGGAATTCAAAAATGACGCCTAGCCATACCTTTTCTTTGGATGGACAGTCAAAGAGCAGGTGGCTGGCAGTTTCATTGGGAGACAAGCAGACAGGACAATTGTGAGACTCGAAGACTCCAGGCATCATGTAGTGTAACCTGCTTCGAGAAGGGATACAGCCTGTGATGAGCCGGTATATCACATTACGTTGAATGTAGGTAAGAGACAGGGACCAAAAGAATTTCCAATGAGAAGCTGAGACATTCTGCAAGGCCAAGGGTTGTTCCATCGACGACAGCACGGACAGACGAAATGTTTTGGCCGAAGCCTGAGCATTTCCAAGGGGTTGGCCATCGTGTAGACAAAATTGATGCACTAGAGGCGCAAAGGAGACATCAGAATCAACCAGGGGAGCAGGACTACACACTGGATGGAAGTAGGGTTGAAATTTCAGCTGGGCAGACGCAAGACCTTTGAACACTGTAGAAGGAGCACGTTTCCAATTGAGGAGGGAAGGGTCACGAGTATCTTTCCAATGAACAAAGTTGAGCCGAGCATCATATTGAAACACATCAGAAACCATCATCGCTTTGACTCGACGAGGAACCACCAGTGAAGAGGATGGAGGGACATAGAAGGCAGCCTGTAGTGGGAGAGCCATGGCAGTAGCAGTATTGATCCGAGCAGCTTCATACGACTTGGGAAGATAGTCGACTGCACGATATAACATATCGACAGTTCCCGTGCGCTGTGTTTTCAAACCCTGATTGCGACGAGCAAAGGGGAAGAGGAGCGGAATATGGTGATACTGGTATCCATTCATGTTGCGTAGATGGTAACTGAGAAGGTAGGACACCGGGTGGGCATCAATGACAGATTGATCATATACCAGCAACGGATGTAGCCAACGAAAATACAGAGCCGAAGCTTGAGTTTGGATGTCGACAACACCCAGTCCACCTTTGTCTTTTGGGAGAATCCATGTTTTCCAAGGAATGACAGGGAAAATGTTCTTTCTCAAGAAAAGAATTGCCAGTGACCGCAGCTGCTTGACATCGGGCTGGGTGAGAGGAGTAACACGTAGAACGTACCATAACTTGGACAGAAGCAGAGAATTCAGCACAGTGGCCTTTCCAACAACTGACAGGGATCGGACAGAGTGGATCTGGATGGCCGTCTTGATCTTGGTTGTCAGTGCACCCATAAAGTTGACCCGCTGGATCCTGCTTTGTACGAGAGGAAATCCAAGATATATCAAAGGTTCATCATCTTCCACAGAATGCAGATGGGTGATGTGGGCATGCGATAACGGAACTTGCCAAATGTCCCATGTATCCCGACCAGACACCGAAAAGGCTTGCACCTTGTCATAGTTGAATTTGGCGTTGGAAGCAGCACAATAGCGAGACATATGAAGTTGTAAGCGAGACAGGTCCTGTGCGTCATGGACAAATACCAAAGCATCGTCCGCATAACACAATAACTTGGTAGTAGCAGTACCCATCGTGTATCCGTGAAATTGACGATCATGCAAGATTGCCAGTAAAAAGGGTTCGAAGGCCAGGTTGTACAGGATAGGCGAGAGAGGATCTCCTTGCTTGAGTCCACGCAGCTTGGCAACCTCTGTTGACATATGGCCATTCAGATTAATCCGTATGAGATTGTCGCCCATCAGTTTGTATATGCACTTGATGAGGGGACGAGGAAACCCAAACTTTGTCAAGACTTTCTTGAGATAGTCCAAATTCACACGATCGTAGGCCTTTTCTTGATCCAACAAAAGACCGATATCTGCATCCAAGTTGCGAAAGGTGGGGTCGTCATCCTGTTGTTCCGCAATTGTCCATTTCCTTTGAGCATCTTCCATGATCAGTTGACAGATCATGCCATTTTCAGCAATAAAGCGTCCAGGAATAAATCCAAGCTGATGGCGACTAATCAATTGAGAAGAGACAGCCATGATACGACGATTGATGTTGCGAGTGAACAGCTTGTAATCCGAATTGGCCAGAGACAGAGGACGGTAGTTCTTCATTTCAGCCGGATCACCCTTCTTGTAGAGCAAACACATGACAGATTCGTTCCAAGATGGCGGAAACTTACCCTTCGTCAGTGCTTCATTGTAGACTAGGTTGATGAGTGAATGAAATGGTGGGAATTTCATGATCAGGTACAAAATCTCATATGGCAAGCCATCCGGGCCAGGGCTGCTAAGGCGTCGAGTGTGTTTGCTGTCGGCCAAGAGCTCGTCTACATCAATCGGCAACATCAGTTCCTCCTGTTGTTCGCTGCTGATCTTTAAGTGCTGAGGGATGCTTCGAATCACGGTACTGAGTGCTGTTGAATCTAGAGCCTCTGGTGTGAATAATGCAGTGTAAAAATCAGTTGCAATGGCAGATATGCCATCCTGTGCCTGACACATTGAACCCGTAGAGGGGTCTCGCAGCGCCACAATGGACCGACGGTTCTCTCGAGACACCGCAGAGCGCTTGAGGAATCCGGGTGATTTCTCACCATGTTCACGATAGAACTTGCCTGCCTTCAAGATTTCTATTTCTGCAATTGAGTGCTGCAGGGACTGAATTTGCTGGTTGATGGAGTCCAATCCCTGAAATATCAATCCTCGATGCTTCTTATGTCTCATCATCTTGTTCCTCTTTGAAAGCAGTCGATGTAGTTGTTTCTTCCTCCAGTTCAAATCCTCAATTTGATACTGCTTGATGAATAACTTGACCTCTGCTTTGATCCAATCCCATTGTTGTTGGGGAGATGTAAACCGCTTGATACCTGCTCTTCGTTCCTCACTGCCAATGAGGAATTCCGCCAGTGCCTTGCGAAAATCTTTGTTGCGAGCCAAGTAGGGATTAGCCTTCCAGACACCAGGGCCACGACCATTGGAATCTTGAAATTGATAGGAGAACCCCAAAAGCTCATGATCAGTCCACTCCGGAGAGAGGTATTGTTGACTAGTACTAGTTACAAGGTGATGAGCATTGGAGCTACAAAAGATATAATCCAAAATCCCAGCATTTCTGCCACTATGCCAGGTGTTGTGCTTGTCATCCCCAAATACATCAATGTAATAATCATCCAAAAGATCAGTCCATATCACAGGTGCACTGATGAGAGAGCCATCAGTTCGCCGATCCTTGTATTGATAGTTGAAATCGCCCATTATAAAGATAGTGTTTGTTGTATTAGTGATAGTGTCCTTGACAATTGGTATATCAAGTAATTCTGAATAAAATGCTGTGCGTTCGGTGTGAGCTGACGCTCGACCGTAAATGTTGAGTAGAGTTGCTATTGGTGGTGTTGTTGCTAAAAGTTGTACATCTCGAGTAAGGTGAAGGGAGGCCAAAATAAAACGACCGCCATCAATGCCTTCTGAGATGTGTTGAAGTGTATAATTGGTGTTAAGTGATATAATGCCGCAATGTGGAGTCCAAAGACTCGACTTGGTGTTGAATTGTGTATTGAGCATGTCTATAATAGTGGAGTCTGTTGCATGTGTTTCTTGGAACACTAAGATATCATAGCCTAGTGTTCTAAGGTATCTAATAAATTGTTGTCTTTTTTTTGGGTTATCTATTTTTTTGAGGCCACGGCAATTGAGGGTGGCAATTTTCACTGTATGTTGTAAATTCATCATATTAATGTTGAGATGGTGAGGGTGGGCCTGTCAAGCCTTGTTGTTGTCCCTGTGCTGCTGCTGTAACTGCAGCCTGTTGCTTGGCAGAAGTAAAATCATCCGCACCATCAAATTTACCTATTTTCTTCACTGGGTGATCCAGCGCATTCTCGGATGCACTAGTAGGATTGGCAGGAGATTCACCCATTTCAGTATCAGTAGACTCAGTACCAGTGGTATTGTCAGAGTCTTGAGCCAGAGGGAGCTCGTCCATGTCGGCATCCCTATCAGCACCTTGCTTTTGAGCAATGGTTTGGCTATCAGCACCACCTTGTACGCCGCTGTGGACCACATCTTGGGCACCACCTTGGCCATCACCTTGATTGTTACCTGGAACAACACCAGAATCACCACCACCGGGAGACCCACCACCAGCAGTATCACCACCAGGAGTACCAGAACCAGCACCAGCACCAGCAGCTACTGGAGGAGCTTTGGAGACCTTGGGAGCGGCTTTCTTCTTACCAGATGATGTACCGCTCTTTGCCTCCTGAGACACTTTTCGGGGCTTCGAAGCAGCCTTACTGTCTACCGCACGGACTTTGTTTGGACTTGTATTACGGGGACAGTTGTACTCCACATGACCATATTCATCACAGTGGTAGCACTGGATCCACTTCTTGTACTCAGGGCAATCCGCCCTACAATGATCGGCACTATGACAGATACGGCAAAAGTTGGGCATCTTGTCCCATTGCAGCAGAACCATTCGCTGATCGGCTGAACGAGGATCCCAGATCATCACTCGGCTGAGTTTCTCCAGGTGTCGATGACCAGGGCAGGGCTTGTCTTCGGGGTGCAATTCATCACAGGCATAATCAGGGGAGGAAGGCACAGTAAGGTTAAGCGTAGCATAACCTTCACCTTGGAAGATGCCATTAGTTCTTGAGATGCCATGATCCAGGACATCACCATATCGGGAGAGACGAGTCGCCATTTCCTCCTTGAGTTGCAAAGCTGGCAAGAAAGGGAGATTCTGTAATGTCAACTTGACAATGGTGGCATCGCCAGGGTAGGATGGAAAGCCCCTCAAATAGGTACCATCTTCCAGGGTAATGCCGTCGTTGATGAGTGTGGTGCGTCCTACACACTCAGGCAGCCACATTGTCTCGAGAAAAGCATGGCCAAGGTAATGTCTTGGTTTGCTACGGTAACCAAGAAAGTCTTCATAAAGTTCAGAGTTGGTTGTAGCTTCATTGAACTTGAGAAGGGCCTTGTTCAATAGATTACGATCTTTGACAGGTGTCAGATCGATGAAAACCGAATCCTCCTCGATACCCTTGAGGAATGGACGTATGACAGCCATAGGTCCTGAAGAGGCCTCTCCATTGATGGCCTGTTGAGATGCCTCTGCCTCCGTAACTGGTCGTTGGATGAGCGTAGGATTGAAAGAAACAATGGATTGCTGTTTCTTGCTGTTGCCTTTGCGTTTTGAGCCGACTACATGAGTCCACAGCAGAGGGGTCTCAGCGTCGGGTTGAGAGGGAGAATGATGTATATGACTAGTGTCAGACATATTCAAAAGATGATAGGATACAAAATAGATTGCAAAATAGATCGATCCAAAAACGTTTAAAGGATGAGCAGAATAGATTCACAAAAAGTTTGCCAGAATAGGTCGAACTATGTCCAAAATGCTTGAAAATTAACAAATCGGGCGAAAACTTGAATCTTGCGAGTGTAATAAATGACAAATTAGTAAAGCAGTCCCTTGAATAAGCCAGATTGAGCACATTACTATCTTGAAGACTCATGCGTCCGCTAATGCAGCACCGCTGCCGTCCTGTTTCTCGTTTCTGTTGCAGAAAGAGGTGGTCTTGGGAATAATGCCAGTGTTGGATTGACTGGGCTTTGGATTGAATACAGGAAATGGCTGCCTGAATAAGAGAGTGGAAAGCCCAGAGACAGCGATGGCCAAAGCAGATGTCTTGTCTCTACCTTGAATGGCTATGTGATTAAGAACGGATACACAGGCAGGATTTAAGCACAGGAATGCACCATGAATGGACCTCGTCTTGGTCTTACCATCCTTTGATTTGATGGATTGTGTGGGATGAGAGGTGGGACCAAAGCAGTACATGCACGTCTGGGATGTCTTGTGTTCGTTGGTAGTATGCACAGTGGCGACAGATGAATGTAAGCGAGGCTTCCATTTTCCACCATACTTCAAATGACCCTTCAAGCGAGAGCCGACACAAAGACCACGATCTCCAATGAACATTGTAAGTGACGTTTGGGGACGAACACCAGCACAAAAGGATCTTTCACGCGAAGCAAAGCAAGAACGGAAATGCCTGTCAATGTGCTCAGTCTTGTTAGAGAGAGTATTCTGCTTTTTTGAGTGATAGAACGCTCGCAATGCTTGGCCATTGCTTCTGTGTGCATCAAGATTTGATATGACATCCTCTACCTCTTTGGCTCTGAACACACTGGATCTCGGCAAATGTTTCTCGATCTCTTGAACCCTCTTTCCTTCTTCTGCTGTTTTCTTGTCTTTCAAAATGATATTTCGCCTCATGAATTGGCCAGGACCAAAGTCGATATCTTCAGCACGCATCTTGTATGACTCTGGCAGAGGCTCTAATGTTGTTGTCTGACCACAATCATTAGCAGTAGCGCCGGTGTCGCTATCATCACCATTGAGATCTCCATCGCATTTAACACTGCCATCACGAATTTCATGCTTGTCAATAGCGTCTTTCGTAATAACTTGATCAACGCCATTGCCATCGTTACCAGCAGCAGTACCAGTACTATCAGGCAAATTGCCTTCATCAGCATCGAGGTAGGTGAGAGGAGAGAATCTATTATGCAGTAACAAGTGATATTTGTGTTTGATCAGATTCACGCCAATAATTTCCGTCATTACAGTCAGCCCGTTATCAGTACCCGAAAACACCATTGAATCGAGACGTTGGTCAGAAGGAGGAGGCTCGTAACTTGAAACAAGAGGGATATCTTTGTTTCTATATTCAATGGCTTTCCTTGTCAAAAAGGCACGAGTTCTCATGTTGGACAGTTGTTGCTTGGGCCGGTGTAGCTGGGATGGATGCACTTTCACCAGTGAATGTAGACGTAGAGGCCTGAGGCTGTAAAGATACCACAATAGCATCGAAGTGATCCTTGACGTACTCTTCAAAGTACTGAAAGTTTTGCTTAGTACCGTGGTGTTCAAGATGATTTTTCAACTCATCTTTGGCACATTGACAGATCTTCTCAGCAGTAGTAATGACACCTAGGGGGAGCCTCTTCACCGAGAGTAATGTCTTCTTGAGTGCATCCAATTTACTAGGCTTGTCAATGATGGGCCTTGCTTTGTTTTCGGTGATTTCCCTCATTGATTGAAAAAAACTATCCATCAAACGCTGCGGCGAGACACCGAATTACTTGGGCCTTTTGACAACAGGCTGGTAACTTGATGTGGACGTGGCACTTGTGGATGCTACAGCTTCATATTCTCTTTTTTTCCCTTTAGCAACGACATTCTTTCGGGAGGACGACTGGTTTGAGTGCCAGTAAACGGATCTCTTTGCTCTACTTTTGTTCGCACATTAGACATTTGACATAAAAAAATAACTAGACAAGAAAAATGTGAGCATTTGTAATGGTACGGCGATTAACTAGATCAATACATACTGTAACAAGAGTAGTGCTTTATAGATTTGGTTATAAATAAGAGCTTTCAAGACACAAAAATATGACGAGAACTAAGAAATGGCTTTAGATGGTGTTGATGCTACGCAAACAAAGAGTGTAAAGGAACGAGAAAGAGAGGAGAGAAGAGAAATACATACTGAGAATGGCTGCAGCTTTCATGAAGGAATACTTCAAGCGATTTTACAAGTCAGGCATCAATATATCAGATCTAGAACAAATTTGGGGTGCCTTAAATAATGTTGTCAATAGCTGTTTGACAGATGAAGAGATATACCACCGCACATTAGACAACTGTTATTTTTACATTATTCAAATGTTACCTATCATGTCCTGAAGACAAGACACACAAGCTTGATCAATAAAAAATTGTATAAAAAGTAAATATAGCATTGTGCCATTCAGTAAGTACAAATACATCCGCTAACGTTACATTGAAATATTGGAAAAGCGTACACTTACTTTCCAACTGCCCCACAACTGACACCGAGTATCTTCCTGTGAAGCAAGTACTTAATTGCGCCAGAGCTCTGTAAGCTAAGCTGTGCGTTCGTTTGATATTCAGTATATAATAGACTAGCCGATCAATCTCGCTAAGCTGGATGACGATATCGTCCTGCGGGCTCTCACCGAAGACATTTTATATCAGATATAATAAAATTTTGATATATCAAGTAGATTTTAAACAATCAATCATTAGTAAAAGGTTATATAAAAGCCAGGAGGAGAAGAGGAGATATCTCCCTCAGCATCTTTTTGCTTATACACTGATATTAAAACAAAGCCTATTATTGAGACTATGTAAAAGAGAATTCAGGTTTTATGCGACATTTATAAACCACAACCTCCATATTTTGATAGTAGAATTGTTATACCATTTGTTTCTGATGCTCTTAATAAGATGGCGACATAAAGCTGGTCATAAGTAAATACAGGACTTGTGTAAGATCTACAGCGACTTTTTGGAGATATTATAATTGCAAAAGACATCTTCATGAGGCAAAGCTCCCCCCCAAAAAAAAATATTTGCGCTAAGCAATTGTAATTTCAATTTCGTGATCCCCATTTAATCAGCATCGCAACCATCATTGTTATCATCATTGTCATCAACAGAAAGGCATTTAGGTCAGCCAGCAGCCAAATTGATTCAAACTCAGTTTTTTTTTTTTTGTTCAAGATTGGACAGATTCTGTCTTTTTTCGACTTCTTTAATTTATTCTATTATATTCGACTATATAAACTGTAATGATCGCCCCTCGCTTCCTAATATATTCTTGAAGTACTTTTCAAGGCGCTTCCAATGGTACTAAGTAATATAGATGTTTTGAATAAACTTATCGAATGACTTATGAAAATATGAAAAGAGGTTTCTGGCAAAAATGTCGAAATTTTACATATCAAAGTCCCACAAAAATGATATCAGAGGTTGCTTTAAATCGATAGGAACATTTTGATTCAAGACATACCATAGTAAAAGTCTTCATTTTCAAGGTGAAAAATGCGATCGTTTGATTTTTGATGAAAACCATGAGGTACCTCTCATGCTTTTTGGTTGATTTTTGGCCATGTTTCTTTTTGACCCAAAAAGTTGAGCAAAGGTGTCAGAAAGTTACTACTACTCGAGTACAATTGTTTGGCGTTATTCCGGCGGCTCAGGAAGATCTACATGTCAAGATATGAAGGCTTGAAAGCTGTCAAATTTGGTTATGTTTTGCTTTATAGCTTTTATTTACACGGCATGAAGCGTATCCTTGGTAGCTGAAATCTTCTGGAAGGGCAGTTCTGCAGCCTGTGCAACTTCTAATTCCAACAGGAGGCATATTGATTTTGGTAAGACTAATTCATGCAAGTTTTGATGCGATATGTTGTTGATAAGCCTATTAATAATGGAAATGAAAACCTGAATTTGCTGCCTGAATACTATGGTTTTGCACCTTCGCTTCGCTGAGGTAAAACCCCCTTATAGGTCAACGTTACCAAATGTTGAATTAGATGCCAAGTCTCCCTCCCCAGTGCCAGCTTCGCCGGTGGTTTTTTCGAACCTTGTACGGTACTCTGTGCTTTAAATTTTATATATCTCTGATCTCTGATTGGTCATTCCAACGTTTTTTTTACAGTTTTCTGGTAAATATATTAGAGATGATGATGGTTGGCAGATGTCAGACATTATGCTCGCAAGATTCAAGGCATGCCAAATCGGGAGACTCGAAGTTTCAATTAGTTTTGGCGGCGGCTGATCATCAATGTCTTCTTATCACCAAAGGTAATCAATGCTTTGGAGGCCCGCAAGATGAGAATTGCGAATTGAAAGAGTAATATAGCTTAGCCTAACTACCACATTTTACCTTTATTGATTGCATTTGATATATTCAATTGTTTTAAATTGGATTTTCTATCATGAGTAATGATGATGTATAAATTTATCATCCACTGGCTCCATACTCCACAATTCAGTCTATTTTTCATCAAACATAAAAACATGAGGCCAAGATATTGCTAAATCAGATAAAATTTGTTGGCTGTACACGTGTACTCTGTATTCGAATTGATAACCGGGGGTTGTTGTGCAAGTAGTAGTGGTTCTTTTTCTGTACAAAGGGTAGAAATTGGAGTTTCAATGATACATTTGTTGCCTAATTACACAAATGTAAATAAGGAAGGCAAAAGAACCGATCAATGGATTTTACTCCAATCAAACGACATTGACGTAGCTTTTCTCTCGCTGAAGTGGTCAACATTTACCCTTTCAATGAAATTTTGAGTAACATTATAACTCATGTATACAATTCTCATTGAATGAGAAGCTATTTCACTCTAATAATAAAATAATCGACTCATGTGGTTTCACATAAAAATCAAGTTGTTAGCATCATATCATTCATAATCCCCAACGGTTTGATGCAAAATCATTGTGACAATTTGAAAGAATCAAAAAGATCAAAATACTTTAATTTTGTATTTTTAGTTTTTATGGATTTCAATAGATTCTTGATATGTGTTTATAAATAAAAAAAAAAGTAGGCAGGTAATCCTGATGTAAATGTGTACCCACGGGAAACACCGAGAACCGAAGGATTACAGATAGAACACTTTTTCAAATGCAAACTACAAATATATCAACTTCAATAGGAGACCAAGGCCATTTTGTGTTATTAAAAAGAAGCATATAAAGCGCTCTATTTGCTTGATTGCAAGCTCCAAGTATCGGTCTATCCCGTCATGAAGAGTGCAGCATGTTATTTAATAATGCCATAATAAGGCTTTTTCTGTAAGCTGTCCAACATGTGCCAAATATAGTTGCACAATGTGTTACTATCGTAATATGCGTTAGTGCACAGACATTCAGTTGAATTAATGACCAACAAATAGGTGATGGATTTTGGATAATTGAAGTGATTTATTGTGCAATTAATCCAAGTCGCTGATAGGCAAAATGTTGATATCGAGTTTAATTAGCCGTGTTATTGCTCTGCTATCCTCTTAATGCATGCTTTACTGGAGATACTTTTTGTTGTTGGGCGAATTTTTATGACACACATTCCTTTTTTCAGGTTTCAAAGCAAGATGTAATTTACATCACATCCACAACCATTGGAATAGATAAGGGCAAAAATAGCAATAACATTAATAACAGCAACAGCAGCAACAACAACAACAACAACTGCTGCTGCTGCTGCTGCTGCAATCTACTGTTTTCAATTACCTCTAATTATGTGCTGCTTACTTTATATCATTCTCAAACACGAGGAAATGGAAAAGAGAGATTTCTAGATTATGGTATCCGTTTAAAAATGGCTAAAAAATCAGCATCATCATGGTTTTAAAATAGAATCTTTCTCTGTATAAATATCAAATCCATTCAACATTTGAATCTTCTTCTTTATTTCTCTTCTTTTCCACAAATACACATTCATCATGAAATTCTCAACTGTCGCTGTTGCTGCTTTAGCCACTGCTGTTGCATCCGTCTCTGCCAATTTCACTGTAAGTGCCCCTGTTTTCTAAATAGAATTGACATTGACAGCTCCCAATGCTAGATTTCTGAACCTTGGGGAGAAACCACTTGGACAGCTGGTGGAACTGGTGTCGTTGCATGGTCTGCTTCTACCGACCTTCTCCAATCTCTCTGTGAAATTCACCTGTTGACCGGCAATGCCAGTGATGCCACGTAAGTTATATACAGCAATTCATAAAGACTGGGAGAACTGACCAATTCTTTTAGTTTCGTTACCAACTTCACTGCTAACGGTAACTTGGTTCCTTGCAATTATACCAAGGCTAACGTGAGTTTACAGGATACATCTCTTGTACCACTTGTGTACTAAATGTCATCGTTTTATAGCTCCACCCTCTTCCCGACTATGCTTCTGGTCAATACTTTATCCGTATTGGTCCCAATGGTGTTGTTACCGATCAATATGCCTACTCTGGTCTCTTCAACTTTGTTGGTAATGGCACTGTGCTTCCCGATGGCGAGACTCCCGCCTCAACTTCTACTGCTGCTGCTGCCCCTGCTGTCACTGACGCTGCCGCCGAACAGTCAGCTTAAATATATAATCGACACTTCCTTGTTTCGCAATACATTTCTTTTCTCTCCGCAATTGTACAAACTAATCCTTTCCATCGTAAACAGTTTACATCTACCTATTATTACAGACATTGAATAAATCTCAGCTTAACTCATTAGATACAAAGACGGTTTAGGAATGAGAGTAATAACTTTTGAGGATGCTTCAAAGACTTAAACTTGAGCTATGTTTATTATCAATAATCTATCTAAGCTATTGTTGGCCATTAGCAGCATCACTCTTGGTGTATTTTACTGAGACTCTTTCCAATTCCTTTGTGATGTTTGCAAGATATCTCGACTTGATGATTTCTTCATCAGTCCAGCCAGTGAATCCATCAGGTGCGTATTCATCTTCATCATCTTCGCTTTCAAATTCATCAGTTGATTCATAATTCTCACTTGATGCACTCGAAGACTCTGCTTCAATGCAGCTACTACGACGGCGGCTACCAGCGTTACCACTGCCACCTAAGCGATAACGATCACTGCCAGAATCGTCGTCGTAAAACATACCAAAGACCTCATCTTGCATATCCGCAGATGAAGATGAAGTAACAGACGATGAGGATGACGATTTACGGTTGCCGCCATTATGATGGGGAGGTGATTGCTGCTGATGTTGTTGAGCAGTGAATTGCAGAGAGGATGGGTGAGGCGGTGCAGGAGGTGATTGTGTGCCTGAGCGAGACAGAGGGTTGAACCCAGTAGCTCTAGGTGATTGAGAGAGCTGTTGGCTACTATTTGAGCGGCTGCTGGAAGAAAGGTTCTTGTTGTGGTTGCCATTACGCACAGGGTGAGATTCGACTACTGCAAATGACTTTTGGCGTTCGCGCTTATTCCAGTGAAGACAGTTTTGAAGAGAGTTGAACCAATCTGTTGCCTGATCTTCTTTACAAACAGTCGGGAAGGGATATCTTGAGGCTGTTACTTTGATGTGATCACCCTCTGTTAAACATGATTAGTATCAAATCAACTTGAAGTACAGTAAAAATAACTTACGCTTGAGCTCTACTCTTCCACGGCCATCGAAACTAGCCCAAGCAGTGTTTCTAGAGTTGAAGGGAACACAGATACGCAGCTCCATAGAGTCAGGCACCAATGTAGGACGGAATGATAGAGTATGAGGACAAATGGGTGTAATAAGTATAGCGTGGATATCAGGATGAGTAAGCGAACCACCAGCAGAGAGCTATCGAAGAATTAATAAATGAGTATCCAGGGCAAAAATATCACCAAAGATTTTACCGAATATGCAGTACTTCCGGTAGGCGTAGAGATAGCTAAACCATCAGCTTGTACAGTCGTCAAATGCTTATCATCGCCAAACAGCTCCAATAAACTGACATAAGGACTAGGCCCCCTATCAACAACCAAGTCGTTGATAACATGGTACTTTTCTACAGGTATCGTTGTGAAGCAAGGCACTTGACGTTCTTCGCCAACAGGTTGCTGTTGTTGCTGTTGTTGTTGTTGCTGCTGCTGATCGTCTTCAGCTTGCCCCCATTCCTCCTTTTCTTCCTCCTCGACATCATCACCATCCACTTCACCGAATTTCTTCATTTTGCCTTTAAGATTAGCAGCTTGTTGTTGACGCTGCTTCTTCAGTTCTTGACACCATCCGCCCACAGTGAATTTGCCAGTTACAGGATTTCTCACAACATTTCTCAACTGCACGGCTTTTGCTTCCTCGGGAGATTTGCAATCAGGATGAGGCACACGGCGATACACTGTGCATGTCAGACGTCCTCTGAGGTTAATCCGAACACCTCTCTCCATTGCATTGTGTAAATGCTGCTTGTATCTGTCAAAATCAAAAGGAGTCAGGAAGCCAAGCGAACCCAAATGAAAGGGAATGACTGGAGGAATGTAGTTTTGAAACAACCACGAAGAGAACAACACTGTGCCATCTCCACCAAGCTAGATTAAAGCATATTTGGGTTAGAAAAAGTTCTACATCCTACAATGAACATTGACCTACAGTGATGATAAAGTCAAAGGACTTGGGTTGCAAGGCACACAATTCAGGTGTCCAGAATTTAAGCTTTTCGCATGCAATAGGATGGTTTCTAACAATCTTGTCATACTTGAAGCGCTTGGAATTCTTTAGTTTTTCATCGACATAGCTGTCAATGTTTCGGTTAGTTGCTAGAAATAAACATGAGATAGTCCACATACCATGTAATGCCACTTTCTGAACCATAACGAGGCGTCTCTACCAAATACAACGCCATGTCTCGAGTCATGCCAATGAGAGAGCAATCTCCTGGTTTTGTGATTATCATCACTGATTTTGGACTCTCCCATTTTACACGAGTTCTACCTAGATAAAAAAAAAAACGCCATCAATTTATCAGGAGCATGCTCTGTCTCTTCGTATTGCACCTACCCATCTTTTTAGCTACCTCTCTCACAGCATCTGCGGTATCCGTCAGGTAAGACGTATGCTGAGCTCTTGGAATTGTCTTTACAGCACTGTATTTTCTTCCTCCAGGTGATGTGTTCTGCGCCAAGGCAGTCAAAGCATCAGTTAAAGCCGAGCAAGGTATATTAGACATTGGTTCCATAGTAAAAAATTGTAAAGGAAAAGAGAATGATAAGGAAAAGAAATTCGGAAAAAGGGTATTGTACCGTTGCAGTATATTTGTGAAACTTTTTTCATGTACAATGTTTTTTTCATTTGATGGCAACACACATACACACAGCCCTCTTTGCGCTCTCGCTTACGTTCAAAACGTCACAATGCAGTGAAACCACCTCTTCTGGCCATCGACATGCCATCAATTTACATCTTGGATATGTCTCTATAGATATAGATCTTTAGCTTATGAATGTCTCTATTGGAGTCTCGGAGCACTCGCTTCAAAATGATTTGCACTTCAAGCCGTTCTGCCTAACATTATCGAGCCATGGTTGGAAACAATTGCTTAAAAGAGTAAATTACGTAATGCAATGTACAAATCTAATCGGCTCCGCGACGATTGATAGCTATCATCAGCGTAATGAGGCGCCACGGCCCTGACCAACAGAAAAAAAAGTACTCACGGCAAGCACGCTGAACAGATGCTGCGGAATGCAATGTTCTATAGTAGGATTTTGTCAGGTTAACTTAACCAGGAAGCGACGTTTCTTGTTCAAATCCATGTCAATACTTGTATACTGCCACCTCTTTCTCTGACAGGTATTGAATCCAATAATTGATAGCATTGGTTTAATGATGGTTTTACCGTAGCGAAGCAAAGGTTCAAAACCATAGTATTCAGTAGCAAATTCAATTTCTCATTCCCTAAATTAATAATTGATTGTTTGAAATCTAATTATATAGCAAATTTTTATTATTACTGATTTGAAATGTCTACAACGAGAGTCTGCAGGGCAGCACCGTCGTCGAGCGTAGCGAGATTGCATCTAATTCAGCATTTGGTAATATTAGTCTTAATGGGTTTTACCGTAGCCAAGCGAAGGTGCAAAACCATAGTGTTCAAGCAGCAAATTCAGATTTTCATTTCCATTGTTAATAGGCTTACCAGCAACATATCGCATCAAAGCTTGCATGAATTAGTCTTACCAAAATCAATATGCCTCCTATTGGAATTAGAAGTTGCACAGGCTGCAGAACTGCCCTTCCAGAAGATTTCATCTACCAAAGATGTAATTTATGCCGTGTAAATGCACTCTATAAAGCAATACACAGCCCTATTTGACAACTTTCAAGCCTCCATTTCTTGACATGTAGACCTTTCTGAGCCACTGGAATGACGCCAAACAATTGTACTTGAGTAGTAGTAACTTCCTGACACCTTTGCTCAACTTTTTGGGCCAAAAAAAACATGGCCAAAAATCAACCAAAAAGCATGAGGGGTACCTCATGGTTTTCATCAAAAATCAAACGATCGCGTTTTTGACCTCAAAATTGAAGATTTTTGTTATGGTATATATTGATTTATAATCTTCCTCTCCATTCAATGCAGCCTCTGGCTGTTTGCTTGTGTTGCCTTTGTATGCAAAATTTCAACATTTTTGCCAAAACCCTCATTTTATATTTTCATGATTTGCTCAAGAATGTTATTCAAAGCATCTCTTTTATTTAGCACCGTTGGATGCGCCATGAAAAGTACTCTTAGAAAGCTTAAGGAAGTATGGAATTAGCACCACAAGTTCATAGTCGAATCTGGCAAAATAAGGCAAGAAAGTCGAAAGTTAAATGAAAACTTCCATTTCGAGTGAAAAACAAACAAGCCGAAGATTTAACCAATTTTGGCTGGCAAATGCACTGCCATGCGCATTGCGAAGACAATCAATGATATTGAAAGCTAAATTGGATGGCGATTGCGAGTTGAAAGGTTCCATTGCTTAAGCAGATTATTTATTTTTTGAATTTCTTGCGCAATTTCAAGTTTGGCCAATTTAAACATTGCAAAATGCGCATCCATTTGCGAAATGCTATGCAAAATGCAAAATGCAAAATGATTATTTTTGTTCAGCATTGCATATATTATGGTTCTTTGACCGTAAGTTTTGGGATAGATATAAATAATCCGTCATTTTAATGCAATTTCTCAAATGAATCAGTTGTTGATGATGGTATGAAGTACGCCGAGGGTATGGGAGTAATCTCCAACATCGCTCTTAATAGAGTACAATTACTAGTCTTATCACAAACGAGGAGGGAAGAGTGCCTTGCTATCCTTGTTTTTCATGCGTAGTAAACGTAGTAGATCTGTCAAATTGCCTGATAGTTATGATGCTTGATATTATGCAGAAAAGTAAAGTAGCATCCTTGAGGATGTCGCATGGTTCCTGAACCAATGTTCTAGGATGAGTGGTGAGAATGACACTGCTTTCTTCGGGTGAACAGGCAATGGAATATAACACAGCAATGCCATTGCATTTAAGCGAGACAAGGAAGGCATGATGATACCCAAGATGATTGAGACCATTACCTAAGAAAATAAGGAGAGATCAAGCATAACCCAAGTGACACAACACTAAAGTTGGTAATCTGTGCTCTTAATTTTGACACAACTGCCCCAGTCAGGCACTCCTGGGATACTTTTGTTTGTATTAAGGAGTGATTCAACGTACAAAGACCACACGCGAAATTGTGCCATCTAATATCACCAATAGCAAATATTACATGGTGGTACTCCTTCCTCCCGAAGGATTGTTATGTTTGTATGTCCACAGTAATAGTAGTTTGTTTTCGTTTTTTCTTTTCTTTTCTTTATTCTTTTTATCTTGTTTCTCTATTCTGCCATTCAGGTTGCGTAAATGTATACCATGGGCGATACAAATAAAATAGCAGAACTAGATGATCTCGAAACAGAAGAAGAAGCTTACATCAAAGAAACCAAACGAATCATAAAGCAGCTCGAATCCATCATTTTCAAGAGAAACCAAAACGTAATTATACGCAGTGGAATAACTAGAATCTATTTGCAGCTAACCACGGACAAACAAGTATAGTTAGAGGTTTGCCTATGGCGTACATTCGATTCAACAATAGACATCCTATTCATATTTACACCCAAATTAAGCAGCGAAGCAAAAGACGCTATGAAGGATCATGTAACGACTATCATCAATGCATCTACGCTGTTATCCTCTGTCATCAAAGTCCTCCTTTCGAAATTTCAGAGAAACGAGACAACAGTAGTAGAGACCTTGGTAGCAGTGAACCGTCTTACAAGCACTGTCCAAAGAATGAAATTTCTGCTGATGGAGAAAAGTTTAAAGGTACCAAGATCAAAACTAAGCTAGAGAAATAACTCAGGGATTAGAAGTGATCTGTTTTGAGTAGGGGATCTTGAGAGTTGTCGCTTTTTATTAACGTGATACTACTAGTTGGCTATTATACAAAGCCTGTACCAACTGGTGAAATCACTTTTATTTGTATTTTTAGTGAACGAAAAGCAGTGTAGTGGTAGTAGAAAACGACAATCTGCAAAATTGATCACACCCCCTTTAACGCCGGATAGTGTGTCATCCTTTCAGCATCAGCAGCAGCAGCAGCAACAGCAGCAGCAACAGCAGCAACAACAACAGCAGGCTGTAGGTATGTGGACCTGTTATCGTGTCGCTAAAATCAATACCTAAACATTCATTCAGATAAGCATGAGTTTGATTTATCTTTTTATCAGGGAGGAATGCAACATGTAACTCGTGTTAGGACTGACAAAAGGTAATGAATTTCACACATCAACGCACAACCAAAAGAGAGAGAGATTATATCATGTAGTGGAAAAAAAGGGATGTTATGATGGGAAACAACACATTCCAATTTTCCTTTTCTTTTTCTTTTCTCCTTCTCTCAACTTCTATGTCCCATCTCCTTTCTGACACATACTAATGTATATCTTGAAAAATAACAGCAGTGGCAAGATTAAGAGCAACTACACCAACAACAGCAATGCTACAGGTACTGTTTACATCAAATTTCACTTCAACATACTAAACTACCTGCATTTCCTAATATTAGTGGGAAAACGCTTTATTCGCAGCATCTCAACTTTAAAGAAGAATCAAGCAGCAACGGTTGAGAATGAGCTCAATATGTCACAACCAACAAGACAAAAGATTGACCAGGAGCGAGTATTGCTTCAGTCACCAAAAGACTCAGCAGCAGCAGCAGCAGCGAATGCAAATGTACATAAAGGCAGTATGCGCTTATTCTTCACTGGTGGACTGAATAGGAAAGTAAACAAAAACGCGATTTCATCAACAACATCGCATATCAAAGACATATTCGAGATTAACAATGAGGTGAGCTTTCCTTTAGCGATAGGTAAACGATGAACTCACTTCAAACATCATGTAGCTGGACCATTCAAATCAACGAAATTCTGTACAAACATTAAAATCACCATACAAACATAACATACACATACGAACAGATGATGCAATCTGCAGCTCTGATTCAGGTTGCTTTACTACAAACAGCAATTCGACATCTAACATTGTACATACGACCTCTATACAAACAGAATATGCAGAGCCAGTTTTTATCAAGCAGAAACAGATGAAGCCAAACCGCTCTGAGAGTGATCTTCTACAAATACTAAAGCCGTCGACTTCATCATCTTCAACGCAGTGGTTCAGCAGCAAGAAAAAGCAGCTATTGAAGAAATCGTCGTTCCTTGACAAGGAGAAAGAAAATGAAAAACTATACAACATTCCTGTATGCGATGAAGATGACGAAATACTTCGCCACGCCAAAGAAAAGGGTAAAGAAGGATCGATTATACATATTTCTGAAGATGGGCAAGACGTACTTGTGATGGAGATGGCGTCCAATAAATTGCAAGTTCTAGCAGGTACTCTGGAGCGATTATTCATGAAATTGGCAGATGAAACATGTCAAGATTTGGATTACGTGGACACTTACATCCTGAGCCACCTGTTCTTTACTGACTCATTCGAGCTACTGGAAAACTTGATGGCGAGATTTCATCTGGAAGCGTTGCCAGGGGAGGCAAGCTACTTTAAGAAATGGCAACGATGTATTCAAGTAAAGTAAGTGGTTTGATTTCCTATAATAGATAAATATGATTCTTAAAAGCGGCATAACTTGAAGGGTTTTGAATGTCATTTCACGCTGGATCAAATTGCAATTTCAAGACTTTGAGCAGAATCCCATATTAATTACTCGACTGGAGGCATTTCTGAATGGCGATGTAAATCGTGCTGGTTTCACGATTGAAGCAGATATGATTAAAGAAGCACTTGATCGACAGGTAAGCTATTTGTTCAATAGCTAAATGTAGACAGCTCACAAAGTGAAATGCCATGTTTTATAGTCAAGCCAGTCTTGTAAATCCAGACATTCGCTTATCATTCAAATATCAAAATCCCTGGTTTCATTTGGAAATAACAACAGCAATGGTAATAGTACAATTACCAACTCAACGTCAACAAGTGGACTAGGTAGAAGGCCATCTCTCACACCGAGCTTTCTGTCTTTTGTATCGTACTCAACGCCACCAGCATCACCCACTCATCTCTTGCATCAGCAGCTCTACCAGCATCAGCAAGATACATTTCTAACTCTCAACTCAAAAGACATTGCCAAATACCTCACACTAGCTGACTTTTACATCCTGAAATGTATCACAGCGCAAGATTATCTAGCCATGTACCATACCTCCCAAAAACAACATCGAAAACAAAGCCAGGAACAGATCAACTACATTGCAATGATGACTGAAAGAGCCAACAAGCTTAGCAAATGGGTGTTGATGGAGATAACGATACACAAGCTACATAGCAAGCAAAGAAGGATAGTTATCCGCAAGATGATTGAGATTGCAAAGGTAGGCTGCAATCTGCTGGCGCATCTGAATATATAACCAACCAATTTATGTTGACACACACAGGCTTGCTTGAATTGGAACAATTTTCATACAAGTATGGTGATCACAATGGGACTGACGCAATTGCAAGAATTCAAAGGAGGTGGTAGTGGTGGTAATGGTGGCAGTAGTAGCAGTGGCACTCATGGTGGAACAGAAGAAAGTTGGCAACCGTCATCCCTCTTACCAAATCGAGACATTATTACATTCAAAAGCTTATTGAAGTACCTGAATGTGTGCAATAATATGAGCTATTATCGAAACGCATTCAAGAAATCAGCAAAAGCACCGTGTATCCCATTTTTCCCCATCATTCTTAAAGATCTCACTTTTCTGATGGATGGCAATGCCACCAAGAAATCAGATGGTCTGATCAATTTCACCAAGTTTCGTGTCCTGGTCCAGTCTATCCACACCATCCTCAATTACACCATGGAAAACTACTACTTTGCCTCTGAACTGGACCACTTTCCCTTCTTCCCAAATACATCCAGCAGCAGTGCCTCCTTATCATCTGCCTCGTCTCTACCGTTGTCCTCTCCCTTGCTAGATCAAGTTGCTTCCATCATGGAGACACAGATCAATCAGCAACAACAACAGTACGTCACTGCCAATGCCGTGTGACTGAAGCAAAAGGCAATTTGTAGTACTGCACTTTGTTTAGAAGCAAAACGTTCACTCATCTTCGGTCTTTCAACGAGATGCCAAAGGGAGGAGCAGCAAGAAAGAAGGAATTGAAAGCGGGCGCCACCTTGTTTTTTATTTGTTTCTCTTTTCTTTTCTTTTCTTGTACCTTTTTTTTTATACTCTGATATTCTTGTGGGTATTCAATACACATATTAACCAAATATCTCTATAAAATATTGCACGAATCACTCAAAAAGATCAGAAATTTGATACATAAATTTTTTGAGATATCGTCCGTTGTAATTCCATATTCTAATCATTTTTGCACATTTTTTTTGCTCGTAAATATACACATTGGATAAAGGGAATTGAGCATTCACATTTAAACTTACATTTATTCTCACAAAAGCTACCAAAACGTACGGCAAGCACCCAGAGGAAGTATACAGAAATCCCATATTCCACGCACAGCGGTCACCTAAAAACCTAAAAAAAAAACCATCAGACACATCCACAACAAACAGGTAATAATCTACATCAAAACAATCAATCGAATATTATGGGGAAAATCAATAACCAATATATACGTTAGCCTTTTATTCCCTTTTATTACAAATATCGATCATGTCCTCGGAAGAAGAGGTAACAAAAAATCATTAAAACTAGCAAATGTAACATTTACTGAAAATACGTCCAACATTTAGCAAGATGCCTGCAATGTTTGTGAAAGAGATAGTTCTCCCAGTAAAAATCCCATCATGTTTTGTGATGGCAAAGGTAAGGGAGTTGCTCAATTACACAAAAAAAAAAAGTTGCATGTGTCTCATAATTATCTTTTTATAGGTTGCAATATGCCAGTTCATAAGCGTAAGTTTTCTGATCGTGATGTCCTAGGAGCGTAACTAATCATTGTCGCGCTTGCGTAGGTTGCTATGGTTTAAAGCAAGTGCCAGAAGGAGACTGGTTTTGCCAGAGATGCGAGAACAAGAAAAAGAAGAAAGCTACAGTAGGTTATATGAACCTCAAATAGTACAATGGGATTACTCATACATATGCATTTAGAACATCATTTGTTGCCCTGTTCAAACTGGGGCTATTAAAAAGACAAAGCTGCAAGATAAATACATGCACATTGTTTGTGCGCTTTGGAATAAGGACATTGACAATACTGTAGAGCCTTACCCTGTGCCCGAAAGTCGACTCAATAAGCAGGTAAGTGGTTTGCTCCTTTTGACTGATTTGCTGATACTAACAATCGCATTTTTGTATTCCTAAGACCTGTGGATTTTGCCTCAAAAGTGTTGGTTTATGTATCAGTTGTGAAGAACCTGATTGCTCAGAGTAAGTCATTACCCATACATGCTGTTCTGTACTGATCTGTCAAATTCTTGCATCGTTGCAGATGTTGGCATGTAACATGCGCTATCAACAATAACATTATAACCCCCGCTGCATCTGTTCCTGCTAGTTTCTCTGCCAGATGTGTCAAACATGAGATCAAATCAAGCAAAAGCAAAGCATCCTCAACACCACAGAAGAAGAAAGGCAGAAGACTCGTCAAATCAAAGAAAATATCAGATTCAGAAGACTCTGATGAAGATGAAGATGACGACTTTGAAGGCGAAGACGATGAAGACGATGACGAAGACGATGACGAAGAAGAGGAAGAGGACGAGGATGTAGAGATGGAACCTGAAACGACAAAAGATAACAAGGGGAAGGTCTCTTCAAACAAAAAACAAAATGCTGAAGATAGTAATAAGGATAACAAGTCCAAGGATGAGGATGACAGCAGTAGTAACAGCAGCATTGGTGCAAACAGCAGTGCAGTCAACAGCCAAATGCCTACCAAGAAGATCCTCGCTATTGGAAACAAACAACCACCGTCTTCGTCTTCGGTTATATCCTCTAGCCTCGGTACCTCATCTACCATTCGCTCGCCCTCATTGAAGAAGGAAATCCCCATGAAAAGGAGACTCTCTCCCAACTCACTCTTTGGACATGATCAGAGTTCAGATGACAGTGACGATGACATGGGTACTAAAAGCAGACCAAAATCAAGTAACAGCAATGTCAACAGCAATAACAACACCAACAATCATAGCAAATCTCTTGCATCGATATCATCAAAGCATGCCGAAAGAATCGAGGCCAAAAGAAAGAAGTCTGGCTTGGAGTCTGTACCCACATCGTCAACAGCATCAGTACCAGCAAGACCCAGCATATTGGAAGACATGAAGAGACCCTCGGCTAGTCTGACGCCTCCATTGCCCACTGGAACACCAACTAAGCAAAAGCTGCCCAACAAGGCACACCTACTAAATAACACATCCACGTCTACAAATGCATCCAATTCATCTACAAATAGCAATACGCCTTCATCTATATCCAGCAGCGGCAATGGCCAACGTCCTGTCGTTACTCCTCCTATCAAGAAGCAAAACGGGCCAGGCATTATAAAAGATATTGATGAGGTTTGTAGTAATGTTTATCTTACATTTATCCCATCAACTGACATCTCTATTCGTAACAGATTCAAAATGATATCAGAGCTGGTGCCCAGCGCTGGAATAACACATCGAATACGCCACTTCATCATCCTCAACCTACCACACCTCATTCTATATCAACCGCATTTTTCGAAAACGATGGTAAAAGGTAATTGTTAAATGGCAGTCCAAAGCACGCAAATGATTCACATTTTAACCCCTTTTTCAATTTTTTTTGTTTTTATTTTTTTACTTGCAGCAGAATGGACAACAATAGAAAGTCAATGAATGGTGGAGAGAAGGAAGAGCTCATGCGTCTGCGAGAAGAGAGCCGAAGATTGATAGACTTCAAACGCACTGTCACTGAGGTATTGACAAATCTGAACGTTCCTCTACAGTCTGGTCTTCTTCCATCACAAGATGTTGACAATTACGTCGCTCAATTACAAATGTTGCTGAAACGCGTTGGCCCAATCCGCGAAAATGAAAGAGTTCAGATCCAAGAATGTGTAAAAGGCGCATTGCAGCATAATAATAACCAACAGCATCCACAGTAGTCTATTCCCTCTCTTTTCTCTATAGTTGTATATAAATGGCCTTTTGTTTTGCGTTTTCTTACCGAAAAAACTGAAAGCCCAAACCAAATGTTTCCCTGTTCATCAAATAAATTCCAATTGACATCAAGCATGTGATACAAAGAGCAAAGGTTTATAAATAGAGCCCAACTGTTGGACAAAAGGAAATAAACATGTACCCAGGAGGTCACACCAGCTATTGGGAAATTTGCATAAAGATCTTACACTCATTAGAAAGACACTCAATTTTTAAGCTAGTAAAAAATAAAAAGCACTGCATTGATTTCAAGATGCTGGAGTATCATTTCATTCTATCCAATCTACATTTGATAGGCTATTTCCTGGAGTATAAGCACTACAAACTGTTAAATCAAAGTACAACAGTGGAAGCTCCGACATTTGATTGATGTGGATCCTTTCTGCTTGACCCTATATGAACAACTAAGGATTTTTTAAAAAAAAAAAAAAAAAATTGAAGCAACTGTAGATGCTCCTTATTACAAACTTCTAAAATTGTCCAATTCAATGTATATAAATAAACCTAATGATTGAGATATAAAAGTCTGTATAATAGCACTTTTGGAGTCAAGCAGATGTTGTATTGTGCGTAATCAATTGAACATTGGATTGTTCTTCAATGGCATACCAAGAAGTTGCTTTAGTTGTGTGAGTTGAATATGGCATTAGACTTTAGTCGAAGTTGGATTATAATGCGATACGGATTGGCAAACATCAATTTACAAAAGGCAACATCAAATGTTTCTATATTGGGCATAATACGAACGCTATCAATTCTGCCAAGCTTTGTGGAAATTACCAATTTACTGCTGCTGCTGCTAAGATCAGTTAAAGTTTCTATCTATTTAGAAGGTATGATTCATCATATACCATGACATCGAATAAGAACAAGATACGACAAAGAAAAAGACTCTTGCTATCATGGTTCTGGACCAACACAGTTGGAGCTATTTTTACACCCAAGTTTAACTTTAACTGGCTTTTAATAGCAAACGATTTCGCTTTCGCAACCAAGAGAGAGAGAGAGAGAGAGCAACAAAGTGGAAGATGTTTGTGCTTAGCCACGTGAGACGTATATATTCAAAGTGTAAAAATAGATGCTATTTATAAATGTATAGAAATGAGTTGAGTTTGTAACGAAAAACTTGTATATAAACGCACAGCTTCACAGAAGGGTATGATTGTATTACATTTCTTTCTCTTCATCTTCATTTACTTGCGTGTGTCAAAGTATAATAACCAAACACCCTCAAAATGCCATTTAATCCTGATCAAAACAAAGCAGCATTGCCAATTCAATCATGCCTATCATCATCAACATCACTAGTATCTCGCAAGAGAAAAAGAAGCCATAAAACTGTGCAATTTGATATCGAACACATTGTTATTATCGAAACCTATTCACCATCAGATTATGACCGTGGCTATTCTACTTTTCCTTCGTCAGCAAGCATTCAATACAAACTCAATCCTGCCTTGAACATTATACCCACAACAGCAAAACCCACATTATCATTGGAGATACCTTCTTCGCCTTGTGATTCTGAAGCAAGTAGCCCAGATATCGAGACACCCACCACAGATTGCCTCAAGAAGAAAAAACCCAAATTGACTGTAAATACAACAATGTGTGCTGATGGTCCATTATTCTTTACAAAACTGTCCACAAACCATGTCAAATACGGCAGCCTACAAGACGACGATTGCTCCAATGATTACCTTGTCCCAATGACAGCATCAACACCATCAACAGCATTTTTTTCGTACTAGAAAAGAATAGACCTAGCATAAAAAAGTATCCTGTAATTGTTTCCCTTACTAATAGCTCTAATAATAATATCCATCTAATTTTAATTCATTTCCTTGCCACTGCTCCTTATTAAACGCTCTGTTCCTAATCTGCTCCTTTTTCTTTATATATCAACCTCTTGTATTGTATATATGAGTGAAATAAAATACCAATTATTTTGTGCAAATCTGTAAATACAAAGACAAAAAAAAAAAAATAAATAAAATAAAATAAAGTTAAAAATAGAGTAGCCGTTATTGTCTCGAAAACTTGCTAGACACCTTGTTGATGATGAAACATACAATGCGTACATGTATCTTAAGATAGTAGTTAAAAGGGTCTTATGCATGTCGATTATTACATGCAATGTATCCAACTAAACAAACGGATAGTTGGTATTGTGTATTTTTATACATGTATTCAAACAAGAACAATGTTGTTGCAGATCTCTATTTGTATTTTGAAGCTCCATCCTAAATTTATCAAAAAGGCATGTCAAGAGTAAATAGTATTCACAACAAGATGTTCATCCATTGTATTACACCCCTATTTGTATGCACCTTCTCTCCTTAAACTGTTATAAATGCAAAGCATTTTTTATGTAAGTGCCATAACTCAACCTGCTTCGATTGATCATGAATGATTTATTAGTACACATCAAAGCGACATCTTCATTTAAGGCGGCGCAAATCAGTATCTGTTTTAATAACTTTTAGCGTAAATATATTCATTTCATACTTATAGGAGACTGTATTGACTGTTGATATATATATATATACATATATATATATATAGACGAGCTGCCTCTAGTAGACACGTGTTGATATAATTATAGGTAAACTATGTGAAAACACTCATTCTACAATGATGTTTAGAAACAGATGCTGTTGTAACATTGGGATGCTGATCTTCAAAAGAATTAGCAACAGTAGTAATGATTCGATAGATATATTATCTACATTACGGAGCAAACCATCTTGAGCGCATTGAAGTCATACCATCTATACAAAGTGCAATGTGGCACAATATCAAGCCAAGCAGAAATTATCAGAGTAGGGGTGCACGGATCACTAATCAAACAATCAAATACGCAAAGAAACGATGATGCATTTGAGCATAAACCTCGAGCAAAGCTCCTATAAAAAGCAACTCCTCAACCACATTGACAAAGTGCAGTCATTTATAGATTTTTATCAGGTGCGTTTGCTTTGCAGGTGAAGTGTGTGAACGCGCATTTATTGTATTTGTATTCAAGGGATGGCTCTTTTGATGACCAAGTGTGTTTTTAGACCACCGTTTCAAGTATTGGAGAGCATAAAATCAAACTAACGCAATGTAAGAGGCATCTATTTGAGCAATACAACTAATGCTACATTTGATTACTGGCGAAGCATGTATAATCATCTATGATGACCTACACTTGATGGATTGTGCCATCGTGATCTTTTTTTGAGAGTAGGCAGAATTATTATACGTAATTTGTTTAGAAGATTGTAAAGCTTTTGAACAGAGATATTAATAAACGCGTATACAGCACACAAGCAACTGTAGAAACACAGCCATATTTGACAACTTTCAAGCCTCCATTTCTTGACATGTAGGTCTTTCTGTGCCACCGGAATGACGCTAAACAACTGTACTCGAGTAGCAGTAACTTCCTGACACGTTTGCTCAACTTTTTGAGCCAAAAAAAACATGACCAAAAATCGACCAAAAAGCATGAGGGGTACCTCATGGTTTTCATCGAAAATCAAACGATAGCGTTTTTCACTTTGAAAATGGAGACTTTTACTATGATATATATTAATTCAAAACGTTTCTCTCGACCCAACGCAACTCATGGAACCTTGTTTGTGTAACTTTTGCATGCAAAACCTTGACATCTTGGCCAAAAAACCTCATTTCATATTTCAGTGATTTGCTCAATAAGTTTATTCAAAACATGTACTACAATTATCACCATTAAATGCGTCTTAAAAAGTACTCCAGGAAGTTATTAGGAAGTATTTTTTTTTTTTTTTTTGTAGGGGAGTCGAGCTCCAGGTTTTATTTAAAGTCCTTTAAATGTCATACTGAGGGATAGAAAAGACTGTTGGTGGACCCAATGTCTGCAAAGAAGGGGAATAAGATATTTTTGAACTAAGTTGGGAAAGAAATCTACTACTAATAAGGTGCGACTCCTAGAGCCAGTACAGTCTTGCGGAAATCGTCAAAATATAGATCATGGATAAGAGTACAAAAACACCAAACGAGGACATCAGTACTACGTCAAAAAATCCAAACAACTTGCGTTCACCAGGATTTGAACTGGGGATCCTTCCGTTGGCATACGGGAGTTCTACCACTTCGCCCTACCACCAGGGACAGTTATTAGGAAGTATTGAATGATCACCACAATTTATATAGCCGAATCTCGCAAAATAGTTCAACCAAGTCGAAAAAGGCCAATATCTGGCCAATCTTGAACAGAGATATTTATCTGAGTTTGAAACAATTTTGGTGGGTGGCACAGAAAGGCCTACATGTCAAGAAATGGAGGCTTGAAAGTTGTCAAATAGGGCTGTGTATTGCTTTATAGAGTTTATTTACACGGCATAAATCACATCTTTGGTAGATGAAACCTTCTGGAAGGGCAGTTCTGCAGCCTGTTGTATTCAAAGATACAGTATTAACAAATTAAGATAGATTTCAAAAAAGGAAGACTATAAAAAGTAACCAGATACGAAAACTAAAGATTTATTAACTGATTCAAACACATCCTATTTATAAGAGATCATTACTGATGAATCATCAATCTATCTTGTTGTTTCAACTGAGTCAATACATCGTATCCTGTTTATCTAATATCAGTCAATTGAAGGATCCGATTCGCTCAATCAGCCATGATGATACGATCTGTAGCCATCATTATCCTTCACTATCAGAGACTATCATAATCGATTATATGATTCACTTCTGTGTCGAACCTAATGTCCTAATGTAGACAGTGAGAAACAATGTAAATCATGATCCGACTCTTGCTGAGTTACTGAATGTCCACAACTGCTACAGACTCAACACAGCCTATGCAACTTCTAATTCCAACAGGAGGCATATTGATTTTGGTAAAGCTGATTCATGCAAATTTTGATGCGATATGTTGCTGGTAAGCCTATTAACAATAGGAATGAAACCCCGAATCTGCTACTTGAACACTATGGTTTTGCACCTTCGCTTGGCTACGGTAAAACCCATTAAGACTAATATTGCAAAATTATTAATAGCTGTAGTGATTTAATATAAAATCTCTAAACTTATATGAGCCATGCCTGGCAACTCAGTTTCCTATTAGGGTTGTAGGGGCTATACATTTATTACGTTATGATATATAATGATAATGTTGATGATGATGACTACCCGCGTTAGACAGGCTTTTTTTTACTGGGTATTTCATATTACTGATTAAAGTTTACGCTTCTTATTATATACTACATTGAGGGTAAAAGATGGCTGCATAATTAAATGTCTTTGTTTCCCCAAAACTATCTCAGAATCATCATCATCAAGCTTTTGTTTGGCATCTTGCATAATTAGTCTTGCACTGAGAATCATTTTCAACACAGCAGCTAATTGACGGCGAATCTTGCTTTCTGTCATTGGATAGTCAACTGGATTGAAAGCATCGTATCTTGTCACATAGCCTGCAGGACAATCTAAAATCGATAATTTCAACACATTTTGACCAATATAAACGCCACTGATACAGAGTTTGTTCATAACGCCAGGTGATTCCAACACGAGTCTAAACATCATGTCCTTCATGACCTTGGGCATTTTAAACCCACAATCTTGCAACTCTTTGGTGGTATTTACACCAGCAATCAAGCCACATTCACCGCAACCAACTTCAGTTCCTGCATCTCTTGTCTTGAACAAGTAATCCATTTTTCGACCACCATGCTGTCGACTCAAGTCGCTAATACTACGCTTGATGTTGGCTGCATCAGCAGATGCTCTGCTACATTTCTTTCCACTACACAATCAACGTTAGAGATGCAATGCAACAATCAAAGCCAACCATAAACCTTACGCGACACATCGAATCGTAGAAAAATCAAAGTGTTAAGCACAAAGAATAAAAGGATTATTATTTGTAGCTTATAAAAAATGTTCGATATTATAAAAACAAGAAAAGACTTATTTGAATAAGATCAGACACAAAAAAACTAAAGATTTATTGATGAAGACAAGAGTTATTTTATTTATACTAAGTTCTGAATGCCAAAGTAGCAATTTATCTTGTACAACGCTTATCACATCTGGTGAACCTCAGTATTTAGATAGCTGAGATGCACTTCACTTATCATAGCTTGTCCATGTTGTTGCACAACACAGACATATCTACCCATCAAGAATACCTTAATCTTTATAGACAGTTGTAGCCCTTCTGGCACAACACAAAGTATGTATCCAAGCAGGACCAGATTCGCTTACCAATGCCTTGTCTAAAATATATATACTGGAAAACTATGAAAAAAAAAAAAAAATAGACAATCCAATCATATTTTTTTAAAATTTAATAATATTGAAAGCCAGAACAAAGGTGGGCATAACCACCGGCGAAGCCGGCAATGGGGAGGGGGTTTGGGGGAAGGCGCTTAGCCCCTCCACCAAGAACATCAAGCATCACAATTTGCATAAAGTGTATGAAATATCTTTTTGTTAAAATCAAATCGAATTATCATGCCTCCTGTTCAAGCTAGAAACTGTGTAACCTGTAGAGTTGCTCTACCTGAAGATTACAATTTTCGAAAATGTGATTCATGTCGAGTAAATAGAAAAGAAATGAAAAACAAACATTCGAACGAACCTTATATATATATATATATATATATATATATATTGTTTCAGGAACGTGCCCGAAACTACGCCAGACAGAGAGCTGCATTAAGGCCACCTAGAGCACCTAGAGCACCTGCCGCTTTCATATCAGAACTTGGAAGAATGCAACCTCATTATCTGGGAAGAATGGACGTTGTATGTGATGGTTGTGGCGCATTGCATTGGGACGCAGCAAGAACTACTGGTCAAGCCAGAAGCAACAATCTCTTCTACTCTTGCTGTAAAAAAGGAAAGGCCATATTGCCCTTATTGCAAGATCCGCCTGAGCCCTTGAATATGGTGAAGGATGCTTTCGGTAATGACGTCTGCTCAAAAAAGTTCCCAAAGCGTTATCAGCCAGTAACCATAGTCCCTGATGATGGGTATCCACTCTATCGTAGAAGAATGGATGGCTGCTCTCATGTAGTACGCATCAGAGATGATCAGAACGTGTACAACGACTTTCATATGACAAATGAATGGGTGGTAGCGTATAATCCATTCCTATCAAAGAGATACAACGCTCATATCAACGTGGAAGTATGCGCCAGTGTCCAGGCTATCAAATACATCAACAAGTATATATACAAAGGTTCTGATCAGACTACTCTGAAAACCACGACTACCGCGACAACAACCGCAACAGCTGGTACTGCAGCAATGTATCAGAACGATGAATGTGCCAAATATCTAAATGGCCGTTATATCAGCCCGTGTGAAGCCGTCTGAAGGTTGAAAGAGTTCCCAATGCATGAGGAAAGCCCACCTGTCACTACACTTGCTATTCATCTTGAAAATGAGCAGCCTGTATATTTTGATCCTTCCTGGCCTCAATCAAGAATTGATAATGTCCTGAGAGAGAGTCATACCACGCTCATGGGTTACTTTCATTATAATGCCGTGAATCAAAACAAACCTGGTTTTCAACCATTGCTTTACCAGCAATTCCCAGAGCATATGACTTGGAAAGAAAAAAAGCCAAAAAGGTGGGAAGCAAGAAGAACCGATACCATGTCTATCGGCCGCATGTACTACTGTAGCCCTGCTGCCGGCGAGAGGTATTATCTGCGTCTGCTGCTCACAGTTGTCAGAGGAGCCACGTCGTTTTCTCATCTGAGAACTGTCAATAATCACGAGTACGCCACCTTTCGCGAGGCCTGTATGATGCTGCATTTGATCGAAGATGATGGAGAATGGACCAGAGCCTTTGAAGAAGCTGCTACCTTTGCCTCTGGCTACGCAATGCGTTTAATGTTTGTCTCTGCGCTCATGTTCAACTCATTGGTATCGCCTGTTCAGATTTGGAATCAATTCTGTGAAAGTTTCTGTGATGACCTTGAGCATGCAATCGTGCAAAAAGGGTATTTGCTGCTGCTCAGCGTGCAACCTGACGCTGAATTTTACCGTGGAACGCGAAGTCTTGATTACGGCTTATATCTGTTGCAAACATCTCTTGGTGCACAAGACAGATCTCTAGGTCAGTTCAATTTGCCTCTGCCTCTCTTCAACTGGAATGGCTTGATAAGCAGAATGACTGGCATACAGCGCAATTCATTGATACTTAATGAAATGTCATATTTCCAAGATCAAGAAGCCTTTTCGTACCAGCGAAAGTACGCTCAAATGAACGCTACCCAGAAGCACGTATTTGAGACCATCACCTCCTCCATCAACAGCAACACCAACAGCTCACATTTCTTTTTGCAAGGTCCAGCTGGCACTGGCAAAACTTTCATTTACAATACTCTCTGTCATTTTTATAGAAGCCAGGGAAAAATTGTTCTCTGTGTTGCCTCCTCTGGCATTGCTGCTTTGCTACTTCCTGGTGGGCGTACGTCGCACTCTCGCTTTGCCATTCCACTCAACATCCACGAGCAGTCTGTGTGTGCAATCAAGAAAAACGATGATCTTGCTGACCTTATTCGAAACACAGCATTGGTAATTTGGGATGAAGTGCCCATGCAGCATCGTTATTGCTTTGAAGCTTTTGATTGAACACTTCGTGATATTTGTAGTCGTGGTAATGAAGTTACCTTTGGTGGTATTCCTGTTGTTCTTGGCGGTGATTTTGCTCAAATTCCACATGTTGTTAGGCAAGGCGGTCGTCCTGAAATCGTCAATGCCTCACTGAAATCGTCAAGATTATGGCCCAAATTACAAAAGCTAAGGCTCACCGAGAATATGAGACTAGCCAACTCTAATGAAACAGATTGCCAATTTGCAGATTGGATTGGCAGAATGTCTTACGAATCAGCCATGATTGGCAGCATTGCTTTACCCTCTTTTTTGAGGCAGATGACTGATCTTGATCAGTTCATTGAAGACATCTATCCCAAGCATGTTCTGCAGCGTCCTCTGCAAAATAGCAATTTTTTCAAGGAAAGAGCTATTCTCTGCTCAAAAAATATCAATGTCGATGCTATCAATTGCAAGGTGATGGAGAACGTGATTGGTGAAAAGGTCACTTTGTACTCTGCTGACACGGTGCAATCTGATCTGACCAACTCTATGTTGCCATCTCGAGAGCAACATCTGCAAATGGTATAACAATTCTACTGCCAGAAAATGCGACTCGGACAGAGAATGTTGTCTACCCAGAAGTATTATATAATATAAATGCTGTATAAAAAAAGTTGGTCTGTAACTCCCAACTCCTGTCGTCTCAATCAAGTTTCAAGTCTATTTTTTGTTTTAAAATATTCGAATCGAATATAATCATTGTTTAAAACCTACTTGATATACCAAATTTTTATTATCTCTGATTTGAAATGTCTTCGGCCAGAGCCCGCAGGGCGACGCCGTCATCGAGCGTAGCGAGATAGATCGGCTAGTTCAGTAGCATCATTTAAAGGGAAAAATCCACACTTGATCAAGCGAAAGCAGCTGTTGTAGGAATCTTGGATCCATTTGCAATCGGTATTTGGTTCAAACTGAATAGCATTGACTTTGTTGTAGAGACCAGTATTTGATGCTGTAGCTTCCAACTCATCCAAATACGTCTTGACATCATAAGGGAGTACAGGCAACGGGACAGCATTGAACTCTTTGATCTCCTTTAGTTCGGCATCCGTAAAGTAGGGTCCCCAACAATTATCATTGACATCAAGAATCAAAGAATGAGACAAACTACAATCCATGTCAGCATAATAATATACACAATACAATGCCATTCTTACTGTTCATGCTCTCTGTTCAACGCAAACTGCTTCATTTGTTCCTCAACGACAGTACCGGTAGACAGGGTCCACACCTTTGTCTTATCCAGGCCGTCGTACAATGCTTTGATGCTGTTCTTGTCAGTGTCACTGAGTTTAATCGTTTTGATAGGTACGGAATTTACAGACATGTCTTCATTAATTGATGTTGATGTTGATGTTGATGTTGATGTTGATGTTGATGATGCTGGGCTTGATACTTTTGAGAAATCCAAAGCAACCGATGATCTTCTTTTTTTAGTTTGAAACTCATACCCATTTGAGACCAATATGTCAATGATGTTGGCGGTTATGTTCTCCCAATTCGGTTTGGGGGATCTGGGCTATTGTAAATTTAGTAAGGGTTAGGAGCAAAACAACTCAACATACCAATTGCACATCAATAGCTTTAAAGTATTCCACGACACACTGGCTCCAGCTGCTTTTGTAGGTGTTGAACTGAGTACCGTCGTAGTATTGGACAATAGCAGTTTCCAATTGGTCAATTATTTTGGCCAAATCGACAGTACCATCAGCCAGAGAATCGTATGCAGCAGCAATTTCTGTTCAGCGTCAATACATAATACAACGATATGGTCATGTCTACAGTGCCTCTAGTAAATTTTTCATTCATTTCAAAAATGAAGAGTGATAATATTATCACCAAGACATCATTTTATTGAAAACAAAATATTATTTTTTCAAAAACAGTCATGAAATGCTTGCATGCGCATATCCTATCTCCCTTTTGCTCTCTCTCTCTCTCTCTCTCTCTCTCTCTCTCTTCACGTTTTTATATTTTCTTATCCTATTTTTAACTTATGAAAAAGTATTTTCCACCAAAATGTGCTTTGTACCAAACTCTGAATATTCTTGTCAAGAGGATCCATGTGTTATACAAGTGTAAGGCGTTGTTATGGTAAGCCCAGGCAGCGTTGCTTAAGACAGATGATTCTATTGAACGCCACTGTGGATACCTCATTTGCATTAGCGTTTTCTTTCGGGATTAGATCTACTTTCACCTTCTCGTGGTTGATCCTGTCAATAGCAAAGCAAAGTAGCACCAATATTGAACAATACACATGTGTTTAAAATCTGTATTCATTCGCTCTCATAATTCTCACATTGCTGGACATGGTTACTAGAGTCACCAGGAGGAGGAGAGGAGGTATATCCCTCAGCATCCTTTTTGCTTACACTGATGTCAAACGAAGCCTATTATTGGGACAATGTGAAATAAAATTCAAATTTAATGCAGCATCTGTACACCACAATCTCCATTTTGTGATAGTAGATTTATCATATCATTCGCTGCTGCTGATGCCCTTAATAATAAAATGGCGACATAAACCTGGTCGTAGGTAAATACAAGACTTATGTAAGGTCTACAGGGACTTTTTTTTTGAGATATTGTCACTGCAAAAGACAGCTTTATGAGGCAAAACTCCCCCAAAAAAGTGTTTGGGCAAAGCAATTGTCCTTTCAATTCTATGATCACCATTTAATCAGCATCGCAACCATTATTGACATCAGCAGAAAGGCATTTAGGTCAGCCAGCAGCAATGCTGCCACCAAAACCAATTCAAACTCAGTTTATTTTCTCTGTTTAAGATTGGACAGATTATGTCTTTTTTTCGACTTCTTTAATCTATTTCGTGGCATTCGACTATATAAGCTGTAATGATCACCCTACGCTTCCTAATACATTATTAAAGTACTTTTCAAGGCGCTTCCAATAGTATTAGTTGCAATAGATGTTTTGACTGAAGTTATTGAGCAATTTAATAAAATTTGAAATGAGGTTTTTAGCGAAAATAGCCATATTTTGCATAAGAAAATTTCATAACAGTGGTTTCAGAGGCTGCTTTGGATCGAGAGAAACATTTTGAATTAATATATACCATAGTAAAAGTCTCCATTTTTCAAGGTGAAAAACGCTATCGTTTGATTTTCGATGAAAGCCATGAGGTACCCCTCATGCTTTTTGGTCGATTTTTGGCCATGTTTTTTTTTTGGCCCAAAAAGTTGAGTAAAGGTGTCAGGAAGTAACTGCCAGATGAGAGCAATTGTTTGGGGCTATTCTGACGGTCTAAAACGGCCATGAATGCAAGAAAATGCAGCTCAAATGCACTCAAATTTTGCTGTATCAGGTGCACTAAGGATTAAAGCGGGGAAATATCAGTATGCTGCTTGCCCTTATATGAAGTAACTACATGTATATGGATGTAGAGTATCACGTAAGAATCAGATCCACAGACACTATGAAGGTTATTTATGTGTGTAAGTGGAGGATCAAAATGAAAGTAGTACAGTATTTTGATAAGATACGCAGGGGCAATCGGTAGCGCGAGCTGCCATTGCGCAGGTTGGTTCTCACCGAAGCGAAGCGAAGGTAAAGAGCCATTGGAAGCATAAACACTCGTATATAATGATGATGATGATGATGATGATGATGATAAACTGTTACAATCGGAAAAAAATCTATGTAACGAATGTATGAATATAAAAAATCAAGCGTTAAAATGTGTGCTTCGGATTTACGGTTCTTACATAGTATCAAACAGAGTGTGCACGACCTGAGAATATTTATAAACATCTCGGAAACTGCTGACACATCATACTTTATTCTAGTCTTTCTGATGCTCTCCCTCCTGGTATTCACCGCTCTCAAATGAAAAAAGTCGCATGGCTTTATAAGGCTTTGTTTATATTGCTTGCAACCTCCTTCATTATCTCATCTTTTATATAAGCCAAATGTTTACTGAATGAATAATGACGTATAAACACTAAGCATTTGTAATGTTTTAAAAATTTAGGGGCTACACGATGGTCTATATATGGCGACGGAAGGAAAAAATAGTAGTTTTGTATGGTAAGGTGACATTTTCCCGATTTGAAAAGAGTCAGTAACCTAATGCAAATAAAGTGTATATATAAACCTTAAATGGGCTTAGAAAAAGATAGCATCCAAGAGACCATTTGTTTCTTTCTTTCTCTGTTTTCTTTCATTACACATTTACACATCTTTCAAAACTATGATCAGCTCCTTCCCCAGTCGAAGCAGCATAAGTCCATTTCGAAAAAGCTTTAATTTGGACAGAGATGAAGCTGTTACTACGGAGAGTAATACTAAAAAGCCTAAGAGACAATCATTGAGAATCATCACTGGTGTAGATTCTCATCAATCAAACTCATCTATCAGCTCACCCTCTCGTGTTCGTCAAAGACTATCCTCTTTATTCCGTTCATCATCTCCAGTCGTCATGACATTGAAGGAGACATTTAGTAATAGCAACCTCAGTCAAGATCATTCGTGTCAGACAAAGAGACAAGCATCCTTCTCCACTGTATCATTTGCTTCGGTTGCTGAGCAATCGCAAGAACAACCACCGACGCTATTACAATCTCTCGGTGATAACAACTCCAGCACAACGCTTAGCTCTTCATCAGAAGCTTCCGATCACATGCCTGCATCTCCCGCAGATGGGGCTGCTACAACCGCTGCTAATACATTCACCCACCATCATCGCAATAGCAAGAGTATCACAGACCCATCCTTTTGGCAGCCTCATTCTATCAAGAGCAACATGATGTCACTTTCATATGAGGCGCCACCACCTAGCCCTCCGCCTCATAAAGAGCATCAGCCATCATTGGCATACCAAGTACATCAAATCCTGGGTTCAGCATTGGATGAAGTGGATGAGGAAATTGAGCAGGATTGGGAAGATAGCCGTAATAAATTACGCCAATCGCTGCTTTTACCAAAGACGTGTGAACGCATTTACTAGGCTGTTAGGTGAACAGTGAGCGTAGAATTCAACATTCTTCTTTCTTTACCGTATTTACCCATCTTGTGTTCACTTATTTGGTGACACAGTCCCTTTTTCTTACTGATTGATTACACATTACTGTTTCCTATACTATCCACTACTACTACTACTACTACTACTACTACCACATACATACAAACATCTTTACATACGCACATATAACAACTACAAACAAGAATGTAATATCTCACTGCTTTCCTTTAATCTCTGTACCATTAATATACATATATATATATATATCTAGCCACTCGTTTAATCAATAAAATAGCACTTGCTTTATTTTGCGTCTTTCTGATTGATAGAAATTTTGAATGGATTCACAAAATGTCGAGTTAAAAGAAACGTAAAAAAAAAAAGATAACCGGCTAATTTTGAATTATCTAATCTGCTTTCATGAAAAAGCACACAGACAAACTGAAAAGGTTTGTTCTACATTGGATGAAGACTGCTGATAGCATATCTCGTACAAGCAGTTTGAATAGAAGTTGTGTGATAACTGTCTGTATGCCATCGCATGTTACTAAAATCAGATGTTGCCATAAAATAAATGAATCCAGGACTCGACGAATCAATTTATTGCCCTGAAATCAAATAATATTATGCAACTGTTATGGATCAATTGCAAGTAACATGATCAATCCTCAGGGCCAGTGTTTAGTACATCTCAAGACAAGAGCTCAGACCAGCTGGTTTTATTTCCATGCCTGTTTCTTCGTTTGATCAAGGTACATTCATTTTAATAATCTCACTGCATGTCCGCTTTATTCTTCTGACGCGGATTTGGTAATTACCTATGGGTATGAAGAACCTTTGCCATCGCACAACGAACGAAATGTATGGATGTATAATAGCAAGATGCCTAATCCAAAACCTAAGTACCTACCCAATCGTTACAGAATTCATATGCCATAGTAAGGGGGCATCCGATGACAGGTTGAATACCAGCATTTTTGATGAAATACATTTAAGTACGTCAGAATGAAACTAAAAACTAGTAGGACACCTTGGCCAACTGCAACATGGTCTTTGACATTAGATCAATTAATTAATTAATGATGCATGTTTCTACCTGGAAGCTTCTATGCTAAGCAAGACCCTGAAACAGTTCTTTTTTCTTGTTAACAGCGGGCATTTGGTATAGAGACCGTTGAGATTTCCTTGGCAAACATGCTATTTCTGGCTTCAAAGATTAATACAGTTGGACTAGGGTACTACAACATGTCTTCTATCAAATCAAGCCAAGACATTGCTAGAATCACAACGGTTACCAGGTTGCCCTGACAGTTGTAGAAAGCAAAACCCTGGATAGCCAGTGGGCTTGACCCTTGTTTGTTGTTGTTTTCGAATAATGTAGTAAACTTGGAGATATCCAGCGCTTCCATCCTGCTCAATTGGATCTGTTGCATGAATTATAGAGTATTTTCCAGCCACATTATTTTTAGCTTTTTTGTTTCATTTACACTGTGTGGCAATGATGCAGATAATGTCAATGTAACCAGCAGTGTGATGTTGCAAATGTACATCTTGATTGGCGCAGCATTTCTTGTCGCTCAACAATAAGATTTATCTTTCAATTACCTTGGCCCTTTATGCCGTGTATAAGATTATAAACTGGAAAATAACAAGGACAGGTCATAAATAAAAAAGAACGTTCATCGCCATGTTTATCATATCGCTCAAATGTTGCACGAAATATCGCAATGTTTATACGGCCCGTTTAGCGGATGAATGCAGTATCCGAGCAAACTGATAAACTGCTACCCATCCTTGGCATTCGAGCAGAATATCGCAAACACGTGGAGTAACAAAGAAATAGTCTTTTTCTTGTTCAACAAGCTATTGATAGCAACATTCATCCTTACAACTACACTAGACAACTCCGATATTTGATGCTTTCAAAGCTAACAAGCACTGTTGTAATCAGTTAATTAACTCGGTAATTCATTAACCGATCTATCAGATGTGGTAGTGTCAAGAGAGAGGCTTACAAGATGTAAGCGCCAAATGAGTAGTGTTTCGAATGAAGCAAGATACATGAAAACATTGCAGCCCAAAAGAATAAATAAACCATAAGACGAAAAGCCATTTTTAGATGCAAAGAGTAACCCAAGCAATTTATTAAATTTCATCCCCTTATTTGACTCCTCCCATCGCCATGTTCCCCTCTCTCTCAGCTTGAATATCTCCACACACTTGCAATTTCGCATTTACAACACCCGCAATATAAATACGAAACACAAAGAAAAGGATAATTTACACTTTTGATTAACCTGAAAGCAATTAGATCCTTCTCTCTCTCTTTCTTCTCTTCTTTTCTTATCCTTTTTTCTTGTAACCAAATGTCGAGTTTCTTACACAAATTCAAACAGAAAAAGAGTCCGTTCCTTACGGAGCAAGAACGGAAGAAGCAGCAAAAGAGTGCGTTCCCTACTGCCTCCACCGAGCGACGCACAATCTATGTAAATATGGACATCCCAAGCGAAGAACTAGACGACTATGGACAGCCGACAAAAACCTACATATCCAACCAAATCAGAACAGCAAAATACACTTGGTACACATTTCTGCCAAAAAATCTATTCGAGCAATTCAGAGGCATTGCAAATCTATATTTTTTGTTCCTGGTGATCCTTCAGATGTTTCCTTTGTTTAGCTCAGCAGCCTCACCGGTGCTTGTTGTCTTGCCATTGGCTGCCATCCTCGTTTTAACAGGTGCCAAAGATGCAGTGGAAGATAACAAACGACACAAGACAGATGAAAGCGTCAACAAAGCAATCACATATACCCTCACAGCATGGAGAAATGTCAACATTGCTGCTCATCAAGTGCCTCGCTGGAAACGATGGCTGCACTCCATGAAATCCCTCTTTGCTCGCAAGCCAAAAGACAATCAACAATTTGAATTAACTGCAACAAGGGGTGGTGTTCTTAGCCGAGCCAACACTAGTTACAGCACTGCGAGCTACCATGATGAAGATTCCTCACATCTACCAGCATCACCTTCTCTCAGCCTCACATTTAAAAACAAATTGCGCTCCACAACATCGTTTTCAAAGATCCTGGCATCCAAGAGAAAGAGCCGCATGCCCTATCGACCGGGACAAGTGCCACATTCAGTTTTGCGATCCAGCAAATTGGTCAAATCCACATCAGAAGCCGACGACGAAAAGAAGCGCACCAAAGCAGCAGCAGCATCATCCGCTCGACAGCCTCTGGATAAGCGATGGCGTCGGACGCTATGGGAGGATATCAAAGTAGGTGATTTTGTGGTGCTTCGCAATGACGATGCCATCCCTGCAGACATTGTTGTATTATCCAGCTCGGAACCAGATGGACTTTGCTATGTGGAGACGCAGAATTTGGATGGTGAGACGAATCTCAAAATTAAACGCTCGCTGCAAGCTACCAATGAAATCAGTACACCTGAAGATTGTGAACGCAGTAAATTCTACATTGAAAGTGAGCCTCCTCATGCCAATCTGTACTCTTACAATGGCGTGCTCAAGTGGAAAGTGGAGAACAATGATTTGATTCGAACCGAGACGACACGAAGACGCATGAATGGCGATGAAGGATTTGCCATGACAAGTGAATCGTCTGAAGATACAACCGTGGAGCTGGAGACCATCAATGAATCTCGCCGCAATGTGGATCTGGATGACGAGGAGGATGATTTTCACACCATCAGTAGTGATGGCACGGATGATGAAGAGCAGGTGTCGCATGAAAAGACCGAAGCCATCACTGGAAGTTCTGTGCTTTTGCGTGGCTGTGTGCTGAGAAATACCAGTTGGGTCATTGGCATGGTGCTGTTTACTGGTAATGAGACCAAGATCATGCTCAATTCAGGTAAAACACCGAGCAAACGAAGTAAGATGGAGAAGGCTACCAACCCCTATGTAAGTATGCTCATTGGAAACAGTCTGACTCAATGAGCTCACACTTTGAATCTATAGGTTATTGTCAATTTTGTACTCTTGTTGATCTTGTGTTTGATCTGCTCCATCGCTGCTAGTATTGTATACAACAGTGGAACCTCGTCAACTTATTTTGAGAGTAAAGATGCAGAGAGCGGCACCATGGAAGGCTTTATCATGTTCTGGTAGGTAGTTGGTGTAATTGAAGCGATTGAAAGCATTGACTTATCCCCACGACAGGACATCGCTAGTGATTTATCAAAATATTATACCCATTTCACTCTACATTTCCGTTCAGATTGTCAAGACTGCCGCCGTAAGTATACACCCAGATGCCTTGTAAGCACAACTAATCGTTCCCCAGGCCTACTTTATTTACACAGACATTGACATGTACAACGAGCGACTGGATCAGCCTTGCACTCCCAAAACATGGAATATTTCAGACGACCTTGGACAAATTGAATACATCTTTTCAGACAAAACTGGTACTCTGACGCAGAATATCATGGAATTCAGACGATGCACAATCAATGGCGTGTGCTATGGCCTGGGTGACACAGAAGCAGCCGTAGGTGCTCGCTTGAGAGACGGAGATGTCGCCATGGACTCGGCCAAGATATCCAACAAAATTGACCTAGACAAAGCGCGTGCCGAGATGCTACAAAAGCAGCGAGAGCTCTTCAACCACAAATACCTCAATCCAAAGTCGACTTTTGTCGACCCTCAGCTGTTTGACGATATCAGTGCTCAGGACGAGCAATCTCAAAGCGTGGTCCATTTCTTCTCTGCTTTAGCATTGTGTCATACTGTGATTCCAGAAGTGCCCGACCCTGACCATCCCAACAATATTGACTATAAAGCACAATCTCCTGACGAGGCTGCACTGGTTGCAACTGCAAGAGATATGGGATTCACATTCATCGCGAGAGAACAAGATAATGTGGTGGTAGATATCATGGGCGAGCAGCGTAGTATGCATTTGCTGCATGTATTGGAATTCAACTCGACACGAAAGCGTATGAGTGTTATCATGCGATCACCTCAGGATGGAAAGATTGTATTACTTTGTAAAGGTGCTGATTCTGTCATCTACGAGCGACTATCCACTGGCTTGGAGAAGATGGTGGATGACGAAACAAGCCAAAATCAACTCAAGATTAGAGAAGAGACCTTGAATCATTTGAGTGTATTTGCAAACGAAGGTAATTAGGCTGTTCTGAGCTACTTAATAGCGCACATCTAACACTGATGTGTATATTAGGTCTTCGTACATTGTGTATTGCCAGTCGCGTCATTGACGAAGAAGAATACCAGCGTTGGTCAGCCCGCTATAAAGTAGCATCCAACAGCATCAGCAACCGGGAAGAGCAGATTGAAAGTGTCTGTGAAGAGATTGAGAATTCATTGACATTGATTGGTGGAACAGCCATCGAAGACAAGTTACAAGAAGGCGTGCCTGATACGATTGGCGTCTTGGCTGAGGCGGGTATCAAGATATGGGTATTGACAGGCGATAAAGTGGAAACAGCCATCAACATTGGTTTTGCCTGTAATTTGTTAACAAAGGACATGCTACTGATCAGTGTCAATGCCCGTAATGAAGAGGAAACCATGGAGCAGCTGAGAAGATCTATTGAAGAAGTAGAGGAAAAGTCCAAGACTCAGAAATGCGCTCTGGTGATTGATGGTGAGTCGCTCAAGTACGCTTTGGAGCCTCAGTGCAAGCAAGAATTGCTGGACTTGGGTACGCAATGCCGTGCAGTGATCTGTTGCCGTGTCAGTCCAATGCAAAAGGCCAAGGTCGTCAATCTCGTCAAGAAAGGGCTCAAGGTCATGACATTGGCTATTGGCGATGGTGCAAACGATGTGTCCATGATTCAAGAAGCCAATGTAGGTGTCGGTATCTCGGGCGAAGAAGGTAGACAGGCTGTCATGGCGTCTGATTATGCTATTGCTCAATTTAGCTACCTGAGTAAACTGCTACTGGTGCATGGCAGATGGTCGTATCTGCGAACGTCAGAGATGATCCTGACCTTTTTCTACAAGAACATTATGTGGACATTGGTACTTTTCTGGTATCAGCTAATGTGTGGGTTCACTGGCACCATGATGTTTGACTACTCGTACATTACCTTGTACAATTTGGTGTTTACTTCTTTGCCTTGTATTTTTGCTGGTAAAGTATATCATCCTAAGCACTGTCAGCTACATAACAAAGACTAATTTTATGATACAGGCGTCCTTGATCAAGATCTCAAAGCCGAATACTCTTTCAAATTCCCTCAGTTGTATCTGATGGGCATTAGAAACGATAAATTTACTACAACGCGCTTCTTTTTGACTGTGGTAGACGCCATCTATCAATCATGCGTGTGCTTTGGATTGCCGTACATGGTGTTCATTGGACCCAAGCTTAGCAGCGATGGGTACGATACAGAAGGCGTTGTGGAATTGGGCACGTTTATTGCTGGTATTGCTGTTGTCGTGGCCAATGTCCTTGTCGGATTCACTATTTTCAGTTGGACTTGGATCATGTTTCTGTGTATCTTTCTATCCAGTGCTACCTTCTTTATCTGGACAGGTATCTACTCCAACATTATGACATTTACATTTTACGGTGAAGCTATTCTCTTTGGTGAAGGCACGTTTTGGTTGTGTCTGATTTTGACATTTGCCGTGTGTCTTTTACCGCGTTATACTGCCAATTACTACCTGCAAGCTTATCATCCCTACGACAATGATATCATTCGTGAAGTTGTGCTTTGCAACTCTTCTCTTCTTGGATCTTCTGCCCTGAAATTCTTGCGCAGTGGAAAGCAAAAGGAACACTATAGCGATGAAGACGAAGAAGAGCTTAATTTGACACGCACGCGATCTGAATCAGAGCAGCTACGCCATCAACACTTGTTGGAAGATGAAGAAAGCGGCAGTTACGCGTTGAAGAAGCAAAAGAAACGCAGTCGATTTGGCCTGCAAAGAACGCTGACCAACGGATCTACCAAGAGCGAAATCATGTACATGAAGACTGGTAAACGCACATCCTTCATGGGTTTTGCCTATTCCTCAGATGATGCCCACGTATTTGATGAATACAGAAAATCAGTGTATCGCACCAACACAGGGGGCAGCCATCTCTCTCAGGCCAGCCTAGCGCTCAACGCCAAGTCTAGACTGTCCATGATTAGCTTGCCTGGCAAAGAAAACGATCAGGACTGGATGCCTATTGATGGATTCCGCCTGCGACAATATGATACGGAGCCTTCTATTCACTCTAGCAAGAAGGCGCCCAGCAGCTTTGGTAAAAAGATGATGAAAGCTATGAAAAACCGCATGCATAAACAACAACCCCATCAGCCCAGGTTGGATCCCATCACACGAGAATCTTCCATGGATTCATCTAATGCAGACAATTTGATCCTACTGCCATTGACACCTACCAATCAAAACGAGAACTTTGTAGCGCCCATTCCTCCCTCTACACCTTCAACTGAAGAATTGACATATCAGCCTATCACGCATATTCAACCAATTCAACCATTCTTATTACATCAACATCATCAAAGTAGCCACCATGATGCTATTTCGCCTTCAAGCCCTAGTGATCATTTACAGCAACATCAACCATCTCATCTCTCCCACAATCAACACGATGACCGCAATAACCATTCTTCTTCTTCATCCTCTCCAACCCATTATTAAACTATATACATATATACATAAAATCTCTTTCAACTAGACTGTATCATAAATAAAACCCACATTCTTTGACTCATAAAACATAAAAGGCTTCTTCTTGCTTCAAACGATCAGCCGATATCTGTCGTACACTCATGCGATTTGACAGGCATACAACTGAGTGAATGTGCTGATAGGTGAGTATATCTTGAGGATCATGTGAAATGTTGGATCGACTGTAATCAACAAGTATATGAAACGGCGTATATACATCTGAATGCAGGCTTGCGTGCTTTTAGCTTTCTCATCTTATATTTCATCATAAGAGATGGGTCGTTTGCTTATATGAATGGATTTTAGTTCATCCTACAAACCTTACTCATAAAGATAACTTCTCTAATCAGTCGCATCTCATTCGCATTATATAATAAAGATACGGGTCCCTGTTCCTTTGTATCTCCTCCCACATTTTGATAGAATGTAACCCCAAAATGTGACATCAAATTTGAGTAGATGTCAACAAAACTCTTATAATAGAGTATAAAAGGCCCGCTCCGAGGAGAGTCATCTTGATCTATTTTTCTTTCCTTCTTTTCCTTACTTTTTTTTTAAACAAAAAGAAAATATCCAACATGGTTCAAAGTATTGATCAAAGAGCCGTCGACACTGTCCGTTGTCTTGCTGCTGATGTTGTCAAGGGTGCCAACTCTGGCCATCCTGGTAAGTTGGAGATCATATGGATGAGGAAGCATCATAGCATCTAAATGGGATTCGTTTTGATTTAGGTGCTCCCATGGGTTGTGCTCCTATGGCACATGTCTTGTTCAACAAGTTTATGACCTACAACCCCAAGAACCCCAAATTCATCAACCGTGATCGCTTCGTTCTCTCCAATGGCCATGGTTGTGCTCTTCAATACATTATGCTCCACATTGCTGGTTATGACGTCTCTCTCGAGGATTTGAAGCAATTCCGTCAACTCGACTCAAAGTAAGTACCTGAATGAAAAAGCTTAAAGAATCGCGAGTTTTGTTTGTGTGTCGAATTTCGTGCCCTGCTGCTTCGATGACCAATCCAATGGCGGAGATGTCTAATCACAATATAAGAGTCATTATTTCTCAGCGAAAAATTTAAGCTTTTTCAATTTTTAATTCTATTTCATCCGGAAGATTAACTGACATATGATAGGACTCCTGGTCATCCCGAAGTAAACGATACTCCCGGTATTGAAGTCACCACTGGTCCTCTTGGTCAAGGTAAGATATGAGCATACTTGATGTGGCTTTGCATATGTCAAGTATTAAACTGGATGGGTATTTGATGTTTAGGTATCTCCAATGCTGTTGGTTTGGCTGCTGCTGAAGCTCACTATGCCGCTACCTTCAACCGTCCCGGTTATGAGCTCTTCAACAACCACACTTATGTTATTCTCGGTGATGGTTGTCTCCAAGAAGGTGTTTCTGCTGAAGCTATCTCTCTTGCTGGGTAAAATGCTTATTTGATTTAGAGTTTTTATGTGCCTGAAGATCCTGTTGTATTTACCCCTGAACTTCCATTTTTGTAGTCATTGGAAGCTTGGTAAATTAGTTGCTCTCTATGATGATAACAAGATCACCATTGATGGTTCTACCGAAGTCTCTTTCACTGAAGACGTAATCCAGCGTTTTGAATCTTGCGGCTGGCACACTGTCATTGTCGGTGATGGTGATAGTGATTTCGCCTCCATCGAAAAGGCTATCGAGGAAGCCAAGTCTGTCACTGATAAGCCTTCTCTTATCAAGGTCAAGACTACCATCGGTAGGTTGCAAACACAACATCAGTCATGCAATGATGCTCATTCCTAATTTCAAACAGGTTATGGCTCTTTGAACCAAGGTGAGGAGAAGGTTCACGGTTCTCCTCTCTCTGGTAAGTCATTATCAAGCGAGTATTTGAGATACTTGGCTAATGAGATGTAAATCTATAGATGATGATATCAAGCAAGTCAAGCAAAAGTTCGGCTTCAACCCCGAGGAGAAGTATGTTGTCCCTCAAGAGGTAAGATGTTAGAGATGGTGGACGAATACCGTGTATACTTATACGTGTGTACACATCATTGAAAACAGGTCTACGACTTGTACAATGCCCGTGCTGAGCAAGGTGCTAAGGCTGAAGAAGCTTGGAACGCTCTCTTTGCTAAATACAAGGCTGAATTCCCTCAAGAAGGTGCCGAGATCGAACGTCGTTTCTCTGGTAAGTTGCCTGAGGGTTGGGAGAAGGCTCTTCCTCGTTTCACTCCTGCTGATGCTGCTGTCGCTACTCGCAAGTTGTCTGAGGGTGTCTTGACCGCTCTTTCTGAAGTTATCCCCGAATTGTTGGGTGGTTCTGCTGATTTGACTGGTTCTAACCTCACTCGTTGGAAGAAGGCTGTTGATTTCCAACATGTAAGCATATCTTGATTTCCATGGCCATATACAATAAGCACTCACCTACTCTCATTTAGCCCTCTACTAACCTTGGTGACTACAGTGGTCGCTATTTCCGTTATGGTGTCCGTGAACACGGTATGTTTGCCATCATGAACGGTTTGGCTGCCTTTGGTGGTAACATTCCTTTCGGTGGTACTTTCCTCAACTTCCTTACGTAAGATGGTTACAGTATAACCTCGACATGCCACAAATAAGCTAATCTTTATTACCTTACAGATATGGTTGGGGTGCTGCTCGTTTATCAGCTTTATCTCATCTTCGTGTCATCTATGTCATGACCCACGATTCTATTGGTCTTGGTGAAGATGGACCTACTCATCAACCTATTGAGACCTTGGTCTTGACCCGTGCTACACCCAACATGCTCACTTTCCGTCCCGCTGATGGTAACGAGGTGTCTGGTACTTATTTGGTTGCCATTGAGGATCAACATCGCCCCTCTGTCATTGCCCTCTCTCGTCAAAACTTGCCTCAACTTGAAGGTTCTTCTATCGAAGCTGTTCGTCGTGGTGCTTATGTTCTCCAAGATGCTGAGAACGCTCAATTGATCTTGGTCGCTACTGGTTCTGAGGTTTCTTTGGCTGTTGATGCTGCCAAGGAGCTCGCTGCTCAAGGTATTGCTACCCGTGTTGTCTCCATGCCTTGTTCCGAACTCTATGATGAACAACCCGAAGAGTACAAGAAGTCTGTTCTCTCTCCTGGTATCCCCATTGTCTCTATTGAGGCTCTTGGTGTCACTGGTTGGGAACGCTACTCTCATGCTCAAGTTGGTATGAGATCTTTCGGTGCCTCTGCCCCCATCAAGCAATTGTATAACAAGTTTGACATTACTGTTGAAGCCACTGTTGCCAAGTCCAAGAAGGTCATCGAGTACTACCAAAAGGTTGGCTATGTCCCTGAAGTTGGACTTGACTTTTAAGTGTCTCCATCAACATTCTATTTAAGAAATGAAGGCTTGCTGAAACAGCACCTTCTTTTGTTATAAATCTACTATTTTCTCCATTGTAGCATGCAAATTACATATACAAATATAAATTCTACTAGTTTTTACTATATACTATCACTTTGATTTATTGTACAATATTATGTATTAATGACTCGTTGTTCTCTCGCATATTGAAATTCTCTGTAGATACTCTCAACAGCATTGCGCGGTCCATTTTCCTATAGGTTGTCAGCTATACATACTTTTGCCATATTAATAAACAAATGAATACCTTCCGTATAGTCTCTCCTATCTTATTCGCCTTTGCAATCATGGTTTGATTTTGAGTAATCGTCTTGAGCGCGTCCATGAGGTGGTTCTTGGACAGTTTATTTAAACAAATGCCTACTTGCAATTCCTCGATGCGTTGACCCCAAAATCTTTGATCACCAAAAAATGGCTTGATGACAGTGGGTAATCCAGCTCGTAATCCTGCAGCGGTTGTTCCAGCACCGCCGTGATGAACAACACCTTGTATTTGTGGGAACAGCCAGTCGTGGGGCAGAGAATCAATGTGATAAATAGTGCCTGGATACTTATCCAACAACACTTCGCTGTCTTCCTCTTGTTCTGCTTCTTCTTGCTTGATAGACTCCATATCACTGGCAGATCTCGACTTTTTATGCGATACTTTGGCAGTAGGGACACGAGCAGACCAGCCTTTGCAAATGATAGCTCGCACATCTGCTTTCAGCACTGCTTCCACAATGATTCGCGTTGTTTCCACAGCATCCGGGACAATGATGGAGCCAAATCCAATGTATACAATAGGGCGCGTATCATTTGTACTATTCAAAAAATCAACTAAAGCAGCATCAGGCTTCCATTTCATATCTGGATTATCCAGGAACCAGTAGCCGGTGCAATGAATGAAATCAGGCCAATCCTTGGGCGGATGAACCACAGAGGGACTGAAGGAGTAGATGTACGGCACGCGCCACAGCTCTAAACGATCGAGGTTGGTGGAGGGTAGCTCCAGAACATCACGTCGGAACCGATTTACGTATTTGGATGTGCCTGTCCATAACGCCATATCTATCATCACGTAGGTCATGTCATTATAGATGCGGCCACCCGCAGTAGACTGGCTGGCAAATGGATGTGGGAATTTGGCGGTTCTTGTGAATGGGAATGGCATGCTTCGAAAGTACGGCACACCAAGTTTCTCTGCCATATGGACACCTACCATAGCACTTGGGCTTTCAATAATAACATCTGTGCCTTGACATGCCTTGTAAGAAGATGCCAGTAGCGATTCAAACCAGCTGTAAAACTAGGTCAAGTCATTTAAGTACAGTAGCTGTGATTGCTGTTTGACAGAACACTTACAAACTTTGTGCCTTCGCGAATGAACGACACGGACAAAAAGCTGTTGTCAATGCATAGTTTCTAATACTTGAATTAGCGTTTTAAAACGACTTGCTCTACATAGTGTTACGTACCATCAATTCTCCTGGATCGCCGCCAACGGATCTGAATTCAATGCCATGCTGTGTAATCCAAGGCTCGTACTCAGGATGTGTAGCAATACGACATGTATGGCCATCTTTCTGCAGTTCTTTGCACAGAGCGAGATAGGGTTGCACATCTCCTCGAGATCCAATGGTGAGACACGTAAAGTGCAATGGTCTTGCAGGGCGTTTACTGCTTTCAGCTGGTTTGGTGAGTTTGGCTGATGTGGATAAAAGAGGCGGTCCATCTAAAGTCATGTATGAGAGCACGAAGCTGCAGATATCCCGTGTGGTGGCTTACCGTATTCTCTAGGAGGCACTATATGCTCTGGTCTATCTAGCAATAAGCTGCTCAAAGAAAGCGTATTGGATTCTTTGGAGAGTACAGAGCTAGAGTTCATGTGAGTATTGGACGCACACAACACAAAAAAAAAATGCCTCCTGCTTACCATTCATCGCCTGCAAAGTTACTATCAGCCTTGAGCTCACAAATAGAGTAGCAATGATCTCGAAGCTTCACTGAAGCGAAATCAAAATATATCTAAACAGCCATAAAACAAGCCAACAGTAAGACATACAGCACTAGTTTCTCATTAACCCTACCTACCTCATCTGTCATGTCTTTCACAACCATCGTCATTCCGTGCAATAGATAATAGCTTTTCGTCTTGATCTTGTTGACTTGAAGCACATCATGCCAGGGCACAATCAACTTTTGCTGACCAGCCAATATCTTACTATTAAAGCAGAAATAGTGTTCTGTAATGTATATCTTTCCAGAGTAAGGAATTGTGCGCCAAAATGACGCCTTGATAACTGTAGATGTCTGCGTTAGCTCGTCTTAAATACAGCCAGTGTTTCGTTTACCTGCTTCTGTTTCTTCCGTCTTGAGTAACATGGGAAAATTTGCGTTTAAATGCTCATTGACTGTCTGCTGTTCTTCTTGTCGAATGCGGGGATCAGCAACAGCCTTGCTCACCTGGACATCCATAGTAAAGCCGGTTTCTTCTTCTTCCTCTCCTCCATCAGAACTGCTACTACTGGTATTAGATGCAGAGTCAGAGAGACCATTGCAATTAGCTTTTGCTGCTTCTTCCAATGCGTCAATCATCTTGTCACTGAGCCAGATGGGGCCCTTGGGATGTCTGTGCTGACTCTCATTCATGTGCTGCTGGTGAAAATAGTGATCAACGCTCCCAGGTGCTAGTTTACTCCATGTGCCTGAGATCAATGTGGAGCCCATGCTCTTGGCTCGTTGCTTTCTGCTTCTTACAACAGGCTGCTGGGTTGGCTGGATCGACGTCGTTGACAGGGAAGATGAATCCGCATCACTCAGCAAAGATATATCCGTGTTGGCGTTAGTCAAGGACGTGTTGGATATATACGGTGCAGGCAAGGTGCTGGCACTTGTGTTGCCTGTGCTTCCATTAATCTTGCTGTATAAATAGTAAGGTGAGATATGGTGCTTAAAATTGCTCAAGGATGTACTTCGATTTCGACTGCTTGACTTGGTGCTCAAGGTGGATTGGCTTTCTTCTGCAGTGCTACTCGTCGCTGGAGGTTCCTCTATAGCAGGTACACTGGAGCTGCTTGAGGTGGTGGTATCGCTTCGCAGCACTTGATGTTTGATAGCATCTGTTACTGCACGGGGTATCTTTGATAGGGAATAAGAACCTGAATGAGGCCTTTGTTTGGTAATTGTAATTGGCTGCACTTGATACTGTTGTTGCTGATCCTTGTCAGCAGCCCCTCGAAAGTAGTCTTGTGAAGCATTACCTGAGGAGGGCGGTGAGGTGCTGGGAGAGGCGTTTAATGATGCTTCTAGTATTTTGGCGTCCTCTTTGGCGTCCTCTTTGGTGCTACTGTTGGGCTTGCTAAACAACAAGGAATTGCGTTTCAGCCGCGATGCGAGTGATGAAGTGGTCATCTCATTAGGCGAATTCGTCAATGGAGCCGAGTCGTCCCTCTTCTTTGTGCTTCCAGTGTTGCTCATGTAAGGTATCTTTACAGACGATAAAATAGATGAGTTTTGCTGTTTCTGATCGTTTTCCACTGATTCGTTCTCTGCTGATGCGCTGTCGGCAGATGGCTGTTGAAAGACATTGGTGACACTCATCAATTTACCCATCAACATGGTGGGCAAGGCAGCGGGTGAAATATTCTCCAAGAAGCTATCAAAGCTCAAAAAACTGGCACTTCCCGGTGCACCAACTGGCTTACTTCCATTCATGGTCCTCACTGCCACTCTCTTTTGTGTATCACTGTTGGTTGCGCTACTGCTCTTCCAGGTATCCGTAATCACACGATATGCATCTTCAATATCGGGAAAAAACGCAAAGTAATACTATAGGAAAACATTCAACACCATAGCATCAACCTGCAATACGACTACACTTACATCTTCACCTTGATTAGCAGCATTCTCTACCACATCTTCCTGAAACTTGATCCTGATATTAGCAGCAAACTGGAACACCGAGGGTTTGTCCACTGTCATGATTTTTGAAAATGGCAGCACGATGCGAACACTATTTCCAGCATGTTGTGCTACAAAAACACCTTTCCGTAATTCATCCAGCCATTCACGTTGCGAGAGCTCTGAATCAGCAATGATGGTGTGATGGCTGTGCGTGTTGGTGGTTAAACGAATGCCGAATTTCTTTAGTTTGGAAGGTTCAATTTTGACGACGCATTTCAAATCGACACTGTTGAGAGGCGAGTATTTCGTTTCTGCTGATGCATACCATGAGAGAACATGGTTTCGAAGCTCGAAATAGTAGCGATAGGTGCGCGGTGAAGTTAGGTGGTTTTTCTTTGACAGATACCCTGCTTTATGCGGACCTTTCTATTGTTCAATGCAACATTGGGGTTAAACACATTGTATATGCCTATAGCTGATACCATACCTTCTTTCCTGGCAGAGAAGCATAAAAGCAAATGTGGTGTGTGGTGACATACATCCAGCCAGGCAATGTGACTAATCGTATCATGTAGCACGGAAATTCTATTGAGCCGAGTAAAGTGGTTTGTTTATGAATAATCAAACAATAGAAACTCTAATTAAAACCTACCATTGACGAGCGTTTCAGATGCTGGCAGTGCAAAGGCCTTCTTCACTTTGGATTCAATCAAAGCTCGGTTGGATAAGCCATCTTGTACCAGCTCGTCATCCGATACAGAACCGTCGTTCTCGTCGACAGCTGTGCTACACTCGATTGACATTTCTGATAAATTTCGTGCTAATCCTACTGCAGGTCGATGTGTAGCAGTGGTAGTAGCGGGTATTTCGGAGATGGTATCATCGTCGTCTTGCTCAGTTGTGTTGGTATCGTAGTAATCATCATCCATACCGTCTGCATCTAGTGGCATTTAGTCTGTTGAATGTGGAAGAAGATGCCATATGGGATTACCTCGACGTATTGGCAGAGCAGCGTGCTGGTGCACATTCTCTATCATCTGTCAATGCCCATTAAACTAATGTCAATGCAACCAGACTGTCTGCATATATCTACCTCGCTCGGATGGTGGTGGTTGGCAATGTTGGTCATCATCTACACAGATTGTAATATCGATAGTGATAAGTGACAGAAATGCGCATAGAACAAGAAAAAGAAGAGGAAAAAATGCAAGCCGAGCAGTTGGCAAGCTTTTAATATTGCACACACAGGAGCAAGAAAAACTTGTCTCTCTTGATTCTATCGGCTTTGCTATCGGGGCCACTCAATGACGTAAACGTGAGGCAGCACAGATATATTAAACGATCTGTGGCTGATCAATTCTGGTATAGGCTTCTCAGTAGTAGTAGTAGTAGTAGTAGTAGTAGTAGTAGTAGTAGTAGTAGCATCACATGTGATATCTTATTTGAAAGCACAAAAGATTGGGTGTGTAGCTGTTCATCCGACATGTAAGCTTTATAGATGTATTAATGCGATTCTAGATAATAGGAGGAGGAGGGGATATAGTACATATAAGGTAAATCATCGTCTCTTGGGCTTTACAATTAATATAACAATCAGCAGCATAATGATCAGAATTAGCAGCAGCATCAATTTTCGCTTCCGTGTCTTGTTTTGATAGTGAGCGCCCTTGTCTAATTGGATCACTGCTTCCTTGACTTGCACATTAGTTTGCTCGATATTGTAATCAATTCTATCCAGCATGGAGCCTTGGTCAATCACCAGCGTCTGTAAATCTCTAAATATCTCGGCCAATTGATGTATCGATTTTGCAATCTGATTGACTTCCCGTTCTCTTTGATCAATCATCTCATTGTTGGATTCCAGCACTGCCAATTGTGATTCGGTAAAGCCTACTTGGGCATCTTCATCCAGCAGCAATTCGGCTGCTTCATTACTGAGATCATTTTCCAAGCCTAGAATGTCAGCTTTACGATTTTCTTGGCCCTGCATTTCTAATCAAATGGCGTATATATAAGCGGAGAACAATAACCGTGGATCTTTGCATAGTCGGCTTGTGCTTACTCTGTAAATATGAAGATTGCTGTTTTCTGAAACTAGAAGATACATCCTGCACTTTGGTGGCTAAACTGGTTTGGATGTTCCTTGCTAGCATGTCGTCTTGATCTGAATCGTTAGCGCCTACTCGAATGCGCTGGATATCACGCTTAATGCGATAAAATTCCTAACATTTGCTGGTTTTGAGTGTCTCGAGCTCGATTTCAACACAAGAGAGTCATCTTACATCTGTAATTTGCTGTGTGAGGTTGTTGATGGCTGCTTCGTCTGATGTTCTATCATCAAATCCAGGCAATAAATGTTTCCGATGCATGCCTTCCAGCTTGGTGACTAAGACACTCTATGCTCAATATACACAAAAACATCATGCTCTCTTACGGCATCTTACTTTTATCTTTGACTACGTCCAGCGTTTCATCTACTTCATCCACGATATCCACCCTAAATACAATGCTGTCAATTTCTTCCAACGAGTGATAAGTAGTATACTGCACTCACCACTTGGGAGGCAACACCGACATTTCTATTACGTTATCCGAGCTCTCTATCAGACCCTCTGTTTCGGATAAACCAGCAGAGAAATGAGGAGCAGAACCTTGTGTTCTCGCATATGAGTTTCTGTATTGAAGAAACAGCAGTGTTCTACTTCTTGTTGCCATGCGATATATTTATTATTCGAGTTGCTGCTGTTGCAAATTGGAAAGCAAAGAAAAAGAAAGAGAAAAACGAGTGTAATGTTAATTTCACTGCAAATGTAAGACGAGTGACTGTAACATAAAAGCTAATTTATTGTAAATGATATGAGATGAGAGTGTTTATATTGGGTGAGATTGGTTATTTAGCTAAAGAAGCGTGTCAGTCAACTGCAAATTCAATAAAATCAGAGCATCTACTTACCATACTGCAGTTTCCATCCGTTCAATAGTTGGTGATTTTGAACCTCCTCTACGGTTAAAGGAGTGCCATAAGTCAATGGTGCCAAGTAGATGAACATGGCGATTTGCAAGAGGAGAGTAACGCCAACAGCAGCATACACTTTCCATGACACCTCCGCCTTCATGCTAGTTTGACGAGTCAGTTTGCTCTTGCGGCTCAAGAAGGACACAGGGGAATCAATGCCGTCTACAAAGATGAATTGATACATGGCGCCCAGGAGCAGATAGTTGATGGTAGCAGCAGGCAAGTAATGATGAAGGAAGAGAGAGCGGCCCATGAGGAAGAAGGGAAAGTAATGCAAGGCCCAGCCGACAAAGAAGAAACCAGCACTTTGCAATACACGGTGTCTGACAGGCTCTTCAATGGGATCAATGCCTCTACGACGAGCCAACACATCCGCCAACATGATGCCTGCAAAGACAGCGATGCCACCTACAGACAGGTACCAGCCAAACAAGTTGCCGGTCAAGTAGATTTGAGAGCGGGTGTCTTCTTTGGACCAGTAAGAGACACCTCGAATCATGAAGGGCCATGTAATGGGAGTGGATTGGTAGGGATGGGGTTTAGTCAAGCCAGCGTTATGGGACAACATACGACCTTGCAATTCAAAGAACTTTTTCATGAAAGGCATGCGGCCCAATTCCTTTGCATTCTTGCTGGCATTGATCTCGGTAGCATTCTTGCCCTTGATCTCTTGGGCGCTCCAGAAATTGGTCTTGTCAAGCGAGTTCTTGTTGCCATTGACCTCCAACTGTCCCAAACCCCATTCAGGCAACTTTTTGTTGTGCACCCAAACAGCCACCTTGGTGTCCTCATGCACAAGACGGAAGGATGTCATGTGGGTCTCGAATACTTCAGCATCGTCGTCGTCAAACACAATCTTGAACAGGGTTTCCTCGTATCTCGTGTCTAAGGGTACAGTAGTGATTTCCTCATTGGTGGGCATCCAAGGTGAAGCGACATCGTGTGTAAGCAAGTTGGTGCCTGTCACCACATGCTCTAACTGAATGATGTCGCCATTCTTGACGAGACGAGGCTCGTCTTGTTTATCGCCCTCTGATTCAGTGGTGGGCTTGATACGCCAGTAGCAGTTTTCGTTGGGCTCCATGACGGCTGTCACTTGTTGTCCCTTGCTGCTGACACGACCATCCTCATATCTCAACGGGTAATGAAGGTCATGCGAGTGGAGATACGAGTTGGTATCCTTGTGCTTCATGGTGATTTCGTCGCCATAGTGAATTTCTATTGCATGTGCGTGAGCGGATACATACAATCAAGTCAAATTAGCTGTACACTCACCTAAAGCAGACATCTTTAATGGGCTGTTCTTGAGTGTATCTTGGAATCGGGTGGTCATAAATGCATCACCAGGACCAGATTCATTGAGAATGGCGAAATGAACATAGAACCAGAAGAGGTAAATGACGGTAGGAACAAAAATGAGACTGAAAGCACGAGCATAAAAGTGCTTCAAGAATTGATTCTGACAGGCACTTGTCAGTTGGAACCTTCCAAATTGCTGATAACACCACTTACCATGGTCAATCCACGCTTGATGTCCAACAACATCCACAGGTCATAAATGACTGAGAAACCAATCATTGCGACTACAAAAAGACCAACCATCTTGACACTACAACAAATCAATCACCATCTCCTATCCAGTTCCAAATGTCGACTTACCTCACTGTGAATGCCATAAAGACACCTGTTGCCAAGAGCCAACCCCACCACTCTACAGAGAAGGAAGTGTGTCTCAGTTTTCTGAATTGGATGTAACTGTAAATGGTAGCCAAGATGAATACAAGCAACATGCTGTCCAACAAGATCAGTCTGTTTTGAGTGACCATAGCGTTATCAAAAATGTACATGGCAGTTGTCAAGATGCAAATAACCAATGAGTAGCCGGACTCCTTCATGATGCCGTAGATCAGGCCCACGCAAATGACATTGAGTGTGGCAGGCAATGCACGAAGACCAATGTAAGGCACTTGGTGATCAATGTAACTGTCACCAATGTTTGCAAAATCGTATTGACCATCAAATCCTAATAGGTAACCAGCACCTGCAATCATCAGTTTTGCCAATGGAGGATGCACATCAAAATAGTATGTTCTCTTCAAGTAATAGCCAGCAAACTTTCCAAAATGAACTTCATCAAACCTACCCTTTTCCTATGAGATCCCCATCCCTCTTCCTTTCATCATCCATGATACTTACACGACTTCTGCTGGATTCCAAATCTTGTAAAATGTAACAAAGGTAGCAATCACTAAAAGGATACCAAAAGCAGCATAATGACCTTGGGGACAACGCTGGCTAGGTGTAGAATCCTTTCCGTACTAATGTCGCAGTAGGTGTAGATGCGTATGAGATTTTTACAAGGTCAAATCGAATGCTTTACTATAAAGAAGACTCACCTTTTTAGAATCATCAAAGTCAACATCAGAGAGCTTTTCTGAAGCCCCTTCAGACTCGACACGTCTTTGTCGAAGGTTTACAGACATGCAAAAAAGTAAGCAATTTGAAGAAAAAAGGAGAAGAAGAAGAGAAAAAGAATGTGGGTTACAAAATGACTCAAATTAATTTATAAATAAGTAAAAATGCTTTGGCGCGCTTATTGATTTATAGTTGCCTGAAATATAGCATGCAACTCTCATCACACTCACACATTTGTAATTGCCTGATCCCTTGGTTACCATAGTAACTGATTTCGTAATCAAGGCGTTGCTGATCGATTACCTAAATAACAACTCTTATACAGGGCAATGCTTTCTTGCAACACCTGTAAGGTGGCATTGGTGGTGATTTATTTATATGTGGCAATTTGACACAAGTTTAAAAATAAATAAACCTGTTGGCCACTGAAATGAGGCCATGAAACCCTGAGAGCGGCTATCGAAACATCCCAAATACAAATGGCTGAACAATACATCCCATCACCTTTTCTCCTTCTCTCATCCAATTTCTCTCGAGGTAAATCCATCCATCATCCATCTAACATATTCGTCCATCCATCTAACGCATTCTACAGTTCAAGCCATGGCCAAGTCTACTGCTACCCCTCAAAAGCGCTCCACTCTCGCTGATGTCGTTACTCGTGAATACACCATCCACATGCACAAGCATGTCTTTGGTCGTTCTTTGAGAAAGCGTGCTCCTCATGCCATCAAGGCCGTTAAGGCTTTCGCTCAAAAGGCTATGGGTACCAAGGATGTCCGTCTTGATCCCTCTTTGAACAAGGCTGTCTGGTCTCGTGGTGTCAAGCACACTAACCACCGTATTCGTGTTCGTATCGCTCGTAAGCGTAACGATGATGAAGATGCAAAGGAAAAGCTCTACTCTTATGTCACCTTTGTCCCTACTGTTGATTTCAAGGGTAAGTACCACTCTTTTCTTTCCATCTTTTCCTTTGGCAATCCATATCGCTGCGATTCCGTGTAGTTGATGCTTATTCGAATGCTATTCTTGACAAGAATACATATTACAGGCATCAATTTCCGGCCAGTTAGTGTGCGCAAGAGGTTGGAGTATAAATATACCAAGTTGTCTCGCGACCTTGGTTCTCCTATCTGTGAAGCGACCAGTTTTATTAATGATACCATGTTCTTTTGATTTATCTAGGTCTTAACACTGAAGTTGTCGAGGATGAAAACTAAATCATCGTGTCAAGCTCACCCAACTTTTGTAGCAATATTTCATTTTTTTAATAAATTTTTTTCACTGTAAATATCATCCTCATTGCTTTTATTTTATGTCCCTGCCTTTCCTGGCTGGATTCTTGGTTTCCATTGTAACTTGAATGAACACCCAATCAGGTATACACCTGTCAGTTTAATTTGATACTCTTAAAGAATGCATAAAATTCATATTTGCTTGACACATCAGATGCAAAACCGTTTAATAAAAGCAAATATGGCAACAGACAGGCTAGGCTATCCGATCGTAATCCCTTTCTTAAGGGCCTCAAGAAGCATTGTTTCTCACAATTGGAATGGCAGTGCTTCTGCCAGCCGCCGCCACCAAAATTGTTTAAATCACCGCCAGTGTTTTTTCACTCGAAATAGAAATATATTTATTCAATTTTCGACTTGCTTGACCTATTTTGCACGATTTGACTATGTAAATTGTAATAATCATCGCATGCTTCCTTACGCTGTCTTAGAGTACTTCTTAAGGCGCTTCCAGTGACACCAAGTAAGATATATGTTTTGAATAAACTTATTGAATAATTTACGAAATTATCAAAAGAGGTTTCTGGCCAAAATGTTGAAATTTTACATATTAAGGTCCCACAAAGATGATTTCAAAGGTTACGTTAGATCGATAGAATCATTTTGATTCAATATATACTATAGTAAATGTCTTCATTATCGAGGTCAAAAACGCGATCGTTTGATTTTTGATAAAAAGCATGAGGGGCACCTCATGCTTTTGAGTCGATTTTCAGTGATGTTTTTTTGGTCCCAAAAAAGCTGAGCAACGGTGTCGGTAAGGTAGTGCTAGTTGAAAGCAATCATTTGGCGCTGTTTTGAGCGCCTAAAACTGCCTGTATCACGAAAAATCAGAGCTCAAATGCACCCAATTTCACTACACTTTGGCCTATTATAAGCTCAAAACCGACGGCTTAGGTATGGTGTGTAGCTTGAGTATACTGCCTTTGGCCAATCTAGTCGTTATGCATCTTGAAAAATTAAAGGTACGCTCTGCAGATTGACTCTAACGCAAATTAGCAGAGCATGTAGCGCTACCGCTGTTCAAGTATTACACTACAGCCGTATTGAATAGCTCTGTTGATCGCATGTCATGTCTCAGAGAAACTACGCACTAAACGGATTTTATGCTATTAGGCAACGCTATCATAAGTGTGTAACAGGCCATTCAGACCTAAAACTAAAAAGAAATCTGTACAGAGCACCGAAATTTAGGTGATGTATCCATGCTTCCTGAGTTAAACGCAATGCTATCTGCTCTGCGCACAGGACAAGAAATTATATACGTTACTAGAGCTCCTGTTTGAAAACAGAATAATCTAAACGAACAGCAACATGATCTACTACGGCATGGATCACATCATGGTGGCGTTCTATTTAGCATACCGAAACTTATGAAAACACACTGCTAAATCGAGCACAAAACATGCCTAAAAAGGAAACATTCTCACCTATTATTATTGTTGTTGTTGTTGTTGTTGTTGTCATGGTTGCTATAAATTAACCTTTTGTTTCTTGCATTTACCCTTTCTTTCTTCTTTATCAATTATATTATTTTTATACAACATTAATGCAACGCACAACAACATTACCGCCGAATATCACACTCTCAGAAGAAGACGCTGTAGCTGGTACTCATAATGCACAGATATAGACATCACTTTCCAATCATTTGTACTAACTTGATAAATTATGCAGGAACAAGTAAATGGAGAGCAGTAACCCATCAACGAGCTTGTATGATTAACCTTCTGATATCATCTAGACCGTATCAGACTACTCAAAGTAGACCAAACAAAAGATGACCGTCGATGGTTTGACAAGATGAGAAACTTGGTTCAAGTGCATGAATACCTCTGCCATATTGGTGAAGCCATAGAGTAAAGATGACATGCTAGCAAACATCAATAACAAAGTGCCTAATATAGTAATTGTAACACTAGATGGATTGAAAGCTTCTTGAATGAAAAGATTGATAACAACGACGACAGAGAGGCATCCATTGTACAATTAGAGCAAACGCTACATGATGGCGTTGTCTTGGCCAAACTAGCAAGAAGAATCCATCCAGGCATCATCCAAAGCATCACACCAGGGGATGCTAAATTCAAGTTTTTACGATCCAACAACATCAACGCTTTTTTGACAGTCTTGAAAGAGGTTGGATTGCCTTCCATCTTTTGGTTTGAATTTGTGGATTTATACGACGGAAAGAACATGCCCAAGGTCATCTATTGCATTCACGCCCTCAGTCATTTACTGCATTCAAACGATTCAGCACCGAAAATCAAGAATTTGGAGGGTAAATTCAACTTTTCAGACGATGTGCTGATAGCGACACAGAGAAACCTTGAGAAATCTGGCGCCACCATGCCAAATTTCAGCAACCTTGGATCGTCACTACAGAAAGAACTGGATGGAGGATCCAAAAAGCCAGTGTATTCTTTCAAGAAAATCGAGGAACCATTACTCACTCAACATGAACTGGAGCCCAAAATACCACGATTCAGCAAGGCAGCGCCCATCGTAACAGACTTGTATGACTCGGATACAGAATCTAGAACATCTTCCAGTGATGAATTAGAAAGCCCCTCCATACCTACCATGCAACGACTTCAGTTTTTAGGTAAGCTTGCGTCAAAAAGGGAAATGTGTAAACAGACCACTAACAGCTTGATACAGATGCCGCTGCTGACTCCACCATTAGCAGTTCTGATTCTGAAATTGAGTATTATCAAGATGACTTGTCAGGATCTGAATACGATGATACCGAGGAAAGAATAGAGGCATTGGAACAGCACTTTACAAAGCCAGAAAACGAGAGAGTGTTGGTCAGTACACAAGGCTGCATTCGTGCTTTTATGGCCAGAAACAAGCTGCAAAAGATCAAGGATCAGTATCGCTACCAGTCATTCCAGTCCACAGTGCAAAAGATGCAAGCTCGTATCCGCACGGCGTCTATGCGCAGACAGCTTGGAGAGAAAAGACGGGAGTTCTTTTCTTGCCCTGAAGAATGGGTCACTGCGTTACAGGCCATGATTCGCCGTTATCTTGCCATGAAGCATCTGGGCGAGCAGCATCATCAAATTGAAATGCACCACATTCAAAGCGGCAGATTACGAACTGAGGGCAAATTTACAGCGCAATACCATGAAAGGGCCTATCAAAAACTGAAATCTGAAAAGAACCCCTCGATCGGCGTGGTGAAAAGCGTGCTCCACATGCTGAGCAACAATGATGTGGACTTTAACGAAGACTTGATCATTGAGGAGCTTCGACAGAAAGTAGTCGAGTCCATCAGAGACAACAACCAGCTGGATTCGCAAGTCAGCATGATTGACATTCAGATTGCCCTGCTGTTGAAGAACGCTGTAACGCTGGATGAAGTAGTCAAATTGAGCAATGCGTTCTTCAATCCCAACCGCAAGAAGCAACAACAACAGCGGTTCTCTGAACTGCTGTCTTCCAATCCTTCCAACAGCCCTTACGATTTGCGAGGCGTAGACAAGAGCAACAGGGACAAATTGGAACTGTACCAGCAGCTGGTGTTCCTGCTTCAAACGGAACCTATTTACTTGGCTCGTCTCATGTCGATTGCGGGTGGACAAGTACACGGCGAAAAAAAGGGACAGCGCAAGATTGATGCCACTGTATTGGCACTGTTTGGCTACGGTACCAACGCGCGTGAAGAGTGTTTACTGATCAATCTCTGCAAGGCTTCCATTGTCCAAGAAATGAAGCATGTCAAGAGTCCTCAAGAGTTTATGCGTGGCAACTACACATTCATGAAGCTTGTGGTGCAAGTAAACCGAGGTGCCAAAGAAAGAGAGTTCTTTTCTACCTTGTTCCAAAGCTTGCTCGACAAGGTATTGAACAACAATGAATTGGATCTAGAAACCAACCCCATGGTCATCTATCAAAAGTGCATCAGTCAAGAGGAGTCTGCTACTGGCCAGCCTTCCAATCGACCCTTCAACATCAATCAAGCCCAAGCACTGCAATCGCCTGATGTCTTACAAATCCTGTCTGAGCATTTAGAGATGCTGAGAAATATCACTGAAGAGTTCCTGAACGCCATCATCAATGCTCTAGATGTCATGCCTTACGGTATGCGTGTCATTGCAAGAGAGTTGCGCCTGGTCATGGAAGACAACTTTCCAGAGGTGTCTCCCGAAGAGATTAACAAGATTCTCGGCAACTTTGTCTACTATCGCTATCTGAGTCCGGTTATCACTGCTCCTGAGCAGCATATTGCTATTCATCATGAAATATCGTCGCTGCAGAGAAGAAACTTGGCTGAAATCTCAAAGATGTTGCAGCATATCTCCAACGGCAAAGACTTTGATGCCAGAAATATCCAACTGGGCGCTTTAAACGGCTATATCAAGAGCTCCACGGAGAGATTTACACAGTGGTTCATGGATTTGACAGATGTGGAGGATCCTGAACAGCACTTTGGTATGGATCAGCTTTCTGATTACACCAACACGCAAAAGCCCACCGTTTATGTGCACCCCACCGAACTCTATCACATTCATCAGCTGTTGCAAGAGAATGTGGACTTTATTGAACGTCAAAACACCGGTATTCTGCACTCAATTCTCTCAGAATTAGGTGAAGCACCCAGCAATGCTAACATGAGCGTACCTTTGCATGTACTCCGCCTTGAATTGACCGACCGCCGTGATGGCATTCCCTCCGAAGCTGGAGGTGATGTCAAGAAACTGCTTCTCGATACCAAGCGTCTGGTCATCTTGGTCATTCAGGTCCAGTCTGGTCCTTCTCTGGAAGCCATCTTTGAAGAGCCAGTGACTAGCGAACATGAAGCTATTTGGGAAGTTGTACGTGAAGAGGCGTTTCCTTCGGAAGGCACTGAGCAAGAAATTGAGATGGCTATTCGTGAGAGAAATTTCAAGTTTGGCTATCAGAATGCAGCCATGGATGTCAAAAAGTAAGCAACTTCCAGACAATGTCAGTGATCTGTGCATTCACCCTTATTTTCTATAGACTGAGCTTTGCCAAGCTAAAGTCCTTTGCCTCTAGTCTTCACAACCATCTGATGAAACATGGCATCATTCCTGAGAGTCCTGGCTATCAGAGCATCATCAACATGATTGCAGTAGACATCACCAAGAAGGGAGAGCGCCGTAAGCTGCGAAACACAGAAATCAAGAAACTACAAAACATCTTGCAGCATTTGGATGAAAAGAGGCAGTTTTTAATCAGTCAAGGTACCAGCTACAAAGAGTATTTAGATGGCTGCATGAAGAACATGGCTGAACGACGCGGCAAGAAGCAAAAATTTGTGTTTCCCTTCACCCGACAGTATTTCCACATGAAGAACCTGCAGAGGCGCAACCTGGTGCCCAAGTTTGGCTCCTACAAGTATTCTGCAAAGACGCTGTACGATCGTGGCATCATTCTTGACCTGGCTGGTGTGTCCAAGAAGCTATACGCCCGTATCACTATTATTTTGTCGATGGATCGTGCTGGCATCATCACATTTGAAGGATATTTTCCCCTGCTCAATACGCAAGATTTGCATGTGGATGTGCAGTACGAGGATCTGCTGCAAACGCAATACGAGGGTGTGCAGACAATGAAAGTGCTGGACGGCATGGCTACGGTCAATGTCAATTTATTGATTTACTTGATCAACAAAAAGTGAGTTACCTAACTATATATTTATATATATATATATATATATATATATTCTATTTACTAATTGCATTGTTTGCGCACTAGATTTTACCACACTGCTTAGAATCACGTTGAAATGTATATGCTGTAGATAGTTTGTTGTAATAAAATGTATTGCTGAGGCAATTTTCATGCCAAGACTCTCCATATGTCGCTATTTTCGTTGTTGTACAAATGGTGGTGGATTAAGAACGGGATTTCTAAACCGCCACATTATTACCACATCTGGGTTCCTAGATTTCTCGCTTTCCTTTCTTCTTTCTTTCTTTTACCATAAGGCATATGTCGGATTTGGAGCAGAATTACGTTACTTGGAGAAACAAGTGAGTAAACTTACAACCCTGCAAAAAAAAATACACACTGTACCAACTGTATTTTGGCAGGTATTTGAGAAGTTATGAAGATGGTTTGTATGTCTATTACAAGGAGCCCAAGGAAAACTTGAAGGAAATGACCTGCTCTGAGGCGCATGGTAAGTCATGCCTGTGTGCAAAATGGCATGGGCACGAGGGCATTGTTGACGGCTGTGTGGTATAGGTTATGGAATGCTCATCTCGGTGTCAAAACGCAATCAGCAAGATTTTGATGGTATGTAGTATCGTGTAGTACAGCCATGCTCTTTATATGACGCTAACGAGAACCTTAATCTCTGCGTATATAGGTCTCTACAGATACTATGCTCGATTCAGAAACTCAAAGGGATTGATGCAGTAATGTACTTCAATGAGGACATGTAATGACTAAAGAGTTTAACACGTGTGTGTATTAGATGGCAACAAAAGACTGACCGTCATGGCAGATTCGTTCCCGGCGATGAAGGAGGTGAAAACTGTGCAACAGATGGGGATGTTGATATTTGTACAGCCTTATTTGTGGCAGCCAAGGTCTGGGGCAGAGGAGGACCCCATGGAGAAATCGACTACCGTCAAGCAGCAACAGAATTAGCGGGATGCATCTATCAACATTGTATCAATCATCAAACGCACATGCCACTGATTGGCGACTGGGCAGATCCAGGGGACGATGCCTATTTGCTTACAAGACCCAGTGATTTCATTTTGAGTGGCTACTTGATTTTCTACTATGTGAGTCTGTGCAAACGGGTAAATAAGCCGATATACTCATCTGTATTCTAGGAGGATACACAGCGCAAAGACCAATGGGCACAAGTCATTGCTGCTATTGTCAATTGCATTATGGGTCAGCATTCACTCAACCCTCAAACAGGGCTCATTGCAGATTTCCTCAAATTAGATCGAAATAGCGGGCTCTATTATCCTGCACAGGGCGAGGTCTTGGAGAGCGAGCATGACAAAGATTACAACTGGAACTCGTGCCGTGTTCCATGGCGTATCGGCCACTATTACATGTTGACCAAAGACGAGCGCGTGCGACCCATCCTTGAAACTCAGGCACATTTTTTTGCTGGACAGTTGGCTCGCGGTGGAGGTGATGGCGACTGTGGCATTAAGGCAGGCTATCGATTGGACGGATCATGCTATGTGGATTATACAGACATGGCTTTTGTAGCTCCCGCTTGCTTCTTGTTCTGGCTGCTTGGATGGAATTCGCAATTGGATCAGATCCAGAGAGAAATGAAGCAGATGGAAGCCACTTATTTCGGTGAAAGTATTGCAATGCTATGCCTGTTGAATGCCAATGTGCCTCTGTAACTGTTTTTTTTTCCTTGTAACACATGTATTATGTATTTATAGCAAAGATTTTATTGATATTCTTGATTTTCTTTTCCTTTCCTTCTCTCTCTCTCTCTTGTTCAACATTAAACTCATATATACAATGAAGATTTCACTTACAACAGTTTTTGTCTCTTTATTGTCGCTGGCTGTCAACGCTCAAAATGTTGTCAATGTGGATGTACCCAAGGTCAATGAAATGATCTATAACAAGGGGCTCTTGAACATTACATATTCCATCATTGGCACACAGACAAGTAAGATCTCATCGCACTGATACCAACTGAGCAGCCACTGATGTCTTGATATTAGCAAATCCTCCCCTGAACAACTACTATCCAAACTCTCTCAATGTCGACTTTGTGTGGACTGAACATGCCAACACCGCCAATACGCTCTCATTACAAGTTTCAACAGGACTCAACACAAATCCTTACCCAGGAGGCACTCAGAATATCCAGCGCAAAGACACCTTCAGAGTTCCCAACTGTCACTTCTTTTCCAGGTATCCACCCTCCACATTCGACTTTTCGCTGGTATTTACACCCATCTACAACACAATCACTCGAACCAATGGATCCATTGTTGAGCCTACTGGTACACCACAAGACAAAATAATCGTACCTCTGGCCGTTACAGTCGACAACTCGACCTTTCCAAAGTGTTGATATGAATCCATGTCAGTAGAGCTCATTGTTATAAATAGCAAACCGCTCATGTAACACAATAACCTTTATTAAAAAGTGTATGTAATCCAATCATCCAGACAACGTTTCTCTATGCCATCATACAGCGTTTGTTTATACATAACATGTAGATACAGCATGGTACTCGGGATTTTTACAGTCTAATTTTTCATACGTAAACAGAACGTACATGTAGCATGATCTATATGTATAGTTTTGTATATCAGTACATGATCCCCTCCTCTTCTTGCGCAATCTGTAGGCTATAGCGCTTGGAAGTAGACATTGGCTTCTCCTGATCTTGCTCCTCATTGCCTGCTTCATTTTCGCCTAAAATAACCCATTTGATGTCGGCTGACAGCAGAGCATCGCTGTAGTCTGAAGGAAAGTGGTCGTTGATAAAGAAGGGAAGCAAGATGCGGAACAGGATGCGAATGGACGTCTCTAATCTCAATCGCATAATGACATGTTTGTTGAGTAAGCCAGAGAGATGGAGATAAGAGATGCCTCGAAGTGGGATGGGCTCTTGCGTCTTTTGGTTTGGTGGGTATATGGATATCTCGTAAGACGAGTCTATGAACACCAAGGTGCCTGGTGGTGGACTGTACCAATAAGGGATGCGAGGCACAATATCTACATGGATCCTGTTAATCATCTCTGTAATAAGATATGCTTATGATGATGAACCTACCATTGTTGTACACATGGTTAAAGATTTTGCAAGTAATGTCTTGGTTGAAGGCCTTGCTGAAATCTTTATCTCCAATGTTTGGCTGTCCATAAGTATACAGCCCTTCAAAATACTCTAACAAAGGGCTCTCCTTCTGGATCATTTTGGCCAAAAATACGGTGGCGAGAGCGCCTCCCAAGGAATGTCCACAAATGTAGAACCTCTTTTTCTTGCCTACATCCATCACAGCTGCACTTTTAAAGAGCTCTAAAATGTATTCCTCTGATTGTCTATACATGCTTTGGTGGCGGATGATGGCTGAATTGTGTCCAGCCCAGCTAGCGTCAATGGGATCTAGCACATTGGCAAAAATATTGAATGAAAGTGCTTTGATGATACGCACTATGCCAAATACAGACGTGGCAAATGACTGATAGAGCGAAGCACTGCTCAAATTGATGTGTATGTCGGCTTCAGAGGATGACTCTTGAGCGGGCCGCGATGATTCAATGGCTTCTGTTGCTCCCATGGCGTCCCAGAACCCTTTGTGTACCTTGCCCATGTAGTATTTTGGTGAGGATACCTTGGCTAATCCAGCGTCCACATTGGTAACGTAGTTTTGAATATTCAATGGGTTTGTTCTGTTTATATATTAGGCATGCTTACACACACACATGAACGATGACTTACCCTCTAAAGACCAACAAAACATCATTGTTCTTTTCTATAACGTAAGCGCAAACATTCTAAATACAGTCGATCAATAAGACGTTTTCTTCTTTTCATATCCATCAACACTCACCTTGTATCCTATCGCTTTGAATGTATGCTCCACATCGTAACCGGCCTTTTCCAATTCATACTTGACGACAGCAACATCTTCATATGCCAATTTACTTGCCACAGACAATGCATGTGCGACAGACAGCGAATACTGAGGTCGCTTAAAGTCAGGGTTACTCTTTCCATAGCTGGCCAGTTTGTGTGTTTGCTCTTGCTGCTCCTTTGTTGGTGACAGCAGCTCTTCGTGGATTGATTTAAAAAATCGATTATCACCCACGTTGATCAACGCTATGTACACAAAAATGATCAAATCAACACATGAACAATAACACACCATCATATGTAACTTACAGAGATATTGATTAGATGCATGTTGCCCTGCAAATCTACCCATAATGATTCGAATGACATGATCACTCATCATCAAGACCATGAACCACATGAAAAATTGACTTTTGATGAAGATGCTGATGGTTGGACCGAGAATTTTATGATGCGATACATATCGAGCAATGGGCATCAGTCGTTGATTGAGTCGAGTCAATAATCTCATGATGAATGGCATAAAATACTGGATTGTCTTGAAACTAGCGTACAGGACGATAGGTACAGACAGAATAAATACGGATGTCAAGTAGCATAGTAGACTGAGGATCCATCTTCCTTTGTAATTCAAATAATAGCCAACCAAGGCTACTACAAATGATGCGAGGATGGTGATCTCCATCACTAGTTGCTTGCCCTTGGAAGACATTTGAGCGATGTTTAGAGTGATTTAAATAAGGGTATGTAATAGAACAGAGAAAGAGATGCTCTGCTTGGGGGTTTCATATGATTTTTAGCAATTGGTTTCAAGTTCAGTTGATTTCATTGCAACATTAGGTCATACAAACATGTTGAAAGTAGTAAAACACATCTTGAATGACACGTAGCAGTCTTTGGGCACAATTGCCACGTTATATTGCGGTTTCATGGCCATTGAATATAGATCACATGCCATTGTTGTTATGGAAGCTACTCTTGGGATGTCTTGTTGCCATGGCAACTATTCATAGAGACATTGCCATGTGTTGAAAGAGGTCAATGATTGCAAATGAACCTCTGAAATGTGTGTAAATACAGCACTATTTTCTCTGTAAACCTTGTATAGTTATATCAGTCTTACTGGGGTCAATGCTGGTTACTGCGTTGCTCTAATAAAAGACCCTCTGTATTATGCAAATGTCAATGCACACATCCATCCATGGACACTCTAGTCACTCTTTTCAGTCCCACCAACTCCAATAAGCGCGCCGCGTTGAATGCGAAGACTAAACAACGCGCACATATCTGGCAAATTTGTTTTCTTCATCATTTACAAATTATGGCACCCAATCCCTCACTGAAACGGCCTCAACAGCAACAGAGTTCCCTACTCTCTTTCTTTGCTAAAAAACCTTCTGAGAGCGTCATCGAGAAAGAGGTAATGACCGAGCAGTTGGCAGTGAAAGAGACTGCGCCTAAACCTGTCAAACCTGATCAAACAAAGCAGGCCTCTTCAGCATCGCCTTCTATGGCAAAGAATACTGCGCATTCAAGCAAGCCTACAGCAGATGCAATGGAGATAGACGAGGCCATTCAGGAAAATGAAGATGACAGCGAGGATGATAGCCCTCTTGTCTCGAGATTGGTAACACATCATGGCACCTTACTATCCATTGAGATGTGAACTGAATGGATTCCATTGAAATAGGGCCGAAATCGCAAGAGGGTAAGCTACAAGCTTTCAGATTCTGAACCAGAGGATGGAGTGCCTGCAGCTGAAAAAGTAGTAAATCCTTTCGCTCGTAAGTGAATCATCGTGATTCATGTTTCTTGTTATACTCAATCCATGATTTATACAGAGAAAAAGCGACGTCTAGTACGCAAGCTTCATGATGACAGTGATGAAGAGTTTACACCGCCAAAGGAAGAACCGCTGAACGATGAGGAACTGGAGAGCATATTTGATGATGATTTGATGGATGAGGATATACCTGGCTCGCCTGGCAGACAGACAACCACAACCGCAACGCCCAAGAAGCCACCTGTTACACCTTTAGCCGAACGATTTGGACGCATCTCAGTAGAATCACCCATGTACCAGAAACCCTCTGTCAGCGCCTTTGCAAAGATGAACATGACCTCCAAAACAGAAAAGAAGCAGGATCGAAACCAAAAGTTTAAAGAGAAAAATGATGAGCGTTATTACTGGCTTCAAGACCAAAAGGATTTGGACGGTAACCCCATCGGTTCACCCGAATACAATCCTCGTACATTGTACGTGCCTCGATCTGCCTGGGAAAAATTCACCCCTTTTGAAAAGCAATATTGGGAGGTCAAACATACGCATTGGGATACAGTAAGATGTGATGAATCATGGCTAGTCAGATCAGATGTTCTAATTCGCTGTGTATTAGATTGTGTTCTTCAAGAAGGGCAAATTCTATGGTAAGTGCATTCGCTGCTAGTACAACTTGTGCTAATACATTGGTTTAGAATTGTATGAAAAGGATGCAGATATTGGACACAAGTATTTTGATCTCAAGATGACTGATCGTGTCAATATGAGAATGGTCGGCGTTCCTGAGACATCATTCGATTACTGGACAGCCCAATTTATTGCAAAAGGGTACAAGGTCGCCAAGGTAGATCAGATGGAGACAGCCATTGGCAAATCAATGCGTGAGAAGAGCGGTGCCAAATCCAATAAAGCAGACAAGGTCATTCGTCGTGAATTGACATCTGTCTTGACGGCTGGTACGTTGGTGGATTCTGGTCTCTTGACCAACGAATTGGGCACCTACTGTATGTCTATCAAGGAGCATTGCGGCGACGAATCCATGCCTCCTACCTTTGGTATATGCTTTGTGGATACAGCAACCGCAGAGTTCAACCTAGTTCACTTTCAAGATGATGTTCATCGCACCAAGTTTGAAACACTGATCATGCAAATTAAGCCCCGTGAATTGGTGACAGAAAAGGGTAGATTATCCAAGACCACCACCCGTTTGCTCAAGAGTATATTGAACGAGCCTCTTTGGAACATGCTGAAGCCTGATGTTGAGTTCTGGGATGCGCGTATTACAGAAGACGAGATTAGCATTCACGAGTATTTTGGCTCTGAGGGCGAGTTGGCGAATGAACAGCTGACACAGGCTATGACAGAAGCTCGCAAAGACCCCTTGTTGATGTCTGCATTTGGTGGGTTGATATGGTATCTTCGCTCAGTAAGTTGAAATTGGAATTATGCGTAGGCTCGCCTTACTCACTCTCCTGATAGCTTAAATTGGATAAGGAGCTTTTGTCCGCAAAACATGTGTTGATGTATGATCCCATCCGTAATGCTACATCGCTGGTGCTTGATGGACAGACCTTGGCCAACCTCGAAATCTTCCAAAACTCGTATGATGGCAGCACTGAAGGCACCGTCTTCAAATTACTGGCAAACAGCATTACGCCTTTCGGCAAGAGACTCTTCAAGCAGTGGCTTTGCCACCCCTTGCGTCGCATTGAAGATATTAATAGCAGGTTAGATGCAATTGAGGACTTTATGCGTCTGGTGGATTTGCATGAAACTATCTCTAAAGAAATGTACGGCATGCCTGATTTGGAAAGATTGATTTCGCGCATCCATTCGGGAAGAATTCAGGTCAAGGAGTTCCTCGCTGCGTTGGAAGGCTTCAAAACAACACGCCAAATCATCCAGACATTGATCGAAAGCAGGGGCCACTTTAAGTCTGCCTTACTGGGCCAATTGATTGACCAATTCCCTGATATTGGTGGCAAGTTGGACAGCCTGAACGATTCATTCATCACGGCAGAAGTGGATGTCGACTGTAAGTAGACATAATGTCATTGTACATATCATACTGACGCTCTTTGATGCGACAGATCAAAAGATCAGAACCATGATCCCTAAAAACGGCATGAACAAAGAATGGAACAGCATCAATCAACAGATCAAGGACGCAGAAAAGCAATTCGAATCTCATCTGCAGGTCGTCAAGAAAGAGCTCAAATGCTCTTCTATAGTATATCGCGATATGAATAAGGACATCTATCAGATGGAAGTGCCCAAGAACGTCAAAGTGCCTCAAAGCTGGCTTCAAATCTCCACGACAAGCGTAAGGATCAGGCTGTGTATTTGACAAGTGGCCATTACTCAACCTTCCATGTCTTTATAGAAAGTTACCCGTTATTGGGACAACACTGTCAAGAATTTAGTCACTGAATACAGAGAGTTGATGGAGACCAAGAATGCATTTGTAAAGAAATTCGCGCTTGAAGTGTATGCGGCATTTGATGAATCATACGGCATGTGGTTATCTGCTGTGCAAAGCATTGCTGAGCTCGATGCATTGATGGGCTTGGCAAAGGGATCCATGAACATGGGAGGTAAGGCATCTATTTTACAGCTCTCACTCACATACTGACTGCCATCTACAACAGAGCCTGCTTGCAGACCTGTTTTACTGGATCAAGAGAAAAGTGTGGTTGAATTTGAGGAATTGCGACATCCATGCGTTGTACCAGGGTAAACTATCTTAATGTGTAATATAGACTTAGAATCCCCAATGTCTCATCAACATATTGCATTAACAGCGTGGCCACTGATTTCATCCCCAATGATGTTGGTTTAGGTGGAAAGGATGCCAGTGTGATTGTGTTAACGGGCCCCAACATGGGCGGTAAATCCACTTTGCTGAGACAAACCTGTGTTGCTATTATCATGGCTCAATTAGGTGGATATGTACCTGCACGGTCCTGTCGACTTACACCTTGTGATCGTATTTATACTCGTATTGGTGCAAATGATAACATCATGGGAGGCCAATCAACATTCATGGTGGAATTAGCAGAGACTTCCAAGATTTTGAGAGAAGCGACGACTCGCTCCATGGTCATCTTGGACGAGCTTGGAAGAGGTACATCTACATTCGATGGCTATGCTATTGCCTACTCGGTCCTGCACTACTTGTCTACTCATATCGGATGCTTGGGCATGTTTGCTACTCATTATCAGACATTGTGCAAGGAATTTGAGCGCAGCCCTGAGATCAATAATATGCACATGTAAGTACACTCTTCTCAGTTGCACAGTAAGAGGATGGCCTTCTCTTGACTCACTCATTGCTTAGGGGATATATCATGGACGAAGATGAGCAAAATGTCACCTTCTTGTACAAATTGACTCCTGGTATCTGTGAAAAATCGTTTGGTATGAATGTCGCTACTATGGCTGGTATTCCTCCCTCCGTGGTTAGTAGAGCAGCCACAATTGCAGAGGAAACAGAGATTGTACATCACTCCAAGGACACAACATACAAAATGGAAGCGTCTGGCAAGGACGGCATCAATATCACTCCAGCGGTTGTTGCCGACTTGGCTTATTTGATGTCTAACAAGAAAATTAAATTATCAACCGAACGTATTTTGGCTAGTTTCCAAAACATGACTGTATAAGAGCCAACCCCCTATTTCTAATATTCCCTTATGTGTATACATATCATCATGATCATTTTTGCTTGAATAAATAAATCGAATGATACAACTATTAAGTAATCACAAAAAGAGAAGATACTGTATACGATACCTCATCACTCTAAGGGGATGCTGCTTGATTTAGGCAATCCTTCGAATATAGATGAGATTGTATGAGTCAACACCTGCTTTAAGCTTCTTTTTTCGATCCAACTCCGAGTTTTGTTTCTAAAACCATTTACCCCACACTTTCTCGACATGCTTGTATATACATTGCTCACATTGCCAATGGGAAGATGCACTCTTGTTATATTTGATAATTGAAATAAATTACGTTATTTCCTTCTGGATGTTCTTGGAACATAAGAGATTGTTGGCTGTGTCAGAATGTCTCATCCTGCATTAATTGGGTCGGCTCAGGCCATAGTCCTATTCAAACAAACCGAGTATACCCTACTTGAGATGTTATCTGTGTCCGTCTTGACATGCTATTACAATGTCTTGTGGTTGCCATGACAATATGGACAGCAAAGCCTTTTGGAGTCAAACATTCCATTTCGTATAATGATCCAAAATCGGAGATGCCTTGTTGTACAGGAAAATTTTTTTTGGGTTTGCAGTGATTCTCCCATCACTCAATTGCATGTAAAACATACATGTTGACAAAGACAAATGTAATCAAACAGTTTGCTCCTTTTTTCATTCAAACCAATTTCAGTCTAGTTAGAATGTAATTGACAAAAATGTACCAATCATATATAATGAAAAACCTATTTTTGATTCGAAATGCACTAGGACTAAACAAGTTTTTAGGGAAATAGGGTCGAGAACTATGATCTAAATTGGTGCATTTCTTTTCATATGTAACTCAAAGAAAAAAAAAATAAGATGGAAGGTCACGATCGCTTTTGCTTGAATTAAGGATTTCATATAAATAGGGGATCATTTGTTTCCTCATTGATCTCATCATTCGCATGCTCTTCTCTTCTAATTACAAAAACTTATAATGATTTCATCCACATCCATCTCATCTCCAGTCGTCAAGACTACCGCTACATCAGATCAATATACCCCTATTCCTCACTTTCCTGCTTGTTTGGGTGGTGAATGGAAAAACATCATCAAGACACCTTATCTCAAAACTACAATGAAATTTAGGGCTGGTACATCATTGGTAACGTCTAATTCCTTTTTTTTTTTTTTTTTTTTTTTTTTTTTTTTGTCTTGGTCCTTTTGTATTTACTTTATCAATGTAGCCTCCTCACCATTTTCCTACCATGTCTCGTATAACCGTTCTCTCTGGCTCTATTCAGATTGATGATTTACAGACAAGTCAAGCGTACATTTTGCGCGAATCCGAAGATTGTGTTATTCCTGCGTTACTGGTCCATGAAATTCAATTTCTGGAAAATGTCGAATTCGAATTTGAACTAAATTCCAATGACATGATCATCTACTGGGATTTTGAAGAACGTTAATGCTCTTCAACCTCTTTCTTCATTTTGTATATTATTATTCCTGCTCCTTTTTATTATCATTCATACATTTACACTGACACACACTACATGATCCATTATTACACACTACGCTCTCCCTTTCAATAACAGAAAAAAAGAATTATTCTATCTATCATTCTCAAATATGATCTTGTTGAATATGATTTAATTGAATTATGTTCATTTTGCTGTATATTGGTTGTTAAGAATGGCTGAATCAAAGCTTCTGCTGATTGCTTGTCATAAGCCACAGCATACGTTTTGTGTCATTATCATCCAAAATATCATCTACTTTGGTTAATTCCTTCATGTGATCATCTAGAGTGCAATTGGGCTCTCAAGGATTTTTGCATTCCATTTTTTAATATTACCAGTGTTTATGCTTCGGATGGCTCTTACCTTTGCTTGGCTTTGGCGAGAACCCAACCTGCGCAGCGGCAGCTCGCGCTACCGATTGCCCTTGCGTATCTGCTACTTTCATTCTGACCCTTCACTTGCACATGATAACCCTTCATATTATCTGTGGATCTGACTCTTATGTGATGCTCCGCATTCGTATACATGTGAATAGTTTATACACGGGCAAGCAGTATACGGGTATTTATCCTTTTTAGTCCTTAGCGTCCCTGATACAGCAAAATCTGAGTGCATTCAAGGCGCGTTTTCTCGCGTTCAAGACCGTTTTAGATTGTCAGAATAACACCAAACAATTGCTCTCATCTAGCACTTACTGCCTGATACCTTTGCTCAACTTTTTGGGGACCAAAAAAACATGGACAAAATTCGACTAAAAAGCATGAGATACCCCTCATGGTTTTCATCAAAAATCAAACGATCGCGTTTTTCACCTTGATAAGGAAGACTTTTACTATGGTATGTATTGCATCAAAATGTTTCTATCGATCTAACGTAACTCCTGAAATCATCTTTCTGGGGCTTTGATATGTAAAACTTCAACATTTTGGTCAGAAACCTCTTTTCATACTTTCACAAATTGCTCGATAAGCTTACTCAAAACATCCATCTTACTTAGTACCATTGGATGCGCCTTGAAAAGCACTTCAAGAAAGCTTAAAGAAGCACAGGATGATTATTATATTTTACTTGGTCGAACCTGCTAAAGTAGTTCAATCGAGTCGAAAACCATCAAGATTTGGCCAATCTGGAACAGATTATGAATCTGAGTTTGAGTCAATTTTGGCTGGTGAGGCCAGCTGGCAAACTCAATGCCTGGCAGCTCAGTTTTCATGTTAGTAGGGTTGTAAAAGTGTCTAGGGACTGAATATTTATTATGTTATGATGATGGTGATATAACAGCATTCCCACTGCATTTAACCGCCATTTATAGATAAAATTTGGCTCCCTCACTTCAAGATGTGTCCAAGGCCATTTCAATTCATTATTCAGCTCATTATAACTGCTTTCGACATTAGACAATGATACAGCAACAAAATCGCAAGTGCCACTTGAGGGAATGTTATACAGTAATCACTCTACTTTTCGCCTATGGTGTGTCAAGTCGTACTCCCAAGATCGATACGGTGAGTGATGAGGCTTCCATTATCCTTGAGACATTGTATGTGAGAATCTGGAGTAATTTGGTATTTCAATCCATGTTCTCGAGAATCATCTTGAGTTCTGATTGCTTGACACGTTATAAACACGAATAATTGTATGATGTTTGTATTTCTAACGAAAATGAAGCCATTGCGCGTCAAATATCGAATTTTGCCATCGCACAGCTTCCACGAATGTGTCAAAACTGAGATGTGTGGTCCTGGCTTCGCTTTTTGAAAAAATAGTAATCAAATCCATTAGCTAGAGTCTTCTGTATAGTCTTCCTTTCGTTCGCTTTTCAACTTTCATCAAACACGCGTTCACAAACATGACAAAACAACCTAAGCAAAAAAATTGCATTAGAGTAAAACCACCGATATCTGATGCAGTGCCACCATTTAAAAAGGCTCGTAAAGAGTATTCATTGAATAAGTTGCAACAAAAGAGGGTTATGGAGTCGCTGGGCCGTGCCATCTATGAATGTCGTCAGAAAACGAAATCAAAAGGTAATCGTTCCAAGTTGAGGGCTGACAATACACCATCTCACATTGCTATCATACTAGATCCTGTTACTTTAACAGCACTCCCCAAAGGCTATACAGTCGAATACAGTTACAATTATAAATTCAGTGGACATCCTTCCAAATTTCTTTTCTATAGTACAAGTAAAGTAGTCCATGCTGTATCGATCAACAGCAGTTATTCATCAACTTGCTATTTTAGACGCATTCCTAGAACATCTGCTGTGGTTGGAAGCCATGTCCCATCCAGAGAGCATTGAACCAAGACGTAAATGCAAGTGTATACTTTGTACAAAAGCCAGAAGCAAAAAGGAAGCAGACATGCAAACCGATACATCTTATGAGTTGACATCCGACTCACCATCATCCTCTTCAGATATAACATCATCAGCAGAAGCATTCTCGCCTTCGGAAACTGGATCGCCGATGCCTGCTTTACCAGCACCTGCTGCTTCGCCAAAATCGCCAGCATCTAGAGAATCAACGCCAGGCGATCCAGAAGAGATGATCCTCGTATATCCCATGAAGAAGGTCTTGATTGAACAACTTGTAAATCCATACTACTATTACCCAGCAAAATTCACTATACCATTACCAAAGATACAGCAATCTGATGAGAGTATCTTTCTGAAATCACTGCGTTCATAGGGTTGGAAATAAAAGCTATTTATTATGCGAAAAAGAGAAACAGAGTAATAGGTGGTATATTCTATGCAAGTATTATTCTTCGTCCAAAAGGGTCTCCCAGTCATCAGATATATTGGAGTCATCTTCCGTGTCTTGATCTTGTTTGAGAGCCCCGCTTGTAGAAGTCAATGCAACTAGTTTGTCTTTTTCATCCACTCTTTGAATCTCATCCTCGCTACTAAGGCTCAACGCTTGATCCGCATCATTCGAAAAAGAAGCATCGGAAGAAGCAACATCAGGGGTCAGAGAAGGACTCGCACTCTTCTTTGGTGATTCAATCCAGGCGTCCTTGGCAGGTCTATAGGGATTGTCACCGCCCACCTTCATCCAGCCATCATCATCCACCGTCTTGAGAGCATCATATGCATTGACGAATCGATTCTTGCCGTTAAAAGTGCTTGATGATGGACTAACGTCCTTCTTGGGTGCTGATAATTGCTTTTCATTCCATGTCACTTCTCCCTTTTGATTGACCCAACAGCAATCCACACGAGCCGCTTTATTGTCAGCACTGCCATTTGTTGTGATAAAGGCTGATTTCACAAGCTTCTTGAGTTGCCAGATAATGGATTCCTTCTCATCCATGGATATCGAGTCGCTGATGGATGGGATCACGACTGCATCATTTTCATTGACCCATTTACTAGTAAAATGAATAGCGTCATCGCCAATCTTGATAAGAGGTGTCAAGTCAGCATCCAATTCCAGTTTGGTTAATCCAAAAGCCATGTCGGACAGGTACAGTGCGTTGACAGGTTGTCTGTTGGCTGAGCGACCACTTGTATCAGCCTCAATGCCTTGTACTGTAGTAGGCGCGCGATTCAGAGTAGGGTTGCGAGCAGCCTTGGAGAGCAAAATGGGCGGAATTCTGCAGGGACCAAGTGTCTTGCGCATGATGATGGAGCGTTTAGGTTCTTGGTCGATGGCTTCAGTAGCCACATTGAAATGGACAGCATAGCGGTGAATAAAGCGGCGGTATTCACTGCGCATAGGCTTGCAATGGAACGACTTCTTGCCAGTATCTTGCACAAATTCAATCATTGAGTTCTCCATATGTCTACACCACACTGCATTTTCAATGTAAAACTCGCGCAAAGAGTCGTCGTAGTAGCCGAGATCGTCAGACGAGAGTGTTTTGGAATCTATGTTGGAGGTTGCTGATAGCGAAGGCGATGCGGGTGTGCTGAAATCATCGCGCTTAATGTCAAAAGCCATCGCAAGACGTCGATTACGCAGCACCTTCGCACAGAAATCATTGCAGTCCAAATCCTTCTTTGATCCACTGGATTCTGATGTGGCATTGCAAGGGATTTCCAGGGTATTTTGTCCACACTTGCAAGTTGCTTTGATTCTGGCGATACAGGGTTCAGTTTCAGGGCATGGAGTACCGTCGTGGCATTTTTGCTGGCAGGGATGGCCGCAGCTTCCTCTGGCACCACCACACGTCTGTGTACAGCTTTCATCCTGTGCGATACATGGTCCACTATGGCACGTTTTGAGACAGACGTGCTTACCGCAACTCAAGGGCTTTTCACAAGGTCTGCCGCAACGAGGCGATTCACGATAGCAAGGCACGTTCTTGAGTTCAGTTTTACCGCAGAGACAGTGGCGAGTGACCAGAGCAGGACAGGGAGGGCAAGGGTCATCATCAGGATGGCAGTTGTGGTTCAGGAAGCGGATATGGCCACAGGGATTAGGACGAACGCAAGGATAAGGACAAGGAGGCATCTTTGTTCCACAGCGCACAGGAGGTTCCAGACGGGTGCGACCACAGTTACAAGCGACTTCATCAAAGGTGGCCTCTAAACAGGGAAGACACTTGCCCTTATGGCAAGTATCTTGACAGCGATGATTACCGCAAGATAGCAACAAATTACACTTTTCGGGGCAATCATGCAGAAACTCGTACCCAGGCTTCCGTTTACCGTTGACCTTCATGGCAAGACAGCATGCCACACCACACTGATGTCTTGCACAGTTACGCATGGACTTACAGATACGATCACAAAGAGGAGGCTCACCGCCAGTTGCTTCACATACGTTGGCGCAATTGTCTTTGAAGGTGCTGGATTGGCAGCGACAAGGCACATCCACAGCAACTTGGCAGGGCGGACAATCACCCAAATGGCACTTTTGAGGGCAAGGGTGGCCACACTCAGATATTTTGTTGCAGGTGGATTCACAGGTTGGCACAGGTTCAGTACAGGATTCGCGGTTCTTGCCGTTCAGTAATTCCACCACGGTATGGCTTCCACAGGGACAGGTGTTGATGATATTGGGATCGAATGGACAGACTTGAGAATTGGCAGAGCATGGATGGCAGGACTTTTGACAGCGATGTTGGCCACATGCATACGCCCTAACAAGGATATGAATACTAGAGATTTCCTCCAAGATATAAATGTATACTTACGTATCGCACTTTTCTGCACAGCTATAATGACCGATATGGCCACGCAGTTGAACCTGCTTGCCACTGCCGCAACGAGCGGTTCTCTCATGACGTCCACAGTAACATGATTGCACTTCTTGTACTTGGCAAGGAGCACACACGCCCGCATGACAGGGTTGTTCACATCGATGCTTTCCACAACCCAATAATTCATCACATACTTCTTCACATGAAAATCCCTTTGTCGAGTAATCTGTATCCACGCATCTTGCTTGGCGAGTAGTTGTGCCACAGAAACAGGTTGTGACAGGACCCATTAAGCTACAAGGAGGGCAAGGACCTGGATGACAAGGTCTATACAATGGGGTCAATCAATTTATCATTCAATTTATCCTTCAGCATCTCACTTACAAGACACATTCATGAGGACATGATTTATGTCTCTTGCACAATTGGTCGCAGCTATGAGGCGTGTTGTATCTCGAAGTTTCGGGATTACGCTGTTTGCCGCAAAAACAGAGATAGTCCTTGGGAACGACGGTTCTGTTATTTTGACAGCCAGGACATCTCCAACCAGTTACCATCTTGTTGGAAGAGGTATCTATGGATACGCACACGCATATCAGACACTGTCTGCTTTGCTCCCTAACCACACACACACACACAAAAGCTTACCTTTCAATGATCTACCAGCCCACGTTTGCACACAATTCAAGTGAAATACTGCCCAGCAACAATCGCACGACCAGACATGGTGAGCAGGCCTGACCACATCCATACAAATCATACACTCGTAGCTAGATGTCTTTAATTCATGAGATAATAAAGTGGCCATGTCGTGGTTGCCAGGTGGTAATTTGGGTGTATTCTTGCGTGATTTATTGTTGTTGTTTCTCTTTCTAGTGTTGGTATGTTGAGATGTAGAGGCTGCCGTGGATGCTGTATCGCTGTTGGTGTTATTATCCAGTGGTTCAGGATCTTCAGTCAAACGACCTTGAGCTCGATTCTTACTGATGCGAGCCATGGATGGCGACGAAGCATTCTCTGGCGCCTTTGACTTTTTATTATTTCGCTTACGATTGCTGTTGTTACTGGCTGGCTTCTTTACATCGTTTTCAGCAGTAGTAGTGTGGGCGGATTCTTCGGTTTTTGGAGTACCAGCCTCTGTCGCATTCAACACATTGGGATTCTTCTTTTTGCCTCTATGATTTCGTCGTCTATTGTGCTTTTTGTCAGGAGCATCCGATGTTGCTGCTTGTTGTTGTTGTTGTTGTTGTTGAGACTGGGGTTTAGAAGGACCTGCCATCTCATTGTTGTTCTTGCTGTTGGTAGCAGATGCTGCCTTTTGAGGAGCAATCACTTGTTCAGAACTACCCATAAAGTAAGTTTATAAGGAAAAGAGAAGAAAAAAGAAAAGCTCTTCCGAGTTTATCTTTATTTAAACAGTTTCCATCAATCGAAAAGCAACTTGGATAGCACTGGTAGCATCCTTTCGGTGACTGCGGCATAGCTTGATCCTGTTGGTGTTGCTGCGGCTACTATTGCTGCTGCTGCCCCTTTGGAAAAGGCTAAATGTTAGTGCCATGTTTCAGAAAGACCAATCATTCATTTGCTTACTTGATAGAGTCCTGTGTAGTATCCACAGTAGTACCAGGCCATCATTAAATTGGAAAGATCCTCTAAATCGAGATTTAGCATGAGATGCTCCATTTGTTTCTCAATAGCATCATACCCTGATTATTAGATCCACCAGGCATGGCGGGCAACTGAGGGGGTGGTGGCACATGGGTAGTATCATTCGCATGGATGGCTGTATCAATGTCTTTCCGCAGCTGTAGGCTTTCGCATCAATTTCCTCTCCAAATCCGTGTACAAATGTCAATGTTACTTACTGCGGGTTTAGATGCTGGTAAGATCTTCTTTCTCGGTAAGGCCTGTATGGCTATGTTAGGTGCACAATCCCGTACATAAGGCAATGCTATACGCTACCTTGCTTTTAGCTATGTGTCCTTGTTTTGTTTTATGGCTGTTTGCGAGGGTTTGAATATGGGCGGTGGGTCTGCAGATGAAAGAGATTACCTGATTTTTTTCTGATGATATGGCGGATCTACTGTTGAAGATTTGCTCTGACCCAAACATTGCCTCTACAATACCAATGGCTCAATATGCTATTCATGAACGATGTTTATGCCAGTTTACTCTATAGGCTTCCACTGTTCTATCCCAATGATCTATCAACTCGCTGTCGTCCCAGCAATCAGCCTGTTGCTGTATACATGATAGGCTGTTAATTCTGTGTACCTACTTTGGATGCTAATCAACTACGTACTTTGGCATCTCCTGCTGTGAATATAACGGTCCCTATCGCCAGCTCTTCCTGTTCAACCTGTTTGTGTGCGCTCATTTGGCAGAAAATTTGGTAAAAGCGCAAAGAAAAAGGATCGGAACTGAGAAAAATCGTATTTGTATGCTTGAGAACTTTTATTTACATTGGGTTTATTGACGGGAAAAAAGGCTATTGAATGCTTTCAGCTGTAAAGAGAAAGGAGCCATCTATCTATCTATATATAATCAAGCGAGACGGAAGTGTAGGTATTTACAATGATAATAAGAATGGTTGATATACAAGGGGATTAATAAGGTGTAGTAGTGCGATAGTTTAGAGGGAGTTATCAGAATCACGTCTTCCGGGCCTAATGCGAAGACGTTCAGGAGATCCAGCCGTGGTAGGAAGACGGAGCATGAGAGCAACAGGAAGCTCGTTGTGGTTGGCGATGAATACAGTGGCTTCCACCTTGAACCCAAACTGCTCAAAGAACTTGACACTGGCAGGATCAGCAGCCTCCACATATACGGGATGTTTGGCTTCGTCTGCCTTGCTGAGTACATGATTGACAAGAGCGGTACCGTAGCCCTTGTGCTGTTCATGAGGCAATACACCAACATAACCAATAGTGATGAATTTGGGATGATCCATCATAATCTTTCGTCTCATCTTGTCGCACGAAGGGCCAACCTTTGTAACTGCGCGTAAAGCGGATGTCCAGCCGATCAAACGTGCAAGCTTTGCAGTGCTCAAGACACGAGGCCATGAAGAGCCATTGGGGCTGTTGGTCCAAGTCAAAACACCCTTACAGCCTTCTACCTGCAGAGCAAAATCACGGCTTTGCAGAGAGGAGGCATTGATCATGTTTTTGAACAGAGTGTACAAGAATTCATCGTACTTCTTTTGCTCTAAACCACGGATACACCATCCCATGATGGCATCGGTGGTGTAGGCTTCGGTCAATGTATTGGCAGCCTCTTTAAATGCACCTAAACGCAAAGGTCATGTTAATATGCTGTGATTCCTTGAATCCAAAATCAGCATTTTCGCTACCTTTTATGACAGGGCGGACATTAATGGAATGTTGGTTGATGTTGACAGTTAACTTTCTACTGATTCTGCGATCATCCATTGCGCGTGCGGTTAATGACATTCTTATGAGAAACGCTCTGGTAATAAGAAACTAAAGGAGAAATGAAGATATGTAGCGAGTGTAATTTGAATATATATATATAAAAAAAAAAGGGAGAATAAGATCGTTTTGATAGCCCTTTTTATATGGCAATCAATAAATTTTTGTTTTTACAAACGGAGAAGTGTACGGATGAAAGCGATAAAAGTCTGTTAAGGAAATTTATGTCTGGCACTTAAAAGGTGCACATCGAATCATATGATCCATCTAAGAAGCTTATGCTCATTCGATTGGATCTAAAACCATCCTTTTCCATGATTCTTCTGCTCCGTTGTAAATCGAAAAAGAATTATCTTTTGATGAAATCAGAAAAAGAGAGATATCTCGACCATAAATTTCCATTGCTAGTCTATGCATTGCAAAGCTAAATTGGAAAACAAACAAAGTTCCAACTGATAACAGTTTGACACAAACAATCTAGACAAAAAGTTGTGTTTGATACACTCTTGGCGAATATGAGCAATAATTTGATGTCTGCTGGTCTATAAAAAAAAAAAAAAAAAAAACAAAGCAGAAATCTAGACAACCTGAAAAAAAATCTTTTTTTCAGCATGCCAAACATACAGAAAAGCTGAACATGTCGTTCTAGTATCCACCTATTGAACAAGATTGTGCTCATCGAGACAGAGACGTCTCTTTTGCAAGTACAATAGCTTTGTATCATGTAGATTGTATGGCATCCTGTTTGCAAAAGGCTATCATCGCACGATGCTAATGAACATGTGTTGGGATTTGGTTCAAGGCACAAAAAGCCCTCCATTTCCCAAATTAAACTATCGTGATCACTTTCTTTTTCGTATAAAAACAGTTTCTTGCAGCTATCCGTATTGATCGACATAATGACGTGGTATTGCCTTTCAAGCGATCCATCCAAAAGTCTAGACAGCTCTTTCCATCACTAGGTGTGATATCATGTCAGTTAGGTGATGCTAATCAATAACACAAAGTGTCTAGACATGATGTATCGCTTAGGGTAACATATTACGAAACATAGCGTATGTATTGCAGAGCAATAGTCGCTTTACGTCAAGATGAAAAGGCTGAATGAATCTTGGCAGACAAAGCTTTTGCTTTTGGTTTCTGATCATCACAGCATGTCATGAAGGTGTTTTCTTAAAATAAAAATCCTGTTTACTATTGATAGAAACATCGAACCTCCGAAATATTTCCCTTTGTATTTCAACATGTTTGATTTGAAATGGCTAATGTTGGGGTCTGGTGCCGCTTGTATCGATGCAGATCAGTATGGATAAATTTTTTAGGCGTCTTTTTTCATTCTTTGTTATGCTTATCGGGGAGAAAAGGTTCCAGATGATTGCGATATGAACAGGGATCACAAAGCTCTATCATTGATAGAAAAGGGTCTATGCAGAGATTGCAGAAAACACAAGCTAGATTGCAGTCTAGATGCTTAGTCTTGTGCTTCCGTAATCTATTTCCATTCCATCAAGAAAACTCTTTTTTCATGTCAAATGAGTTATAAACAATGAAGAGATGAGCTCCGCTTGTTTCGCTAACTGTCGATTACAATATAAAATCTAATAATCTTTTTCGCAAACATTTCTTGATGGGGTGATTAAACAATGTTGCTTATTGAATATATGGTGTGCTACAAATGTTGTGTGAGTTGAAAGAACGTTACACAATTTAATGAATTGCATAAGCGTCAATGCTCTGGTCAAAGCGATCTGTACTAAAAAAATTCTTTTTGCGTGGAAGAGGTGAGTGTAAAGCTGACATTGGCGTTCAGATCATTGTGCTGTAGGTATATGCAGCTTGCTCATCTTGTCAAAGCACATTACTGAAGCACCAGCTCCCTATTTGAGCCACTCGATTTGAGCAGCAATAAACCTTGCCCCTGAATTATTAATTTTCTGATTTGAAGAAAACTTTCTGGTTCAAATAATTAATCATTGAGAACCTCACTTAAGTTTTTATCAATAGAGTTTGGGGTTTGGCTCAATTGCTTCATCTCAAAAGCAAGAAAGCAGTGCTACTTGATGATGTCTTGGTGAGATTCCTAAAATTTCTATACATTTTCAGTGAGAGTATATCAAGTACCCAAAAGGTCATTATATTCCTTCCCAATAATATACTAAAATTTCACTTTTTTGCACTCTGATAAACTTCTATGAGCGGCTTGTAGTTGTCGGTCTGGCTTTACCAGAATACTCGACATCCGTATCAATGAGGGCAATTCATTCATAGACAGATAGCGTAACAGCAACACGTCTCACTATCCAAAAATGTGTATAGCACAGCCAAATATAGGCGCATTTGACCCGTGATCTCTCGTGCTAGAAGCCGCTTCATTCAGCCAGAGTAACAATAAATAACTGCTCTCATTTGGCAGTAACTTTCTGGCACCTTTGCTCGACTTTTTAGGAATCAAAAAAACATGGCCAAAATTCGACCAAAAAGCATGAGGGGTACCTCATGGTTTTCGTTGGAAATTTCTACCTCGTGATCAAGGCGGGCTAGGCCTGATCGACATTGGAGCACAACAAAAGTCGTTACAGTTTCGATACCTACGAGTCTTACTACTCGGTAACCATGGTCGCCTACCTGGCTTCACATATCAACTGCTCACTCACGCACTTCGTCTCACAAACGACGTCGCTCATCATGCCCTGCCTCTCTTGTTTCCATCTGCTCGCTACAAGAATACGCTGAATGGTCTCCATCCATTCCTATCGATGTTCAATGCCATGGACATCTGCAGCCTTCACAGAGACTGGGATAGACGCCCAACAATCACTACCATCATGAGTCTCCCCCTCCTTGCTGCCTTCAACCCCTTTGCTGTTACAACAGACCTGGAATTCATGACCAAAGATTCGGTTAGGAGAAGTTGTATCCGCGACTTCTTTGCATATGACCTTGCTCAGCATAGCCTCCAGTTTCGACCTCGGTCAGAATGCCCCACACCAACCACCTTGAACAAAGTTCGTCGTGCCCTAGCCAACCATCAGATCTCCTTCCAACGCTTTGTCAACCACAACAATGCCGGTGAGATGGATTTCCTGCCTTTCGTTGAATCCATGATCTACCAACAGCACCCAATCTTCAAACTGCCGAATAGAGAGCTCCGTTTCGTCATGCTAGACATGGCCAACCTCGATGTCGGTAGACATTACAGTAACCAACTCAGCAAACAGCAATGGAAGGCATTCTACAAGAACACGATGCACTACTCAGCTCGCAACCTTTGGTACAGAATGATCCACAAACAAAGCTCAAATCAACTGGCAATGGCCCAACGCAATCTTAAACATGCCGCATCAGACCGCTGTACCCTTTGCAATGAAGTGGAAGACGCTCAACACCTGCTCATCAGTTGCGTCCATAAACTTGATGTCTGGGACTCCTCCTTCAACGAGTTCCTTAGCTACCCCAAAACCGCCGATCCACAACTTATCTACAACTCAATTATGCACTTCAAACTGAAGCATTATTATATCTACAATTATGACTTACACATTACCATATATGACCTCTTTGCCACCATTATGCGTACTATCTGGAGACACCATTATCAACAGTTTTACAACCTCATCCCCTTTAATGCCATCCAAGTCTGTCGCCACATCCGCACAGAACTGTTAAGATTGTCAAATCTTAGGCAACTCTTCCATTAGTTTATTATTCAAGATTTATATATGGCAAGTCACTTTGTCTCCATACACTTGTCCATCTCTTTGATGCATTTGTTTTATTTCTAATTACTATTCTAATAAAATAATATCATCCAAAAAAAAAAAAAAAAAAAGTTTTCGTTGGAAATTAAACGATCGCATTTTTTACCTTGAAAATGAAGGCTTTTATTATGGTATATATTGAATCAAAATGTTTCTATTGATCCAAAGCATCCCCTGAAACCACTTTTGTGGGGTTTTCATATGCAAAATCTGGATATTTTTACTAAAAACCTTATTTCGTATTTTACCTAATCACTCAACAAGTTTATTCAAAACATATATGTTACTTGGTACCATTGGATGCGCCTTGAAAAGCACTTCAAGGAAGCTTAACGAAGCATCGGATGATAACGATAATTTATACAGTCGAATAGCAAAAAAAAAATAGATGAAAGAAGTCGACAAAAAAACAATATTTGGCCAATCTTGAGCATAAAAAGTAAACTGAGCTTGAACTGATTTTGGCGCGCGTCGCTGCTGTTGCTGGCTGGTTCAAATGCCTTTCTGATGATGACAACGACGATGACAATGATGGTTACGATGCTGATTGAATGGGGATCATAAATTTGAAAGAACATTAGATTAGCTTGGAATCTTTTTCTTTAGTTTTATTGGGAATTTTTCCCTATAAAGGTGTCTTTTGCAATGACAACCTATCAAAAAAGTCACTGTAGATCTCATAGAGTCCTGTATTCACGCATGGGCAACTCTGTGTCGCCATCTCAAGAGCAACATCCGTGAATGGTATTACAGTTTTGCAGCTAGAAAATGCGATTCGGACGGAAAACGTAGTGTACCCAGAAGTCTTATATAACATAAATGCTGCATAAAAAAATCTGGTGACCAATGCCTCCCAACTCCTGATTTTTAAATCAAGCTCATCCCATTTTCAAATCGAATATAGTCATTGTTTAAAATATACTTGATATACTACACTTCTATTGTCTCTGATTTGAAATGACTTTGGCCAGAGCCCGCAGGACGACGCCGTCATTGAGCGTAGCGAGATTGATCGGCTACTGTTATATACACAAGCAGCTGTAATAACGCGTAATTATATGCTCAAGAAATACTTGTTTTGATAAGCCCAAGCTTTATCAGTTTGATCTAGCTGGTTAGGCCTAGAGAGATGTTTGGCTTGCTTTTCAAATAACTCAAAGTGACAATGTGATGAAATCCTTGCTAGCCACTTTGAGATACAATTGCCTCAAAACAATCATAAATTGGAATAGATAACATTACTGAAAGCTACATGTGTCATGATTTGTAAAAAAAGGTTTTTGAGCTGTATATAAAGGCGAGAAGCAGCATCTAGGTCGATGAGTAACAAACTGGCATGGAGATTCCATTTGATTTGAGTACACTGTACAAGTACAAATGCTAGCTTTAAAAACTGATGCACTTTCAATTGGGACAATTAATAACGCGTATTGTCTTGTAATTACCATGTAACGTTATAAATACTAAAGTTTGTTTTACGGCGTTACTGATGGTGGTTAGTGGCATTGCCATTCACTTTCATACACGGAGGACGCTTTTGGAATACAATCAGTGCTTTGTTTAAGCAATACATTTATGCGTCATGTATAATCTAGCGAGTTTTTGCATTTTTGACCCCTTACTTTAGCACGTCTTTAGCCATGCAAACACTTGTAGCCATTGTAAATACTGCCCCCCCCCCCCACAAAACACAAACAAAAATGAGCCTGGTTCATTTATTGACATGTAAACAAACCAATGAAAATGGAAAATAATTCGAGTGACATGGAGGATTTGAACACTCGATGGGGAATTCAGCATCTTATTGCCCAAAACCTCACTCATATTGATTTCAGATGCTTAAGAGCAAAAAAAAAATCATCAGGAAATGTGAGATGTTCCATTTATGTATTTATCATTTCTTTGCGTTCTATATAGACTATAGCTCGACTTTATTTCATGATCTGGGTATTTCTCTCGGTGTACCTCATTGATTATCTGTAGATCATTTTTCAGGGAGACATTTTTGGAGAATTACCTTCTCATATATCTTGTAATCCACCCACGAGACCTAGATTTCCGCCAATCACAACAACACGTTCTATCATTGTCGATCGTAATTGGTAAATTGACAGGATTTCCATGATGTCTGTATACCACGCTGCTTCAGTTCTACTATGCTATTGGATTTGATATTGTACGTTTCTTCCTCATGTTCTTTTTCAAACTGTATCTCTCTTTTTTAGCTTTTTATTTCGGCCCCTTTCTTATGAATCAGAGAAATCTTTTTTTTCTTTCCATGTCCACACATAAGCTTATTTCTTGAACCATTTATTCATTAGGATTCATGTCAGACAATAACATTGCTTCTTCTTCTTCTTCTTCTTCTGCCTCTTCCTCTTTGTCGATATCAAATATGCCTCCTCCTCCTCCTAATAAAAAGAGAAAGAAGTCTGTTACAATTGCGCCATCACATCCAACGCAGGTGGCTCTTCCTCCACCGCTTATTCCGTATCCGCCGCCACATCTAATGCCTTCCTATTATCCTGTCTATCATCAACATCCATACTTTCTCTCGGTTGGATCACAGCCTCCAATCTCCCCCAGCTTATCACCTACTTTACCGTCAACATCCTCCACAACAGCTCCAGCTACATCATCAGCAACATCAACAGCTCCAGCAGCTCAAAGAATTTTACCTAAATCACCAACATCTACACCAACGACCGCAGCTACAACAGCAATCTCGCCGCCTACCTTGGCGCCTACTTTCAACTTTTATCCTTATCCTATGCAAATATCTCCTCAACTTCATCCTACACCGGTAGTAGGCAATGCTCCTCCACTCAGTCCAGTTCCATTGGGTATTCGACACAATTCGATGTCGTCCACAACTTCAAATTCCACAGCGGATCAAAGAGAGCAGGCTAGAAAAGTATCCCATAGTGCAATTGAACGTCGTAGAAGAGAAAGGATCAATGACAAGATTCTTCAATTAAAAGATCTCATTCCTTCCTGCTCAGACAGAGAGAATCTCCATAAGATGACCATCCTTCAAAGCGCCATCGACTACATAACCTATCTCAAAAAAGTAATTGAAGACGCTCCCACACTGACAGAGGAAGATCATCCACAGCCGTTGCCAGATCAGCTACAAAAGTCCAACTCGATGCTACCCACAGAAGTAGATCAGTTTACAAATCAATTCTCTGCACATCCACTAAACGCCCAGCCACGATCAGAAGCAACAGCAACATCAGACACTGATGGTACTAAACCAACAAAAGCAGAGGAAGATGTAGAAGTGTTGGAAGAGGAAGAAGACGAAGAAGATTCTTGGTCCATGTCAACATCGAAGATAGACGGATCAAAAACAGTTAATACGAGTATGTCGACTGTTACACCATTGCCATCTTCTGGCCTAAAACCAATGGATGTGATCAAACTCAACAAATCAGCCAATGTTTCTTCTTCGTCTTCGTCCTGCCCCACACCGTCGCCCATTGTCCCTCCTCCCGCTCCACCCAAAATCATAGTCAATTCACAAGAGGTTGTTCATCAAGAAGAGGACACTGCTACTTCTTACAGCCATACAGAACGGAACATGAATCTCGAAAACATCTTGTGCTAGAACGTATACCTCTAATCTCATCTTATTTTATCATTTGTAAATACTTAATAAATATCTATTCTTTACTATTTTTTTTTTTTTTTTTTTTTTTTTTTTTTTTTCCCATGATACCTTGTAGTGTAGTAGCGGATACCCCTCACCCCCCCCCCCGGAGGTCTAAATTTTACACAACCATTATACCATTCGAACTTCTCCACATTTTTGAATCCTACACTAAAAAGAAAAAGTCTTAATATATCTTTCCATTTTCTTTTTTCTGCTGAAACCCTTCTTTTCTCTTTTCACCTCCTTTCAAATACACTGATATGGCCACTGCTCCCAGTACAAAATCATTCACAGGGTCTCCGCACACTGTAAGGATAGGTATCTCATTGTGTAGTATGACTCGTACTCACACCAAATTGACAGGACCAAGCGTTGGCTGGTTTTGGTGCTGGTATGGTATCGACAGCCTTGTTGCATCCTCTGGACCTTATCAAGATTCGATTCCAAGGTAAGATAGTCAGCCAATGTGTCGAGGAAACCAAGCTTGACAAAGATATTCAGTCGACTCTGCACGTTATTCCGAGAAAAGACCTGTTGTTGGCGGCACTATTCGATCATTTAAAGCAATTGTGAAGGACGAGGGCGTTTGGAGAGGTCTATACAGAGGAGTGACACCCAACATGGCAGGAGCCACCTTCAGTTGGGGTTTTTACTTTGGTTGGTATAGTTTGATCAAGAAATACATGAAGAAGGACGACCAAGGCAAGCTATCCGCAGTGCAGCATCTGACAGCATCAGCCGAAGCAGGAGCACTTACAGCCTTGATGGCCAATCCATTGTGGGTTGTCAAAACTCGCATGTGCACTACAACACATAATACCCCTGACGCCTACAATGGTTTGCTGGACGGATTAAAGAGATTGTACTTGGAAGAAGGTGTTCGAGGGTTATACAGAGGCATTGTGCCTGCATTGTTTGGCGTCTCTCACGGTGCTATTCAGTTTATGGTGTACGAAGAGATGAAAAAGAAGAGAAACGAGATCAGACACAAGAACGGGGTTACGTCGACAGAGGAATTGAATGCTCAATTGAGTCAAACTGAGTATTTATTGATGGCATCCACATCCAAGGTCGCTGCTACAGTGGTTACTTATCCTTATCAGGTGCTGAAGAGTAGATTACAGGTAAAATGATGATAACATTTAAATATGTCCATATGGAGTAATCATTAACTGGATGCATGTAGAATCGTGCTACGAGAGACACTTATACTGGTGTGATTGATTGTGGCAAGAAGCTAGTGCAAGCAGAGGGATATATTGGATTCTACAAAGGGTTGGCACCAAACATCTTCCGTGTGTTGCCTGGTACCTGCATCACATTTTTGGTGTATGAAAATCTTACCCAGTACTTTAAAAATCATGCTTCTTGATCAACCCGATATCCTTCAATGGATCTGTATATTATTTTCCTTTATCATAGATTCCCAATTTTCATATAAATGTATTACTATTAAAACAAATTTGCTTCTAAATGAGATGTATATTAGTGTTGTGTTTGTTGGTAAATTTAAAGAGTGGTGAACTCCATTGTAGGGGGGGGGGGGGGTTTTTTTATATGACAAAAATGATGATGTGTTTTAAGCGCTTTTGAAGTAATTGATAAAGATAACGCCAATGAGACCCAGGAGGATAGGTAAAAAGAGGTTGGGCTGTTGTGCCTTTTGAAGGGCCTTGGGAGAAGGTTTGTAGTTGGCAGCAATCCATTGTTCAATCTAAAGATATTGTCAGCATATCGGTTTCATGAAACAGCACGACACACTTACTCTTCCAATGGCCATTGAAATTTCCATAAAGTTGGGATCTGTTGCCTCATTCTTTCTTGAAATCTCAAAAACATAGTGTCTAAAGATGGCGACGACGTTGTCCATGTCTGTACTATCCAAAATCAACTTGACAGCCTCTCCTTTACGGATCTTGATGTTGCGATGGTAGATGTCGAGGTTGTTGAAAACTAAAGCGAGTGTAGAGATGGCCATGACTTGAGGAATAGCACAAAAGTTGAAGACGGATTGATTTCTGAGTTTCGAGAGGTAGGTGAGCACTTGAGGAACATCATCCAGAACATTCAAGACCATATTACTCAAACAATATTGTGCCTAAATCCGGCGTACTTTGTTAAACGAGGCATATTTCCACATCCCAAGCGCATGAACACTTACTTTTGACTTGTTTTCGGGCTGGATGAAATCACTAAATTTGTCAGCGTATTTGCCCCAAATCTCACGAGGCCAGAACTGACGGCCATCATCTAAATCCTCACGATAATCACGGATAATATTGGTCTTTTGTAAAAAGAGGCCCATTGAATTGGACAAAGCCTTGTCCTTTGCGACCTCCTCCGATTCAAGGCCAGAAGCGGCAAAGAGGTCCGAAAGACCATAACCAACAAGACCAGCAACATAATGACAATAGAGATCAAAGTCCTTGATGGTGGCGACAGAGGTATTTTCACGATGCTCGCCAGTAGCGTAGTCTGCCATACCGTTGCCCATCAATTTGGTAATGTTGGCAATCACACTTTGAAATTCAGGCTTGAGACGCAAGAATTCATCGATAACAACGTCGAAATGAACCAATAAAGCACGATCCTTTTCATTTGGGCCATCTAAAAGCTTATCTGAGCATGGATTTCCCCTTACTGCACACATGCAATACCTACTTTCATTGAATGTCCATCCCTTTTTATAAATAATCTGATCAAACGATCTCAGCAATTCGACCTTTCTGTCCAGATCCAAAGTCATGTCATCTTCAATTGTGTCCAGACCACGCAGAACGAGGTAGAATAAGCAGACCTAATAGACATTGTTCTGTTAATGTTTCATTTCAGAGCGAGTTGGTGGTATCGACTTTTACAGCATCTCTTAGTTGGTCGTCTAATTCTTGGATAACAGCAGCGAAACTTCTGGATGTCTAGCACATGTATAAAAAAAAAAAAAAAAAAAAAAAAAAAAAAAAAAAAAAAGTTGGTCTTTGTTATCCCCTTGAAATGGCAAACAAACAAAATGCCCAACATGCAGATGTTCCCTACCATATTCAAAAAGTCATAGCAGCGTTTCTTGGACGCGTCCTTTGCTAATGTCTGCTGGAGACGTCTGGCAGAAGGGGATTTGGGAGCAAACTTGAATTTGTACAAGGCAGCGAGCTCTGATGGCTTTGTGATGGAATCAAGGAAGGCTTGTAACATGTTGTTTGGAAAAGGACACAAAAAGAGAAGAGGGGAAAATTTTGTTTGTGTTGCAACATTTATATTGTTTTTTTTTAAAAAAAAAAAATTAAATGGGCGCTTGGATGGATAAGCGAGCATCATCCACATGCAACCCAAGGCATAAAAGTTACATTTTATTCGTCATCTTCATCACTATCAGGTCCTGCCATATCAATCATCGGCATGTCCATGTCCATGTCCATGTCATCATCCAAATCCACTGTGGATGATGCAGCAGCTTTAGGAGATGCAGCAGCTTTAGGAGATGCAGCAGTAGCAACAGCAGCAGTAGCAGCAACAACAGGAGGCGTGATGGTGACAGATTCAACAATCTCTACCTCTTCTACTGCTACTGGCTCTAATGTTACAGGCTTGATTTCGGCAGTGGGCGTCTTTTCTTTAGCTCCGTTGACGGGGGGTTTCTCACTCACTGCGGGCAAAGTGACAGGTGTGATGGGTAAACTGACAGGCTGAATGGGGGCTGCTTTCTCTTCCTTCTCCTCCACTACTTGCTGGACATTGGCTGCAGCAGGCTTCTTTTCCTCCTCTATGATATCATCAGCAACCTGTTTCTTTGGCTCTTCTGCTTGTTCTTCTTCCTCGTCCACCGACTCTTGAGCTGTAACGACCACCGTAGGGGAGGCCTTGGGCAACACACGCTGAACAGGAGGCAGTCTAGAGTGCATGATGAGATCGCAGACACTCAATCCCTTTTTACAAATGACTTGAAGCTGGTGAGATTGATCATTGATACCAGCAGAAAAAAGGCGAGATGCATGAGGCAGAATACTGGCTTGTGCTTCAATGGGATGTGTTACAGATGAGATTACGCATTGGTAGAGCTCAGCTTTGACAAGAATGACTTCTTCATCCGACATGTCTGTAGGCTGGATCACTTGGATCAGTCTGCTCAGCACAGTACCGTCCACTGCAGATCTTTGTCCGTTCTCCAAGGCGAATCCGAATACTTCTAATAATGTAGCGAGCGTTTGCAAAGCGGCAATTTGAACTTGAGTAGAGGCAGCAGCAACAAGCTTGTTGGTTAGAGCATCCGAATTAGTGACATCTGTTCTTCTCTTTTTGTGCGATTTCTTTTGTTGGTTGTTTGTAGTGGCAAATCCAGCAGCCTTCTTTTCAATGATCTGTAAATCCTCTAAAATGGAGGCAATCAAAGGCTTGTGGATACTTTCAGCAAAGGCGTAACCGCATTTCTCTAAACACAGTGCAATCAATTTGTAGACAGAGGCCTTGAGTGCTCTCTTTTGCTTGTGCTCGCTCAGCAGACGAAGTAAGATTCTAGCGAATAGCTTGCTGTATCGCATCATCTCCTGACCAGAGCTATGTAAGGTGTGTGTGTGTGTGTGTTAGAATACAAATCTTACACAATGGATCAACTGCTAGTTACCAATATAATAAACTAGTAAATAGTTTGCTGGTACTCAAATGGAGGGAAGGAAGGCACATCATCAGTGTGTAGAATTCGCTCTTGTCCTTATAGTCTCTCATCTATCAAAGTGACTCATGTCAGCTGAAAGATCGTTTTGCCTCATCAGGTTTGTTACTTTACCAGTGATCCTTCATATACATTATAGATACGGCAAATGAGATCAACCAAATGAACGACAGGCACACCAACCACAATTGAAGTAGATGTTCTATATCGAATGGATTCAATTAGTATCAAGCCAATTCCCAACAACATGAAGCTTACGTCAAAAAGGTAGAAATACAATCCTGAACAAGTTGAATACGCTTGATCAAAACGGGGAAAGCATCGACGTAGTCTGTTGACACTGGAAGGAAGGGATATGATTTTGGCAATTCGGCTTCTTGCGTTTCTTCATCGATAGTGTCAAAGAGTCTATTCAAGCATTCATGCACAGATCCAATCAATCGAGAAATGCTGTCTTTCCACTGTTCAGCCATCATGGATTTACCGCCTGCAATATACAAGGACACTAAACATTTGTTGGCTTCTTTGAGAGTTTTGTCATTCAGATCTCTTGATCCATCCAGGCATGATAAACACAATTGGAGGCATTGGTCTGAAATGTGTCTAGCAGTAGAGGGAAAGCATTTGACGTTGGCTGTCAATGCAGACAGAACAGTAGCTAGTAGATCTTGTTTGCGGCCCAACTGAAGTAAAAGTTGGTTGTATCGTTGTAAGTTGGGTGTGGCTATCTCTCTCTGTAATTCGGGTTTGTCGATCGTGTATGAGAATAAGAAAGAGAGGGTTTCTATGCACTCCTGGTGAATGGCAACTGGTTCTGTTGTTTTGCCTACAAAGCCTAGCAGTTGTGCACTCCAAGTCTTTGCATTGGCAACGAGTAAATGATGAGAGTTTTCACAAGTGGTTCTGACAAGTGTGATACCGCACCAACGAGCAGCCGCATTCTTGGATTGCAAGAGTGCGTTCAAGCGGACAGTCCATTTTCTATAGACAGCAGACAATTCATCGTTGGGTTCCTCGTTGGAAGATTCGTGAAAGAGACGGTGATTGACAATGATGTCTAGAATAAAGGAGAGGTTTTGATGGATCAAATTGTCATTGGACATGTACAAGCTAATGACACTGCTGAGTAGCTGGGCATTTTTGGTGTTTGACTTTAGCTGGAAAGACATTTGATGTGTTGTAGTGTAGAGTGAATTAGGCGTATGTACTGTCTGTCTATGTGTGTCTATCAAGCAAGTGAAAGTGCAAGAAGAGATTTTTGACGTCGAAAAATAAATTCACTTTGATGTTCCAAAAGCCACAGGGTATGAAAAGCAGTCGATTCTCAATGCTCATCTTGCATTGACGTTCCCCCTATGCAGCGTATATACAGTATATCATGGCCTGGCCCAACAATTCGGGCTTATCAACTAGTTAGATCATTAATGTATTCCATAAGATGATGACTCTGGGGCGCTTTTATTAGGAACTATGGCATCGTATCTTGAGATTTGAAAGGATTGGAGAACCGATTCACACAATTGATCCAATATCAAATCTGAGCCAAATGACTATGAGGCATTTCTCATACGAATCCTCAAAAATCCAAAACTACGGTACCTTCCGGGCATTTATTCTCACAACTAAAGGGCAAACATTGGTGGAAGCCTAAGGAGGAACGCTTTGAATCTGCTTATGGTTTCTGTGTCTCTTTCCCAGAGTGTTTTTAACGCTCATGCCCAAGGTCTGAATGCCATCTGAAAGTGCCTGCTCTTCATGTATCTGAGCAGTAATGATTCAAGATTGGTCACTTGTAAGGTCAACGATTATCACATCAATAATCGGGCTAAACGAATTGATAAAAATAATGAAGAAGAAAGCCCTTGCGGCTACTAGGGCATACCATACTTTGATGGGCATCTCACACAACGAGTATTGCTACAGGTAAGCTGGTACAGATCTAGTATACAGTATGCTTTTCTTTGAAAACCATCAAAATATCTGAAAAACAGGCTTTTCTATATAGAAACTGAGGGATACCTATCAAGAATGGTATCACTTAATACGCATTGTAATTTCATAGAAACTTATTTTGGACTGGCTGTAAAATTTGAGGCTTTATAAGACTAAAATTCACGGAAAAAAAGAATAAAAAAAAAACAGTAAAGTCAACTTGATAAAGGTATGTTTTATTATCAAACTGACAGTTGTAAAGTAAACAACTGAAGTATCTCTACTACTGGCCAGGTAGATGATCCCTCTTATATACTATAGCAATGGATAAAAGTTCTATTAATTAGATTGACAAATAAGTCAACTCAGATCAACTAATGTCTAATCATGCTAAAAGACAACTCCAGCAAGCTGATCATGATTTAGCTTTGCCTGGATGAATAATTAGACTCTCATCCAAAGTACCCTGATCTATCCTTTCTTTAAGAATAATTAAAATCGATCTAGTAGCATGTATCCTATAGGTACAATCTCCTTAGTCTATATCAATAGTACATATCTGAGTGTATATCGCTAAGCATACATCTTTAGGATGTATCTGGATATATGGCACGTCTATAGCATGTCTCATATATAGTACAAGTATGTAGTACATAAAGTATCGGTAGCTAGTATCACGGATATAAGCATGTGTCTTATAGCGTGGATCATAAAGTGCACATCTGAAACAACAAGCACATAGTGCATTAATCTTGGTGCCTATCCAGATATGGTAAACATCCGTAGTCAATGTAGGAATACAAGTATAAGCCTATAGCGCCATCCATGTCCGTGGTGCCATCTATAGCCTATATCTTATATAGTATGAATCTTATAGTACTCGCGTATCTGAAGTCCATATCTTCTTATAGCATAAATCGATATCGTACATCTAATCCAGTGTACATACAGTTTATATCTAAATCTGGTAACTGGATGAACTGTCGGAATGCAGATCATAGTGGATGTATTCCACACTGGCAACAATGCTTACTATTATATAAAATACGTTTACGCGATTGAAGCTTCAAATTTTAGATAATTCAAAATCAAGTTTTGAAGCAAGGCAATTTTGATTAATGAGCTTCCTATAAGAACCTGTTGATTATAAGCAATTACGAGTAATAAATCGATAGACGAGTTGTTGCGAAACGTTGTATTCAAAACTGCTCGTTGTTGGTAATGTCTTGCTTCATTGTGGTGTGGCAAAAGGTTAAAGCTGTGCTGGGCATTTTATCAAGATAGGTGAACAGCTAATCCTAGCCTATGTTGATGCTAGAGACTTCAAAACAAAACGATTATATTCCCATTTTGAGGAGTTGCTAATTAGGATATAAACGAAATTTTAGTCGCTGCATTGGTCGTCAAATGATTAAGCGAGTTTACCATGATGGCGAAAGTATGTCTTTCTTTAATAACAACAGCACAGAAGCGTCCATAGGATGCTTAACAAGTCTATAAAATAAATCCAAGGCGTATATTGACTAATGTTGGCGCGCAACAGAAAACTTATATGCGCAATTACTATAGCAAAAAGTAGCGTTTGAGTGATTGGTTTTGGATAATTTGTCTTTTCGGCAATGTAGCTCTGTGAAGCCATCCCAGCCCAATTTTAATACAGTCTATGGATGTTGTCTCTTGTATCATAGGAATTGTACATATCACGGCTCTCTATTCGCTCCAATTCGAAACAAAATTGCGTTGTTTGCTCCCCCTTCCTTCTCCCCATTGTGCTGACAACGACTTAGCAGCGTGTCAGGTATCAGTCATTTCTCCTGAATTAAAAGTGTCCACCGTTGTGAATAGATTTTAAGCCTAGTTTTACGGCTAGATATGGCATCTTTGTAGTGGACGACCATCAAAAATATCCTGCTAACCTGATGAGCATCTAATTCAATCTGAGCAAGTCATTAGCTTCAAATTTGCATAATATTACTGACGCTCAAGTGTCAAGATTACTGTAATCGCGCATTTCAAAAAGCAAAATCTGAGCCTTGGAATTAGAGTAAAAGCGTCTATTACTTGGAAATTAAGTTCTGTACAATGCAGGACATCTGCGTCATTAGACAGAAGTGTAATTTACTTACTCTTCTGGCAACGCAACCCACTACGCCGTCGTTTTAGGTCAAATTCTGTTCAAATCTAGCCATTTTCAAGCACGAATAACTCATGCCACAAAGCGTTTTGAGCGCTTGGAATAGCATCACACACCTCCTCTTGGCCACGCTTTACTTCTTGATGCTTTATCTCAATTTTTTTTGGGTTGTTGCAAATTCATGAAAATCATCGTTTTTCCATGAGTATTAGCAAGGGAAAATTCTTGAAAATCAAATGATCGCGTTTTTCACGTCAAAAGTGAAGACTTTTCCTATAATACATATAAGATCAAATTGATTGTAAAGGTGAAATGCAACATTGGAAACTCTTTCTAGGAGACTTTCATATGCTAAATTTTGAGATATTCACAGAAAACCTGTTTTCATATTTTTGGAAATTGCTCATTATTTTTGGTCTGAAAGCTGAGAGTATTTAGCACCATTCGATGCGGTTTCTTTAGTTCTCTAGAGATGTATTAGAAAGTTGGGTGTGACAACGACAGTTTTCATAGTCAAATTCAGCAAAAACGTTTAAAGGATGTCAGATCAAGTCAAGTTTGAACACGAAAATACCACTGCATAATTTCAAATTAAACTACCGCAATTACGGCTGCTACGGTACAAGACTGAGACTAAATCTACTGGTCGTGACGTCGGATAGGGTGCTCTCTCATTTTTCCCTGCCCCCATTTTTACCCTTTTTGCAAAACGCGTTCTAGTATCAAACCATGGTGGTTTTGGACACCGTTTGACTGATAATAACACTCTAGCTTCCGATAACTCTGTCTTGTACTGTTGGAAGAACTTGATACTGCTTCTTTGAAGTGGAATATATTGGGTACCATTCGATAACGAGCACTGGAAGGCGTAGAATTATCATTAATTCAGTTTGCTTATTAGGTTTTAATAATTTCTTGCTTGTTTGAGTGAGTGCTGCTGCCATTACTTCTCTGCCATCTCTGCTGCCTGCTTCTTTGGTTTATCATGTCTGGTGATTGCTTCTTTGACCTTCGTCTGGTCTCTGCTACTGGCGTTCGTTCCTCAGTTTATCTATGGTACTGGTGTTGCTGCTACTGCTGCTAATATGGTCTTTCCTGGTCTACTGTCTTTGGTACATGCTCGTTCTCTGGTCTATATTAAGTGATTGCGTATCCTCTTCTGGTCTATTATCGACGGTGGTGATAAGTGGTAAGTATCTTCTTTCTTCTGGTCGCAATGATATAAAACTTCTTTGAACGTTTGTATTGTTGCTTCCTTTCTCATGATAATGCATTCATGATGTTTACTTTGTTGCGTTTTTCTTCTTCTTTTGTTGGTTGTGTTGCTTTACATCCGACTATTACCATGCATGTTGCTCATGTATGGATTTTTGTTGCAACAACAACGAGCTGTTCTGAACGTCTTTGATGTTGTGTGTCTTATACTTTTCTTTGACTCATTTTGTGTGAGCATCCCTTTTTTGCCTACTACGTACTACTATAATACTCCTATAGTAGTATGTTCTTTTCTTTCTTTTATTATTATTACGAGCCTTTCAGCACTTCGGGTGGTTTCCTGACCTACGCTTCGCTTCGGTGGAAACCAACCTACGTTCAAACGGCTCGCGCTGCCGTGGGCCTTTGGCTAATATCCCAAAATTAATATAGCTAAAATGTTAGAAGAGGAACCCTGATTGTTGATTGATATGTAATCACTAATCGTATGAGTGTTTATGCTTCGGATGGTTCTCACCGAAGCGTAGCAAAGGTAGAGAACCAACCTGCGCAGCGGCAGCTCGTGCTACTGATTGCTCTTGCGTATTTTATCAAAATACTGCTACTTTCATTTTGACCCTCCACTTACACATAGTAACCCTTCCTATTATCTGTGGATCTGATTCTTATGTGATGTTCTACATCCATATACACGTAGCTACTTCATATACGGGCAAGCAGCATACTGGTATTCCCACTTTTTAGTCCTTAGTGTCCCTAATACAACAAAATTTGAATGCATTTGAGCTGAATTTTCTTGCGTTCAAGGCCGTTTTAGATCGTCAGAATAGCCCCAAATGGTTGCTTTCATCTGGCAGTTACTTTCTGACACTTTTGCTCGACTTTTTGGGGACCAAAAAAACATGGTCAAAAATCGACCAAAAAGCATGAGGTATCCCTCATGGTTTTCATCGAAAATCAAACGATCGCATTTTTCGTCTTGATAATGGAGACTTTTACTATGGTATATCTTGAATCAAAATGTTTCTATCAATCCAAAGCAACCTCTGAAATTATCTTTGTGGGACTTTGATATGTAAAATTTCGACATTTTGGCCATAAATCTCTTTTCATATTTTTACAAATCATTCAATAAGTGAATTCAAAACATCTATTTTACTTAGTACCATTGGAAGCGCCTTGAAAAGTACTCCAGGAAAGCTTAAGGAAGCATGGGGTGATTATCATACTTCACTTAGTCGAATCTGCAAAAATAGCTCGATCGAGTCCAAAATTATCAAAATATGTCCAATCTGGAACAGACTATGATTCTGGGTTTGAATTAATTTTGGCTGGTAGGGCCAGCTGGAAAACTCATGCCCTTTTCATAAGGCAATACAGTAGTAAATGCCCTCGAAGCGTATAGAAAGTAGGTGGCAGGTCATAGTACTATCGTTTATAATGATATTTTATTGCCTTCTATATCGTTCATAATGATATTTTATTGCATTCTATATTTAATAACGTTAGTCTGGACATTGACAATGCATGGGTTGCATAAAATGTCTGCAGTAAGTAATGAAATCTCTGAGGCTCTGAGACGTCGCTCAAATAAAACATTGACAGCATTGAGCAGAGGAAAGAGGGTAGAAATAATAGTGGTTTTTATTGATTGATTGTAAAATCATTATTCTCATATGAGCCAGGTCTGATAGATGCCTTGAAACTCAGGTTCCATATTAGGATTGTAAAGTGCAAAAGGACTGAACATTTATTATGTTATGATGTTTCTTTGAAGCATACCTTTTTTACGTTGTGTGGATGTGCCTATCACTGAAGCTCAACAAGACTTTATCCGACACTAGGAGATAGATAGGCTGCCTCCACTTGGTTATCGCTACTTACTTTAGTGATGATTGAGGGTCTCAATGCCTGAACTTAAAGCTAGGTGGTGTAAGTAAGGCATGCTCTAGCACCTGGGGGAAATTTGATGATAGCAGCGGCTATATTGCTACTATAGCGGCGCTTAAAATTTTGCCTCACATCAAAACAGGGGGAAACCCTCGCAAATTTTTTTTAGGTAAGCGGAGTTTTTCAAGCAATCTGATTGGCCAGAATTTTAGAAGCAGCAGACAGGAATGAAATTTGAACTTTCATTTTTACGCTTATGCGTCTCAATTACTGACATATCAGACATCGTATGTACCCTGCATATATACCGCCCCAAGTGACATGCATGATTCCCCTCAATTTTGATTATAAAATGTAATGGTTACGTTTAAACCGTTGATAAATTTATTACAAAGTACTCTGCTACAATGCGAACATAACTTGATTTATTAGGAAAACATATCTTCCACTTCAGTATACAGAGCTTCCGTTTCCTGCTTGTCAAGTATACTATGTTCAAAGTGCTGATCATGTAAGTCATCTTCTAGTGGTTCACCATCCACATCCTCCTCCATAGGTTCACCATCGACATCGTCTATGGGTTCACCGTCGATATCATCATCTTCATTCATTGGCTCACCGTCCGCATCGTCTTCATAAGCTTCACCGTCTAGATCCTCCATAGTAGCTGCATCACTAGCAGGAGAAGAAGAGCTTGCTATGGATTGTGCTTCTCCGTTTTCCTTTTTCAAAAATATATCTGTCAGTTGATCCGTGTAGTATTTCGGGAAGATCATCCAGTGCTCCCACACGCCAATGACTGCAGAAATGTGTTTCTAGATACGTCTTAAATGTAAGTATGCCTTCTATCAAGACCAACATGAACACTCACTCTGACTTGTTCTGCCTTGAGTCTTGCATTAATTGATCGATAAATGCCATTGAAATGGTCAAATACTACTGGTAACTGATCCTCGAACTCTTTTCTAAACTTCCAAGCATTGGATACATGTACGCTACTGTTGTGCAAAATGTCTGATACAAGGTATAACCTGGCTAGTTTGACAGAGAGTGGAGAGTCAGCTACAGTAATCGATTTGCACAAAAGGTCGACAATCTAGCCAGCCACAACGTGAGTCCACCGTCTAGCCATCAATACATATATACATATATGTATACCTAATGACTTACCTCTGTAGCAGCTTCTGAATGGTCGATAGCAAAGGCCATGGCCCTCGCGATTGTGCCTCGTTGAAATGTCACTTCTTTGAGTAAGACAGCAAGTCGTTGCTTGGCAATTTGTCCCAGTGTTCCCTTTGTCACGTTGTCTTGCTCCGTCACCTCATCATCTGTATCAAAAACAGGATCTTCTGCATGTTCATCTAGGACGGGTAACTCGGGTGGAATCCACCATGGCCCTCCTCGGAACATTTGAAATGGCTCGTCCATCCATTTTGACTTTGTATCGCCCTGAGCCAAAGAAAACAGTTTCCATCTATAATATATATGCTCTGGTGACTATGTAGAATCGAAAAATTAAAGCCCTATTTCTTCCTCCAATGCGTCGGTCCCATCTTACTGTATTGTCAAACAAAAACTTGAACCTGGGGTTTCCTTGCTCTCTGTCCATGATCATTGCTTCAAACAAGGGACCATGAACAAGCACGCGTTCAATTATTCGATGAATAGTTCGCATGAGGTTGATATCGGTAGGCTTCACCACATGAATCTCGGCTCTTGGTCTCGAGTTCTAATATTGAGGGAATTAATGAGCATTCCATCGCCTCTTCATGAACCTGTCGCTACGTTACCACACCAGGTGCACCCGCACTCACTTGTGCATTGAATGGTAATCCGGATTTGGTGACAGGCGCCTTCTTATCCAGCACTATAGCTCTGCGTTAGGCTCCATTCCATGCACGTACACACATTCACATTTACCAAAACAAGGCTGTGCAGGGATAGGCACAGCTTTGCCCCATCCCACGCGCAGAGCATATCCATTCAAGTCTTTGCCGTCCAAAGATCGGATGGCATTAGCAGCATCTTGCCGTGTCATGAAACTCACAAATCCACAGTTGTTTCCCTTGTCTTTTTCTTCCTGAGTGCGAGGCCACATAATCTTAACTGATGCAATGGGCCCATATTTGCCAAACTCCTGACACAGGCCTGCTTCTGTCACTGTGGGATTGATGTTGCCTACGTACAAATTGGTGGAATTGGGGTTGCCGTCATCAAACGAGCCACCGTGATCTAAGTCGAAACATTAGCCATTTTGGCCATCTGTGATCCGCAACCCTATGACTTACCTTGAGAAGTGATCTTTGCATCCACCTTGTTACGGACCTCTTGTCCTCTATTTCAGTTTGCCATAAGCGATACATTCGCAACCATCTAGCAATCTCTTACTTTTTGATCTCTTCTAAGAATGAATCCAAGTTACGTTTCTTTTGTGCCTTTGTTTTCATCCTTGCCAATGCCTGATGGTGATGTACAGGGTTAGTGTCATGTGCTTCACGCCTTTCTCTGTGACATTAAAATGCGTTACGTCGTCTTCTTCATCCGAGTCTTGTGTTGTGTTGTACGCTGTTGTTTTGGCAGACGGTGTGTATGCTTTCATTACTGGTTTTGGCGGTAAACTTTCTCCTGCTCTTACAAAAGGCATTGGTTTGAAAGCTGATTTGGATGGCAGTGTAGGAGCTTGGTAGCTATCTGAAGATGGATCTGTGATTTTTGAGTACATGCTATCTAGAATACATTAACTAAGCTTACCTCTTGGAAGCAAAGTGCCGGATTTGACAAAGGATGTGGTGCCCAATTGATACGGCTTGGGCTCTTCAAATGACGCTACAAATTCTGCATATACTTTGGCAGCTTCCAAGTCGTCTTGCTAGTGTAAATCATGAGCCATCAGGTTCATCAGCATAATGCATAAGAGTAAACTCACCTGTTTCTTCAAGTCGGCTTCTTCCTTGTGTCGCTGGAAAGCCGTCTTCTTCTGAACACCTATTGTAAAGGCTTGCAGTTTGGAGGCTGGTATAGGCTAGCAGTCGATCATTAACGAGTGTCCAACGCAAACATCTACATGATGAATCCTACTTTGATGGGTCTCTTCACTTTAGCTTCTTCCTCAGCTTCTTGTCTTTTTCTTTTTTCACTCATGATGCTCTGTATTAAGGATTAGGATGAAAGGTAGATTAACTGATGTTTATTAAAGGCTATGTATAACAGCAAAAACTGTGACCTGCTAAATTGGTTTACATGCGACTCAGAGGATCAATGCCCAACAAATGGAGACCATTGGCAAGTGTGGTTTTTGCAGCCCAGAAAAGGAGCAATCTAGCTTCAGCTGTCTTGGTATCAGCTCCTTTTACTCTGAGAATATTGTTTGCTTGACTTGTTACATGCGCCAATTTGAATAGATATTGCACCAGAATGCATGGATCCATGGTTTGACAGGCATTGTGAGTAATATCCGGTAATTGAGAGATGGTCAATGCCAGTTCGAATGCTTCTTTTTCCTTCAACAGCGAGAGGTCAGCCTTCATGTCAAGTGGAATTTCAGCGTTTCTCTCAATCCTACAGAAAAACACATGAATAATCATAGCTGAATAAAGACAGAATAACTTACCCGCAAAGACGAGCATGTGTGTACTGCAAATAAACACCTGTATATCCTCGGGCAGATGTCATTCTATCCCAAGAAAACTGGTAGTTTTTTAACCTTTTAGCCACCATGTCCTGCACAAGTACAGCAGATGCGCCTAGCTTATCCGCCACGCTATCCAGGTCATCCAAAGCATCCATCTTGAACTGGTTTCCATTCTTTATATTCTCTAGCATGTGCTCTTGCGCCGTATCCAGGATGTCTTGCAGAAACACTACCGTGCCCTTTCGAGTAGACATGCCCAACACTCTACCAAAATTGGCATGATACAAGTCGGTAGGCCAACTGGGATCATGCTGTTTTATCAGCTCGCTGATCTTGAAGAGTTGTTTGAGATAGAGCTCCTGCTCAGTGCCAACGACATAGACAGCTTTATCAAAATCTCCAAATAATTGACGACGCAACATGATACTGGCAAGGTCTCGGGTCATGTACAAACTGGTACCATCTGCGCGTTGGATGATTGGCTTCCCTAGCTTGTAAGTTTCCAAATTGACAATCAAGGCGCCATCATCCGTCGTTTCGATCAATCCAAACTGATTCAGCATGTCGTACACTTTTGGAATGAAAGGCTCGGTTTGAGATTCCCCCGAGAAATAGTCAAAGTCAATGTTGAGTCGCTTGTAAATGTGCTTGTAGGAATCAATGCTCAATTCCCGAAATCGCCTCCATTGTGCTAACGCTAGTTGATTGCCCTGTTCCATCTTTTTGAAATAAGCATTGGCTTGCTTGTCAATCTCGGGATCGTCCTTTGCGAGCGCATTGATCTTGACGTAGACCTCGTATAGATGATGAATCGGATCCTTTTCAAGCTCTGTCTCTTGGCCAAACATATCGAATCCAATGGCTAAGAGTCCATACTGTTTACCCCAATCGCCCAAGTAATTGATGCCGATCGTTTGATATCCATTGGCATCGTGAATGCGTTTGATGAAATTGCCTAAAATTGTGCTGCGAAGATGTCCTGCGTGGAAAGGTTTGGCGATGTTGGGTGAGCTGTAATCGATAATGACAGTTTTCTTTCCGGGCAGTGTATGATGACCATACTTTTCCTTCTCACTGACAACCTGATTCAGTGTTGCTTTGATGTATTCTGAAGGTCGTACATCAAATTGTAGAAATGGTCCAACTGCTGATGCTTTTTCAATGTATGTATTTGCTTCAAACTATCAGAAAAAGTGGTAAAAAGGGCATTCCTGTAGTTGCTTTTAAGAGCATGCTTACCTTGCCTGCAAGCTCTTGACTGTAAGCGACTGCATTTTTCTGTCCTTGAGGTAACAATTTGGGTACAGGTAGTCCAAACTGATGCTGCAGCTGTGCTTTCGGCGCTTGCAAGATCCTTAGAATATGGCTTTCATTGCATTCTGTTAGTTTGGATAAGGGCTTTGCTATAGCGTTTTTGAATAATTGTGTCGCCATAAAATAATTCAAAAAGAGAAGGAAAGGGGGGAGGAAACAAGGGGCCTTTTTTTATCAGCTGTCAAGTTATTTTATTGGCTTCAATGCCCGATGGGTACATCTGGATTGATGGGCAGTAACCATCATGGCATGAAAATACTAAATGCCAATGCAAATGTCTGCAATGTCTTAAGAAGCGCTAACAACACATTGGCGGCAAACAGTAAATGAACCTTGAGGGCGAATATATTGTTTTTATGAAAGTTTTGGGGGCGTATTATCGTAAACATGAATAAAGCTGTCAAATGTTGCCATGATTCGGGACCTGGTTGAATGTTAACGTTTGATTCAGGCAAGAACGCATGTCTTAGCAACAGTGCTATTTGCTTTGGCTCAAAGGCTTCCATAATTGCGCAAATTTTCTTTTTACAATGTACATTATTTCGTCGATTTGATCAAATTAAATGTGTTTTGCGAGATGATTGGAATACTTGTTTATGCTGAGCACGTTTATGCCGCATTTCATGCGGCCATCTTATGGGTATTTTCAGTTTTACAAGCTTCACTAATTGTTTCAAAGATTGAAACCTACTGAGAAGTCTTCATAAAGGGCACGTACCTGTGGTAGCATACTAGCATTGCCTCCTAATACTCAAAACTATGCAAAAAACACTAAATTTAGATGCATTTAAGCCGTGTTTTCTTGCGTTCAAGGCCGTTTTAGATCGCCAGAATAGTACCAAACAACTGCTCTCATCTAGGAGTTACTTTCTGACACCCTTGCTCAACTTTTTTGGGGATCAAAAAAAAAATGGACAAAAATCGACCAAAAAGGATGAGGTACCCTTCATGGTTTTCATCAAAAATTAAACGATCGTGTTTTTGACCTCAAAATTGAAGACTTTTACTGTGGTATATATTAATTCAAAATGTCTCTCTCTATCCCAAGCAACCTCTGAAGCGTTATTTGCGAAACCCTCATATGCAAAATTTCGACTTTTTGGCCATAAACCATATTCCATATTTTTTGAAATTGCTCGATACTTTCATTCAATACACCTCTTATAACTAGCACCATAGTATGCGCCTTGAAATGCACTTCAAGGAAGCTTAAGGGATCATAGGATGATACTATCTATTATATAGTCGAACCTTGCAAATTAATTTGATCAAGTCGTTTTTCAACAAGATTTGGCCAATCTTGGAAAAAAGGAAATCGAAGTTTCAATATCTATGGCTGCTGCTGCTCGCTGACGAAATGTATGAAAACAACCATTCGTTATGAAGCGAATCTGAAGGGAATAGCGAAACAAGAAGTAATATCAAGCACTATAGGTACTTTATATTGCTTACTTATGAAGCTATGTTTTTTTATAGGTTTATTTATCGTAAAATGTTCTCAAATTGAGAATTTTAAAGCGAAATGTACCATTACCATATTGCTCAAGATTGCGTTTAATAGCTCGAAGATGAAGCCTATATACTGACATATTTAAGAATAGTCCTGTAGGTAATTCAATGGCAGGATGCCATTCAATGTAAAGGCACGCTTCCAAGATTGAAAAAGTAGCCTGGCGTTGATGATGTGATATGCATGCTGATTTCTTCAACTTAATATTATATGAATTATCAGGTAAACAGCATCCATGTTGCAAATGTGCAGAAACCCTTACTTTCGCATATTAATATATGTGGTTCTGAAGTGTCATGTTTATAATGATAGTCTCAACCGATTCAATCGTGAAGAAACGAAGCTGATCAAATATAGTTTCACGTGCCATAAACAATTGCTCAGGGGGGGGGGGGGAATTCACGGAACATGCAAATGAGATACAACAAGCTTTCAGCAATTTAAACTCTATATGAAAACTGTAAACGACGCTTACAAGAGCTGCACTATGAGGTCTCCAGCCAAAAACAAAGACCTATTCACTTACAGAGGATCTTTGTGCAATGTTCAAACAAGGAAATCTTACAACTTTGCTATATAGAGTAATTCGCGGCCATAGTTTTATTTCAGGCACCATGTCTTGAGCTGAATCAATCTCTACACATAAGAAAGGAAATGTTGTATGCACTCATAAATCCAAAACTCCAGTCAAATGCTGAAACATTCCAATCATCAATCGTTTACAATCTACCTCTCGTTTGAATAGTAAAATTCAGACGATGAAACACTGAAGATAGTATTTTTAGTTTAAAGACTATACATGCACCTCAGTTTTTGGCATGTATAGAGTTCACATTCAAATTAACTCATTATTTGTTTTAAAAATAATAACAACAATCAAAACAGCAACGACATCAAGGGGGGGCGAAGGACTAGAAGGTACCTGAGCAGCACGAATATTATTATATAGAACAATAAATGACGTAAATAGCACTTGTAGTATGAATATTTAAGGGCGAGCTTTACTTGAATGAGCCTTCTTTTTCTCTTCTTTCGCCCACAACACATTTCCCGATAAAAACTTCATTTATTTTTATATTCGACAGGCAAATAAGACAAACAGTTTCCACATCTCCAAGAAGCCCTTATTTCTAGCTGCATACCATGTCTACAGTAGATTCGTTGTTGCTGCCTATTATGAATAGTAACAATAGCAATAGCATCCATGCGAACAGTAGATTCCAAGATTTCAATTACCGCCATCATCAGCATCAGTTTTTGTTATCACCTAGCACAAGTAATTCAATTATAAAAAATGGAATTTCAGCCTATACGAATAACAACAATTCAAGCACGTTGTCCAGCATTGTTCCTGGCGAAGAAATATCTACCATCTTTGTAGTGGGGTTTCCAGAGAACATGCAAGAGCGTGAATTCCAAAACATGTTTATCTTTTCCCCTGGATTCGAAGCCGCCACATTGAAATTGCCACCAACTAGCTTGAACAGCAGCAAGCATGATTTTGAAGACGATTCAAATCGCAAACAAATTGTGAGTGCTCTTGAAAGATGGCACAAAAGAATGCATCCACTGACATGTGTACTGTACCCGTATAGATTGGATTTGCTAAATTTCGAACTCGTCAAGAAGCACTCGATGCCAAAGAAGTTTTGAATGGCAAAAAGATTGATAGCGATAAAGTTTTGAAGGCAGAAATGGCCAAAAAAAACTTGCACACCAAAAGAGGTCTTTTACATGAACCAAGCACCAGCACTACCAAATCGCTTTATGAAGCATTTCACTCCGTTCCTATTAACGAGTTCTCGCCATCCACATCACCGACGCATAGTTATATAGCAGCATCTAATCAACAACAACAGCAACAATCGCAACATCAATCACCATCATATCATATTCATCCACAGCAGCACCAACAACCACAGCATAGTATATTCGGCATAATGGGTAATCAATTCACCACCAATCATAGCACTTCCATTTACCCTGCACATTCATCCTCTTCATTGCTCTCATCCATGAGTCCATCACTTCAAAAAGAAGATGTATTGGCGTCTCAGCTACTACAAAAGCTAGTATTATCTACATCATTGCCCATGCCAACAAGCTCCATTTCTACAAACAACGTAGATCAGAATCCGCCTTGCAATACGCTGTACGTCGGTAATTTGCCTGCCAACACCAATGAAGACGAACTTCGACAGTTATTCACGCATTGTTTGGGATACAAACGCTGCTCCTTCCGCGTCAAATCAAATGGACCCATGTGCTTTGTTGAATTTGATGATTTGAAATACGCAGCCTTGGCCCTGAAAGAGATGCAAGGTATCCCACTCAGCAATTCTGTTAAAGGTGGAATACGTCTTTCGTATAGTAAGAATCCACTGGTAAGTCTGCGAGCCTATCACATGGTAACACGTTTTATATTATGGATTTTGTGTATTCTGACTTTTTGTGCTATATTTCAGGGAGTGCGTCAAAACATGGCATAGCATGAAAAATCTCGGTGTTGCCAGCTTTTTTTTTTTTTTTAATCTCACATTTTCATTTTTGAATACTAGATTAGCATGGATATGTCATATTAATAAACTACAATACATCACCCTATATATTTGAGGATAAGGAATGCCATGTTTTCAATAGATCTTCCATTGAGATATATGCTTAAAATAACGTCAAAACCATGGGGTTTCGTTTTGTAGACATTTCGCGTAGATCTGCCCAAGATGATATCTCTACAAAGCTCAAATGACGCCAAAAAAGGTAAATAACGTGAAGGTGGAGGCATTATCGCGCTTAAACCTTACTCGAAATTACCATGATTGCAATTTACGGGTATGATCTTTTATGACTATACCATATGCATTCATAGTAGATGTTAGAAAAATCCGGATTTAAGATTCACGGTTCCTTGAAATTATGTAACGTTTCGCAAATCTTTTATTACTTGGCTTTATATTTTCAATTACAAACATATCAGTCAAGTAGGGTTGAATAAGCTATGATTAGAATCTAGCAATGCACTGTCGAGCTTGCTTTGAAGGTCTAGATATTCGTAGAGAGGCCAGCATTCTGATTTGGCACATATACTATAAAGAGAAAGCATATGGTTCCAAATGTCGGGGTCGCATTGAAGGGTGCCTGGATAAGCATTTGAACAAGCTGTCCTTGTTACTTGCTCCAACATTTGGGCCGAGATGTATATTGTATAGAGAGTATAGCATGCATTCAACTGTGATACAGACGTACATGTACAATCAATACCTCAATTAGCGCAAACAAGAGATGCAATCAGAATGAGATGAATACGCGCTGATGGACATCATGGATTGGTCTTGAGACAAAGCATATAGGCAGGATGGATAAATGATTTATGAAATGTGGCCTTGCTTTGAAACCGGATGCTTTCTTTTACCCTATGGCCTATACAAAGTGTGTATGCTCACATTGTATCGCTCAAAGATGGGCTCTTACATCTCGTACGTGTACAGTGAACACATCGGATAGCCTCGCAATGCTCAGGATAACGATCTCTATAAGATGTTGAAAGTAATTCCCAGTTGTTTCCTTGATGTTTAACCTTTTCATCTATTATTACATTAAAACTCACTGTCTAGACATTTCTCACAATGGAATATTTGCGCTGAGTCATTGGTGGGATAGCTCCTAGGTATCTTCGGAGACTTCTGTTGCTTGGTAGCACACAGATTTCCAGCATCAAGTGCAATGTGTCTGTGTGGGGGGGGGGGATTGCAGTGATAAAATCAATAAAATGGGGGTGTAACAAACATGATAAGTGTTCTTGCTTTTCTCTGTCTTGTCTTCCGTTATTTATCAGGTGTTACACTGGATTTTTGAAAGGGTTCAAAAGTAACAATTCAAGTTTTTTTTTGTTTTTTTTTTTTTCTTCTTCTTTATCCCTTTTCACAAAAAAATCATTTATTTTTTTCTGAGGCGCGATTTCTTAGTGAACGCACCTCTTTTCAAAACGGTAAGTCTGCAGAAAGAGTCCAATGTTGTATCATATGCTAACTCGGAAGCAGTTTTCAAATCTTCTTTCGTCCACCCATAACCCATATAAAGGCTTACAGCGGTGCAGTGACAGACCTAAAAAATCAAGTTAATAACACATCTCAACAACAAAGTACAAATTCAATTCAAATGGCTCCTCCCAACGCTGATCTCTCTCACTCTTCCAACGCTGCTGCTACTTCCAGCGGCAGTGTCCCTTCTCCCTTGTTCAAGGTAAACTCTCCCAATGTGCAATACACTGACGAGCACATCTTGTCCAAGTACTCTTACTTCAACACCTTGGTCACCAAGCAAGCTGATGGTACCATGATTGCTGAACCTACTGAAACCGTCTACGAATTCAAGACTGAACGCACTGTTCCTCGTGTTGGGTAAATATAAGGGTAGATGGTCTGTGTGTGTGTGTGTGCGTAAGTAATTAATGCTTGAGTGTGTTTTAGTATGATGATGGTTGGTTGGGGTGGTAACAATGGCTCTACTTTGACCGCTTCCATCTTGGCTCACAAGAACAAGCTGACCTGGCGCACCAAGACTGGTGTCCATAAGCCCAACTACTTTGGCTCTGTCACTCAATCCTCTACTGTGCGTTTGGGTGTGGATGCTGAGGGTACTGATGTTTATGTTCCTATGAGCCAAATGTTGCCCATGGTCAACCCTACTGATTTCGTCCTTGGTGGTTGGGATATTTCCAGCAAGAACTTGGCTGAATCCATGGACCGTGCCAAGGTATTGGCCTATGATCTCCAACGTCAAGTTGCCGATGAAATGTCCAAGATGACTCCTCTGCCTTCCATCTACTACCCTGATTTCATTGCCGCCAATCAAGAAGACCGTGCTGACAACTTGATTCCCGGTAACGACAAGCGTGCTCATGTCAACCACATCCGTAAGGATATCCGTGATTTCAAGGCTGCCAACAACCTTGACAAGGTCATTGTCATCTGGACTGCTAACACTGAACGTTTTGCTGAGCTCATTGATGGTGTCAATGACACTGCTGACAACTTTTTGGCTGCTGTTGAGAACTCCCATGAAGAAATTGCTCCCTCTTCCATCTTTGCTCTTGCTTGTATCGAAGAAGGCTCTCCTTTCATCAACGGTTCTCCTCAAAACACCTTTGTTCCTGGTTTGATCCAATTGGCTGAACGCCACAAGGCCTTCATCGGTGGTGATGACTTCAAGTCTGGCCAAACCAAGATGAAGTCTGCCCTGGTTGATTTCCTCGTCAATGCTGGTATTAAGCCTGTTGCTATTACCTCTTACAACCACCTGGGTAACAACGATGGTAAGAACTTGTCCTCTCATCGCCAATTCAGATCCAAGGAGATCTCCAAGTCTACTGTTGTCGATGACATGGTTGCTGCTAATGATTTGCTTTATGCCAAGGATGAACATCCCGACCACACTGTTGTCATCAAGTATGTCCCCTCCGTTGGTGATTCCAAGCGTGCTCTCGATGAGTACGAGTGCGATATCTTTATGGGTGGTCGCCAATCCATCAGCATGTACAACATCTGCGAAGATTCCTTGTTGGCTTCTCCCCTCATCATTGATTTGGTCGTCATGACTGAATTGATGACTCGTTTGCAATACAAGACGATCGATATGCCCAAGTTTAGCTCTTTCCACAGTGTATTGAGTATCTTGAGTTACATGTTGAAGGCTCCCATGGTCTCTCCCGGTACTCCTGTTGTCAACGCTTTGAGCAAACAACGCACTGCTATTGAGAACATTTTCAGAGCTGCTGTTGGTCTCTCTGCCAACAATGAAATGGGCTTGGAACACAAGGTCTGGTAAATTGCCTTGCCAAGATATTTTTTGATTCATATTTAATAAAGAGATGTAATTCTTTTGTACTAAAATAAGGGTGTTGTGTATGAAATGAGCATTTATGTAAGCAGGGGCGATCATCATGCCATTTAGGTTGGTATTGAATGAACACATTCTTGATTTATTTTTAGTAAAGCTATTCATTGCTTGTAATACCGGATGTGCTAGCAGCTGTTGAGCTGTTGGCAGCTATCGTACCATGAGCATGAACGAGGTCTGGGTAAGTGGAAGTGCTATTGAACATGGCGTTAACATCAACAGCAGACAAGTAACGGGCTGCCATCAAATTATCAGTAAAACCGCCCTTATTGTTCTCAATCACATAGGCGGAAGGAGCCAGCATAAAGCCATTAATGGATTCAGTGGTATTACGGAGCCAGACAACATGGCCATTCACATCATAAGCACCCGAAGGCAATACAGGGAAGATATTGTACAGAACATTAGCATCCTCGAGACCAGCTGCAGGATTTGCTGTTGACATGTTGAATACAGTATCTGTTAGCACAGGAATCTATAGGAAAAAAAAAAGGCGTAAGTTGCTCTTTCATGTCTGTCATCTGTAACGTAGCTTACATTAAAGACAATAGGCTTGTCTTTGGGATAATTCGTGTTGTAAGGTCCAGTCCAGTTTCCACCGTAAAAGATCTGCTCAGGGCTACTGTAGAGATAATCAGGCATGATACATGTATCCACAGCGCACTTGTAGAAGGTGTAAACATAGTAATCTTGATTTGTACTGCCTAAGAACTGACCATCAGATAAGAAACCGCCATCTCGGATCACCATGTTGGGTTTTTGTTGAGCAAAGAATTGTGAAATGTTGAGAGCCTCACGATGTAGGCTATCAAAGTCGACAGTGATGTTAGAGAAGCAGCTGTCAGTGATATTACCAGTGCTTGACAATGAAGAAATAGCACCATTGACAGTGGTGTTGACAGTGGTGAGAGTGCCTGCAACTACCAGGCCAAAGTCAGTCATGGCGCTAGCGTTTGTTGAACAGGTAATCGATGTAGCGTTGCTATTAACATGGAAGCTATTACTCACAAAGTTGCCCTGAACAGCGATGGATTTGTTGAATCTTTGGGTGTCTTCTTCTGCATTGAAATCGCCAAAAAAGATGCCTTTGAAAGCGTGCACGGTATCTAGCATGGAAGCATTGTAACTGAGCAACGAGTCAATGATGGGCGTTGTGTTGGTGCCTGCTGTAAAAGCATATGCGCTGGTGGAAATCAACAGCAATGATAAGCAAGCAGATATCAATTTCATGATTACAATATTGGATTTTGCACCAGAAGCAGAGAAGAGATTCTGAATGATAGAACAGCTCCATTATATATACTTAATTCACATTAATTTAGGATGAATATTTGTTTCAGATGTCATTTCTCTAAAAAGGACGGAATCTCTTTCAAAATAGAAGACATTCTGATCTGCCTACTGTTTTGATGGCTATATATGAGTAATAATCAACTATCTATTTATACATGCACTAAAAACGAGTGTTTAATAGAAGAAATCATTCCATTTTATTGTTTGATTTTGCCTGGATTTGACCCAAAGCCAATCTAGACATACGTTTTTGCTTGATTTGGCATCGATTCAATTAGACTGAGCATTAATATGAAACTTTGCGTAGCCCAACTTTCGAAATTGCAATAAATTTGCTAGCATTGTATAAAAATACATCATCAAGGCTTATCATATATTGAGATTAATCCAAATTCAAAAGGTTTAAACGCTATATCATGTAAAAAATGGAAGATGAGAAACTACCTTCAAGTTTTTTACAGTTTCACTACCAACATGATACCTCGGGTCGTAGCTATACTCAATAATAACGTGAGCCGAGATCTGTTTCCGTTATTAATCATGTATCGCTAAAAAGGAGCATCGGTCTACTGATCACTATCAATCATAAGCTCCAATCTATGTGGAAATTCTATGTACATTAGTCAAGCCCAGAGCAAAAGCAGAGCCTTCGAAGCGAGCCTAGATGGCTACTATGCTTCAATCATCATGATCGCCAAGTGAAACAAAGGACTCGAATCAGGACGTATGAATCTCGATGACGAAAGAGACCATAATCTTGGGTTCTTTCTTACCTTTGGATTCAATAACCTGAATGAATTTCTACCCACCGTGTATTCTACAACGTATGATGCAATGCTAAGGCTTCGAAATGACAATTGATGTAAATCTAATGCTGTACAAATGGCAGCCATATTGTCCAAGCTCATTATACGGCTCAGGGCTCAATGCAAAAAATGTAGATAGGTGGCAGGCACATGGCTGAACCAACATCAAGAGATATTATAATGAAAGCTAAGAAATATATAATGCTGCACATACAGTAACTTTTCGGCTCTTTGCATCACGCCAAAGTTGACTTGGAGTGAGAGATCGAACGTACCAGAATATGATTTATTTCAAAGTCTTACAATATGGAATATACTATATTTTGATAATAAGACACGGCCTCCATGAAATTCAAAATAGCCTTCGGGTTCCTTCAATTCTGCGTCAAGTTTCAAAATACGAAATGTTGGGGACCTATGTAGCAAGTGCCAGTGTTTGTCATAAAATGAATGCTATCAAGGTTACTGCGTACAAAGGCATGTTAACTTACATATTTGTGTTGTCTACTTTGTTTCGATGTAACTCAAAAGAGCTGTTTTAGCAAAATTCAAGTGAAATTGTAGAATGTATGACAAATCATTCATGCGTTTATTTATAGCAATTATCACTGAAAGCATGAGACTTTGACAGCACCTTGATCTAATCTCAGCTTACACATTCAGATGCGATTGTGTAGGGTTTGGAGCTATAGTGCGCTTGCTGTCCTGTCGACAAGTATGTCATTGACCTCTTGATGTGTAAAACTATATTCTCTACGGGAATCATGTCGTTAACTCTGCTCTTTATGGAGATCCAAGGGCACATTTGTTTTGAAAATGATTCGTAGGCACAGCAACCTTCTCTTGACAACAAAGAGGGAGGCACAAACGCGATATACATTTCAATCAGTATACTACACTTACGCCAAGATCCTATTATAAGAAGCAATGGAACACAAGCGAAGAAATTACTGTAGCATTTCAGGGTTCAGTATCTCAAAACGAATCATCATTATGTTACAATCGACAGGCTTCATGATGACTCATTGACGTACCAAATGTCATAAAATGGGCTAATATATGCTAAAAAAAAGAGTGATTCTCTTGATCCATATATTATCAGAAAGAGGTATGGGTTCACGCAAATCACGGGTTTAATGTCACTTTTCTTTCGTTCAAATTCAAAAAGTTAATCCCTATAGAAGATTGCAGACAACAGAGCGTAGCACTTTGTGTGAAACACATACGACGAAGCACTCTATCATGTATCATTACAGAAGGAGAGGGGTTCTTTTTGCTTCAAAGTGCATAGATGCTTGGTTATATGCGCATTTATAGCATTGAACCCTTCAATTCGCATTAAACGAATGAGATTTGCAAATAAACGTATTCAATGCTGCTATTTAGCAGTGGAAAGAGATGTTCTCGGTAAAGCCCTTACAAAAGGAATAATCATGAGAAGCTATATTCTGGATTTGCTCAACAAATTCGTCGATATTTGATGATAGACTCACGTCAGTGACCTATTATCCAAAACCATGCAGTTTCAGCCCTACTAGCACAACAAAAATGATGTTTAGCGGTCTATAAAGATATGCTTGATACATCTAAGCGATGTATAATCATTGCGATAATTCTATTCAGAAGGAACGATCCTCAGAGGTGGATGATTTGTATAAATCTCTGTTAGGTAGGGCAAGGTTTCCTATATCGATATAGCCAACACAGCGAAATTTAGTATCAGCGACATGCAAAAGGCAAATATCAACAAGATCAGCATAATCAGCGCTATGATACTTTTGGGTAATTGAAACTCTAAAACCCAAAGAAACAAAAAAATGCCTTGAACCATCGTTATCGTTTGGGACAAGTCAATCCCATGCCCGTAATGCATGTTGGCCGTATTAAAAAACGAGGCACATCTGATGTATAAAAGAGCTTGCATGGCACAATGGCACTTGCTCTCCTAAATATCTTTCTCTTTTCATTTCATAAGAATAGAATGGTACAAAATAGTTTGATCTTATCTGCTATTGCTCTGTTGGGCTTGTCTCACATGATGCTTGGTGGTGTTGAAGCTGCCCCTTCCGTCGATGCTGCTCGTCAATTGTTTGGCAAGGTCTACAATTCTCACCGCCTTTATAATAGCAATGTGCTCGTTGAAGAAGGTGCTGACAAGAACGCTACAGCTGCTGGCAACTCTTCTTGCCCTGTTGAGATCAACAACAGCACTCTGGATGCTGTAAGTTTGCTTTTCATCTATAAAAAACACCTTCCATAGGTTCTAACAGTAACCATACATTTATAGTTTAACCATTTCCAAGGCATCTTCTTTGGTGATTATGCCAACAACTTTAACGGTTCTAACATTGAAGGCCCTTTGGCTGTCGGTGGTGATTTCACTGGCTACAACTTTGTTATCAACTCTCTCGCCAACGCCTCCATCTGCGAGAATAGCAACGCTACTTCCATTGACGCAAAGAACGCCACTGCTGCCAACATATTTGAAAACTATGGTATGGTTCTTGGTGGTGTCCCTACTGCTCAAAATGTCTCTGCTAATGGCAACGTGTTCATTGCCAATGGTACTAACGTCGGTATCACTACAACGAGTGCTCCTTGTCAACTTGAGTTCAACAACAAGACGGGTGCACTGAACTTTGACTTGCTCAAGACAACCGCTAACAATGCCTCTGCTTACTTGGCTAGCATCCCTCCCAACATGGTCTTGGACAAAGAAGGTCATTTGAAGCCAACTGATGTTAAGAATCAGACCTCTTTCACCACCTTCAAGTTTGATTCTTGTGCTCAAACTGGTAAATGTGGTGTTGAAGGTGAACAAGCATCTGATCCTACCAAGGTCTTCTTTGGTAATGGTAACTGGACTGGCCCTGAAGGTAATGAGACCTACCCTACAGATAAACCTGTAGTCTTCAACGTAAGTATTTATTTACTTGTATATATATGTACATTCAACTGATATGGACCATGACAGATTCCTGTTACGGCTGGTACTACTTTGGTTCTCAACTCTACCGACCCTGGTGCTAATCTCACTGCTTGCAACACCATCTACCACGCATATCCCGTTGACGCAGAAGGTCAATTCCAAGCTAACGGTACCTTTTCTGTAAATCGTGAAACCGAAAAGCGTCTCCCTGGTCTCTTCCTGGCTCCTCGTGGTAAGTAAAGCACTGTATATCGATCAGCAGCCATGTACATTGATTTAATACTACTTGCTATAGGCACTATTATGGATGGCCATAAAGGTGGTTTCGAAGGCCAAGTCATCGCCTTGGGCTACACTTGGAGTGCTGAAGATGGTCCTGTCTTGAAGTCATCTGAATGTCCTGATAGAGAGTGTTTCCCTTTCAAGGTACTCAATGAGGCCTCCAGCGATAACTCTACTACTACCACCACTACCACTACTACCAAGCTTCCTACTATCATCCCTATCCCTACAAACGCTGTATCCGCCGCTTCATCTGCTGCCTCATCTGCTGCTTCTGAGGCTTCATCTTCTGTTATTTCAACAGCACTTGAAAGCGCTGCCTCATCAGCTTCATCAGCCTCATCTGTCGCAACCGCTGCTTCATCCGCTGCTTCATCTGCTGCTTCATCAGCCTCTGAGTCAGCTTCTTCTGCCATTTCCACAGCTATTGACACCGCCACGGCATCCGCTGCCTCCTCTGCTTCGGCTTCTCTTGAATCTGCCTGGTCAACTGCTCTTGAGTCAGCGACTGCCTCGGCTGCTTCATCTGCTCTTGAATCAGCTTCATCTAACATGCCCACTGCCATTGGAACAGCCGCTTCATCCGCTGCTTCCTCTGCTGCTTCATCTGTTTATGAATCAGCAGAAGTTACCAGCTCTGAAGAACCTACTGCTACCGCTACTGACGCTTCATCTGATACTTTCTCCGTTTATGAATCTACTGAAGCAAGTTCTACTGAAGCAAGCACTACCGAAGTAACCTCTGAGGCTACTTCCACCGAAGAGCCAACTGCTATTGAGACCGCATCTTCCTCTAGCGCTTCATTTGAAGAAAGCGCCACCTCTGAATCAGCTCAGACTACCTCTACTGATGATGTCTCTGCCTCCATTGAAACAGCTGCTTCCTCCGCTGCCTCATCCGCTGCCTCATCTGTCTATGAATCTGCTCAAGCTACCAGCACCGATGTCGTTCCTCCGGTTGTTGTACCTACTGCCACAGATGCTGCTAGCTCTGATGTTCCTACTGGTGAAGCTTCTGCCACTGGCGATTCTTCTGAAACAACTATCGCTCTTGGCTCTACTGGTGCTTCCTCTGCTGAAGCTACTTCCACCGTTGAGCAAACAGACACTGTTGTCGTTGTCCCCACTGCTACAGCTGATGAAAGCTCATCCTTAGAGGGCTCAGCTGCTGCCTCCTCTTCTGATGTAGCTACCACTTCCTACGAGGAGACATCTCTTGCCTCAAGCACTGAGACATCTACTGCCTCTATTGAGCCTTCTGCTTCTGATGTTGAGTCCTCTTCTTTCGAACAGACAGAGACTGAAACCGCTACAGCTACTGAGACTATCCCTGTTGTCACAGGTACTTCTGAACCCACCTCTAGCAAGGCCACTTCTTCTGCCGACAAAACTACCACCTCTACCAAGACAAAGTCTACCAGCAAGACCTCTTCCAAGGATTCCGATGCTACCACATCCAGCAAGAACACCAAGACAACCACATCCGATGGTGATAAAAAGACTGCCTCTAGCACTACTACCAAGAAGGATAGCACAAAAACCAAGGATGCCGCCACCACCACCAAGAAGGATAAAACTAAGACTTCTTCCTCTGAAGAGCCTACTATCACTTCTACCAAGCAGTCAAAGTCCAAGGATTATGAAGTGTCTACCATTACAAAGACCAAGATTAAGACCAAGACCAACAAGCATGATGAAGTCAAGACCAAGACCAAGACCAAGGTCAAGACCACTACCATTTGGAACAATGATGATGACGAAGATGACGACGATGACAATGAAGATGATGAGTAAACTCGGCCTCTTTACAAACAAAAAATCTCTTCAATCTCTACTACTGTCCATACATTTTATTTTTACAACGTACAAAACAATAAAGCCATACTCCATTTCATAATAATCTTAATTTAGTGTGCATAGCAACATCATTAAGCTTGATCTTGCATCATTTGTGGGCTTAAATGTTGTCTAGTGCTTATAAGCCTGAGGTAGTCAAGTCTATAAGATGCGTTTCATCCATTTTCTATTAATTGATAGAAAAATTATTATGTTTTCTCGAGTATACTCTCTTTTGCCATAAAACACATCAAACCAATCTCTGATTGATTTGGCTAGCTCAATCATTGGCTCGATTGAGAATTCAGTATAGAATGGCCAAATTATACAGTATTTCACATTCATGGTATGTTGGAGGTCTTTTGCATGTGCTTTAGCTCCAAAGGATCTTGACACTACCAGGCTCAAAATCATCAGTGAGATCCAAAAATTTTTCAGACCACCTTCTATCAATGCTGTTGCCTGGAAGGAACCAACATTCAGAAACTGTCACATAAGCAGAAAAAAAGTAAAATGTAATAATCCATTCTTTATCCACAGTTCCATACAAAAAAGTAGCATGTCCTCACTCACATCAGTTGGTGTTAGTAAGTAGCAGCCCAAACATAAGGCGATAAACGTATATACTCATTTGGTTTTCTGATTAGATAAAAACAAAAAGGGCTTTGCACCCAAACTAAGCAAACGTAAAGATCGAAAAGAGCGTAAACCAACTACTGCGTCCACTTCAGCAAAGGCAGCTACAGATGATCCTCTGACAACTGAAGCAGCTGCACCCTCCTTAGATGAGCCAGCATCTACACTTACAAGTAAAACTACAGATAACGATGCCATTGCACCACCACCATCAACAGTAGAAACCCAAATAGCAGTGAAAGTGCAATCTACATCAGTATTTGTGGAGGAAATCGCCTCACCCATTGATCCCAAAAGCGAATATTTGACAGCGGAAGAGATAGCTATTAATGCTGCTGTGTCAAGTCGAAAGAGAAGACGAGTCTCCAAGGAAGAGCCTGACAATATGTCACCCTCATCTCAGTCTCACAGCATCAAGGAACCCTCGCCAGTGCGTGAAGCTTCTCCTTCAGAAACCACAAACAAGCCAGATTGCACTTTCGACAAACTTCTCTTGAAAATTGAAAGCGTGTCATCAGATTCTAAAGAAACCTTAGGCCAAGTTGATGAAGAACCTCAGCAGCTCCACCAAAAGGATAATGTTGAAGAGCATGTGCGTGTCAGAAAGGAAAGCGTCGCTCCTAAAGTGGATAACAACGTACCCAAGATGGATGTTAACGATGATATCGACTACACCGATTTATTGGCCAGTGGAGAAGATGGCGATGTGGACGTAGATGGCGATGTTCCCGTTGAAAGGCTGATGCCTGTGTATATTGATATTGGTCAAACAGATCCTAACGCTACTCCAATGAATGGCGGTGAAAGCTCGACAAGACCAGCTACAAAGAGAACAAGTGCAAGATCATCTAAATTGGCTGCAAATAACAGATTGAAGGGAACCAGATATACATCGGGAGCAGAAGACGATGACGATCAATACGAAGAGGAAGCAGAAGAACCAGAGCAGCCCAAGAAGAAGAAGAAGATTAAGCCATTGAAGCCCAAGGGAAAAGGAAAAGAGAAAGAAAAGTCCATAGTCAAGGGCAAATCGAAAACAGGTAGTAAAGGCTCAAAGAAGGCTACTGGAACAGCCATTTCAATTGGCATTGGCATACCTTCAGCGTCAACAGCCGCACCTATTACACCCGCTGAAACAGCCGAGACATCTGCAGAGGAGGAGGAGTATTCTGAAGAGGACTCAAATGGCAACAGAGTAGTCAAGACCAGAAAGAAGAAGCGTAGAGGACACAAGAAATCTCACCGATTCGATTATCGTCTTGTTGAAAATATGAGAACCTTGGATGATATCACAAACGACCCTGCACCTGCTGCGAATCTTGAAATGCCCATGTTTAGCTTCACCAAGGATATAGATGGTATTGTCTCCAAAGTGTTCAAGGAGATGGAAGTCTTGCGATCAGAATCCAGAAAGAAGGACGAGGAAAGAAGCAAAATGTCAAAGGAGGAATTGGAAGCATTGAAACTAAAAGAAGCTGCGGAGGAGCGTATTGCCAGAGAAAAGAGAGATGCAGCCAAGGCAAAAGAAGAAGAGAGACGACGAAAAGAACTTGATGGGCAAGTTTTGGCAGAATCCTCAAACGCTTTGCAAGTGCGCCTTGTGAATGGTGAAATTGTGCTTGATACCGACTCGCTGGTAGTGGAAAGAACAGAAGGCCAAGTGAATTACGGCGATGATCCCATGGAAGTGGTTGAAGAAAACTCAATGACCAGAAAAGTGAACAGCATGACCTATGGCAAACGAAAGCAATCCAATCGGTGGGACGAGTTCGAAACAGCATTGTTCTATGATTGCCTTTCGCAGTTTGGCACTGATTTCGAAATGATTGCAAACATGATGCCTGGCAGAACTCGAAATCAGATCAGAATGAAGTTTAACAGAGAGGAGAGATTGTGTCCTGAAAAGGTGACTGAATACATGATCTCCAAACGAAAGCCAATGGGTAACTATGAGAATATGTAATACCATCTTGGTATCTTTACTAACTTTTTGGTAGATCTTGAAAAATACAAGGAGATGGCAGGCATTGAGTTAGAGGCAGTACCCGATGATTTCCATGAAATGCAACTGGCATGAGTGCAATAAAAATACTGTATTTACAAGTTGTTTGTTTTATTATCAAGAACTCATGATTTCGTAACCATTGCCTGGATAACACCTTCCTTTTGTATTTGGATGGCACGATTTTTTGGTGGAGGCAGAGGTGCATCAGCGTCTGTTTGAGTGGGTACAATAACGTGCTGATCAGGCAATATTCTACCTAAATAAATGAGCTTGACACGAGCGTTCTTTTCCAAGTGTGGTAATAATTCTTGTCGCAGTCCAGACACTGTTAAATAAGGAGGTTGTGTAGGTACTTGGAAAGTGATATCTTGCCCATTATACGAAAGTCGGACATATATTGGCCATGTTGTCGTTGTGGTGGTGGTAGGTGAAGCAGCAGCAGCAGCGTTTGACGATGTAACTGAAGAATTATTATCTACTTCCTTCAGCGAGGACTTTTCAATATTACTTTGCGAATGTAGAGATGAGGATGCTCTTGTAATTGTCACTTCTGGCTTATTCATTTGAACTGGAGAAAAGCGGATGGCATTAATATGACAAATCTTCATGTTAGTAAATCATTGTGTGTGTCATTTACTTGGAGATGGCTGCTGCTGCTGCTGCTGCTGTTGTTGTGTCTGTGTTTGTGTTTGTATTTGTCTGTGGTTGTCGCTGGCAGCAGCAGTGGTAGTAGCAGTTCCACTGGTGGCATTTAACCCAGTATTTCCATCGTCATTTGCAGGTACCGAAGAGCAGCAACCCATGATTTTGAGCTTTATTCAAGTACAAAAAAAAAAAAAAAAAAAAAAAAAAAAAAAGAGAGAAGAGGAAAAGAATAAACAGTGTGATACCATATGCCTATTTTATAAGTGTGTGTGTGTGTGTGTGTGTTGTTTGTGTCGAGAGAATAATTTCCAATTTGGATGTCTGCTCCAGTCACATTCGAATCATTCAGGCATCCTCATGGTCTTCCTCGAGCACTATTAAAATGCGTAGGTATTAATGCATTGTTCCTTTTACGTGTACAACTCCATTGGATCACATACATTCTTGATGGTCATCGCTTGTTCTATTGACCCAACTATCCTTGCTCAATCTGTTCTTGATGAAGGATGAAAACAACAAGAATTCAAACACGATGAATGAATCAATGGAAAGCTGAATTGCGCCGCAGGTGATGAATTGCAGTGGTGATTGTTTATAGATGAAATAAAACAGCTTGAAGCTATCACCTAGAAACTGTATTGCAATTTATCAGTCAATACCGATCCATTCATCCAGCAAAAGCGCTATACAAACCCATGATGCTAATACCAACAAACTGAATCCACTGGTGGATCTTTGTTTGAAATTGGATATACATTGCGGTAATGGCAATGTCGATTCAATGCCCAAACTTAACGCACCCAAAATCTCGATAAATGCAGCATACTGTCTCAGCAGCAAATACAAAAATGCAATGATAGTTGTGAAGGCAAGCAAGCAATTGATGTAGTCCAAATAATGATCCCAGCTCCAAAAGGGCATACGCCATGATCGCTTAAGCGAATGTCTTTGAAGTCCCAATCCATTTTCCTCTGCTCTCAAATCTTCCTCTATTGAATTTGAACTGAAGGATGACCTCAGTTCACTATACAGAACTGCAAAGCTATGGTCATGCTTATATCGCACTACAATCTCCAGCAAAACCAGCATGGTGATAATCATTGCAATAGATTGGAAAAGCAGCGTCAATTCAAATCGTTTGCCTATCCTACAACACAGAAACCTGTTTAGTTTTGCTTCATTTCAAGTTGTGCTTGATCATTCTCTTGTTACCAGAAGAATATTCTAAGGATACTGCATGTACGATAGAGTTAGTCAATGCTGAAATCAGTGTCTGTGCAGTCATTTACTTTGCAAACAATAGAATGGCACAAGTCATCGAGTTGAAGCCAGCACTTGATTGTTTACGTTGTATGAGAAAATACTAATGAGGGTGTAAAGAGTTGAACAGGAGAATCAACACGTTGGACTATTGTCTTCTTACCTGATCAATGTAGCCCACCACAGGGCCAATCACCATGGCTGTCGACAGTGCAACAGAAGCTATGTCTGGCATGATTATGTTAAAATGATGGTACTAGAGAAAAATGAAATGTGGTGTGGCAGAACGAAAGTCTTATCTCCGTATTTAGCATCAGTCTTTTAAAGAAGGTAAAAGTGTTTATCCTAAAAAATGTGAATGCTCGGCAAGACATTGTTTGGATCCATGATGAAAAGTTTAAATATATTCAACAAATGCTTCTTTGAGTATTCGATGAAACCTTGAAATCGGGTGTCTTTTGGCAATGTGATATGTTTTTACGCCTTGGAAAAATACTGAAATTTGGTAAGCCTGACAAAATAGCAATGTAAATGGACCTGCGGTTGGCCAGTATCTCCTCTCCTCAGAAAGCGCTACTTCTGTTGACAATGGTTTCGGTGAGTTTCCTCGTGCCTTCTTTTTATCCAATATCATAACATAGTAAATTTATGTTCTCTAGACATTTACAAAGCCTCAAAAAGGAGAGAAGTTGATCTTACAAGTATTTTGGTGGGCTGGGGTTATTAAATATAAAGCTTCTAAAAAATGGCATAACTAATGGTAGAACTATGTAATTCGCCACCTGCTTTTCATTAGCTTCGAAAGCATCTATTATTGCCTTCATGGTAAGAGGAGCTTGAGTTTATCAGCTTGCTCCACTAGTCGCCAGCAAAATGAATTCCGATTCAAGATCATAGTCAGCTCTAGATTGGCCAGATTTCAAAATTTTTTTGACCTGATTAATATATTTTATCATATTCGATTATATAAACCTGATGATCATTCTATACATTTTTAAGCTTTCTTGGAGTGCTTTTCAAGGCGCATCTAATGGTACCAAGTAAAATAGATGTTTAGAGTAAATCTTTTGAAAAATCCTTTGAAATATGAAATGAAGTTTTTGGCGAATATGTCGAGATTCTAAATATGAAGGTCTCGCAAATAACGTTGCAGGGGTTGCTTTGGATCGACAGAAGCATTTTGAACTAATATAAGCCATAGTAAAAGTCTTCATTTTGAATATGAAAAACACGATCGTTTAATTTTCGATGAAAGCCATGAGGTACCCCTCATGGTTTTGGTTCGATTTTGGTCTATGTTTTTTTGGTCCCAAAAAAATTGAGTAAAGGTATCAAGTAGTAAATACTAGACGACAGCAATTATCTGGTGCTGCTCCGGCGGTCTAAAACGGCTTCTAACGCAATAAATCAAGTCGAAATGCATCAATTTTTGCTTTACTAGGTACACTCTTGACTAAAGAGGTTGATATCCGTATGCTGCTACTTGCCCGTATATGAAGTATTTAGGTGTATACGGAGGATATGAAACAACATCGCAAGAGCCAGATCTGCAGATAATAGAAAGGTCTCTCATGTGTAAGTAGAGGAGAGTTAAATGAAAGTAGCAGTAATTTGAGAAGATGAGCAAGGGCATTCAGTAGTGCAAGCTGCTGTTGTGTAGGTTGGTTCTTACCGAAGTGAAACAAGGAAGGTAAAGAGTCGCCCGAAAGGTAGGTCCACTCGTTAGTAGGATAAAAGAAAATTTGTGGTTGCTTCAAAGTTAGGCCACAATTCAATACTTTGTGTAGTAAACAGTGCTTAAAAAAAGCAGATAAAATACTAACTGTGCAAATCCTTTTTTATTCGAAATTAGAATAATGTGTAATAAAGCCTATATTCTACGTCTCTATTTGTATTATTTTTTAATTTATATCTCTTATCTGGCAGTAGGTTAGTAGCTGCCAGTGGTTCCAATATTTTGTATAGTATTCCTGGATTATTTAATTGTTGATCTAATAGATCAAGAACGGTATTTCAATATATGGTGTAATGAAATAGCCACCCAAACGCAGCTTGATTGAAAGCCGAGATTCATCAATGATGAATTCGTAATAATAAGTCGATGATAATAATCAGTTGTCAAATGTATCTAAAAACGAAAGCAAAGAGCTTCTTTATTACAGGGCATCTAGCTTGCTTAAATATGGTAGATCCCTGGTCAATGACTACTACGTTGAGATGGTATATAAATAGCAGGCCACTGGGGCCTTATGGATTGTTGGTATAGCTTGTTGAGAGGCCACCTAAGTCGATATGTTTCATGTAGTGTAGGTGGATCTCGATATCTTGACATTGGGGAGATTGAATGTATTGTAGTTCCTGAGGCACCTGTGCACACACAATTGACTGGACTTGTAAACATAGATGTGATGTGATACGATAAACATCATCTATGCTGCTACACTGTAAAAGGTGGCTTGAGGAGAAAGTGAATGTAGCCTAAGATGCATGCTTGTATGCAACATGACTTTAGATTTTATCCATTTCGCTACCCTTTTATTACAAACATAAACTCATTATAAATGACAGCTTAATAGAAAATCAACTAACTAGAATCCTTCGATCCCTGAACCTCTGAGCCAATCAAATTGCTTGAAAACTCCGCTGACCTAAAAAAAAATTTGCGAGGGTTTCCCCCTGTTTTGATGTGAGGCAAAATTTTAAGCGCCGCTATAATAGCTATATAGCCACCGCTATCATCAAACTTCCCTCAGGTGCTAGAGCATGCCTTACTTACACCACCTAGCTTTAAATACTGGCATTGAGACCCTCAATCATCACTAAAGTAAGTAGAGATAACCAAGTGGAGGCAGCCTATCTACCTCCTAGCCTCGGATAGAGTCTTGTTGAGCTTCAGGGATAGGCACATCCACACAACGTAAAAAAAGTAATGCTTCAAAGAAACATAATAGTAATAAAAGAAACATACTACAATAGGAGTATAGTAGTACGTAGGCAAAAAAGGGATACTCACACAAAATGAGTCAAAGAAAAGTATAAGACACACAACATCAAAGACGTTCAGAACAGCTCGTTGTTGTTGTTGCAACAAAAACCCATACATGAGCAACATGCATGGTAATAGTCGGATGTAAAGCAACACAACCAACAAAAGAAAAAAAACGCAACAAAGTAAACATCATGAATGCATTATCATGAGAAAGGAAGCAATAATACAAGCGTTCAAAGAAGTTTTATATCATTGCGACCAGAAGAAAGAAGATACTTACCACTTATCACCACCGTCGATAATAGACCAGAAGAGGATACGCAATCACCGAATATAAACCAGAGAACGAGCATGTACCAAAGACAGTAGACCAAGAAAGACCATAGTAGCAGCAGCAGCAGTAACACCAGCACCATAGACAAACCAAAAAAAAAAACGAGCGACACCAGAGAACGAGCATGCACCAAACACAGTAGAGCAGGAAAAACCATATTAGCAGCAGCAGCAGCAGCAGCAGCACCAGCATCATAGATAAACCAAAGTACGAATACTACCAGTAGAGACTAGATAAAGACCAAAGAAGTAATCGCTAGATATGATAAATTAAAGACGTAGATAATAGAGATACCAGAGAAGTAATGGCAGCAGCACTCACTAAAACAAGCAAAAAATCATTAAAACCTAATAAACTCAATTAGTGTTAATTCTACGCCTTCCAGTGCTCGTTATCGAATAGTATCTAATATATTCCACTTTAAAGAAGCAGTATCAAGTTCTTCCAACAGTACAAGACAAAGTTATCGGAAGCTAGAGTGTTATTATCAGTCAAACGGTGTCCAAACCCACCATGGTTTGATACCAAAACGCGTTTTTCAAAAAGGGTAAAAATGGGGGCAGGGAAAAATGAGAGAGCAACCTATCCGACGTCACGACCAGTAGATTTAGTCTCAGTCTTGTACCGTAGCAGACGTAATTGCGGTAGTTTAATTTGAAATTATGCAGTGGTATTTCGTGTTCAAACTTGACTTGATCTGACATCCTTTAAACGTTTTTGCTGAATTTGACTATGAAAACTGTCGTTGTCACACCCAACTTTCTAATACATCTCTAGAGAACTAAAGAAAACCGCATCGAATGGTGCTAAATACTCTCAGCTTTCAGACCAAAAATAATGAGCAATTTCCAAAAATATGAAAACAGGTTTTCTGTGAATATCTCAAAATTTAGCATATGAAAGTCTCCTAGAAAGAGTTTCCAATGTTGCATTTCACCTTTACAATCAATTTGATCTTATATGTATCATAGGAAAAGTCTTCACTTTTGACGTGAAAAACGCGATCATTTGATTTTCAAGAATTTTCCCTTGCTAATACTCATGGAAAAATGATGATTTTCATGAATTTGCAACAACCCAAAAAAAATTGAGATAAAGCATCAAGAAGTAAAGCGTGGCCAAGAGGAGGTGTGTGATGCTATTCCAAGCGCTCAAAACGCTTTGTGGCATGAGTTATTCGTGCTTGAAAATGGCTAGATTTGAACAGAATTTGACCTAAAACGACGGCGTAGTGGGTTGCGTTGCCAGAAGAGTAAGTAAATTACACTTCTGTCTAATGACGCAGATGTCCTGCATTGTACAGAACTTAATTTACAAGTAATAGACGCTTTTATTCTAATTCCAAGGCTCAGATCTTGCTTTTTGAAATGCGCGATTACAGTAATCTTGATACTTGAGCGTCAGTAATATTATGCAAATTTGAAGCTAATGACTTGTTCGGATTGAATTAGATGCTCATCAGGTTAGCAGGATATTTTTGATGGTCGTCCACTACAAAGATGTCATATCTAGCCGTAAAACTAGACTTAGATGTTATGTCAAAATACAATGTAAAATTGAATATAAATCTGCCAAAGAATTGCCCTTTTATTGAGAATGCATCCTTGGGATGCGTTTATATACTTTTCATTATGTTAAGGCTCACAGAATGATGATAAACTATAATACAAATAGATTTACTGTCTATCCAAAAATTGATTTGTAAATCATGATTAACATGACTTATCCGAAGGACCTAAAAATAGTCAAAAAACGTCAGTGTGAGACCTTGCTATGACATTTGATACAACAATACTGTCCACTGTAACGTAAAAATGGACAGTGTTATGAATAGTGTTATGGACCCTGCCCTGAACAGTGTCCTGGACATTGTGCACGCGCGTATATCCCCCGCGTTAAGAGGTGTTTGAAGGCTTTCAAAAAGGGGTTACTTTTAATAAATAAGACTTGTGCTTGAAATCAGGAAAACGCCACTGTTTTTTATTCACTTCAAATATTATAACAATGTAAACAAGCATTCCCGTCGAACCGTACACTCCTATACCTAGAGAACTTACCGTACCTGTAGATCAACTGGAAAAGAACGTTGCTAGCTCTATCAGAAAGCATGCGGTCAGTTGGATCTATAAACGCCGAGTTGAGTATCCATCACCAACATCTCAACCCAAAGCAAATCAAGGAAATGCACGCAAGCAACAGAGATTTCATCCAGAGATGTGGTATCAGGAGTACGTTTGCCATATGGAGGGCGAAAAGCATATTCGAGAGAAAAAAACACTGGCAAGAATGGCGCGTCCAAAGAAGTATTGAAGCGATCCAAGAAACAAGGGTGTACAGCCAATTTGAAAACAATTGTGTACAAGTGAGGCCCCACCAAAGTAATATAAGAGCCAGGAGGAGGAGGAGAGGGGATATCTACCTCAGCATCCTTTTTGTTTCTACACTGATATCAAACGAAGCCTATTATTGAGACGACGTGAAAGAAAATTCAAGTTTTATGCAGCCTTTGTACACCACAATCTTTGTTTTCTGGTAGTAGAATTGTCATACCATTCGCTTCTGCTGATGCGCTTAATAAGATGGCGACATAAAGCTGGTCATAAGTAAATACAGGACTTGTGTAAGATCTACAGCGACTTTTTTTTTGAGATATTGCCATTGCAGAAGGTATCTTCATGAGGCAAAACTCCCCCAAAAACTTATTTGCGCTAAGCAATTGTCCTTTCAATTTCATGATCCCCATTTAATCAGCATCGCAATCATCATTGTCATCAACAGAAACGCATAAAGGTTAGCCAACAGCAATGCCGCCGCCAAAATTAATTCATACTCAGATTTTTTTATGTTCAAGATTGGACAGAATTTGTCTTTTTTCGACTTCATAAATCTATTTTGTGACATCCGACTATATAAACTGCAATGATCACCCTACACTTCCTAATACATTTCCTCGCTTTATAAAAGATCGATCCAAGTATATCGCCATCATATCTACTACCTTATGGCAAATGTGGAATCTGTATTGGCTTCACGGTTCACAGAGCCCTGTACCACTCTCCACCGCCTCCATAGAACACGTTTCCTCCAGGACAGTCTGTCTAATTGATAGACTGCTACCTACTACAACATAATTTAGATTAGATGCTCATTCTGTTGCTCGAGGTCCACCACTCCGCGATGTGTCCCTCATAAAATAATACTTGAATAAAAACTTCCTAATACATTCTTGAAGTACTTTTCAAGGCGCTTCCAATAGTACTAATTGTAATAAATACTTTGACGGAACTTATTGAGCAATTTAATAAAATTTGAAATGAGGTTTTTAGCGAAAATAGCCATATTTTGCAAAAGAAAACCTCATAAAAGTGGTTTCAGAGGTTGCTTTGGATCGAGAGAAATATTTTGATTTAGTATCATAACATAGTAAAAGTCTTCATTTTCAAGGTGAAAAATGCGATCGTTTAATTTTCGATGAAAACCATGAGGGGTTCCTCATGGCTTTTCAGCGATTTTTGGCCATGTTTTTTTTTGACCCAAACAGTTGAGCAAAGGTATCAGGAAGTAAGTACTAATCGAGAGCAATCGTTTGGTGTCACTCCAGTGACTCAGAGAGGTCTACATGTCAAGATATGAAGGCCTGTTACAGTATATATATAATGATTGTGTGGGGATTGAGGGGTGCAGTTTTACAGGGTAGACAAGGCCTTCATCGCAAGCAATATCATCATAACCAGCATCATGAACATCTGCATCTGCATCACCAGCAGCCATATCGTCAATAGCAGCAAGTTCATCAGTGGGTGAAAATCCAATTATCAATCTGCCAATCGTTGTTTGCCTCATGTTGAATGCAGAAAAACTACCCCGTACGCCGTTGTTGAGTGCGGTGCATATGTCAAACCCAAAGCTACTGATGAATCCAACACTTGGAGATAGTTGCAAAGGATCATTTCATGCAATATTAGAGTAGAGGAGCTGGTGTTCTTTCAAATGTTTGTTGGTGGTTTCGGCACGAACAGATACAAGCCTGGTTGATGAGATGGAAATACGTTTGATAACAGAGTCTGTAAGGGAATCTTCAACCTTTCGATGCAATCTACCAACCTACATCTTGAATGAGTTTCCTGATTCCTTCTTTTTTGTAAAAAAGGGAATATTTAGCCTTTTAGAGTGTGGATAAACCAATGGCAATATAGCCGAAATCGACGTCAGCTCTATTTTATGGTGTCGCAAAAACAAAGACAATTGAAAGCTTTTTTCTTCGTTTTCAACATTCCCTCAAATAACATCTAATCACTAATTTAAGCATTATGAGCGTAGCAGGCTCAACATCTTCGCAAGGAACGACGCACTCACGCTCACCTTCAAGGTCTCGCTCTCCACCGTACAGCGATGGCCGATATCCACCGTCGTCAAGCAACTCTAGATATCGTTACGAATACAGCAGTTATCGACCTCCTCGCAGTGGCATGTCTGTCGATTTGGATAATTACAGAGATTTGCGTGATAGAGAACGTGATCGTGAAAGAGACCGTGATCGTGAGAGGGATCGTGATAGAGATAGATCCATGTTAATGAGAGACGACAGATATATGAATCCTCGTGGAAGAGAAAGAGACAGGTAGGCAATTGTCCTTGGATGGTCTAGAGGCAACGACTTAGAACGGTTTATTAGGGATGATAGATACACGCCCTATTACCGAGAGGATCCTCATCATTATGCACCATCATCATCTTCCAGCATGATGCCCAGAGATTATCCCAAAATATCGACAAACCCACTTCGTCGTGAATGTACAGTTGCCCTTTGTAATGCAGTAGAGATCACACACAACTTAACCCATTGAAAAATTCTGTAGTGAGCTCATCAGATCCAACAAAAGATTCAAAACTACCATCTTCCTCCAGCTCAACAAGTGTGAAAGATATAAAAGACGACACGAAACCTCCAGTGACACCTACCGGTGATGGACCGCCACCTTCATCTAATTATCCACCCCCACCGCCATTATCAAGTCGATACAGTGATTGGCGTGATAGAGATCGTGAACGAGATCGAGACAGAGAGAGAAGATACAGAGATGATGATCGTCGCCGAGACTATGATAGACGACGAGATGGGTAAATGATGAGAGAGAGAGATACAACAGCATGGAAACAGCCTTATTGACACAATCACCTTTTTTTTTTTAGGTATATGCGTGATATGAGATACGAATCATCTGGCTATGGCGCACCGCCACCCAACTACCAAATGGCTCCTTACGGTGGTGATTCTTACCGACCTGAAAGAGACCGAGATAGAGACATTCCACCATCCCCCAGCTCACATCTTCCCTATTACGAACGAGATCGATTAGACGACCGTGACTATTACAGCAGAGGTCTAAGAAGCAGTGGCCCCAGCAGCTCCATTGACTATGATCGTTATCGCTCTTCGGGCAGAAGTCGACCCTCATGGGGACCCAGCAAAATGGATGACAGCAGACGCATGATGGATCGTGATAGACCTGAAAGGATATCCACCAATGTTGAAGTTCGCAGTGGAAGAACATCACCTACATCAGCTACGACAGCCACTTATGCCGCTGCTGCTAGTCTGTCTGCCGCAAAAGATCGCTCATCCGACGTTTTTAAAGTGGACGACAAAAAGGAAGAGTTGGAGCCACGCACTAGTGCTGAATCAAGTAATTAAACGACATGATGTTGGCTTGGGAATCAATTTGCTAAAATGGAGATAATTTGTAGATGTATCACCTATTGAGAAGCCATCCACCACAGCTGCAATTCCTGAGGAAATATCATCAAAGGCAGATAATTCAACAATCTCCACTTCTGTTGCCGAAACGATCACATCAAACAAAGAGGATGTGCTTGAAAAGGGTGAAGTCATTGAAGATGATGTCAAACTTCCTCCGCCAAAGCAAAGAGAGAGCATGGATATTGAGCCTCAAGAAGTACCTGCGGCAATTGATGATGGGCCACCAGAGGAAACTCCAAGCAAACAGCCACCGGCATCCACGACTGCAGTAGAGAAAGAAGATGCAGTAGGACGATCAAAATCTCCTGAACCCATGGAGGTCGATTCGGAATTACCACCTTCCGCAAAAACTGAACCCACTGCAGCAGATCAGCAGCCAGAGGAAAAATCAACAGAAAAAACAGAGCAGGTCTCGTCTACAACATCCACCTCTCCAGCACCAACAACTGCTGTGACAACGCCACCTCCCATGAAGATTGCACTTCCACCACAAACACTTGAAATGGAGCAAGATCAAGAGGAAAAGGAACAAGGCGAGACAGCGACAGCTGCCCCACAAGAGGAAAAATCAAACAGTTTGACGCAGGAACAAATTGTGGAACGCATTGATGACATTGAGAATCAAATCTCGACATACGAAGACATGCTTGAGGCAGCACTAAAGCGAGAAGAAGAGAAAGCCAATACGGCTAATAATGAGGAAGAAGAAGATGTTGAAATGGCAGACGACGAAGATGAAAATGCAGAAGAAGAAGCGGCTCAAAACAAGGAAGAAGCTAAGAAACAGGCACTGCAAGCCATGGAAAACGAGCCTTCTTCATCCAACGGTACAGCAGACATGATGGACTTTTCAGACGTCTCTTCTCCTATCATGCGTAAACGACCACAGCTCCTCATCAACCAACTGCGCTCCAAGAACGACCATTTGGAAGATGAACTGTATGAAAAGATTCTGCAAGACAATCGTACCGTAGCTCAGCACAATTCGCGAATGGTTGATGGTATCTGGCAAGGCAAAGAGGAAACCGCTGAAGGTTGGCTTGACCAAGACACATGGTCCAAACCTCTGTATGCGCGTATTGAAGACTATCCCTGTTACAAGGAAAACATTGCCAACTTTGCAAAGTTGCAGATCAGTGTCGCTCATGCGCTGGTGTCTCAGGAAAAGGCACTCAAGGACAAGGAACGCCGTTTGAAGGCAGAATACCGAGAACACTACAGGATTTGGAAGCAAAAGAACCTGTACTTAGATCACAGACGTGAGGATGAGCGTAAGCGACTCGACAGATACAACGGACAGCGCGCCAATTCTCGGCATCGCGGTAAAGATGAGCCTGAAGAGTACAGTGATAATGTTATTTTTGTGCCTGGTGCTGCTGACGCACTGCGTTTCAAAAACGATGGTGCCTCTACGCCTTACGGTAACGGTTATTTCACTTCAGATGCTGTTCGGTCAGAGGCGGAATTGCTAGAGATCATTCAGTCCCTGGAGTCCGCCGAGATGAGAAACCCTGAATCTCGTGCCAAAAAGACAACAGCCACCATCCCACCCATGATTTTGGATTCGCGTGAACGCATGCGCACCTATGATGATCGCAGTGGCCTTGTGGAAGATCCTCTTACCTACTACCATACGGGCCCTGATACCGGTGATGTCTGGAACCAGCAAGAAGTCACCACCTTCATGGAATCATACATGATGTATCCCAAGCAGTTTGAACGTATCTCGATTGCTATTGGCACAAAGACAGCCCCTCAATGTGTCTTGTTTTATTACCGTAAAAAGAAGAAGATTGATTTCAAAGCATTGATGAAAAAGGGTCGTAGGGGGAAGGCCACCAAGCACAGAGACAGGATAGCTGCAGCTATCCGTGCTGTCACTGGTGACTCTGCTGCTCCTAATACACGCAAGGCAAAGAGTAAGGGATCTGCTCTTATGACGGATATCGGTGAAGCACAAGTATCAAGAAAGGCCAAGGAAAAGGACGCTGAACGCAGAAACAGAGAGCGCCGTGAATTGGATCCATCCAGCGCGAGTTACGAAGGCCTCACTGAGAGAAAGCGATCCAAGCGACCTACTAGCAACAGTGCCAATGTGTCTGTTCCTCCTATTTCAACGCCTATCGTTCAATCAGGTGCTGCAAGCAGTGCTTCTGATGACACTGAGATGGTGTTGAACCAACAGCAGCAAGACAAGCGTCGTACTAATTCTGGATCAACCGCTATTTCTGCTCAACGCCGTAAAGGTCGCTCTTCACGGGAACCCACTCAAGTCACTACAGTCAATGATGTACCTATAGTCTTGCCTGCTGAACCCACTGCTACCAAACGTTATGTGGAAGATCTTTCCAATGCAGCTACGGCCGAAGACGATGACGATGAGAGAGCCAATTTGTCGTCCGGTGCAAGTGTGTCTGGCGGTGGATCTACCAAATGGTCAGAACGCGAAAGGGAGATGGCTATCGAGGCATTTAAACAGTATGGCCGTGATTTTGTTCAAGTGGCCTCATTGATTCAGACGAAAACAGAGGAACAGTGTCGCAATTTCTATCACAACTTTAAGCGTAGATTTGGTGCCAATGCGTTCAATGAAGAGCATGCGCGTCCAGTGGAGCCCACGCCTGCACAGTCAGTTCATACACCATCTACTGTTACTGCTCCAGCACCGATTGTCACTTCGCCCATACAAACTGCAGTTCATAACCAAGTAGTCGCTTTGAGTGGACGAACCGATCTTAAAGCCGAAGAAGAAGATGCAGCTGCAGCTCTTGTAGGCATGTTTCAAATGGGAGCCAACACACCTCGAGAAGAATCGAATCCGGTATTGACATCACGATCAAGAACATCCAGCAGCCATGAAGAAAATGCTGCCCCCATGAACAGTGCACCTGCTATTGCTGCAGTAGCAACTGCAATTGCTCCTCAACCTGCTGTCATAGCTACTAGTAGCCATTCTACACCAAGTACCTCGTCGCTGTCTTATATGACCCCTAGTCAGCTTCAACAACAACAGAGGAGACGTCGCGTGCGATCCACATCCAGTCGATCAGAAAGTGTACATGAGGAAGCCTCCTCCTCTGATTGGCCAGATTCTGATTATGCAGCTAGATCAGTCCCTAGTGCTGGTGCTGGTCGTAAGCTGGGTCGCTCTGCTACCTTGGCAGATGCCAGACGTCCCACTTACTCTTCGTATTGGTCTGTTTCTGAACGAAACGAGTTTTCTAGGTACCTGGCCATGTATGGTAGAGATTGGGAAAAGGTCGCCAATGCAATGAAGTCAAAAACCATGATTCAAGTGCGAAATTTCTATGCCAACAATGAGGAAAAGTTGAATTTAAGGGAATATGTGAATCAGTATGAAGCACGTCAACAGCAGCAATTACAGCAACCACCACCCGATGTCGTGCCACCACCACCACCACCTCATCAACGTGATATTGCTCCTCCATATGATACAGGTGCGGCAGCACATTTCCAAGCACTTCAAAACTTTCCTTTTCCTGCGCCCATACAAGATCAGACACCATCACCACGATTGGCATCGTCTTCACCTCAAGTGCCTAGCCAAGTACAACACATCAAGCCCAGCAACAGCAGTAAGGGCTCACCTTATATGATGAATCGCACTGGCTACATGTCTGCATCGACGCCTCCACCGCCTAGTAGAATTGCTCCATCTTCATCTTCATCGTCGCCTTCTGAACCTGTGTATTCCAATAGCCCTCGGGTTAATTATACTGCTACATCTGCTACTCGACCTATTGCACAGGCACCATCACAGCCGCCACAGCCATTGTCATCGCATCCACCGCATCATCATCTACACCAACAGCAACAGCAGATACCACCACAGCCATCACAGCCTGCTGCCGTGGAAGCACCATCTGCTGTCACCAAAGTGGCAGACCTGCTCAATAACAATGATGATCCAGCTGAGCCTAGTCAAAATAGCTGGGAGACCTGGTTTGGAAGTTAGTTTGCTCTCCCCTCTTTTCAATTCTTTTTTTGTATTATATATATATATATTATTACTCTTCTTTCTCTTTTTACAATTGATTGTTTCTACATATTATCGTTTAATATCATCCCCTTATGTAGTTGATTTTTCAAAATACAATAAAAAAATCTTCTGTACTATTTGACAACATCCTCCCCCCCCCCCCACTCGATGGCAAAACGCATATTCAAGGAGATCACGCACACAGAAACTTTCTCCTGGTCTTTCTACAAGACTACTGTTTCTTTGGCCCCCTTTTGTATCCCCTTATTAAAAAGAAAACTCTAATGAAAAAATAGGAGTGGATTCAACATGCTCTTTTATGCTTGTATATCTTGTAGCAATTGAGCTGCTTCTCTTCTTGTTTTTTTTTTATTCTAAATATTTGCTTCTCAACATGGATGCTTCAATAAAGTCGCCGTCGTCTTATGGCACGCCACATTTCTCCCGCATTCGATCCTTCTTTTCAGCCAGCAGATATGATAGCAATCACCACTCGACAAGCAGTACAACCATCCACGGCTTTAGCATGCCCAATGATTTTGGTGATTTACAGCATCAAAAGGGTCTCAAGAGCAACAGCTGGTTCTCATCATCAGTATCTACCATTGTAAACAAGAGCAGCAACAGCAGCAGCAGCAACAGCAGCATCACAAGCCATAAATCACCGCCACCCACACCTGCCATTCCTCCTTCTAGTACTATCGTTATCGGTGACACGATTAAAAAGCCATCTCCTTCTTTATATACACTCGACCGCAAAGTGCTATCGGCCACAAAGAACATGCATCGACGCTCTTATGCCGCCAACAGTGTCAAGATCAGACAGGTGGAAGTAGGTCCCAGCAGTTTCTCCAAGATCCGTATGCTGGGTAAAGGCGATGTTGGTCGAGTGTATCTTGTCAAACAAAAGGGCACCGATAAAACCATGGCTATGAAGGTGCTTTCCAAAAAGGAGATGTTGCGAAGAAACAAGGTGAAACGAGTGCTAGCAGAGCAAGAGATCCTGTCAAGCGCCAATCATCCCTTCATTGTGTCATTGTATCATTCATTTCAGAGTCAGGATCATCTGTACTTTGTCATGGAATACTGTCTTGGTGGCGAATTCTTTAGAGCATTGCAGTCAAGGCCTGGAAAATGTCTGACGGAAGAAGGCGCTAAATTCTACGCTGCAGAAGTCATTGCTGCTCTGGAATACCTTCATTTACAGGGATTTATTTATAGAGATTTAAAGCCTGAAAGTGAGTGGTGGTGGTGGTGGTGGTGGTGATACATATGTGCTTGAGTGTAATTAACAATTAAGCTAGATATATTATTACATCAAAGTGGACATCTCATGCTCACCGATTTCGATCTGAGCAAGCAATCATTTCCACCTGCTCCACCCGGCATTGTAAAATCAAATTCTCCTCATATTGTAAGTTGGACACAGTCATGCCATGTAGCATTTGCTAACATCAGCATGAATATAGCCGCCTTCCATTGACACCAAATGCTGTAATTCACATCTAAGGACCAACAGTTTTGTTGGCACAGAAGGTAACAGCCTCATTGATATACACATATATCGTTTACTGACTTGCTCTCAAGAATACATTGCTCCAGAAGTCATTCGCAGCTGGGGCCACTCAAGCAGTGTGGATTGGTGGACGTTGGGTATCTTGATCTACGAAATGCTTGTAAGTTCATCTCCCTAGAAAATGTATTTTATCAGTGTACATGTTCTCCTTTTATTAAACTCTGTTTTTTTTTTTTTTTTTTAGTATGGTACAACACCCTTCAAGGGGTCGAATCGCAACGAAACTTTTTACCACATTATGAATTCAGACATCAGCTTTCCTCCAGCACATAAAAAGCAACCGCAGGCGGTTTCCAACACATGCAAAAACCTGATACGTCGTCTACTGGATAAACAAGAGGCTAAAAGACTGGGAACCAGAGCAGGTGGTGCTTCTGAAGTGAAAGCGCATCCCTTTTTCAAGTCGCTTAAATTTGCTTTATTGCGACATATGACTCCGCCTATTGTGCCTGGTGCGACGGCACCATCCACCTTCTATCGCCCACCTCCTTCCCAGCACCATCTCAATCAAAAAGACACTAGCTTGGATCTGGACGCAGATGAGGCAATCTCAATCACTGCTCATGGCGAGTTTCAGAGCCTGCATGTGCAGGATCCGTTTGCCAAGTTTAATTCAGGTTTGTGTTACGGTTGATCTTTGCTAGTGATGATGATTAACCTGTCTGATCCTACAGTGACATTGTATCATGAAGGCGACTCTGATTCAGAGACAATTGCTCTCAGTAGCGATGATGAAAATGACGGTGATGTCGAAAATGAAAAGTTTTAGCATACCTTATTAATAAAAAGAATGCCTGTACATAGTCTCCCAACCATTTGCTAGCTGATGATGGTGTTGAAACACACGGATAAAGATTTCTGGCTGCTGGCATCTACCATTTGACAAGTTATTACTCATATTAATGCTTTAAATTTATTCAAACCCAATCAGAATCAATCATTTGAAGCTTGATTGACCATGGATAGAACTTCTTTTTTCCCTGTTTCCTTGTTATACAGCTGAACCAAATCATCACAACCACTGTGGCACAGAATTAGAAATGGAATCACCTCTCGAATTACAAAATTATGTTACTACTGATGTAACAGACAAATCTACAGTTTCTAATTTCAGACTTCAAGTGGAAGATTTGGCTTTTGGCTCGGTATGTTTTCAATATGGCGACTCACTGTACATGGCATAACCAGCATGGTGTGATTTTTTAGATTGCTGGTATGGTAGGCAAAGTCGTTGAATACCCTTTTGATACTGTCAAGGTGCGACTTCAAACGCAGTCTGTTGAGAATCCGTTGTTCAAAGGTCCTATGGATTGCTTGAAAGCAACTGTAAAAGAAGAGGGTACCAAAGGACTCTTCAAGGTAAGCATAATTTGGCAAATGGGCAGCATATACTTACTGTTAAACTTGGAAACAGGGCATGTCATCTCCCATTGTAGGCGCCATGTTGGAAAATGCCATTCTTTTCGTGGGATATCGACAAATTCAACGACACATTCGAGAGATATCACCGCCAGTACAGACACCAACCACAGTGCTAGATGACAATGGAGAAGTGCCATTGACATTCAACCAATTGGCATTAGCTGGAGCTATTGCAGGATCATTGGTGTCTGTGGTTTTAACGCCTGTAGAGCTGATCAAATGCAAATTACAAGTGCAACATATGTTGGGATCAACACAGTTTAATGGACCGTTGGACTTGATCAAGCAAACGTACCGAGCACAAGGCATAGCAGCATTTTATCGTGGGTTTATGCCGACATTTGTGCGTGAGACTGGCGCCAGTGCATTTTGGTTTGGTGCGTACGAGTATACATGTGCAGCATTGATAAAGCGTCGTCAAGATGCCGTTGTGGACACTGGCACGGTGATATCCAAGAAGGATTTGAGTGCGCCCGAGCTCATGCTGGGTGGTGCCATGGGTGGCATTGCGTATAACCTGTCCTTTTTCCCTGTGGATGTGGTCAAATCAAGAATGCAGATTGAAAAAGGTGGCCTCCATGCTAAATACAAGTCGTTTACACAAATCTCTAAAGAAATCTATGCTGGTGCAGGTGTGAAGGGATTCTATCGTGGATGTGCCATGACAGCAGCCAAGAGTGCACCAGCCAATGCCATTATTTTCATGACCTATGTAAGTGTTCTTTTCTACAGCGTATAAAGCCCATACTCATGTGCCCTTTCAATGTAGGAACTGCTTACTCGTTATTTGGGATCGTCCTAAGTAATTGTATATATGTAATAAAAAAAAAAAAAAAAAAATAGAATAAATCAACCAGTGTACAAAAAGAATAAAGTATGACCCTTTTTTGATTTCAGGAGGAGCACATTTAAAATGAGCAAGAAATGAAGAATTCTACGCTTTTCTTTATCTCTATCTTTTTCAAAATATGGCTGATTCAGAAAGTCCTTTTGGTTCTTCTGATTCTCTAAATAATAAAAACGACATGCATTCACTATCGCAGCATTGCCCCACAGTTATCAGACAGTTACAGAGCCTATCGAGCAACACGCAATCCTCGCCATCCGTTGAGCCTGCCACCATCAATGATTCGAAAGAAGTGTTGGACTCACTGGTAAGCATATAGAAACTCAAGAGTCTCCACAACGTACTAAGCTGTAGACTAGTCGGTTACAGGCAAATGCATGTGCTGCAACAGGTAACGTAAGCCCATCTTGTTTCAATCAAAGAGTAACGTATGGACTGTGTGTATCACATCACTATAGTGAATTAAAGTACCCTCATACCGTATCACGTTTTCGATGTCCTGTATGTGACACTATCAATGACCTTAAACCGCATGTTCGACAACAGCTGCTGAATCAGCCATTGACACTGAAATTACTCAAGAAATCAGTCCACGAATGCAAGATCAAGGAAAGGGCAAAACGAAAGACGACCATGGTGGATGATAAGGAACGAGAAAAGATATACGCACCCGTTGAGAAGCTGATTGAAACAATATTCAGCAGCTGGGTGTGTCTGAACCACAGCTTTTCCAATGTACGAGAGGTTTGAAGTGGATTAAACTGTTGCGGATGGATTGTTCTGATCGAAAAGATGTACAGGGACAGGAAACGAGTTTGCAAGATAGTGGCATCAATATGAACGACACCAGAGAAGCTTATCGCATCCTATTAAACATGGTATGTTGTGTATTTGAGACAGAGGTCTTGCTAGACTACCTATACCAACACACATGCATTGGTCATTCTTTAGCCTGTCAATGTCATTCGATCCATGATGTCTGCCATCGATCGACTGCTGAAAAGACCCGCTGTCCCACTGAGACGGATGGTGGACATTCGATTTCTGCTCATCATACTGGAAAATCCACTGCTAGCACAACACAACTTTCCTGCCGAGACAAAGTATCACCACAACCTGCTGAAAAGAGTATTTGGTATCCTAAGCTGTCTTAACAATGAATGCCATCATGGTCTGGTAAACTGGTTTTCGAGGTAAGCATTGAGCAGAAAAATCAACATTGTCATTAAATGTTAACTTAACTGTAGAATTTCCCTTTTCTCTGTAGTTATCCTCTAAAAAACTTTGAATCGAAAATTGATCTGATTCATGCGTTTCTCAGCCATCGCATATCCAGAGCAAGACGTAGTCCGCTGGGCTTACCTACAGCGTACGAAGCAGATTGGAAAATAGCCAGTGCGTCGCGGGTCATGGCATTATTATGTAAGTGTGTGCATAAACAATCTGTTGCTTTGTGTTCCACATCGTATTCATTGGGATACTTTGATTCTTCTTAGTTGCTGCCAATAACCAATCCAACAAGGTGCATATATCCGACTTTTACAACACCATGGCAGACTACATTAACTTGATGGGCGATTTTGAGTCATGGCAATCACAGTCTGGAAAATTCGCCTTTTGCCAATACCCCTTTTTGATCAGCATGGGATCCAAAATGAAGATTGTCGAGTCAGATGCAAAGCAGCAAATGGAGACCAAATGGAGAGAGGCATTTTTCAACATGCTGTTCCATCAAAAGGCATCCAATCCCTATCTTGTGCTCTGTGTATCGAGAGATAATTTGATTGAAGATTCCCTGAGACAGCTAGCACAAAACGAATTGGATCTGAAAAAGTCGCTTCGGATTGAATTCGTTGGCGAGGAGGGTGTGGATGCGGGTGGGTTGAGAAAAGAGTGGTTCTTGCTGCTGGTGCGTTCCTTGTTTGATCCGCAGTACGGCATGTTTACATTCGACGAAGATTCCAACCTATGCTGGTTCAATCCTGCAAGCTTTGAAAACGAAGATCAATTTTTTTTGGTGGGCGTAGTGCTGGGACTGGCGATATACAACTCGACGATTCTCGACATTCATTTACCCACTGCATGTTACAAAAAACTACTCAATTCGTCTATTGGGCTATCGGATCTGAAAGCATTTCGACCGGCATTGACGAGAGGGTTTGAGCAGCTACTGGAATTTGAAGGCGATGTGGAAAATGTGTTTTGCAGATCATTTGTAGCAGATATAGAGGTGTTTGGACAGCGTCAGTCTGTACCTCTTGTGCCAAAGGGAGAACAGTTGATGGTGACACAGGAAAACAAGCACGAATTTGTGTCATTGTATGCAGATTTCATACTGAATAAGAGCGTGGAACGTCAGTTTGGTGCATTCAAGAAAGGATTTTACCACGTGTGTGGTGGAAATGCCCTCTCTCTGTTTAGACCCGAAGAAATTGAGCTCCTGGTGCGGGGCAGCGATGAACCATTGGAAATCGACGATCTGAAAAGTCAAACAGAGTACGTTGGGTTTGATGAGAATGAAGAAACGATAGTGTAAGTCCCCTTTGTGAGTCTCACTGAGATTGTGTGTTGACTTGAAATCTATACACAGAAACTTTTGGAGTATCATGAAAGCAATGGACGCTCAAAAGCAACGCAAGCTGCTCATGTTTGTTACAGGAAGCGACCGTATACCAGCCACTGGAGCAACTCAAATGCATCTCAAAATCACCTGTGGAAACAATGGTGATAGCGATAGGTAGGCAGGCACACATGGCTTTGATTGAGCCATCAGCATGTATTCATCTCATTGTCAATAGGCTACCCTCTGCGCATACATGTTTTAATCAACTGATTTTGTACAAGTATCATACCAAAGAGAAGCTGGAGAGGATGCTTCTCACCGCAATTGAAGAAAGCCAAGGCTTCTATGTAAAATAAACGAACATACATTTTTATTTCAAAATTACACAATATTATAAAACTATTGATTGCAACACGATAATTACAATCAAATCCACATTGACCTTATTATCCTTGGTGTATCCTTTGGACGAAGAGCGATAACCCTTGAGGCTGAATTATATCGTTTCTTATTGATGGCAACGAAATCGTGGAGGGATGCTTTGACCAGCACAGACTGATGTCAAGTTTTGAATCATGTTGAGACATGCAGACAAAAGACGATTCCACAGTCTGTAGACAGCGTCTTGGGGAAGATCATGGACTGGGTGGTTACGATTTGTGTGTCTGATTGACAGTATCAGTGACTCTATCAAACACAGTTCAATAGCCTAAAAGACCCTGTCTTGTCATAAAATCGCTGTATCATCTACGCTGCTGTGATCTGCGAGGTTGAGGGTGGCGCATCGTCTTGAAAGGCCACTGCAGTCTCTTAGTGGCATCCCGGGCAAATATTGCTGGTCTTGTATTCGTCTGTAAGGAACGCATTGAAGCCATGCGTCACAGCATGTATCATATTGGCAGCAATGTTTTGTAACCTCGAGTTCCTTTCTAACCCTAGTGATATAGTTGCATGTGTGGGTTAATTTAATGCTTCTTGTTCATACCATTTATTTGCATCTTTAAACCGCCTCAAATCAGGTATTGTTTTGAGCCTAGCTATGAATACATAAGGTTGTCAATTGTGCTTTGTATGATATCCGTAATTACCAAGGATATGAATATCCATTTGAGGCTTTGATAAGCAAAACTCATCTTACTATAGAAATATTTCGGTGGTAAGCCCTTTTTACTGGTGTTACCAGATATAAGCTTCTCAAAGGAGTGAAAGCAATACAGCTTCATACAAAATTACCTCCATACTATAGCTTCCAAAAGCATTAAGTGTCTTTATCAAACTGATGGCATTATCCTTGCCATGCCAGCAGCCGCCGAAATTGATTAAATTGTCGCTCGGCATTCTGTTCTAATTTGTTTCAATTGAAAGCTTTTGGACTCAGTTCGACCTATTTTGCCAGATTCGACTATGTAAGTTGTTATGATCATACTATACTTTCTAATGCAATATTAGAGTACTTTTGAAGGCGCATCTAATGGCGCCAAGTAAGATGGATGTTTTGAATAAGCTTATTGAACAATTTATAAAAATATGAAAAGAGGTTTCTAACCAGAAAGTCGAGATTTTCCATACCAAGGCCCTACAAAGATGATTTCAGGAGTTACGTTAGATCAATAAAAACATTTTGATTCAATATTACCCTTCATGGCCAGGACAACCATCCTCTAGACATCTCCATCTTGGGACTTCTTGGCGCTGCCTTCTCTTGCGTGTGGCAACATCATTGGGGCTGCACCCTTGATGGTAAATCATGGCTTACTCGAACAGTTTTCTCGTCTTTTCTTGCCGATAACGCCAAGTTAATTTCCTCTTTCCTAGACATGTAAATACTAAATAGTACCATACTGTCTAATTTTTGATAAAAAACACATTTAAATACAAAAAAAAAAATTAATTCAATACGTACCATAGTAAAAGTCTTCGTTATCAAGATCAAAAACGCGATCGTTTGATTTTCGATGAAAACCATGAAGGGTACCTCATACTTTTTGGTCGAATTTTGTCCATTTTTTTTTTTTTTTGGTCCCCAAAAAATTGAGCAAAAGTGACAATAAGTAACTGCCAGATGAGAGCAGTTGTTTAGTGCTATTCTGATCTTCTAAAAAGGCTTCTGAACACGAGAAATTGTTGCTCAAATTCACCAAATTTTCACTGTACTTTGCATACTGTTTAGCATCAAGATTTTTTAACTAGGTTATTGCTTTGGGAATGCTTTTTTTTTTAAAAAAAAAAAGGGGGATGCTCTGTCTCGAACCCTACTAATGGCAAGCCAGCATGCACCAAATAATCGTATGATGCGTTAAACAAAAACTGAAATACTACCACACTCACGAAAATGCCAATGGATAGAGCGTCAATATGTGGACCATCTCACGTATGATCATTTCAGATTGGTATTTATTTGATATCAAATGCTACATTAATATCATCGTTGCTTGTTTCGACAATAAGATGGCCCTTTCCTCCACTTCTTCGGGTACCACGCTTGAGATGATCAGATTTGTCTTGGTAGTCAATAGAATCATCGTTTTCAATATTGACAAATCCATCAGATGCAGTCATGACAAACGAGCCTTCAAACTCTTCAGTCTAACATTAGAAACATGTTAGAGAAATCTATGGAAAATCAAAAAACGCCAATTGTCTTACCATATGCAAATCAATGCGTGCGTTCGAATTGATAACTTTGACTTGATTATTCTTTGTTGCACCAACTGAAAGTGACATTGGGCCATTGGACGATTTAGCCAAGACTTGGCTCTTGGCTTCAATGTAGTCCACATCGGTGTATCCATTAGCATTGGAAACAGTAACATGATCAGCAAACAGTTGCGAGAGCTTGATGTAGGTGTTGCTTGTTTCAATCTTGATCGTGTCATCTGCACGCAGGGATCCCATTGCTTCCACAGCGCCATTTGCGTTTTGTATACTGATCACCTTCTTGGCATTGATGTCTTCTGTAAGTTGTACAAGGGCATTGTCGTTTTCCAAGTAAACAGAGCCATCCGATATCAATCGACCTGCTTTGATTTCACCATTGGTCGTAGACAGTCTCAATGATTCTCCAGACCAGCGCTCAAAATTGATTCTGCCATTGCGTGTTTTGATTTCGACATTAGCTACGTCTTTGACAAAAGGTTGCACATCAACATCCATGTTCTTTACATTGACAGAGAGTCGATTGGCTCCGTAGGGCAAACGAATCTCCATATTGACATTAATGCAATCTTCATTTTCATCCTCGAATTGCTGAGGCATGTGTATTGTGAGCTTGGTAGTGTCGCCATTGTTGTCATACTGTTGTACATCAAACGACATGTATTTTTGCAGAGATGGAGGATAGACTTTAACATCAGTCAAGATGGTGCCTCCGTGTCGATCTCCCAAGGGAATAACGGTGACGAGCCCGTTTGAGACTCGACCCTCAATAACCAGCTCGACATTGTCCTCAAAGTCAATAGTGTCAGGCATGTCCTTCCATTGAACAGAGTCCCTGTTGCATCTCTCACCATGATGTGGAGCGGAGAATGTGAGCTTGCCACTGTACATGTAAATCACTAGCCAGAGCAACAGGGCTGCAATGATGTATTTGCACCACTTTCTGCAGCATCCTGGGTCTTGATAGGCTCTACGTCTCGCAAACCAAGAGGAAGGTGCAGCAGCACCAGCTTCTGCATCATACGACTGTAAAGTAGGCAATGGCTGATAATCCGAATCTAATGCGTACTGTTAGTAACATGCGTATTCAGTTCATGTAACATAGTATATATTACGAGGATTCCAGTTTCTCTTTGAAGTAGGAGCAGGAGGAGGAACATCTGTTTGACTGGCATTTCTTGGCGAAGCAGGTGCCAATAGGCCGTGCTGCTGTTGCTCAATGCTGCTTCTAACAGAGCCATAGACAGAGCTGTCTCCCTCCTCAGAATTTCTGCTTGATTGACCAGCAGAATAAGGTGGAGGCGGGATCAAGCCAGCTGAAGTTATTTCATCTGGCTTTCGAGCAGCCTGCTGTTTACTACTGCCAGCATTATAATCTTGATACACATAAAACGAATTAGTATGCAATGCTTTGTTTTATTGACTAAAAGGCATATACCAGGTTGATTATATAATGATTTAGGGTTTGAGCTGGACATGACTATGATGTAGTATGAAGTGAAGAAGAAGAAGAAAGAGGGAGAAGACGAAAAAAAAAAAGACGCTATTTTATAAATAGTTTTTGACCCCCTTGATTCACATGTAATATATTGATAGACGTGATGTGTGGAAGGTGAGAACGCCGATTTGGGAATAACGCTTTTAGATGAACAGTGTTGCAGGTGCGTTGGAGGTCTTGATGATTACCTCGATGTTGGCCTTGTTACCGAAATTCTTGCATCTTCCTTCCTTTTTGCTGTGTTCATCTGTCTCAAATTTCAATTCGCAACTCTCGTTATTCTTGGTTACAACAGTGGCTACAGCGCTGGAGCTGGTCTTGACTGAGAAGAATCCAGAAAATGTGCTTGGCAAATGGACATTCACAGGCGCATTGGTGGACTCGATTTCAATGATGGCAGAATCACTCACAATGTCATTGATGTGGATTTCGACGGACGCATTGATGGTTTTGGCATACATTTCAGACCCTACACTGACAGTGCTAAGAAGAATAGGCGCATTCTTGGTTTTGAGTTCCATACGCTTGGCTTCAATGAAACTAGTGTAATGGAGAGGGGCATTGCTGGTTGCAATCTTGAGTTCCTTTGTGCTGATGGAAGGACCCTGCAATAGAAACACGCCGTTGCTGGTCTTTACAGAGATGCTATTCTTTGCTGCCAATTGACCTTCGACTGTAATATTGGCATTGGAGGATTGCAGGCTGATCTTGTCAGATGCAGTAAGTGATCCACGAACATTCAGATGGCCATTAGACGTTTCTAAAGAACACTCTTCACCAGACCAGCTGTGATCAAGTTGCAGCGGCTTGTTGGATTCCTTCATAATAAGCTTCTTTGACTCTTGCATGGACAACCGCGAAGAACAAGATGACGATGAAGAAAAAGCGTACTGCGGGTGACCATTGCTGCCACAATCACTGCTTCCCCATCCTCTCTGAGCTTTGCGTTCCTGTCTCGATTCTCTTCGTTCGCATTTTTTAGCTTCACGTTCCTCCTTCTTTATTTCTCTTCTTTCGCATCTCTGCTCTTTACGAAAACTCTTGGCCCTCATACGTTCATCTCTCCTATCCAGTCTGGAATTGACAAAGTCTTCCACCAATCCCATGGCAGAGAAAGCAGAGTTGGAGGCAGCACGAGCAGAATTGGCTGCCATATCAGAAGCCGCATGAGCAGATTGAGAAGCCATGCCAGTAGCAGCTCCGGCAGTACCAAGAGCAGCACCTGTAGCTGAGGATGCTACACCCAGTGCATGATTCGTAGCAAATCCCACGAGGTTGTTGGCCATGCCGATAACACTACCAATGGGCCCATTGCTGAAATCTACACCAAATGCTGACATATTGTTGGGACTATAGCTGGGTGTTTTGCCTTTTCGATCAAAAGAGTGGCTACTGCTAGCGTTGTTGTTGTTTCCAAGGAAGCCATGTTGTTCATGAATCGTATCATAATCAGGTGGTGGAGGTGGGTTGTATGACGCTCTAGCGCCAGACGAGGATGAAGATGCTTGGTGATACTGATTTGATGTTTGGCAGCCAGCCGATGAAGATGCCTGCGATGCTGTATCGGAGGGTGTGTATGGAGGAGGGAGATCACTATATCTTGATTGAGTACAATTGCCAAGAATTGCTATAGATGTTACTTACGTTGGCTCTTTTTCTACTTTAGTCGAGTAAAATGAAGCGTCTTTAGAAGGCATGTTTATGGATTTGATTGTCTAAAAGCTTACCTGCCATTTGATATTTGTTTCTTTTTATATGAGTAAGAGGTGAAAGAGGATCAAGCAATGCTTTTCAATTTCTTGGCGCATGATCCAACTTGGCAAACTGATAAAACGACTGACTGTGTTTTGCTGGCGTTGCTGCTGAGCACCGTTACAAGCCAATGATGGTGGCAAAGTAGAATTATCTCGGTTAATACTCTCCGAATAAGGAAGTATTATAGCGAACCATTTTTTTTTTTGATGGGCTGTGGAGCTCTCTCTCTCTCTCTCTCTCTGATTCAAACAGCAGGTTATTACTCATCAGTTTCATTCATACTGCATCGAAGTATGTATCGTGAATGAGTAGGGAAGGAACTGGACATCACTTGGGCGACGGTGTGGATCTAAAACAGTCAACCTACTAAGCACTTTTTGATTGACATTGAGAATTGGCTTCTAGCAGACAGGATACCAACTCTGTAGCATGTTCTTGATCAGAATTAATTAGAAAAACACTGCAAGCATGTCATCAACAAGTACAGAATTGCACTCATCTCGTAGCTTTGAGTCGAAATCCCATGATGGATGAGAAATCTTCAATGAATCTTACATTTTGAATTTGAAGCTTACTGAAGCTTTTTCAGGGAGACGAATAATAAGAGAGAGAGTTGTAGACAAAATGAAGAAAGTCTTTCTCTCTGTGAATCTGTAACTACTGCTTTGCAATGTGTAATTCAGTGATAAGTTTTAGCGGTATCCCGTGTCGCTTTATTCACCGTGTTGAACCAAAAATGATGATAGAAAATTTTAACCGCTTCAAACGTGTTCAATTCACATGGGCTTACGGCAACTATACTGTAGAGTTCTTTTGCAGTATCAGAAAGGGTAAAACCGAGGGCAGCGTCAAGCGTATTGCCACTGAAATTGTGAATGCATTAGAAACAGAGATGCAGAGCAGACTTATCAAGAAGATCACAGCATGCCTTACAGACGGCGGTAGCTTGTCCAATCTGAAGAAGGATTGCTTCGAGTAAATAAAGAGCAATCGTTCAATTTTCAGTGCTTCAGCCTCAGAAGAGATGGATGCCTTTGAGACCTTGCATCAGTCCCAGAAGCAAGGAGCATTACCAGTTTTAATACAACAACTGTACGAGTTTCAAAGACGCCGATTTATAGTATCAACTCTCGGATCAAAGGCCATTTACATGGCAGGGGGGTACCTTGGAAGGTCAAAATTCATGCTATATACTGTTATAGTATTCATTGAACAAATCCAGAGCCTTATTTGCCATTTAGGCATCTCTATAGTTCTCATTTGTTTTGTGATTTTATCAGCAAATGATACAAGGAGTGGGAGCACCTGACGAGAAAAAAAAACATGAGCAATATAAACAAGGAATTGGCCATTTTTTGACGGCTCATTAAAAAAAATTCAATTAATACATATCAAATTATCATATGATTGTTCATACAACTAATGCAAGGACCTCCCATCGCTGATAAAAATCACCCAAACACGCAAATTCCCGTAAATGTAAATGATAGCAATGATACAGCCTCTCAATCAGAATGTATGTGCGTGGAAATTTTACAATTGTTTACCTAATAAACGGGGAAAGATTGCCACCAATGGAACCACAAGGTCATATTTGATTGATAGTGTGTCAGATCATCGGCAAGGAAACCTCGATATGTGTTGTATTTGTCCAGTGCTTCATCCTTCCACATTCATTAGCTTAAAAGTCTAAATTTATACCAAGTCAGGCCCCCCTTCTCGTGCTTGCTCACTTTTTTATACAGAAATTTTCATGACAAATTTTATGAACCTTAGGCAAGAAGATCTGATAAGCGATACTGTGCGACACAATCAGGAAGACCCCCCCCCCCATTATTTTATCATGGAAACGGGTGACGATGATATTTGCTGATTACCTATCCATGTGTGTGCGTGGAGAGCGAGACAAGAGAGCCGCGCGGAAGGGTAAATTTTACGAGATAATGCAAAAATGAAACGTGTGAACTTTGAACCTTAAAATAGCCCTTGATTTGCCATTTGGGATTTGGAATTATACACCTACACGCCGACAGAAGCCAAAGAAATAGGTTGAGCGTCTCATCGGTGAGAATTTGTATTATTCCATAGCATTTAAATGAGGGAAAAAGGACCTCTCAGCCCACCCGATTAGTAAAATCCTTGCTGCTGCACGCTCTGATAACACATAGTCCCCCTCTTCCCCCCCCCCCCAAAAATTTATCGTATCAACAAGTTTTCCGGTCATTTGCGTGTTTCCATTTAGCTTCAATCGCCTGTTTGCCCAATGAAAATCAAAGATTTCTGCTCTTTTTGCCCTCTTATTCTCACTGTCCTGCAAATCTATTATATATAAATTGATTGCGGGTAAATGAAAAAGCAAGAAATTTCATGAGAGCCAAAGGAACACAGCGTCTGATAGTACATGTGTCATGATGAGCCTCTATTCGAGTATTTATATATGTTATAAATAAGAAAATGGCATCTTGTCCGAGCGAATCGAATCTATGCAATTTTAAACGATATTGTATGAAAATGTTTCGAAATTCCTGGTGTGACACACGATGTCAAGGTAACGCTCGTCATTTGATGCAGGCATTTCACCATTAAAACCTGTGATAAAAGGCTAAAGGGAGACAGGTCCAAGATCCCCTTTTTCCTCTCTTTCCTCTCTCTCTCTCTCTCTCTCTTCTTTAACTCTAATGTATACAAACTATCACAGCCAACAGCCATCTTACAGCACAATGGATCCAAGCACACTGTTCAACTATCCAATGGACGATTCAATTGACTCGTTGCTGTTCAATAGCACTCTTCAACAGCCTACAACTTATGACCATTTGATCAACAACCACGCTACCGACCTTTATTTGACAAACTACAGCCCTCATACTCTATCAAACAGCACGGCAATGTTGACGGCAACAAACAATACCTATTTGCGTCACACAGCATTGCCCACTGCTTCCGCTTCTGCCAACATCCATCCTCTTCAAATACTGCAACAGCAACAACAACAACAACAACAGCAACCACAGCAGGACGACTTTATGATGTCTCCTTCCGTAGATACCTTATTATTCAAAGACACAACCTCATTAGATTATTTGGGCTTTGACACTACCATGATGCCAAATGTCTTTGATTCAGGTGAATCCCGCTTCAGCGAGTCTAATCGAGATGAGGAAGAAGAAGAGCAGCTACTGTCTCCTGTACAATCCCCTCATTTGGATGATATTTTTGGCTCATCGAGTAGTCCAGAACCTGAAGAAAACGAGCATGCGTTCAGTAACAAAGCTGAATCTCAAATCATCACTGACAACGAATCTGCATTGATGCTGGACCATCAAGATGAATCTGATCAAGAGTTACTGGATAACACTGAGCATGCTATCTTTTCCGACTTGGAAGATGATGATGTAGAGGAAGAGGAAGAGGAGGACGACGATGATGATGATGATGATGATGACTCTGATTCTGATTGGGAGACTCATGTTAAATCTAAAAGAACTGCCTCATTGCCATCTGCGGCATTATCTGCCAAGAAAAAGCCTGGAAACAACAAGACCAAGAGCAAGAGATCCGAGTCACTTCCATCGGCAACGGCTTCTATAAACGCATCAGAAACTACATGTTCTAATTGTGGAACAACAAATACACCCTTATGGCGCCGCAACTTGGATGGCAATCCACTCTGTAACGCATGTGGGCTCTTTCTGAAACTGCATGGCAAGGTTCGACCATTGAGTTTGAAAACCGATGTCATAAAGAAGCGAAACAGATCTCCTAGTGGCAACAAATGTCGCAGCAGCAGTAGCACTGGTATTAGCAAGAAAAAGACGACGGGAAGACGCACAAAGAATAGCAAAAGAAAGAGTAAACCAAGGGGCCATGCTACGGATGAAAACGGAAATTAGACCGCTCTTCTTGTTCATATATCTTTTGCTTTTGCTCTTTGACATTCCCCCCCCCCATATATACATACTTTTCACATTTCAACCTTTTCTAATTTACATTAACATGACACTTTACACGCAAGTCTTCAACCAAACATACCAATGCCACCTCTCCCCCCTTATCCTCTTTTGCAGTAGTGATTGCAGTAAATTTCTCTCACACATGTAATAGATGCGAAATATACACTCCAATCAAATGTCCATGTATATACATCATCTCCCCCTTCTGTCGTTTTGATTGCTCACCTTCAATAAATCTATATACAACAAACAAAATAGAATCCGTGCTCTTTTCTGATGGTCTTTTGTTTCCAATTCCAATGAAAACCTGATTTGCCATCTTCATGCTGGAGGAAACGAGCTAAGAAGTTTCACAAACATGAGCTCAACAAGTCGACGTGCTTTCAAAATGAGCCATTTTAATTAAAATCTAGACATTCACACCAAAATGATGCGCTTTCCATTGCGCTAAAATCGGTAGCATGCCAAATAAATACTGCTGGTGCCTGTATTACATGCTATGCATCAATATGAAAGTCGCATTTGGCTGATTAAACAACTTGGTGGTGTAAAAAGAAATGGCTTGCGAGGTGCACATGTCGGATCTCTTTTCCGTGGTATTTCTTGTTTATTTGGCAATATACAATTGCACGTAAACGCATGAATTTGTATCTAGCAACATTGCCTGGGTTTATTAAAAGATGTAATCTTGAATGGCCCAATGTATTTATATCTCTGTTAATTGGCTATATCCGGTGCAAGTAGTATTTGTAGTTTGTATGAAGTATGATGAGATGTGCTATATCAACATTCAAAGGGTCCATCTATATCTAAAGACGGGTAGTAAAGGCTATAATTTATCCAATTATGTCTTTACTTGAGGGGCCAACAAAATATATACGCTTCAGTTCTTCAATTATAAAATAGCCGTGTTACCCAAATGACCTTATCGATAACCCATCCTTCTTTATAATTGACACGTGCAGTTTATCATCAACAACGATCATGATCAGCCAAGTGTAAAAAAACATCGCACGTTCAAGACGTAATCTGCGTCAAGATTTGGCTCGCATCTCTCCCCCCCCCCAAATCTAATAATTTTCTATCAATGGATTTGTTGCGTTTTAGCATGTCGAATCCTAATCTTCTAACATAATCTCCGAGTGCTTTTGCTCTTTGCTGCTACTCAACAGTTAGGAGCTAGTCCGTGTAATCTGTTATATATGGTCTTTTATGCCAAATTAAAGGCTTGTTCATTACCCATTTGACATAAGACAGTTGAAGAAGAGAATGTGCAATCAGCAATGACGGTAGGTTTGGATTTAAACGGTTTTATGTTCATGAAAACTCGTAGGTGAAAAAAAAGGGAAAGAAAAAAAAAAGCTAGAGCCACAAGCTAATGAAAGCTGATACTTTTTTCTGTGCGTTGTTTTCTCAATCAATTTAGGCAAAACAAAAAGAATTTTCGTTATACCCGTTCACAGTTACTACAGAAAAAACTATATCGACCATTACTGATGAGGGATTTGTTTCATAAACGCTACTCAAAACTCTACAAATTGTCCAGCAAATCAGCATTTCCATGCCAGTACCACTATCAATGCTTATTGTTTCTCATCATCTACGTAATAATGTCAAGGGGTATCGGTCAAGCAAAACATATATGAGCAAAATTCAAGGAAGCAAGGCAAGCACTAAGATTGCAAGTCAAGAGGTTATAATAATTGTAAAATGAAGAAGTATCCTATTTATCAGGATACAAAAGATTGCTTTAAAAGCATTTTTTGGCGTAAAATAACTATAGCAAATCCTATCATACAAGCTAAAAGGGGTTTATTTTGTTCAAATCATATTCATCTTCACTATATATACTGTAAAACATTCAAAAAAAAAACTAGACAAGCTAATCATTCTTCCAAAATTTTAAAAAATTGTGTGCTATACAAGGAGAATAAAACCACTGGCAAAACCGGGCAATGGGGAGGGGGGGGGGGAGAAAATACGCGTCTAATTCAGCACTTGATAGTATTGATTTATAGGGGCATTTTACCATAGCGAAGCAAAGGTGCAAAGCCATAGTCATAACGCGTCTAATCCAACACTTGATAACATTGATCTATATGAGGGCTTGATCGCAGCGAAGCAAAGGCACACACTTATGACAATTAAGTATCCAATCCAGCATTTGATAGCATTGATCTATACGAGGGCTTCATTGTAACGAAGCGACTATGCAAAACCATAGTATCTAAGCAGCAAATTGGGGCTTTCGTTTCCATTGTTAATAAGCTTAACAGCAACATATCGTATCAAAATTTGCATGAATTAGCGTTACCAAAATCAATATGTCTCCTATTCGAATTAAAAATTGCTCAAGCTATAGAACTGCCTTTCCAGTAGATCGCAATTACCAAAGATGTGATTTATTCCGTGTAAATAAACTCTATAAAGCAATACATAACCAAATTTGACAGCTTTCAAGCCTTCAAATCTTGATATGTAGACCTTTCTGAGCCACCGGAATGACACCAAATAATTGTACTTGAGTAGTAGTAACTTCCTGACACCCTTGCTCAAGTTTTTGGGGACCAAAAAAACATGGCCAAAAATCGACCAAAAAGCATGAGGGGTGCATCATGGTTTCCACCAAAAATCAAACGATCGCATTTTTCACCTTGAAAACGAAGACTTTTACTATGGCATATCTTGAATCAAAATGTTTCTATCGATCCAAAGCAACCTCTGAAATCATCTTTGTGGGACTTTGTTATGTACAATTTCGACTTTTTGGCCAGAAACCTCTTTTCATATTTTCATAAATCATTTGATAAGTTTATTCAAATCATCTATTTTACTTAGTACCATTGGATGCGCCTTGAAAAATACTCCAAGAAAGCTTAAGAAAATACAGGATGATCATTATATTCTACTTAGTTGAATCTGCAAAAATAGATCAATCAAGTCCAAAATTATCAAGATTTGTCCAATCTGGAACAGACAATGATTCTGGGTTTGAGTTAATTTTGGCTTGTGGGGCCAGCTGGCAAACTCAACGCCCTTTTCATACTGCAATACAGTAGTAAATGCTCTTGAAGCGTATGAAAAGTAGGTGGCAGGCCATAACGCTATTGTTTATAATAATATTTTATTGCATTCTATATCGTTCATAATGACATCGTCTTGCATTCTATAGTTGATAACGTTAGTCTGGACATTGACGATTCATGGGCTGCGTAGGATGTCTGCAGTAAGTAGTGAAATCTCTGAGGCTCTGAGACGTCGTTCAAATAAAACGTTGACAGCATTGAGCAGAGGAAAGAGGGTAGAACTAACAGTGGTAATATTTTATTTTATTCAAATATTATTTTATGAGGGACACATCGCGGAGTGGTGGACCTCGAGCAACAGAATGAGCATCTAATCTAAATTATGTTGTAGTAGGTAGCAGTCTATCAATTAGACAGACTGTCCTGGAGGAAACGTGTTCTATGGAGGCGGTGGAGAGTGGTACAGGGCTCTGTGAACCGTGAAGCCAATACAGATTCCACATTTGCCATAAGGTAGTAGATATGATGGCGATATACTTGGATCGATCTTTTATAAAGCGAGGAAATGTATTAGGAAGTGTAGGGTGATCATTGCAGTTTATATAGTCGGATATCACAAAATAGATTTATGAAGTCGAAAAGAGACAAATTCCGTCCAATCCTGAACATACAAAATAATCTGAGTATGAATTAATTTTGGCGGTGGCATTGCTGTTGGCTAACCTTTATGCGTTTCTGTTGATGACAATGATGATTGCGATGCTGATTAAATGGGGATCATGAAATTGAAAGGACAATTGCTTAGCGCAAATGAGTTTTTGGGGAGTTTTGCCTCATGAAGATACCTTCTGCAATGGCAATATCTCAAAAAAAAAGTCGCTGTAGATCTTACACAAGTCCTGTATTTACTTATGACCAGCTTTATGTCGCCACCTTATTAAGCGCATCAGCAGAAGCGAATGGTATGACAATTCTACTACCAGAAAACAAAGATTGTGGTGTACAAAGGCTGCATAAAATTTGAATGTTATCTCACATTGTCCCAATAATAGGCTTCGTTTGATATCAGTGTAGGCGAAAAGGATGCTGAGGGAGATACCTCCTCTCCTTCTCCTGGCTCTAATATAACCTTTCTTCTATTAACTAGTAATAAATTGTTTAAAAACTACTTGATATACCAAAATTTTATTATATCTGATTTAAAATGTCTTTGGTGAGAGCCCACAGGGCGACGCCGTCATCGAGTGTAGCGAGATTGACCGGCTAGTCTTTAATATACACTAAAATTTTACTTTTTAACCTTCCACAATCGCTAAAAATGCTCTTAAACGATCTGTAGCTGCGGATTTGACTCTGCCGCAATACTCGACGTCTGTCTGAATGGAAGCTTTTGATATACGGGCGTAAAGCATACTTTTATTGCCTCCTACTTCGCAATGTATGAAAAGTACAGCATAATTTGGGTGCATTTGAATGCTAGTTTCTCGTGTTAAAAGCCGTTTTAGACTGCCAAAATTGTGTCAAACCATTGCTTTCGTTTAGCATTTACTTGCGAACATCTTTACTCGATTTTTTGGGGATCAAAACAACATCATCAAAAATCGACCAAAAAGCATGAGGGATACCTCATGAAAATCATCAAAAATTAAACGATCGCATTTTTATCCAAAAAACGAAGACTTTTACTATAGTATATAATAAGTCGAAATGTTTCTCTCGATCCAACGCAACTTCTAATATCACTTTTGTCACACCTTGATATGTAAAATCTCGACATTTTGGCGATAAACGTCATTTCATATTTTCTAAAATTTCTCAGTAACCTTTTTCATAACACCTATCATAGATACTACCATTAGACGCGCCGTAAAAAGTACTCTTGAAAAGATTAAGGAAGTATACGATTATCAGCACAATTTATATAGTCGAATCTCTCAAATTAGTTCAATCAAGTCATTTTTGAGCAGAATCTGTCCAATCTTGAATGGAAAAAAACAACCGGAGAATGAATTAGTTTTGGCTGTGGCGAGCTGGTGATGGTTGGCAGATTCAATAACACCTATCTCGTAAAGGCAATTGATGATTTTGGAGTTATGGAAGACAAATAGTGGGTTCAGTAAGGCTATAGATTGCTCTAGCTATTTTTTTTGGGGGGGGGCGTTTGACTATACAATATGCTTGATCATTGCAAAATTTTCATCTGAATGTGAGTCTTAATGTCCAGTGCAAAATTGTCAATCTTCCTTGCTTATTCCAAGTGTGAGCTCAACTGGTTTTCAGCAGATCAGCGCAACACGATTTTATTCAGTATTCTTTAGTATATTTGACGTCTTACCCATAATGCATATCAATTAATAGGGCTATATATTTCAATATTTTTTCAATGGTGATGTGTTTTTTTTTAGACAAATACAATTCTCGATCCAATGTCTTTAATTTTCAATTAACCATCAATTGAAGCAATCTGTGTTGCAATTGAACATCTAGTCTTTCAACACCATTTTTCGCTGCTTGATGGAATCATGCAACAAGTGGTATCCGATACTCAAAAGATCAGACAAATCAAAGCTAAATAAGCTCTTCATAGAGATTACTACAAATGAGTGGTAGAGCCCATACGATTTGCGTTTGCATCTCATCATGTTGACACAATCTTGCCCAAAATATGAATCTCGAGGCCTAATTTTTGGTGCTGTTATGCGATTTGTACTAATTGACATTCACGCAATGACCATGGTCAGAATTCCAGGTGCATGCTATAGCATCGTGACAAATTTAGAAAGAAATTTAGTGACATTAACTGCGTGTGCGGTTCAATTCAACTTGTGATCTTGTTTGTTTTGCAATGTTTATTTGTTTGTAAGCAGACAAACCTTACATCCCCCTTTCTTTTAGAGGAACTGCAAAGCGCAATGGCCAATGAGGATGATGACCCCTTTTTATGAATGAATGAATGATGATGCGAATTGCAAATGAATTACAAATGAATCTAGTAGACGAAATAGATCTAAGGCGATATTACGTTTGATACATCGAATAGACAGACAGGCAAAGAGCCATTGTAAGCAACATTCACCGAGACACATGCTACAGAATGCGAACATTCGCAGATTTTAATATAATGCACAACACGAATACTATATAGATCGGCATGTGTGAACGGGTACATGAATTGCATTTCTTTCTCTTTTTCCCTTGAACTTTTTTAACAGTATTGCAATGAATACTTTGACACAATATCAAGCCAATTTTGTGTCTAGTGATGATATGATTGTATGCAAACCACATCAGCAACAAACGTGCCTTGCTTGCGGGACCGATTGGATAGAGCATAACCAACTTGCTGCATCCCTCAAAAACCTCAAGGAGATACCACTGCCCAACAAGCCCGTACCCAGCAAAACCAACGCATCCGTCAACAAACTGAAACTGAATGGTAATCAAGCTTACAAATTGGAGCATTATGAAGAGGCTGTCGAATTGTATACATCCGCTGTTGAACTGGCATGGAGTCGACCTTTATGGGAGCCATTAGCGTTTCAAGCGGTCAGGGAAGAACTAGTACCTATTTTAAGTAATCGATCAGCAGCCAATTTGGCCTTGAGCAACTATGTGGATGCTTTAGTAGACGCTCATATTGTAACACAACTGAAAAACGATTGGAGTAAAGGGTGGTTCAGAAAAGGAAAAGCTTTGATGGGCTTGCAAAGATTTGATGAAGCCGGCAAGGCGTTCCATACAGCTTTGCTTTACACGGATGCGAATGAACGAGAGGGTCTAATGGAAGCTATCAAAGAGTGTTCTACAGCAGCTAGGAATGCGTAAATATTTATAAGGAGCAAATTATCATATATACAAATGTTGTTTACACTAGGATACGAAAATAAAGAATTAAGGAGAGAGTATGTAGTATAAGCTATTACAGTAGATTATTTTGTGTGTGTGTGTGTGTGTGTGTGTGTGTATGTGAGTGGGTCCAACTGTGTTGAGCCGATTGTAGGGAGCTCGTCTTTTATTCCACCCCAAGCGTGTCCTGTAGAAATACAGGTAAACATACTAGCTTTGGCTGGCTTTCACTCGCATGCATCACTCTACACCTGCTGTACAAAGGGGACGAAATTTCCTAATGACAAACTTTATTGTTTTCCCTTTTTTTTCTCTTACTTTCCTACCTGAACGTTATAGAATGTCTGCCTTAACTCATTACGAGGATACAGTGTCTGTGGATGATGTGATTGACTTGAATCAAGATTGTTCTAGCAGCAGCGACGGCAGATCCACATCACAACACCATTATCGCATTTCGCTTCATAGTATTGATGATGATGAACTAAGATTGTTTCGCCGTGATTTAGTTACACCCGCACCATCTGTTTGTGGTGGAGATGATGTTGATGCTATCAAGAGAAACATGATCAGAAGTCGATTCGTGCCACCCTCTCGCATTCAACGACCTGTTTCCAGAGGAGAGAGTGTGATGCTGTTCAAAAAGATCAATAATGGTATTGTTTTATATATATTTCCTGTTGCACATTTGAAAAAAGACTAAATAGATAAAAGGCGATGAGGATGTCTCATTTGACGATCTCGTTTCAAGTGAATTGAGAGATTTCTTGGACACTGATTTCATGATGGAGGGTATACTGTCTCGTCCTGTAAGCAGAACAACCATTGATAAAAATGCAAGGTATTGTTTGTTTGATGTAGCATTACTGTGCGCAATTCAATGCAATTAATATGCTGTCATCATAGTAAAATACAAGACATCAGTAAGTTTCGCTCCACTGTACCCAACAACAGTGAGCAGAAGCACCCAGCAAAGCATCAAAGAACCATGCTGCCCTCCAGATTGCGCTCTTTGTCTACGAGCAAGAACAATCATGCAGAGATCCAGGCACAAGAAAAGTCCCGAAGTGCAAATCACCCTCAACGAATGTTTTCATCGGTTCCTGAACCGCCTCGCCTTTATCAGAACACACATCGCTCGTTCCATCATCGGGCGCCAGTTGCAGCTACTGCTGTATCAATGCCTACGAGGGATGATTATTTATGCAAGCAAATGCCAAGCAAGTCAGTAACAATGATACCGAAACAAACAACCCTGTCTCGAGACAAGTACATCTCAAGAAATGCACCAGCAACAACATCATCATTATCCCTATTGCAATCGCAAAAGTTTGCTCATAGCTACCAAACACCTCCCTCTGTGCCTGTGCCTATATCAGCGAGGCGACAAACAACAGCAGAGCATGCTCCTAAACCCACTCGGAATTATGGAAGAAAATTACCGGATCCAGGTAAATTGGCTAAACATCATCAAGTAAACAAATAATAACCATGTTTGTAGTAGTTGAGCAACCGCCATTAACGCCTCGCTTTACACGAAAGCTCGTCATGCCACCACCACAGCAGAGAAATATGACACACAGTAATTACCTCAATCGAACAAGATCAGATACAACAACGGCCACAACGTCTTCTTCCGATGAAGATGAATCCAATGAAGAGCCTCTAATCACTACTCACAGCCATCAGCACCATTACAGACCCTATTCTTCAAGTACAGCGGCAGGAACACCGCTGCTATTTGATCATTACACCAACAATAATACCAATTCACCGCTCTTTTATCGATACAATAAGACCATGGAATACAAATCCTTGTCAAGTCCAAGATTACGGGTATGTATTGACATGGCTCATTTGTTATTAACGTGATGACTAACATGTTCGTATACGTATTAGACGATGAGTTCGCACAAGACATTTCCTACGGCCACGGCTGTCAATAGTAACCATAGTAATAGTAGTAGTGGTAGTACAGCCACCACAGCCACCACCACAATGAATACCACCACTCACAATGACGATGCAGGCGTCATTGATTCAGCGAAACAGGTATTGGCTTGTATTAGAGAGCGACGAAAGCGAGCCATGCTAAGCGGATCATCGTGATTTACTCATACACACGCCTGTTGATATGTAATAAAAATGTTTGTCAAATGAGAGACTGATGCATTTGACACATTTGGAAGCCTTCTACCGCCCGTAAAAGTGCTGCAAGCATCGATCAATCCAAGGCAAAATGATGGTTGCAATATCAATGATCTCCCTCTAGAGTTGCCTATACGGTTTTCTTCTATAAGAAGCTTCTTTTTGAATACAATGCTGCAGCACCTTTAATTCTCAGACAGTCTTCATCTCTTCACATTTGTTCCTGTTGGCTTACAGACATTGCTATACGAGGGATTTGCAGATCACTCTTGGATTCAGGCACTTTTGGAATCTCGACTTGCCTGCTGGATCAAACCATCTATAATTGCTGTATCAAAGCATGACATGAAGTGATGCCACGATGATAAACAAGGTTTTGGCTTGGACATGTATACGGCAATCTACAGAGTGGAAATTAAATGATATGGGCTCGGATAGTGTGTGCAACATTAATCGACAAGGAACGACGGATTGGAGCCTTTCGCTTGCTCTTTCATCAAATGTCCCATTGTTCGTTTAGTTAGTAAAAAAAAAAAAAAAAAAAAAAAAAAGTCTGTGAAAGCCTACATCTCATCTTATTGATGGCCTTGAATGGACAGTTCCGAGTTTTATGTAAAATACGTTTGGATGTATGTAATGGAGGTTGAGAAAAAAAAACAGAGTGTAACTTGGTTTACCATGACACAGGGTATCTAAAAATAAGATGTGCTCATCATTTGGATAGAGCCCCTCCCCCTTCTTTCCTCTCTCACTCTCACTTTGTCCTCTGACCCCTTTCTCTTATTTTCAAAATTAACACAGAGGAAATCTTTTTTTAAACATTTCAATTTGGCTGTGCAGCAGAAGAGTTGGTAGGAATACACACACGACAATCAAAAAGTTGTGGCGCGCGCATCATTTAGTGTAACTGCAAAGAGAGCCCTTCTCTGTATAAAAAGAACATCCAGGATACACATCTTTTATATTTTGGTTTTTTTTTTTTTTTTTTTTTTTTTTTTTTTTTCTTGCTAAACATATATTCCCCAATACAACACATATAGCATGATGGATCAGACTCAAATACTCGACCCAAACTATTATGTCAATACGAGCACAGTGAACGCTAATATTATGCCAACAGCATCTACATCCACGCATATACCATTTGACCAATACCAGCAACAGCAACAGCAGCAACCACAGGCATCGCATCCTTCACAGGCTTACATTTACACTGACCCGCAACAGCAGTTACAGCAACAACAACAACAGCAGCAACATCAGCAGCAGTATCCAACCATAGATTTCTTTTATGAAACACCTCATATCCAGCCTACACCCAGCTCTTCACACACTTATACCACCACCAACACCAATACCATCAATACAATCATACCAACAACAAGTACATCCTATCAAAGTCCCTTGGTGAGTGATTCTCATTTACAACACATTACGAGATTGACATGATGTGTAACCCTTTCCCCTTTTTTAACCTTTGTAGACTACAAAACCATTGGACAGTAGCACTACTGGAGCAACAGCAACATCTTCATCTGTATCGGGAGTAGACGAAGATTATGTGCAAAATCTCGCCAATGAACTACAACATACCAAGCAGCTGCTCTCGCAGTATCAGCTAAGAACAGAGCAACTAATGGAGCTTGTAAAGAAACAGACTGACAAGATATCAGAATTACGTGAACAACTTGCAAATAAAAAATAGCTTACATGTTTGTTCCTTTATACCCTATCTATGAAATTGAGAGCGGCGAAACCGCTCGTCTCCCATCTACAAAGTCAGTCGATTCTGGCAACATGTGTGCAAATGAAATAGCCTACAAAAGGCAGCGAGAGTGCGTGGAGATGGGCAGCAAGTGTGGGTAGGTCTCTCATCAAGGAGGCCTTAAATAAGTCCCACCTTTGTCTCTTTCTCTTTCTCTTTCTCTTTCTTTTTGTCACACACTTTTTTTTTTCCATACATGTTGTGTGCGTGTCTATATATTGGCACCCTATAAATATCTCTTTCTCAGTCTTTTTTTTTCTTTTTTCTCTCCTCTTCTTTACCATGAACCCTTCCTCGCATTCCACCAAAAAGCCAACTTCATCATCAAACATCAACACAGAACATGAAAATTCAAACGGGATCATGGATAGACTGTCTGCTGCATTTCGCTCGCAGACTTCATTAGCAGATACAGGTAGTACTAGTAGCAGCAGCAGCAGCAGCAACACCAGCAAACCACCCAGCCTGAGAAAGCGTTCATCTGGCAGCTTCAGCCATCTTTACCGGCCCACGTCTTCCACACAAGATTCTATAGAAACGGCATCAAGAAGAAGAGACTCCAATGGCATCAACTATTCCAATTTCATATCAGCCATGACGGATTATCAGCAAAACAAGGGAGATCAGGACCCTCCCCTCTTTACCATTAGCAATAGCAGCAGCGCACTTTTAGCTCCATCCTCACCCAACAACACAGCCGCAACTGCAACCACAACACCTACACTCAACAACAACAACCGTGGAAGAATAGCCAAACGATTATCAGCCACATTCAATAACAACAACATCAATACCCCTATTCATCATAATCCACACGGTAACAGCACAAACGCTTCCAAGGTATCCAAAGCCATGAAAGATACCAAGCCAATTGAACCCGCTGAACTGGGTCATTTACTGCAGCAACAAGATACGATACACCCACTGTTGATCGACATGCGACCCTTGGAGGCATTTGAAAAATCGCACATCTGCGATTCTATCAATATCAATGTCCCTACCTTGCTCGTGAAACGCTATCGTCGAGGTGTGGTCAGTAACTTCAATCTAGAGAGCTTTATCACTACGCCCGAGGGAACCGATCTGTACCGTGCATGGCTCAAGCGTTACCAGCTGGACGACATTCAGTTTTTGCCCCAACATGCTCAGTGTATCTTATACGACGATCAGATGATAAACGATGCCAGTGCAGCCTGGATTCTCATGGGTGTGCTCGTTCAAAACACAAACTGTACTGTAAAGTGGTTGCATCATGGATACGAAGGGTTTAGCCACTGGGATTTCACACATACATATCAACAAGGCACACTGCATCATCGATCTGCTGTATCTAATTCACCTCCGGTACCGCTGCCTTCTACCAGCAAGAGCCAGTTATTCACTAGCAAGCTCAAAATGCCCGTGCCTATGGTATCGCGCAGTGCTACGACACTCTCTCACAAGAACAGCATGCATCACAACGTACCCAACAGCAATGTACAGCGACGAGCCAGTCTGTTCAGTCTAGATACCACCAGCATGCGTAAGGGAAATCACAGCAGCGGCATTGCATCCACCAGTGCCTTTCGACAGTGCAACAGTGGGAACCATCACACCATGTCGAGTATTACAGAACCAACTACTGCCAATAATCTATTTTCGCCCGAGGAAGATGCATTTCACACACCACTGGAGCAACTGCCAACAAGCGATGATCAGCAGCCCATGATGACTGCATTAGGCGACCTCACACCCAAAACAGAGAATGAATATGACTTTGTCATTTCAGAAATCATACCCAATTTCTTGTATTTGGGTCCAGAAATAGTAACAACAGATCAAGTGAGTGGCTTACGACAAAGATCTATAAAACGTGTGCTGAACATGGCTGAAGAATGTGATGATGATGTGCCAGGTCTCAAGGAGAACTTTGCCTATCAGAAAATTGCAGCCCGAGATACGGTGGAGATGCAGAATGTGCAGGGCACACTTAAGAAAGCGGTGCAAGTGATAGGTAAGCTAGCGTCGTCTCAAGACTCTGCTCCATACGTACTCACTCACAGTCAAATAGATGACTCAAAGAAACACCATGAACCCATCTATGTGCATTGCAAAGCAGGCAAGTCAAGATCAGCAGCAGCGATTCTGGCGTACCTAGTCATCTCTGAAAACTGGACATTAAAGAAAGCGTATCGACATATCGTCAAGGCAAGACCCAACATTTCTCCCAACATTGGATTTGTAGCAGAATTGATGAAGATGGAAGAAGTCGTTCATGGACAAGTGAGCAATTTTGCTGGGACAGACTGGCATCTAGCAGATTTGACAAATCCACCAAGCCCAGATACACAAAAGGAGATGGGTAGACTTGAAAAGGCGTGGAAGAGAGGTAGAGCATCGAGTAATGCGAGATCTAGGAGCACCTCTAGTGTCAGTAATAGTCGTGTACCTTTTCCAACATCCACAAGTCAAGTGCAGCAGCAACAGCAGCAGCAGCAACCACCATCTCATGGTGAATTCAAATAATGCAACTCGTATCCATACACTTTATCATTTTACATTTAATAAACGTGTATATCCAAACATGTCATCACCATGCAATGTTGGCGAGCAAAGACAGTATGGGTCACTGATATCTACCGCAAGGAACCCCAAAAGCCCCAATTCATACGCTTAAACTCGAGTTACAAAATGTTTCCCTTGTAGTATTAGATAAGCGCTGAACAGAGATATTTTTAGTGTTTGCTGTCATTCAACTGCAACAAGCTAAAGTTTATTCAAGCAAAAAAGGGAAAATTACAATGGCAACTAATATACAGGCAAATAATACACACAACATCATCATCTAAAGACAAGTTGAAGGCAAATAACCTCTCTTGACAGCCTCCTCAACGATAATCTTGGCCTCTACATCGGGAAGAGGAATGATACTAGCGATAATGACCTTTTCTTGCTTCTCATCAGGCTCCTCGAGGGTATCTAATTGAGACTGAAGCATGGAAGGAGGCATAAAGTGACCCACACGACCTTGAATACGCTGTAACAAGAGTTCATGCGTACCCTTCAAGTAGACAAAGATGACAGTGCCCAATTCAGCAGGCACTTCACGCAAAATATCACGATACACCTTCTTGAGAGAGGAACAGGTAACAACAACAACACGGTTAGGTGAGTTGACATCCAAATCATAGACTTCCTTGGCTTGCTCTGTTAAATGATCACGGATCAAGCGAAGCCAAGGCCAACGATCATCATCCTCCAATGGGTGACCTTTTGTTTGAAGGATGTTAGACCTTGCCTCTCTTCTCTAACCATCCACTTTGTAACTTACCTGCAGCCATCTTGTCAACATTTGATTGAGGATGAAGAGAATCGCCTTCCAGATAATGACAATTCAAGACTCTTTGCATCTCGGTTGCAACACTGGTCTTACCGCAACCAGCAGTACCCATTAAAACAAAGATTGGAACTGGAATTTTGCTCATGTTTGTTTGTGTGTGTGTGTTGTAATAAGAAAAGGAAAAAAAAAAAAAAAAAAAAAAAAAAGCTCAAATCTGAGATGGGCTCCTCTTTTTTTATATGAAACGGGAATCATCTCTCTGTCTCTTTTCCCGTCCATACAAAATCTTCCGAAACTGGGGTAGTTGATGGTTCATCAGTTGCAGTAGCGAGATTGCTTTGCTTATAAATTGAACTACCGTAATCTTCCCGTTTCTTGTGGTCCCCTTCTTCATCATCCTCTTTCTAATAAACTATTAGCTAAAATACTAAGATAGCATTATGAAGCTAATCTCGAAATGGTGTAATGCAAGGGACTGAACAGTATGGCAACAGTATGGCGGCTCTGTATGATCTTTCTCTCTCAACAAAAAAAAATGACATCTCACCTTCAGCTACTCTCCAACATCTCAACAATACATGATAGTTTGATTATCTAAGCAGACCTAAGCTCCCCTTTTTTTGACCTGGAACTGGTTTCCCGAGGTATATCTTAACTTTCTCACAAGATGTCAAGTTACACATCTTGTTACCCCATTCCCCATATATAAAGATGGAATGTAGCACAAATGACATTGTATATAAACTGATAATCCATTCATACATCTCATAGATACACATCTCATCCTTTTTCGATAGCATTTGTGTATATAGATACAGAATATTTGAATCCGCTTATGGGTATATCCGTGATTAAAGATTTAAGGTTCTGCCTCCCCTAGACTCCTTTTTATTACATAATGCCATCAAATAGGTAATCATCTCATTATCGTCAGGGCAGCGTATTCTTTAGGATGGAAAATAGTAATCCAACAAGGATTTACCATGTTTGGTTCCATTTGATCTATAGAGGCAAAGATATTGAGTCGTGGTTTTCTACTGATGTATGTAGCATCTACCTTTTCAGACGCTTGGAAACAGGGCCCCCATCATTGCTCGCATTACTCGAGTTACTGCTGCTCTCGGACTTTTCCTCTTGCAAGATAGCCCTTACCTCCACTTTACTAAGACACTCATCTACATGTCGATTGAATTGGGCATTATCCAGTTTCAATGGTCGATTACAGATAGGGCACACAAGTGCATTAAGGGTATCTTCTTGCTGTGCTTGCTGCTGATTCAATCGTTGCTGTTGCTCTTGGTATTCGGGAAGCGGAACTTTGGTAAAATACTAATCACATAATGTACGGATGAACTATTATGTCAAATGCAACATTGAATGCCTATTTTACCTTCATGACACTCTCATCTTCACTGCCTCGAGGTTTCATGATGGATATACGAATTCCCATCAGTCGTATGTTGATCGGGAGTTCCTTGATCAATAGCTCTTTCGCAATTCTCTCAATGTCTTTTGCTTTCCATATGTAGCTGGGAAATGTCTTTGACCGGATGCGAGATTCATACGTGACAGCCTTGAGTTTGATGCCCACATTGCGACCCATGTAGCCTGTTTTTTCTAGATCTTGTTCCAGCATGATGGACAGCTCCTTGACCTTTTTAAACAGCTCTTCTGGATCTGACATGGCGCCAAATGTGCGCTCTGTGCTCATGCTCTTTCTATCGTGGTCTGTGTTGAATGTGGTGCTACCAATACCAAGATAGCTTTTGAGCATAAATTGGAAGCTGATGGGACTCAGCAGTTTGTATAATACGGCGCTGCGAGAGTAAATGTCACCGCAAGTTCTGACACCGAGTGCATCCAGCACACGCTCAGTAACTCTGCCTACACCAGGAATCTGTCGCACGCGCAAATCCTTGACGAATTTGACAATGGATGCTCTGTCGATGGGTAAATAGTATTGGCCGTTAGGCTTGTTGATGTCGCTGCACACTTTGGCCAATGTCTTGTTACAAGCGATGCCTACAAGGTGAATTCGTTAAATCTACAGCACAAGGCTCCAGAAGCTGAGTGAATAGCCTTTACCTGCACTTGCTGTTAATTGAGTTGCTTCAAAAATTTCGCTACGAATTTGTTCTACTAATTGAACGGGTGTCAAGTCTGTTGTTTTGAGGTACTGCAGAACAAGTTAGGTCCCAGGCACCAAGCGACATACAGGCACCTCAACTCACTTACCTCTGTCAAGTTCAAATAAGCCTATTTCATAATGATTTCAATCTTTTCTGTTGCAGGTATCTTTCCATCAAGCTTTTCCTCGCTCATCAACTGCTTACCTCATCCAAGCTCATGGGCACAAAGTTCGGATCATACTTCTGGAATACAGCCCTCACTTTGTTGGATGCTTCTCTGTATTTGGGAAAATGCAGTGGGATCAAGACGAGCTCTGGACATAGTTTGCGAGCAATGAAGCCAGGCATGGCACTGCGAACACCGTACTGTCGAGCAAGGTAGTTGCTGGTACATAACATAGCCATGCCGCCTACAGCCATAGGCACCTCTTTCAAGCTTGGGTCCTCCAGTTCCTCCACAGATGCATAAAAGGCATCCATATCCATGTGGCAGATACATTGTGTCAAGTCTCTGGTGTCCTCTAAGTCTCGAATCATGTTGTCCACAATACGTTGTTCAAATGACAGGTCCTTGTCCTTGATCAGCTCATATTTGGCCAGAATGGCATTGATGCGTTGTGTTACTGCTTCATCTCGCTTCTTTTCTCGCTCAAAGAATTTTGATCCCTGTGTGTGTATGCATAGATCAGTGATCCAACATCCAAACACACAATCCAAACATAACAGCACCCACCTTGGAAAGCTCGTAAATCACTGCATTGACCTTTTCCTTGTCTACACTGCCCAAGCCAGCCTAGATAACGGTTAGGTCCACACATTGCCAGCAAGAATGGGGTGGGTCCAACCTTATTTGTGGAGGGTCCAGCAAGCAGATTTTTAAAAGACTTTTGCTCGTCCTCAGGTTCAGGATGCCTGACATCCAATGCCACCTGGTTGCTTTCCTCTTGTTGGTCCAGCGGTTCCTGCTCAAAATCCTCGTCTTCTTCATCAAAAAAGAAATCTTCTTCCTCGACTATCTGTGAAGAGAATTCAGCTGAATCGTCCATCTTCTGGAGGTGCTACGGAAAAGAAAAGAGAGAGAGAGAGAGAGAAATGTAAGGGCAATACAAAAACGGAAGCGGTTATTCAAACACCTGCCAAAATACGCACATCCGAGCATCTTTACTTTTGTGCAAGGTTTGAATTTTTTGTTTATCTCTTTTTTATTCTTTATACAACATGTTGAGAACAATTCAAAGCAGACGTCTCATTCGGCCCTTCACAAAGTTCGCGACCAACAGGTTTCGCTGTTTAGCTACTGTGGCCCAGGATGTCGAGAATGCCTATGATGTGGTTATTATTGGCGGTGGTGTAGCAGGTGCCACGCTGGCCTGCTCTCTTGGTAATTATGGTAACTGGATCTACATGACACTGCCACTAACCTGGTATACTCAGCCTCTCGTCCATCCATGCGTCAACACCGTATTGCATTAGTCGAAGCCATGGACCTGACAAGCGTCAAGCAATGGGAACCCAAAGCTGACAATTACTCGAATCGTGTCGTCTCTTTGACACCTGGTTCAATGGGGTTCTTTTCAAGTAAGTCAGTTATATAAAGTCACTGCTGTCATGGAGACCGAAACCCTAAATACGAGACAGAGATTGGCATGACAAAGCATATGGCGCTGGACAGAACAAACGGCTACAGAGACATGCAAGTGTGGGACGGTGTGACAGATGCTCGCATTCATCTGGATTCTGCATTACTGAAGAGCTACAATGTCAACAACACCATGGATGAAAACACAATTGCATATATCGTGGAAAATGTCAATGTCCAAAGTGCCGCTTTAAAAAGACTGGATGAATGTCGTGCTGAAGGATCTCATATTGACTTTATTCAAAAGGTCAAGGTAGCAGAAATTGAGAGATCATTGGAGAATAAGCCTCAGGAAGGCGAAGGATTGGATTTGCAAGATTGGCCTACAGTGCACTTGGATAACGGAAGAAAATTAAAGGCTCGCTTATTGGTAAATTGAGCAGAGGGTTTGCATGAGACACGAACTATTGACGATTGTGTGCATATTTCTTAGATTGGTGCTGATGGTATCAATAGTCCTGTGCGTAGCTTTGCTCATATTGATTCGCTCGGTTGGGATTACGATGCGCATGGTGTGGTCGCTACATTGAAGCTGGATCCTGAGCGTCCCAACAACACTGCCTGGCAACGATTCTTACCAACAGGTCCCATTGCTCTGCTTCCTGTAAGTGCTGCTATATGCGTGACATATAGAAACAGGCCAATTGACACGCGTCTTTTCCTAGTTGAACGATGAATACGCCTCCATGGTGTGGTCCACCAAGCCAGCCATTGCCAAAGCACTCAAGAACGTATCCGCCAAGGATTTCTGCAACCTAGTCAATGCAGCCTACAGAATGTCCCATGTGGATCTCAACTACCTGTACAAACAAATTGACCCCATCACATTTGAATCAAAATGCGATATACAAGAGGACTACCTTTGGAGAGAAAGTGTCGCAAAGAAATCACTGAATGATCAACAGGTGTTGGACAGAGAATATTCACTGCCACCTCAAGTGATTGACGTGCAAGACAAATCAAGAGCTTCTTTTCCTTTCAGATTGAGAAATTCGGAGCGTTATGTGGCTGAACGTGTTGCTCTTGTGGGCGATGCTGCTCACGCTACTCATCCCCTTGCTGGTCAGGGCCTAAACCAAGGCTTGCTTGATGTCGAATGTCTCTCTCAGTTACTGGAAAGAGGCACAGTGGAAGGACAAGATATTGGTAGTATTCATTTATTGAGACAGTACGCATCTGAGAGATATTTGCGCAACATCATGATGATTAGCTCCTGCGACAAGCTGCATCGCTTGTTCTCTACAGACGCTGCTCCAGTTGCTTGGATCCGTTCCATTGGTCTGAATGCTGTAGATAATCTGGATTTCGTCAAGGTATGTGCAACACACAGGCGATTTGTAATAGACACATGCTAAAACCTTATAACAGGCTGAGATCATGAAATATGCGATGGGCATAGAATACACTGGCGAATTCAGACACTGAATAAAAGATGGACATTGGTTGCTGCTGTTTAAACACCTGACGTTTCAAATGTGTAAATATGAACATGATTTTTGAAACAAAAGTTTGTTGTCTGTATTTCTCTTTTCTTCTTCACATCTAAAACTACCCACAAACATGCCTCCAACTGACTCGGATGGTCTGCTATCAGACATTGCAGAGAGTGTAATTTTATCCTGAGCCTTTAATCTGTCAACGACTAACGCTTCATCTCTCAGTCTGACCAGTACCAGGTCGTGCCTTCATTGGACGACGATTCGCAAGCGACAGAACAAAACGCCCTTGCCGTTGAGCCAGCTAGCGATTCAGTAGAAGACGAACCGGCGCCATCGAAGCCTCCACATCCTGCCCTAATGCTGTTGTTTCGTGTGATAAAGTTCATCATGCTACCGTTTTGCAAGATATTCTTTGCTCCTGCAGCACAAAAGACGTTTGTCAAGACAACTGTGATGGTTGTCACTCTTTCCTGGATCATTGTAACCAGCATCGTAGCCTACGTTATGTTTTACAACCAATATGTGCCACCTATCACTCATGTGCAACCCATTTGGTTTCATTACAAGGCTCTGCAAGGACCCACCGCCTGGGTCAATCTTCGTTCCATGGTAAGTACACTACAGGTAGCTTCTTTGCGATAGGTATTAATGGACATTTCATGTAGCCACTGCGACATGAACAAGTATATGATGTGTCTGTGCAATTGCACGTCCCTACGTCTGATACCAACTTTGATATTGGCAATTTCATGATTGATCTCGGTTTAAACACACAAAATGGGTCCGTTATCCTGCATTCAAGTCGACCGGGCATTTTGAGATATCAATCTCAAACGCAAAGAATCATGCGGGTGTTTGCAAAGGCGCTTCCTTTGCTTGTCGGGTTAACAGAAGAGAGTCAAGTAATTACAATCAAGCTAGTGGATAATTTTATGGAGCTCAAGGTGTGTACAGTGTGTGGAAGGTAACAGTAATAAGCTAATCTGGTTTGTTTCCTTAGTCAAGAGCCGTAGATTCTGTTTCGGTTGCTATTTCTGATCCAAGAATTCAAATCTATGATGCGAAGTTGATGATTCTTGCCAACTTCAAAGGTCTTCGGTAAGAGGACCCATGGAGAACTTCTTTTGCAATTAACTCATATCTCTTGATAGATACTACATGTATTTCCACAGCATTCTTACTGCACTTGCCTTTATATTTACATTTGCAAGCATCGAGTTTATATTTGCCACTGTTGCATGGAAAGGTTTTGGTGAGAACATGTGGCGCAAATTGTCCAGCTTCTTACTGGAAAATGAAAGGCCTGTTGATCCATCCTCTCTACAGAATGACCAAGCAGCATCAAATGGCAGCACAGAAGAGGAGGAGGAGCAAGAGCGATTGGATCAAGGGGACGATGCCCCTTCCGTCTCTGATGAATCTCTTAGTGTCAAGTCAGATTGATTATATAATACCCTAATAAATTAACAAGCAGCCATTACCTAATTCACACCAAGAAGTGTCCCAAATTTAAACCTTCTCGATATAAATGCCAGTTTAAAAAGAGGATGAGCTATAGTTGCAACAATCGCGATAAAGTTGTTGTTCGGAGCATTTACTTTTGTTGATTTATTGAGTTTTCGCAATGGAGTTTACTTGACAAATTAGTGAGCAGTAAAAACAAGAGTCTCCTTTTAAAAAAAACGCTTTTACTCACAGGAACAACCACGAGAAGGTAGAAGCTTTCTGCTCCCAACCCCTAGAATACACATGCTATTTCTTTTTATCGTGTACGACTACAGCGTGGACTTCGACGAGCTTCTACCACCGAGACATACACGGCTTGAGCAGCAGAAGAACATGATCAGGAAGCTCACATTCCCCACCCTTTGTTGATTCATGCGAGAATCCCAGTAGAGGAAACGTCCAACCACAGGCACGTTAGGTAAAGTGCCAAAGAAATAGCATCTTAAGTTTATTCGAAGCACTAGTATGAGCTTCGAGGAGCATTTACTAAAAAAAAAAAGGAGGGCTGCTAATAAGAGGCTAAGGGTAGAAGCCGTTATTGGTAATAATATAGCATAAATTAGGCACCAGATATTTGGCCGCTTGCTACAAGGTAGCCAAGCAACATTCGATTTAGCGGCTTTTACTACAAGATTCGCCAACACCTTCCCTATCGTTCTGTCGCATGTAATTAAGAGGCTATATCTGACAAAGAGACCAAACCTTAATTTCCAATTGAGCCACCTACTGAAACAGCGGTATTTTAAAATATGAATAGTTCAGCCTTCAAACCGCCCTAAATGAAGATTCATGGATTTCTGAAATCTTTCGACCTCAAAACCAAGCGACCCTATTGATAACACTGCTTTTCAGCTAAATCAAATTTTGTTTAGAATCTAATGGAGAATCTAATAAAGAAAGTTTCAAAAGCATTCGTCTAAACAATCAAACCGATTTTTAATATAATTGTTAAGCACAAAGAATAAAAGGATTATTATTTGTAGCGTATAAAAAACGTTCGATATTATAAAAACAAGAAAAGACTTATTTGAATAAGATCAGAAACAAAAACTAGAGATTTATTGATGAAGACAAGAGTTATTCTATCTATACTAAGTTCTGAATGCCAAAGTAGCAATTTATCTTGTACAACGCTTATCACATCTGATGAACCTCAGTATTTAGATAGCTGAGATGCACTTCAATTATCATAGCTTGTCCATGTTGTTGCACAACACAGACATATCTACCCATCAAGAATACCTTAATCTTTATAGACAGTTGTAGCCCTTCTGGCACAACACAAATTAAGTTGCCGCAATTACTGCTGCTACGGTACAAGACTGAGAATAAATCTACTGGTCGTGACGTCGGATAGGGTGCTCTCTCATTTTTCCCTGCCGCCATTTTTACCCTTTTTGCAAAACGCGTTCTAGTATCAAACCATGGTGGTTTTGGACACCGTTTGACTGATAATAACACTCTAGCTTCCGATAACTTTGTCTTGCACTGTTGGAAGAACTTGATACTGCTTCTTTAAAGTGGAATATATTAGATACTATTCGATAACGAGCACTAGAAGGCGTAGAATTAACACTAATTGAGTTTATTAGGTTTTAATGATTTTTTGCTTGTTTGAGTGAGTGCTGCTGCCATTCCTTTTCTGTTATCTCTCCTGTCTGCTTCTTTGGTCTTTGCCTGATCTCTGCTTGGTGTCGTTCGTTCTTTGGTTTTTCTATGGTGCTGGTATTGCTGCTGATGTTGTTGCTGCTGATAATCGGGTCTTTCATAGTGTACTATCTTTGGTGCATGCTCGTTCTCTGGTGTAGCTCGTTCTTTGGTTTGTCTATGGTTCTGCTGTTGCTGCTGCTGCTGCTGCTGCTGCTGCTAATATGGTCTTTCCTGGTTTACTGTCTTTGGTACGTGCTCGTTCTCTGGTCCATATTCGGTGATTGCGTGTCCTCTGGTCTATCTACGGTGGTGGTAAGTGGTAAGTATCTTTTTTCTTCTGGTCGCAATGATATAAAACTTCTTTGAACGTTTGTATTATTGCTTCCTTTCTCATGATAATGCATTCATGATGTTTACTTTGTTGCGTTTTTCTTCTTTTGTTGGTTGTGTTGCTTTACATCCGACTATTACCATGCATGTTGCTCATGTATGGATTTTTGTTGCAACAACAACGAGCTGTTCTGAACGTCTCTGGTGTTGTGCTTGTTATACTTTTCTTTGAATCACTTTATGTGAGTATCCCGTTTTTGCCTACGTACGACTATACTCCAATAGTGGTTTGTTCTTTTCTTCATTCTTTTATTATTTTTATGTTTCTTTGAAGCATACCATTTTTACGTTGTGTGGATGTGCCTATCACTGAAGCTCAACAAGACTTTATCTGAGGCTAGGAGGTAGATAGGCTGCCTCCACTTGGTTATCATTACTTACTTTAGTGATGATTGAGGGTCTCAATGCCTGAATTTAAAGCTAGGTGGTGTAAGTAAGACATTGTTAAGCACAAAGAATAAAAGGATTATTATTTGTAGCTTATAAAAAATGTTCGATATTATAAAAACAAGAAAAGACTTATTTGAATAAGATCAGACACAAAAACTAAAGATTTATTGATGAAGACAGGAGTTATTCTATTTATACTAAGTTCTGAATGCCAAAGTAGCAATTTATCTTGTACAACGCTTATCACATCTGGTGAACCTCAGTATTTAGATAGCTGAGATGCACTTCACTTATCATAGCTTGTCCATGTTGTTGCACAACACAGACATATCTACCCATCAAGAATACCTTAATCTTTATAGACAGTTGTAGCCCTTCTGGCACAACATTGCCCCCCCAGATTCAGGTACTTCTTGTGGACATTTCGTAATCTCAGATTACAAAACATCATGACAATATAGCACATAAAGCACTTTCCAATAAATAATTACCAAATGACACTGCATCCGAGATCAGTCAGTAAAAACCTTGTGTAAAAACCTTTCATAGGACAAAAATGTAAGGAAAAGACTTGATCCCATCATGCTAGTAGCCATTTAAGACCTGTTTGATCTACCACTCTGACCAATTTCGCGAGTAGTAGGAGTTCGCCAGTTAACTGTTTGAGGAGCTAACCTACGTTTACCAGCAGCCTTTGCACCTTCTCTTCGAGCCCAATACAACTCAATGTGCTTGGCCGAATCAAAGTTTTTCACAGGCTCCCAAGTATCTTCACTAGGATCATCGAACCCTTTCCATTTTACCTTATACTCATAGTTACCAGGAGATCCTCTATGATCAATCACAGCTTGAATTTCGTAATGCTCTGCAGAGAACTCATCAATTGTGATTGGCTGAGGATTCGCAGCGACTTGGTACTTGATATGATGGGTAGGCACATCTCGACTAAGGAGTGCACCCGTCTTGTCAGCCAGCACATAGGAACCTTTATCGGTTATATTATGAATCAAATAAGGTCCTTCATACCGTTCATCTAACTTATTTTGACGATGAACATTTTTAATCATAACTTTACTACCAATAGGATAGGGTTCGGCAATGACCTTATGTTTCTTCGCAAAGTTAGCATGATCAGCATTTTGTGTATCCACAATACGCTTAGAAATAGCCGGGATAAGAACATCTTGTACAAAACGGTATCGTTTGTCAATGAGTCTATTATCAGCTTTCTCCAAACGTTTGGAATAGTCCACCTTTGAGTAATCAGCCAGACCATTTGGTTGACGATTAAACAAAAGTGTATACGGACGAGATTTATGTAGCCGAGCATACTTGACATTGATGCAGTAATTCACCCACGGAATGAAGTGCTCCCATTGATCCCTCTTACCTTTTAACAACTTGATAGTCGTTAACTTACATATTTTGATAAATGACTCAGAAACCGAGTTACCCAATGGATTGTACCCTAATGACAGGCGATGGTCTATCCCACTGATGTCCATCATAGCACGGACCACCTCATTTATCCATTCCAGGCCTCTGTCTGAAGTCAACTTGATTGGCCATCCAAAAAGTGAGAAAACTTGAAGCATTTCCCTGGCAATTGTCGTAGCCTTCTTGTCTGGAATGCATCTTATCACAGTAAATCTCGTAAAGTAATCAGTAAGGACAAATAGAAAGTTGCTGCCGAAAGAGCTAGTAACACCCATATCACCGAGATCCATGCACCAATGATCCAAAGGTTGGGCTGCATTGACACTACGGAAAGGATGATATCCCTCTCTAGCGATATTGTACCTGTTACACTCGTCACAATCAGCTAATATTCTTTCTATGTCTTTCCGAATGTTCACCCAGTGAAACCCTTCATGATGAATTGCAGTTTCAACATGTTTGATCCCAAAATGTCCAACCAGATGCTGAGCAATGATCATATTGTCTCTTTCATTAGCAGGAGGAGTGATATAGTCAGCAAACCTAAGCGTACGCAATATGAATTCCTTTTGCTTTTGCGAGACAGCTGTGGTGGTGCCATCTTTGATAAGAGTAGCGTTTACCGCAGTGCGTGCATGGTTGCTAAAAAAATTAGATCGTAACGCCTTAGTTGTCTTGACCAAAATACGTTTCATTGGAGGCGAAGGTGTGACAACCTTGAGTTTGTTTTTGGAACCCTTTTTCTTTCTCTTTACACTTTCACCACCATCAGCATAGTACCTGCCCCCCAGAAGATGTCGTGCTGAAGCATCAGCATCCGAATCTTCGTAAAGTCGAGATAAAGCATCAGGAATTACGTTAAGGACACCGGGCAAATGCACAATATCGAAAGTATAAGAAAAAATGGTCTCCCACCATCCAAGCATGAGTGCATTGGGGACTTCCTGTGTATTCAAGTAGATCAGACTCTTATGGTCCGTATGTAAGGTAAACTCTCGCATATACAGAAAACGATGAAACTTAACCAAGGCATAGCAAATCCCTAGCAATTCCCTTTTCGTAGTACTGTA